ATACCCTGTTGGAATTTCACATGGCTAGCTAGAAAATCACCACTGTAAACATGGGATCATCGTCAAACTGCTACATGGATGATGTTACATTGCCAGCTTAAATAGCCAGACCGTATGTCCATATTACGTGTATATATGTATATCACCTACGCACATATACAAATCTTTGACATAGCTATATATTTGACCCCGATTTGATGTGTGATGTGAGGGTAAAGGATTCATAAATAATACAGCGTGACAGCCGGCAAAGAACTTACAGTCTCTGTAGAGAGAGGAAGAGCAAGTATTTGAACTTTGAGCCATATATATTTTCTACTGCGTACATTACATTACATGATTCTGGCTTCAATGAAATTGTGGCTGGATTTAAATGTAGCAGCAGGATTAGCAAAGGACACCATGTGTGCGTGTGAGGCCCACTGAATACAATATCATTTACATGTCCATGAGACGTACCCTCTGGTAAACTAACATAGCTATGGAAAATCACCATTTTCAATGGGTCAATCCACTATAAATTGCCATGTTCAATAGCTATTGTAAATTACCAGAGGGTAGCGATAATGTCTTGTCATCTTCGCTATCGACATGCGCAACATACCAACCTATCAGTCCTTGGGGGCTTGGGGCAAATGCACATCCCCACCTACAAACCTCTGCTACATATAGAGACTGGTTGGTGGTTTTAACCATCTTGAAAAATATTAGTTTGTTATAGTCAGTTGGGATGATTATTCCTAATATATGAAAAAAATAATAATATTCCAAACCACCAACCAGGAGACATACAAACTTCATTGGAAAAAACATCTATGAATGCCCCGTAAACGGATGACCAAATCGGGTACATCTCTTCTCATTTTCTCCAAGGAACGGGCATGGTGTACTCCCCAAGTGCCAACTCTTTCAAAAAGTAGTCAGCCTGGCGTCTTTGCCGCTTTGGGATGCCAAACATGGCCATCACTGTGACATGTTTGGGGCTGAAACCATGGGACCAAACTCATCATAAGCAAATCACACATCTATTCACCATGGATTTTCATGGATTTTTCCACATCTTTTGATATGAACAAACCCCAGGCTGTTCACCCAGTCCGTTGCTGGCTTCCAGGTAGCACCTGGAACATGATATCGCCCACGCTGGTACCAGCCAACCAAGCTGGCTCATAGCGTTTCATCTGTGGGGTCGATTCCTCAGAAAGGACAAGGCATAGGACTCGCTTGGAACTTGCTTGGAGTTTTTGGGACTTGCGGCTTGGGGCTTGGCCGAGATTTGCCTTTAACGGTTTTCGGGCTTGAAAGGACTTGGAATGCCTTTTTGGGTTAAAATCTAAGCACCATCGGCCGACCAACTGCAAGTAATATCAAGTAATAAGAGGGACCGGGGTGCAGGATCAGCCTGAGTTTTGCGGCGAAGTTGAGCCAGAACCTGTCCCTCTGAAATGAGTTCACATTGGCTGCTTCAACCCCACGGAGAATTTCAGGTAACTTGAAGAACCATGGAAAAGAAGAAACCAGAATCATTGGTTGTATCCACAAACACATTATTTTGGCTATACTTGGATGTGCATCCCATTTAGTAAGTGCTGCAAAGCATTCTGTTTAAATTATATATGTAAAACATGTTACATTTAATGCATCTTTGTACCTATTGTATATACAGTATGTATATATATATATAACAAATTTACCAACCATTTATCATGTGGGAATGGCACACATACCACCTATTTATGACGTTTTAAGTTAATTATTGATTTACCCACATGACCCAAATGGCTAAAAAATGCTGCATGATGGCTCAAGTATGTTTATTCCCCTATATATATATCACTGTAATACTGTAATAGTAGTATAACCATTACTAACTATTATATATTATAATACTATGTAGTACTAGTATAACCATTATTACTAAATAGTGCCATTATTATAGCATTATAATAGTTAATGGATAATTATTATTAATATGATTAGTATAACCATTACTATTACTATTAATGTACTGCTATTACTATTACCTCCATTTATTTTGGTGATTTTCCATGGCTATGTTAGTCATAACCAGAGGGTAATTATATTATTAACCATGGGTATTATTAATAAAACAGTATCATGGTTAATACCCATGCTTAAATTTTATGATTAATATTAATACCCATGGTCAAATAATGAAAACAGTATCATGAAGCATGTTTTCCTCAATGTTTTAACTCAATGGATAAACAATTTCCATGAATAACCATGATAATTGGAGGTTAATAATTTCCATTAATATGATAATTGTTTTCCTCCATAGTTCAAAAGTTCAAGTTAGCTGCTGAACGTTGCTGCCCAGACTCCAAGTTCTGGGGGTCAACCTGAAAGGCCGGGCGGCAGGGCAGCCGTCAGGGCAGCCCGCTTGCTGGTGCACCCAATCAACGCTATATATGTATATATAGAGATTATCTATATATATATAATTCTATATATAAATATCTCTATATATAATTCTAAAATATATACATATAATTATTTATAATTATATTTAATCTGATTTAATTCTATATAGTTACGTATGGTTAAAAAAAATATATATCTAATGATCTAATTATAGATTATAATACATGTATATATAATTATATAATTATATATAATTACAATTATATATATAATTATATAATTATATACATATATATATATTATATCTTATATTATATATGTATATATTATAGTTAGTTGGCCTGGTTTATAAATCAACTCATAGCTGGGCTTCATATTGTCCCTCCAAATCTGATCTAAATGGTCATGGTGGGGTGATACTATACCCCAGTTCTATAAACACAGCTATACCCTCTGGTTATGACTAACATAGCCATGGAAAATCACCATTTTAATGGGAAAACTCACTATAAATGGGCCATCTATACCATGGCTATGTTAAATAACCAGAGGGCACAATCAGTCCTCAAAGTCAAAAAAACAATGGGGGTTGACTCTCTAATCCCAACATCAGGTTTTCAGACACCATGAGGCAACAACACCCTTGAGGATCAACATCCCACCAGACTCATGCTGGGCCGTTGACCTACTGAATCACAAGAACCATCCATTGTACTCTTCAAGTGCGTTCTCAGATTAGGGACAAAACCCAGCTCCTGGTTTTCCGATAACATGCTGTAACTGGCATATACGCAGTATCTAAACATATTATCTAATTAAACTAAACTGTAGAATGAAGCACAGGAAGTGCCTCCTCAGTTCTGATTTGTTGCTTTGAAAAGTTTCTCACCCAATCTAACGAGTTCGATCAATCCACCATAAATCCAGTTATCATCCAGTGGCTCAACCCAAATCCACCATATTTAATCCAGTTAAGTCGGTTAAAGTCGGCCATAAATCTAAGGAGTTTCCCAAGCAAAATCGTCCCAGTCACAGGATCTAAGGAGAACAAAGGCTCACGGCACGCCGTACGTCGCACCTGAACTTCCAACGGGAACTGCGGGAATCTGCTGGGGACCCAGTGAACTTTATAAGGGTTTTAGGTTTTAACATGCTTTAGCCAGCAAAAACTATGGTTTGTTTAATTGGTTCAATGGAAGTGAGATCAAATACAACGAAGAAACCATGGGGGTTCCTGGATTGTTTGCCAAAAGCCAATTGAGGATAGATTTGGATGAATAAACTCTTGGCTGAATAACATAACTGGTTGGTGGTTGAGCCAACCCCTCTGAAAAATGATGGACTTCGTCAGTTGGGATGATGACATTCTCAATATATGGAAAAATAAAAAATGTTCCAAACCACCAACCAAATAAGGTATGAAGCTGTTGAACCTGCGATGAGCTTCGGTCATTTGGTATTTGCATAAGCCTTGAACAAATGAGATGGGTTTTCGCATAAAAAAAAGGTGCCCAATGTTTATGTTAACCCACCAGGGATCGACTTTGCTCCCGGGCATGATTCGTTTGAAACCACGGGGATTCTGTGGTTTTTTGTGTTGACCGATCTAATTAATCCCAGCATTCCCCGGTCCAACGGCGACACATCATATTTGGTCAGCTACTTCTTCAAAGGACTTTAAAACCATATAATGTACTTCAAAACAAAAGTCCTAAGTATGCAATGTTGTGCAAACTGAACTACACTTCGTTGATTGTCCTAAACATATTTGTATTATTATATGTATATTAAACGCATGTGTCTGTGCATGTATAAATCATATATACACATGATCATATGTATGTATATGTCTATAGCTATATAATACTATATCTGGTTGGTGGTTTCAACTCCTCTGAAAAAAATTAGTCAGTTGGGATGATTATTCTCAATATATGGAAAAATAAAAAATGTTCCAAACCACCAACCAGATATATATGCCAATATGTAGTATTTGTATGTAGTATATACTCATATACAGTAGATAGTAGCTGTCAGTTTGAAGATTCTACATGCAGCCATGCTGACATTTGATAGAGGTCTGTCTACTGCGTTGGACAAGCTTGCGAAAATCCAACGAAAAACACAAACTAGCTTTTAAAAAATGGTTTGTCTCAAGAATACTAGTGTTTTTTGGGCTGTACATACTTTTTTTCGGGGCTTTGCAGCTCTTAGTAGATATATGGAGGTTTCCTAAAATGGGGATACTTCCAGTTCACCTATATAGATGTTTTATTTTCGGATTTCCACGATTTTTTTACCATCCAGCTATTGGGGGTACTCCTATGGAACCCCCCAGTATCCCCATTTTATACAAGAATTGTGCAGTCCAATCCAATTCGCCAATTCCCATTCCAACGCTTTGACATCATTTACCTGGTTTGTGGAACCATTTCTGGTTGGTGGTTTTTCGCCACCCCTCTGAAAAATGATGGACTGAAAGTCAGTTGGGATGATGACATTCCATTCCCAACTGAACGGAAAGTCAGAATCCAGCCATGTTCCAGTCACCACCAACCAGATTGAAACATCATAAAAACAGTAGTTCTATAACTTCTGCCAGACTAAAAATCCTCAGAATCTTCGGCCTATGGTGACTCCCTTGGGGATCCCATGGGATATCGCCGCCTTGAGCGCCAGCATGAGATACTCCAAGTTCACCGATGCAGAGGGTTCCAAGGTGGAGGCAATACGCACCTCGGCCCGCGACGCCGACGCCCATGTCGTAGCCAGATGTCATGGGAATTTTGATGTGGTAATGATTTCTATATGGGTAATCAATAGTGATATGGTATGATATGGTTATATGGTAATGATTAATAGTGATCAATAGTGATCAGAGGATTTTTTCTTTTCAGAGGGGTTCAGACCACCAACCAGAGTTGCTGGAAAAAATCCCCATGAACTATAGATAGAACCCCCATAAACACCATAAACCCTACAATGTGAGGCCCCCGGCCACGATAGATAAGTTGGTGAACATAAAACTCCAATTTCACTATGGTTAATGGTACACAAATAACGAACTAGTTACTGGGGCGAATCTAAACCAACGTTCACATCACTGGGGGGCCTCACATCGTATGGTTTTATAGGATATGTCATGGGATAAATTGGATAAATCATCCATAATTGGTGGACAAAATCATGGATTTGAATGGAATTTCATGGGATTTGACGGGATATCATGGAGATACCCTCTGGTGAATACACACCAAAAACAAACAGGAACATCAGCATTTTCTTAAACTCCAATCAATTACACATAGGCCATGTTCAATAGCAAACTGTTGCTTTTTTTTATCGGAGGGTATGGCGCCATGTCATGAGGATGTAACACTAGGAAAACATGGCGATACAATGGGGATGATCTCAGCTCTTTTTTCTTGTTGGACTTGTGGGTTCTTTGATTCTCAATGGAGGTATTGTGATTAGAATTTATTATCCTAACATAATCTAACTAAATGGAATTTATTAGAATTTATTTATCCTAACATAATCTAACTATTAGTGATACCTGTGGAAATTATAATTCTCAACGAGATTTAACCAAGACAACTTGGAAAATCATGGGGATATAATATGATATAATGGGATATAACATGATAACATGATATAATTTATGACACCAAAACTCACCAGAATCCGTTGGGAACTTCACCAATCCGAATCCGGCGTGCTTAGCGAATTGCTGGTTGAACATGGTTGAACGAACTTCACGGCTAATCACGGTGATTATCTCATGGGATTTATATCCCATAGGATCCATGTATGGTATATATATATATGCTAACATTGGGGGTATATTAATGGTAAATGTTACCATATACATGGATCCTATGGGAATGGTTATCAACTAGTGAGATGGCTGGACATTTTTAGATCATAAAGCAACAACCAGAACTGGGGGCATTAGCTTCTGGGAAAAGTATGGCTGATGCGTAGCCGCTTAGCCCCCGAGATCTCCATTGATCTGGCACGGCCGATGAATCCCCGAATCCCAGCCATATGGGGCCCCCCGTTGTGATGTGAACGTTGGTTAACAAAAGCCCCAGTAACTAGTTCGTTACAAGTACCATAAACCATAGTATTGGAGTTTTTTGAACCAACTTAGATATCTTGGGGGCCTCACATTGAGGCACAGGGGTCGGTCACTATGAGGGCTGCCCAGATATGAAGTTAACATTCAGGGTCAATATCTCATAAACTCTGGCAGACTTTTTAGACCATTAGTTAGTCATATCTTGGGGCAAAGGTCAAAATTCAGCAACCAGGCAACCATCAAATATCAGCAGGATTGTTGATTCATTTTCCCCTTACAAGTGAACCAATTCCAGCGCCATATATCTTGTATGCTGGTTAGTCATCTGATCCTAAAATGCTTCGAAGTCTACACTGTGGGAACTCCCAGTAAAAGGTTTGGGGGCTCTGTTCACAGATTCAAGTGTTGAAAAGAAATCGAAACAGCAATTATATACGTGACAGCTTTGGTCGTTACATGGCTTGCTGGAAATTCAACCATTTACAATTTATAGTTTTTGTTTCCCCATAAAACCTCCGTTTAGTTCGGGGATTCCCCAGCTGGCCATGGTTGATGACGCTGGAGGGCAACTACCACATACCATATATCCCCATATACCCTCCTGTAAACTAACACGTCTATGTGGAAAACCATGTGTAGATCATAAATCGAACGGCTTTCCCCATAGCTTTTCCACATCAATCTCACATTCTCGAGCCCCTCCAAAGACGTGTTCCTCCTGAAGCCAAGGTGCAGTGCGAGACGCCTCATCCAGCACTAAACCTCAGCACAAGTGCGGAGTTGAACATCTTTGAACCAGAAAGAAAAGGATACCGTAGGAATTGCCCTCTGGTAAACTAACATAACCATGGAAAATCATCATTTTTTGTAGGTAAATCAACGAACTAAATGGGCAATTTTCAATAGCAAACTGTTTGTTTACCAGAGGGTACCTTGATTCTGACCCATACTCATACAGCAACCTCCAAAAAGGTCAGCACAACAAATCTCACCGAAACAGTGAGAGATCAGTGTTCTATCTTCCTTGAGGCCTTGAGGTTGTTTCTTTACACTATCTACATAGACATCTAGAGTTATATATTGTATTATATATATAAATACATATGTATCTGTCCGTCCATCCATCCATCCATCCATCCATCCAACTCTGTATATATATATGTATGTATGTATGTATGTATGTATGTATGTATGTATGTATGTATGTATGTATGTATATCCTGTATATATATACATATTTGTGTGTATATATATACATACACACTATGTCTACATCATCTACGACATTGATGTCCAGTGAGATCACCGTCCAAGATGCTGCAAAGTCCTTGTGGCACAGGGTCACAGCCCAACTTGCTGGCGATGATGCTATTCTTGGGCACCTGGTGCCGTGCCGACTCGAGTTGGACAAACGACGAAAAACGAGTGCCGTTATGGGGAATGCAACGAGATACGAACATCAACTGAAAACATGCCGTGACTAGATTCACGCAAACGTTTGTTTTTTTTTAATGAGAGATATGAGATATTAGGTGGTGTTTGTTTTATGCTTCATCATGTTTATATGTTTGTTTTGCAACCAACACACATGCGATCATGATTCAACCCAGCATACATATGTATATATATATATAATTATATATATATGCGTCACCTGAGAATCTGGGATGTTGTATTTCCGGAGTTTCCAGATTCATGGTCTGAAAAATAATGAAGGGTAATGACATGTTACAATGTGGGGCCCCCAAACGATAGCTAAGTTGGTGAACATAACTCCAATAACTATGGTTTGTGACGGTGATAGATAATGGGGTTTAGAAACCAACTTCTAACTGGGGGGGGCACATTGTATGATTCTCAGGGTCGGGTTAGTTTCTAAGGATAATAATCATCAAACATGAGGGTATCATCAACAAGCAAATGCAATTGACACGTGTGACCAAGCACATGGACTAAATCAACATGGTAACATACCTAACCACAACGACTATTTTTTCTGTGCTTTCCTCACCTACAATCACCTAAACATGTAAGGACTCTTTACTTGGACATCACTGCAATCAACTTTCAACATGGGGGGATGAGAAAGCGATATGGCCAAAAGTGCCGTTTGGGATACCTGATCCAGAAACATAGAAGGTGGTGCCCCACTCATTAGCGATCCGTTGGCTTATGAATAGGCTTATGAATAACGAGGCTGAACTGTTGAAATTATATGGATTTATGGTAGCAAAGTGAACATAAACCAACAAACATAACTGGTGGATACCAGTTTGTACTTGGGGTTACAGTTGGGTCCATCACCATGCTGAGTTCACCTCTTCCAGTTGGGATATAAGCCCTGGAACTACGATTATCATTAGTTATCATGGTTATATGATGTTATATGTTTCAAAGTTCTTACCCAAAAAAACACAACCTTAAGTAGTGGTGTCCCAAATAGGCTTGAAAAACATCGATCATATCACATCCAATACATCAACTGCAAAGGCACGGAGGAAGGCTCCCAACCGATCTGATACTCCAAGCGATTGTCCAGCTTCTTCTGCCTCCAAAAAAAATGGCAGCAGGGACAGGTCCGACAGGCCATGGGCTGAGGGGGTGATTTAAGATGTCACCAACAACAATGGGAATATGATATACAAATATAAATACATGTTGTTTAACCATGTGTTTCAAATTTACTTGGCTTTGTCTGAAAATATGGCAAACAGCAATGGGGGACTTTATATAATGGGGATAGAAGCAACATGAAGCAACTACTGGATATGAGTGTGTCTGAAAATAGTGTACCCCTAAACCCAAAGGTTAATGATCATTATCCCTATTAAATGGCTATAATTGGGAATATACCCTATTTTCAGACAAACCCATATGATTATCCAATATTATCCAACAAATGTGGTGCTACAATCTGCTACAAACATTCCGCCCATTTAAAAAACATCGTTGGATGTTTTTGGGAGATGCCCAGAGGATTGAACAGGACCTGCTGAAGCCTGGGGATTGCCTGGGGCCGCTGGGGCCAAGTTGAATAACCAGAAGATGGTACCCTTTTGTAAACAAACATAGAAAATGGCTGTAGGGACACAATCCAGCACTTGCAAATCATTTACAAGGAAAACAATGAATTTTCCACATGGGTTTGCCTGCTATGCAAAATCTTATGCTTGATCGGAGTGGATCATTATCATCCCTGTCCCTCTCCAAAATTGGAATATTTTTTCAACAAACCCATCTCTATTTCAGTTTATGGCAGAGTGATATTAGGCCAACGTCGGATTCGGAAACTTCAGCGTCGGATTCGGAAACTCCCAGGCCCTCGGATTCGGAAACTCCCTCCCCCCCGGATTCGGAAACTTTAGCGTCGGATTCGGAAACTTCCAGGCCCTCAGATTCGGAAACTTCGAAGCCCACGGATTCGGAAACTCCCTGGCCCTCGGATTCGGAAACTTCCTGCCCCCCGGATTCAGAAACTTCGAAGCCCACGGATTCGGAAACTTCCAGGCCCTCGGATTCGGAAACTTCCAGGCCCTCGGATTCGGAAACTTCAAGGCCCACGGATTCGGAAACTCCGTGGCCCGCGGATTCGGAAACTTGCTGCCCCCCGGATTCGGAAACTTCGAAGCCCACGGATTTGGAAACTTCCTGGCCCTCGGATTCGGAAACTTGCAGGCCCTCGGATTCGGAAACTTCAAGGCCCACGGATTCGGAAACTCCCAGGGCGTCGGATTCGGAAACTCGCTGCCCCCCGGATTCGGAAACTTCGAAGCCCACGGATTCGGAAACTTCCAGGCCCTCGGATTCGGAAACTTCCAGGCCCTCGGATTCGGAAACTTCAAGGCCCACGGATTCGGAAACTCCGTGGCCCTCGGATTCGGAAACTCCCTGCCCCCCGGATTCGGAAACTTCGAAGCCCGCGGATTCGGAAACTGCCAGGGCGTCGGATTCGGAAACTCGCTGTCCCCCGGATTCGGAAACTTCGAAGACACGGATTCGGAAACTTCCAGGCCCTCGGATTCGGAAACTTCAAGGCCTTCGGATACGGAAAGTTGCGGCTCCCCCTGGATTCGGAAACTTGAATTTGGGATTTAGAAATAGCATTGGTGTGGAAACTCCCAGCGCCGAGATCTCAAAAAAAACAAACTGCATTGTGGAAAAAAGAACATTCCGGATGTAGTTCGTCGGATTGATCTGAAAATGCAAACTGATCTCCTATATGTATAGACTCACTGATGCAATCCGAATGGTTGATCATACACGAATCCAATGTATCCCAATATTGACTGGTGTTTCCCATCATTGGGAATCACTTACATGCAAGTGCAGCTGATGCCTTGTCAAACTTACAGCAGCAGGATTTATACCAATGATCACTTGACGCAAACAGTGAGAATGCGGACAAGTGAACAATTCCTTTATATCTGGAGTGTATATGGTCTATATGCATGATATGCATGTAGAATGGGCGACAACGGTCCATTGATCTACTTTGAGTTCCCATAACTATTCCGCCTCCGCCAAACACGACATCCTACTGTAAACTATGCTCTGCCACGTCATCGGCAGCTGGTCATTCATGTTTCCAGGTGATGGCTGAATCTGCTATAGCTGCTATACAGTGCTAGTGGAAAATTCGGGGATTTGTGCGCGTAAAAGTTACTGAGATTTTACTGTTCAAATGAAACCTGCAGACTCCAGAAAAACTCATTGCCATCAAGAATATATACAGAATATGTGTATACTTTATACTGTAGATATATATATATATAATTGAAAGGGAATACACAATCTAGAAAATAAATGAGAAATTACCAGTAGTACTGCGCAAGGCGGTGGCGGAAGTTTCAAAAATAGGAAATCTATAGGCAGGGTGTGCCGGGCATGCCGTAGAATGGGAACCGGACCGAGTGAGAAGAACTCTATGCAAGGGAAGGATGTGCATTGAGGACTACCATTGCATGCAGAGCTTTGGGGGGGGGGAAGTTTAGAAAATGACTTGCAATCGTGACAAGAACTCTGTGAAAGGGAAGGATGTGCATTGAGGACTACCATTGCATGCAGAGCTTTGGGGGGGGGGAAGTTATAAAAATGACTTGCAATCGTGACAAGAACTCTGTGAAAGGGAAGGATGTGCATTGAGGACTACCATTGCATGCAGAGCTTTGGGGGGGGAGAAGTTTAGAAAAGGACTTGCAATCGTGACAAGAACTCTGTGAAAGGAAAGGATGTGCATTGAGGAATACCATTGTATGCAGAGCTTTGGGGGGGGGAAGTTTAGAAAATGACTTGCAATCGTGACAAGAACTCTGTGAAAGGGAAGGTATGCATTGATGACTACTATTGCATGTAGGGCTTTGGGGGGGGAAGGTTAGAAAATGACTTGCAATGGTGACAAGAACTCTATGCAAGGGAAGAATTTGCATTGAGGAATACCATTGCATGCAGGGCTTTGGGGGGGAAGTTTATAAAAAGACTTGCAACCGTGAGAAGAACTCTATGCAAGGGAAGGATGTGCATTGAGGAATACCATTGTATGCAGAGCTTTGGGGGGGGGAAGTTTAGAAAATGACTTGCAATGGTGACAAGAACTCTATGAAAGGGAAGGATGTGCATTGAGGAATACCATTGTATGCAGAGCTTTGGGGGGGGGAAGTTTATAAAAATGACTTGCAACCGTGACAAGAACTCTATGCAAGGGAAGGATGTGCATTGAGGACTACCATTGCATGCAGAGCTTTGGGGGGGAAGTTTAGAAAATGACTTGCAATGGTGACAAGAACTCTATGAAAGGGAAGGATGTGCATTGAGGACTACCCTTGCATGCAGAGCTTTGGGGGGGGGGAAGTTTAGAAAATGACTTGCAATGGTGACAAGAACTCTATGCAAGGGAAGGATGTGCATTCAGAAATACCATTGCATGCAGAGCTTTTAGGGGGGGAAGTTTAGAAAATGACTTGCAACCGTGACAAGAACTCTGTGAAAAGGAAGGATGTGCATTGAGGAATACCATTGTATGCAGAGCTTTGGGGGGGGGGAATTTAGAAAATGACTTGCAATGGTGACAAGAACTCTATGAAAGGGAAGGATGTGCATTGAGGAATACCATTGTATGCAGAGCTTTGGGGGGGAAGTTTATAAAAATGACTTGCAACCGTGACAAGAACTCTATGCAAGGGAAGGATGTGCATTGAGGACTACCATTGCATGCAGAGCTTTGGGGGGGGAAGTTTAGAAAATGACTTGCAAAGGTGACAAGAACTCGATGAAAGGGAAGGATGTGCATTGAGGAATACCATTGTATGCAGAGCTTGGGGGGGGAAGTTTAGAAAATGACTTGCAATGGTGACAAGAACTCTATGCAAGGGAAGGATGCGCATTCAGAAATACCATTGCATGCAGAGCTTTCGGGTGGGAAGTTTAGAAAATGACTTGCAATGGTGACAAGAACTCTATGCAAGGGAAGGATGCGCATTCAGAAATACCATGGCATGCAGAGCTTTTCGGGGGGGAAGTTTAGAAAATGACTTGCAATCTTGACAAGAACTCTATGAAAGGGAAGGATGTGCATTGAGGAATACCATTGTATGCAGAGCTTTGGGGCGGGGAAGTTTATAAAAATGACTTGCAACCGTGAGAAGAACTCTATGCAAGGGAAGGATGTGCATTGAGGACTACCATTGCATGCAGAGCTTTGGGGGGGGGGAAGTTTAGAAAATGACTTGCAATCGTGACAAGAACTCTGTGAAAGGGAAGGATGTGCATTGAGGACTACCATTGCATGCAGAGCTTTGGGGGGGGGAAGTTTAGAAAATGACTTGCAATCGTGACAAGAACTCTGTGAAAGGGAAGGATGTGCATTGAGGAATACCATTGCATGCAGAGCTTTGGGGGGGGAAGTTTAGAAAATGACTTGCAATCGTGACAAGAACTCTGTGAAAGGGAAGGTATGCATTGATGACTACTATTGCATGTAGGGCTTTGGGGGGGAAGTTTAGAAAATGACTTGCAATGGTGACAAGAACTCTATGCAAGGGAAGGATTTGCATTGAGGAATACCATTGCATGCAGGGCTTTGGGGGGGGGGAAGTTTATAAAAAGACTTGCAACCGTGAGAAGAACTCTATGCAAGGGAAGGATGTGCATTGAGGAATACCATCGTATGCAGAGCTTTGGGGGGGGGGAAGTTTAGAAAATGACTTGCAATGGTGACAAGAACTCTATGCAAGGGAAGGATGCGCATTCAGAAATACCATTGCATGCAGAGCTTTTCGGGGGGGAAGTTTAGAAAATGACTTGCAATCTTGACAAGAACTCTATGAAAGGGAAGGATGTGCATTGAGGAATACCATTGTATGCATGCAGTGAGCTTTGGGGGGGTGCAAGTTTATGCAAAAATGACTTGCAATCGTGACAAGAACTCTGTGAAAGGGAAGGATGTGCATTGAGGACTACCATTGCATGCAGAGCTTTGGGGGGGGGAAGTTTAGAAAATGACTTGCAATCGTGACAAGAACTCTGTGAAAGGGAAGGATGTGCATTGAGGAATACCATTGCATGCAGAGCTTTTGGGGGGGAAGTTTAGAAAATGACTTGCAATCGTGACAAGAACTCTGTGAAAGGGAAGGTATGCATTGATGACTACTATTGCATGTAGGGCTTTGGGGGGGGAAGTTTATAAAAAGACTTGCAACCGTGAGAAGAACTCTATGCAAGGGAAGGATGTGCATTGAGGAATACCATTGCATGCAGAGCTTTGGGGGGGGGAAGTTTAGAAAATGACTTGGAATCTTGATAAGAACTCTATGCAAGGGAAGGATGCGGGACAGGGTGGAGTTGCTGAATCGGGACAGGTTGGAGTTGCTGAATCGGGACAGGGTGGAGTTGCTGAATCGGGAGAGGGTGGAGTTGCTGAATCGGGACAGGGTGGAGTTGCTGAATCGGAACAGGGTGGAGTTGCTGAATCGGGACAGGGTGGAGTTGCTGAATCGTTTGCTGAATCGGGACAGGGTGGAGTTGCTGAATCGGGACAGGGTGGAGTTGCTGAATCGGGACAGGGTGGAGTTGCTGAATCGGGACAGGGTGGAGTTGCTGAATCGGGACAGGGTGGAGTTGCTGAATCGGGACAGGGTGGAGTTGCTGAATCGGGACAGGGTGGAGTTGCTGAATCGGAACAGGGTGGAGTTGCTGAATCGGGACAGGGTGGAGTTGCTGAATCGGGACAGGGTGGAGTTCTGAATCGGGACAGGGTGGAGTTGCTGAATCGGGACAGGGTGGAGTTGCTGAATCGGGACAGGGTGGAGTTGCTGAATCGGGACAGGGTGGAGTTGCTGAATCGGGTTTCTGAATCCTTGGAGTTTCTGAATCGGAGTTGCTGAATCGGAGTTGCTGAATCGGGTAAAGTTTCTGAATCGTAATTTATTCGTGATATTACGGTCCCTTGCTTCAATTCAACGTGCAATGCACAAATCTCACCTGGTTGGTGGTTTCAACCCCTCTGACAAATATTAGTCAATGGGAAGGATTATCCCATATATTATGGAAAATAAAAAATGTTCCAAACCACCAACCAGTCACTCTTGTTGCACCAGTTGCACCAGAGCCGCATCAACCGTCACATGGTTCATCATCGGGTCAGAATTCACTGGAGCCCGTGTTAAAGAAAGTTCATGGTATACGTACTGTAATGATAACACACATATACATATACATGTGATTTGACCCATGTTCCAACTTTACTTGCGTTTGTCTGAAAATATGGTACCTCTAAATCCATCATTTAGTTTCCAACTTTACTTGCTTAGTCATCATTTTCCCCATTTTTCATGGCCATTTAGAAGGTATACCCTTCTTTCAGACAGACCCACCATGGCTTTCTGGAAAAAAAACATGGCCACATCCCGCGGTTCCCATTCTTCCACCGATGCCACCGATCGGGGCCTCTGTTCTTCCACATTCTTCTCATCCTTATCCTGAGCGTCCTGTGGGCTTCATTCCATGACCCCTGGCCCCTGGTCACGAGGTCACAATGAGTTCATCCCTGGCGGAGTTGTGTCTAATATTAGGAAGGGACCGAAGGGATGAATTGAAATTGAACATGTGCCAAAATGACTTGAAATTGGGATTGAACAGGATTTCAAAGACTAATTTATCAGCGTGTCCCTGAAATTTAGGAGAGCCCCAAAAAAACGACTTTTTTTGAACAGGGAAACATGTGACTTTTCAGCATCAAATTGAGGGGTCCCCGATTTTCCCAAGTTGGATGCGAAACCTCACCGACCTCATTTTTTCCCAAGTTTCCGGAAATTCCACGTTCGTTAAACACAACATGTTCCAATGTTCCACTTGTTTGATGGGAGTTGTCCTGTTTTAACACATCTTCAAACATATGAAAGCCATGAAAAAAACACATCTGTGGGAATTTCATGGAATTTCCCTCAAAATGGCCATCCACACCTGGAGCACAATCTGTGCCATGCATTCAGCATGGACCAGGCGATGATCCTGGCAACAATTGGTGGTAGAACGGGATGTTGCTGTTATGATTATCATTCTTGGTAGTGTGGTTAAATCAAGAATAAACTACCTATTTGGGAATGGTTTATACCATCCATTTATGGTGATTTAGGGGATGGTTTATTATGAACGTTGGAGGTTTCATAATCAAACATGGTGCTTTTAACATGGTTGACATTGATCCTTTCCCCCAAATATTTAATATTAAGGTGATGGGATTGCCAATCCAATAATAATATAGTCGATATATTGGGATATTTTATGATTGCCATATTGGTACCATATTGGGTAATGGCAATCCTATATAAACATTATATATTACCCAAAATGATCAGGTCGATATATTGGATGTCGTTGTTTTGGATGGAACATTGGACGAAATCAGTTATTGGGATTTCCACGAACAGTTTTAGACATCGCGATGGTCCAAAGACTGTTTCCTGCAAGGTGTCCTAACTATTGAAGCTATTCTTTGGAGGTACTGTGGATGGTTGCGAAATCCTGCACCAGTTGGTAGATGGTAAACATCCCAGTATTTTGTTTGGGTTTCAGCCATCCTTTTGGTGGTGCAGGATTTCTTAACCATCCACAGTATTGAGCTGTGTTTTTAGAAAACACTCGTCCTCACGTGGCCCATCAATATTCATAGTATTTTCATGATTTTCGTGGCCTTCCTATCAACCTCACTCTAAATAATAATAATAATAATATATTTATATATATATATAGTGTTAGTGTTATATTATTTTTCCATATATTCCAAATTATTCCCATGATATATCTCAGTAAATCGAAAATGTTCAATGGTTAAACCGTGAAACCCATTTCTGTAATTTCCTGTATCCCATTGGATCATAGATCAACTTAGATCAACACTTCGACTTGCGGAAACACATTTCCGTGCCACGGACTGCTTAACCATGCTTAACCACAGCCAGAGTTCCCGATGTTTTGCCCTTCCCCATTGGTCAATGGCCATTTCAGGTTCCTAAATTGGAGGTACATCCCTACAACTCATATGGCCAAAAATATGGTACAAGCGTACCTCAATTTTAGGATCCTGGGCGACATTGGTTGCCCCATCGAAAAAACACCCTGGTCCTTCTCCTCAGGGCGATAGGCGGTCTCGCCCACGGGCAGTCCACACTGGCAGCAGAGCTGGACTTCTTCGCCGTCTGAGTCCACTTCCTGGGTGACTTTCACGCTGGTGACAAGCTGAGCCTCCGTTAAAACCATGGGAAAACCATGGGAAAACCATGGGAAAATCATGGGAAAACCATGGGAACATGGTGATTTTACTTTCAAATGTCAGAGGATGAGCTGATGTTCATGATAGCTAAGTTGACTTATCACTTTTATTATGGTTTATGGCAATGAAATAACTGTAGTATTGATGGGCTTTTTCCCAACGTCACCTTATGTCATACAATTAGTGAGGCGCCCGGCCGTTTGAGAGCGTTCAGTTGGTCATTGGTGCAAATAAGTCCAATTTCACTATGGTTTATGATAGATATATCTAACAGAATCTAACAGATAGAATGTCTAACAGAAACTATGGTTACTGGGTTTATGATACACAAATAACGAACTAGTATTCCTGGGGCGAATCTGTTAACCAACGTTCACATCACAACGGGGGGCCTCACCTTATCTATGGATACCATCTGGCAATCCAACTACGCAATGTTCGAGAGGGTGAGGTAAGAAGTATCTCTGTCATGGATTATCATGAATTTAACATAATCAATCCCTCATACATCCTCATACATATACAGATATGTTAAATCAATTACCTTAGTAATTAAATATGTGAATCTCTGTCATGGACTATCACTGACAATATCAATCCCACATACTTATAATCTTATATACATATCTATAATGATAAGTGTGCCAGTTCATAAATCCAGCTGAGCCTCGCTTTCCTTCTTGGCACGGACTTTGGGTGCGTCCTTGGCTGCCATCGCTTTCTTCAGGAAGTCGGGCTGAGCCACCTGGCTGTTCGATGCAGGAGTTCCCGTGCTGCGAAGGAGCTTGAAACAGTGGGCTACCTGGCTACCACGTATGGATATGTACCCTCTGGTAAACATACAAAAAACTATGGAAAATCACTATTTTCAATGGGTAAACCAACTATAAATGGCCATTTTCAATAGCTATGTCAGTTTTACCAGAGGGTATGGTATATTTATACCTACATCTGGGTGAATTTTGGGCTAAATGTTGGTAAATATTTCACACATGGAGCAGGGATGGGGTATCGACCCATCCCAAGAATATCAACAGCCACCAATATGGGCTTGAACAGATGAATAGATCCAAAACTTAACATACTGAACCACGATTTCAACGGGGCTGTATTACGGAGAAGGGATTCGACCCAGAGGATTTGAAGTTTTTGTGCCACATTTCTATGGATTGGAAGGAAAATCTTAACCGGAAACCATAGCTGTTGCCGCCACAGGAGGTTCCACTGGATACTGTACTCCCGAACCACCAATTCTGTGGGCATTTCAAGCAAGAAACCGTGAAATCATAGAAAACGCGCTGGGTTGTTAGACATATTTACATATAAGTACATACCTGTCGACAGTCTGTCGGATACTGTATGTACCTTCTGAAGAAAAAAAAGAATTATAACCCATTAGCTGGTTGGTGGTTTCGAGCCACCCCTCTGAAAAATGATGGAGTGAGTTCGTCAGTTGGGATGATTCCATTCCCAACTGTTTCTGGAAAGTCATTCATTTAATTTTCCATGGTTCCAGTCACCACCAACCAGTGAATTATATACTATTATCCCATATAACTATGGAAAATCACCATTTTTAATGGGAAAATCACCATTTTTAATGGGAAAATCACATTAGTCATTGCTGTCACTTATCTGGCGTCCCATGATCATCCCAGGGAGTTGATTCCCTCAATTTGTGTCTTTGTTTAAACTGTTTAAAACTATCAACCACCAAACATGGATGAATGAAACATTCTCAAACGCGTTTTTTTTCTCCGATTGGCCCCGGCCCCTGACTGAAGTCCCTTTCAGGGTCCCGGAAAATCCCCGCCTCGCCGCGAGTCTTCGGGGTGAAACAAGGGAAAGCTTTCCTCGAAAACAAACAGGTGACTTCGACAATGTGGGCGTGTGTGGCCCCAAGTTGACAATCCCATCTAGCTATGGCTGGATGGTGGTATACCTACCCCTCTGAAAAATGATGGAGTGAAAGTCAGTTGGGATGATCATTCCCAACTGAATGGAAAGTTATATATAATTTTCCATGGTTCCAGTCACCACCAACCAGTGAATTATAACCCATAATCGTCATCGCTGTCACCATGGGGCCGGGTATGAATCCCCTGGCACTGGGGTGATTTTTATGCCACAAAAAATTGCCTTTATGGCCTAGCTATCGGATGGTTTTTTGCACAAGCGAATTCGTAGCCTCAACCGTTTAAGTGGAGAATAACTCATGCAAGCCATTTTCATGCAACTCATACATTTATATATACTATACATTGGTTGTTTCAGATGGTTCCGAGTCAATCAACCCCACACAGTCAGGTGATACTGACCCAAACAAATGGTTTGATGTATGGGTTTATAAAAATCCTATGAGTTTAACAACGATCATGATGAGGTGGGGATACGAGTGATGGTAGTGGTTCATAGTGTGGACGGAAGAAATCCTGCATCACCAAAAGGATGGTTGAAACCCTATAAATAATGGGATAAACCGTCTATCAACGGGCGCAGGATTTCGCAACCATCCACCGTATCATTCTAGAGTTTCAGACAGATCGTGCGGATCTTGATGGTATACTTCATCATAAAACTCGCATCTTGTCTGAGTTGTGTGTTTGTTTGGCACCCCTTTTGGCTAAATTCATGAATCACCAAAGATTGATACACACGTTTCATCTTCAAGATTGATCACCAAAGATTGATAAATACGATCGTCTAATCTTCAAGAATTACAATATCTGCGTAATCTGAGTCCTTGGACTTTAAGTACTCACGTGTATGATTTATGATATAATATAATATGATTTCTGTGGACTTTTTGTGTGGCAGCTCTCAAACTTGTGAATCCTTGTGATCAGGTTGTTTTTTTGGTGGCTATATGGCAAACAACAGGGCCACCTCACCCCGACAAGATCCCCGTATGGCAAATGAATGTAAGCGTGACCTGCAAATGCTTTCATGAGGGATTCACATTATTAGTTTCCATCCCCTATCTATGGTGTGTATAGAATGGATAATCATGAATAATCATTTGTTGGATGATGGATAATCATTGTTTTTAGAATCCACATTTGTTGGATAATCATTTCGATGTTCGAAAAAAAAACTACCCTCTAGTAAACTAACATAGCTATTGAAAATGGCCGTTCATAGTGAGTTTTCCCATTCAAAATGGTGGATCTTTCCATAGTTTTTTCTATGTTTACCAGAGGGTATAGCCCAAGGAGCCCAAGATGTTGACAAGTCGGTCTCCATCGGACTCGTCGGATGCCAACCCCATGGTTTCCCCCCTTTTTTCTAGGGTCCCTAGAGCGCTTGTGAATTATCATCATTCACAAGCTATGTATAGGTCATAGCTAGTCATATACTATCAGTCATAGCTAGTCATAAAATGTCATAAATATGTATTTATCGGTTATATATATATATAGCATCTACATTATCATAAGGAGGTTTCCTGAAATAGGGGTATCCCTACTTATCATCCATTTATAGATGGATTTTGCATGAAATAAACCATCCAGCTATTGGGGTACCACCAATTATCAGTTATCCAGTCATAGCTATAGTCATTAATCAAGCTGAGTCTCCGATTGTAGCCTGCGATCGACACCAGACCACAAGACAACGTGTTGGTGTGTGGCAGAGTTTCAACAGCAAACTTCCATGCTAAAACACACCCACAAAAGATTAAACAAGTGTGATTCGAATGAATTTAGGAGCCTTATTGAATAGTGGAGATAGGCAACAGAACCTGATTTTGTAGGCACAGGTCCTTTGGGTTCTTTGGTCATTGACACTTGTGGTGCCCAATTTCTGGAGATCATCCAAACGTGGTGAAACATGAAACTAGTGCTCTGGGGGTGGATTGAAAACCCAACAAATCCAAAACTGCTTGGTGGTTGAGCCTGCCCCGCTGAAAAATGATGGAGTTCGTCAGTTGGGATTACGACATTACCAATATATGGAAAAATAAAATTCATGTTCCAAACCACCAACCAGCAACTTGTTTTTGCAATCGGACTCCGGGACTACGTCCCGTAGTTGAGCACCACATTTCAGCAAGGAAAAACACATCCGAACTAGTATTGACATAATAAAACCCTGGCTGCCCACACATTTGAATGGTAGAGAAACCTGTAATCATGGCCAAACGCAACCATATATCATCATGGTTCAATTAAAAATCATCTTGATCATAATCAAATCAATCTATAAATACGCCAAATTTTATTGAACTTACAATGGTTGCAACTGTAAAAGTCATCGCCAGCCGCCTGTGGTCTCCATATTGGCATCCCAAGTCTCCATTCATGACTTCCGAATCTCTGGCCCATTGAACTTAGCACATGATCAATTACCTAGCGATGATATGTGAACTTAGCACATGCTTTTAATATCTTTTAATCACCTTGAATTTCAGCATCTTCCACTTTTTCAGGGCAAAACAACGGAACGTTAAACACACCACTCCCAAAGGTGAACGGGAAAGGACGTTGGAAGTTTCGGAAAAAAAACAGCGATATGAACCACCAAGAACCACGAGCAAAGGCTTATATCCCCAGGATCTTGGGACAATCCCCGATGAATCAGAATGCTTCACCATGTTGAAAAGTTTGACGCTTTGAGGATAAACCCCCCTACATCCACCATCTACCTTGTGACCTTGCAGTGAGGTCGCAGGGAAAATTTGAGATTAAGCAATGCAATGTGGGGGTACTCGATTTTAAGACGAAACCTAACAAAGGTTTACTAAACATCCAGCTATCTATCATTGTCCAAGCATAATCACCATATAATTCACGTATAATCTCCATAAATCCCCAGCTATAAACCTCCATAAATCAGGGATTTTCCCAAAACTTCCCATGGTTTTGCCCATGCTTTGCCCATAAAATCATGCTTTTCCCATCGTTTTTCCCTGGGTTTTCCCTACAAATCCAGGGGTGTCATCACCATCGTGGATCCTCCACCGGTCCGCATGGAGCCATCCCTCCGCCTCGATAGCTGCCGTCGCGATCCTCCGCAAACTTTTGCTCATAGAGGCGGAAAGCTTCCTCCACTGGTTACGATCAAGTTGGACTGTTGGAACATGTTGGAACAACATTTCAACATGGTGATGTTATATATATATATGTGCATGTATATGTATGTACGAGTATTTGTATATAATGTGTACATATATATATACTATAATGTATGTATTATATATATATATATATACTGTATATGTATTATATCTATATGATCTTATATGTGGATAATATGATCGTCAATTACAATGTTGACCACCCTGGTTATAAGTTGCTTTGTCAACCCATTTGACCATTCGTTACACTTGCCACAAACCCCTAGGCCCTAGCTCGCCTGGTTGTAAGTCAACTTACCTATCTGGCCTATCTAGGATATAGTACCGTCAATCATATGTTGAAATGGGGGGTTCCATAAATGGGGACACCCTAAAATAGATGGTCATAATGGAAAATCTTATTTAAATGGATGATTTAGGGGTACCCCCATTTTAGGAAACCTGCAAATGGGTACAACATAGTAATATACCTCCAACGTTGGTAGGCAGGTAAGACCCATCTTTCACACAATAGATCAATGGGTCATATGCCCTGATTTACGGGTTATTTCTAGGGGTTGGCATCTCTCTCTGGCTGAGCCCATACTTGTCAAACAATCTGCGTGTGAGTTGTCTTTACGCATGGATTACTGACCAGGTGATCACGTTGCAGGTAGCCGACCAGGTTGCATATAGCGACTGGCAGCCCTTGTAGCCTTCATCTTACTGGTGCTTAGTAGGGAATGAGGGAATGATCCACAATAACTATCAATAGTACTCCCAGCAACCCCCATTCCCATCCATTCCCTACAATGTGAGGCCCCCGTTCGATATCTAAGTTGGTGCAAATCACTCCAATAACTATGGTTTATGGTACGCAAATAACGAACTAGTTACTGGGGCTTTTGTTAACCAACTAAGCACCAGTAAGTCATCAATCCGACTCGGCACCGTCGCCGGCGTACCGATCATCTGCCGTCAGTAGCGGAAAAACTCGTCCCGCAAGTCCGTCGTGTAGAAGGCAATCACCGTCCACGCAAGTTTGAGCTGCGTTGAGCAAGCTGCAAAACATGCTGATGTGCTGGCGAAGTTTGTTTTTTTTTCAAAATATCATCCAATATCATCTAATAAGTCTGAACATAGCACATGTTCAGTGAACACTAACCTTCCAACCCCCTATTTGCTAGGGATGGCACATCACAATGGCAAGGAAGTAAGCCATCGACTTGTAGAGTGTGCATATCAAAAGATAGAGAGATACCCGCAGGAATACAATCAATATTGGGAAACAAGTACCAACAAACCCATCCCTGCTCCATGGTGCTGGAATATTTACCTACATTTACCCCAATTTTATGGAACAGTTTGGTAGGTAAATATACCATACATAGAGCATATGGGAAAGGAGGTTTCTCAACTTTTTTTCCTGGTTGGTGGTTTCAACCCATCTGAAAAATATTAGTCAGTTGGGATGATTTTTTCACAATATATGGAAAATAAAATTCATGTTCCAAACCACCAACCAGTTTTATTTGTATTTGCTTTCAAAAGTAAGTGAGACATGCATCTCAATGAAACGATGGGAACAGGTAAGGCACAGCTACCAACATGTTGAGCAAGACAAAAAGGTTGATTCAATTTGTCACAAATAAATATGTAAATATATATATAATTAAATACAGTATGTACATAATATATATATATATGTGCGTGTGTCTAGGTCTAGGTGCCTGAATGATTATATTGGAAGAATGGCAATAGATCACCGCAACAAAAAAACACATGAGATCAATCCAACAGCTCTGAGGTAGCGCACCCATCCCATCTTACACTTCTAAGGAAGGTTGGTTGAGCTGTTGTTGCTGTTGTTGCTGTTGCTGCTGTTGGTGTTGTTGTTGTTGTTGTTAGCAATTAGCTAATTAGCTAATTAGCTAATTAGCACCATGCATGTATATACTGTATATGATTGTATATGTATGTGCACCTACTGTGATTTGCATGTGTAGGTAAACCTGTAGCCAAACTCATTCGCTACCCACTAACCGCCACCAACCCATCAAGGTATGATCTGGGAATATCTGGGACACGTATGTATAGGTGAAAATATGACAGTAAAACCATGATGAATTGTATATGAATATCTAGTTACATGTACAGATACATATGGAGGATTCCTAAAATTGGAGTGGGCTAAATCATCCATTTTAGATTGGGATTTTCCATGAAATAAACCATCCAGCTAATGGGGTACCCCCATTTTAGGAATCCTCCAAGGTGCATACAAAACAAGAGAGATTTGGATACGCTGAGGAGCAAGTCATCGCGTTGTGACACCTGGAAAAAATCAGCTCTTTGGTACCTCTGGTACTCCATTGAAGGTGGAACATCGCAACTTTTCAAAGAAAAAACACTTCGGAAAGTCATCGGCAGAACATGTTGGTGTTCGATTTTTTCCAGCATGGTTAGCTTACCGGAAATTGGGCGATAAAGCCACTAGCCTTGAGTTTCGCCAGAAAGAAAGTGCCCCAGACCCCAATCGGCAAAACCCATATGGTTGGTGCTCGTTTATCTGTGTACTGTATATCTGTATATCTATAGATACACATGCATATCTTCTATAATGATTCCACGATTTTACCCATCTGGTTCCCAGCTCCCATGCAAGAAGTTTAAAGTCTATTAGGATGAAAGAAATTACTGTATGATCATCATCAATAATATCCTTTTGGTAAAAATAGAGGGGCCCGGTTTGGTATACCATCTATCAGCTATCATCATTTACCTGTTGTTAAAGGGGTTTCTTCAAACCCCTCTATTAATCAACCAACCAATGGGAAAAGGACATGGATGATTATCATCCATTCTCCTCTCTCAAACAAAATGACAAAAACACGACGTGAAACCGTGATATATCAAAACGTCATCAAGCATCATCCATTGGAATGAAATGAACCATACATACCGTACCATTGTCACTGTCATCAATTATCCGATAAACAAAACTAAACACATACCCTCTGGTAAACTAACATAACTATAGAAAACCACCATTTTGAATAGGCAAATCAACGAACTAAATGGCCTATTTCGAAGGGTACACATGAAACGGCTGGAAGCACCACCCCTTAGTCCCTTAGTCCCTTAGTCCCTTCCACAGAGCCTTCTCTTCCTCCGTCGGAGCATCCATGGTCGATGTCTCTTCCACGGCCTTCTCGATGTCCTTCACCACACCTGGCAGTGAGTGGGGATGATCCAATGATGGACTCAGAATTCTGGGAAACAAGATGAAACAACATCTACCATCTGGTTATGACTAACATAGCCATGGAAAATCACCATTTTTTATAGGTAAACCATCTATAAATGGGTCATTTTCCATGGCTATGTTAAATAACCAGCGGGTAAAAGGCATTGTGAGCTAAAACTATGATATGTTGCGACCATTGTTTACATGGTGTTTATGATTCTAAACATGGATAAGTTGTGGCTCTAAGTGATTTGATTTTGACTAACAGTTTACTGCAGCCAGGATCTGAATCAGAGAATCGCTTTGAAAATTGCCAGGTTTAGAAAAAAGAACAACAAAGTCATAGGTAAAATATGGTAAAATCATAGGTTGAAAAACACATCACATACATTCACATAGCCTAATAAGTTCATTATTCCCGTTGTTGATGACCAAATTCCTAAACCCAAATGGATTGGACCTGATCGGATTCGAATCGCTACTTTACATTCATAGTGAGAACACAAATTAGGGCTCAAAATAATCCAGGTTTTAACTTTCAATTATTAAAAAAAATCTCACATGTTCCCATGAGTTTTATGGTTTTGCCATAGTTGGATGACTTTGATCATCAACACCAAATGAGCCATTAAAACAGCCCTATCCCATCTCCTTCTACTAGCTTGTTGATAGGTTTCCCGTTTTTTCTGGCTTACCATGATCCCCCAGAGAATAATATATTTATACAATTTTATACATACATAGTTAGTATAAGTTCTTTAATCTGAACCAACCAGGGTTGATTATTCATGTTTTTTTTAAAAAACTTTGCTTAGTCACAGTGTTCGTCCCTGGAGACCATCAACCATGGCCCATAGAAATCCAGAAAATTTACTGAACAAATACCTGGTTGGTGGTTGAGGTCCAACCTACCCCGCTGAAAATAGTGGTTATAATACCAACAATAGTGGTTATATATGGTTATATGAAGGGATTATAACATATTCTATCATACATGTATATATATATATATATCTGGTTGGTGGTATACCTACCCCTCTGAAAAATGATGGAGTGCAAGTCACTTGGGATGATTATTCCATTCCCAACTGTTTCTGGAAAGTCATTCAAAATTCCATGGTTCCAGTCACTACCAACCAAATAAAAATGGTGATGTTCCACTTCGCAAAGTGTAAACGTTTAGGTTGTTGGAAACTCAAAATGTCTTAAAAAGTCTTTTAGAGACAAGTAGAGAAGAATAGAGAAAAATAGAGAAAAGCCAGGAAAGAAATGAACCGTTGCATTGGATGGGTGGCCAGGAACATCTTCACCTCACTGAACTTTTTGGATTTTTCCGTGGATGTACTTCAGCCAACCTTAAAACCAACCAGCATTCACTTTGGGGGCACCACCTTGTTCAATGTTCAAGGGCATGGAAAACAGACTTGGCATGTTTTTTTACCTGTGACATACTGTGAATTATCATGCCAAATAGGATGGTTTGATAGTTAACTCATATTGAAATCGTATTTTCGGTGGTTACCCTCTGGTAAACTAACATAACTATGGAAAATCACCACTTTTAATGGATAAATCAACTATAAATGGCCCATTGTCAATAGCAAACTGTTAGTTTACCAGAGGGTAAATCCGACATTTTAGGGCATCACCTTCATGGGCATTGGTATCACATATGATATCCTCATGGCTATTCTCACCACATTGCCACGTTTGAGTATGTTTCTTTATAGCTATTGATAGCCACTGGTAATGACTAAGAGTTTGCTATTGAAAATTGCCATTTAGTTCGTTGATTTACCGAACTAAAAAATGTTGGTTTTCCATAGCAAACTGTTAGTTTTCCAGACTGAAATATCTCCCACATCAGCAAATATATACCTATAATCTTCACTATTGATAGCTATTGTTTAACAGTTGATAACTGCAGATCTTGCATCGCAATAGGAAAACATGTAAAAACCCTCAGCCGCAATCAATCAGAAACTGGAATCAAAAACAATAATATCTAGATTCCTTCACTTTAAGCTAGTGGCTTCTCACTACCCCACAACCCTCCCTATATGTATATATATATATGCCTAATTCTTCACTATTGATAACTATTTCTGTTGATAAGGACAGAAAACTATTGACAACTGGAGATCTTCTGTATCCTAGTTATCAACAAAAATAGGTGTTTCAATAGTTTTCAACAAACATAGGTCATCCCATATATCAATGGGAATTCCAGGATCCTAAATTGGAGGTACTGTACCATATAAGGCCATATTTTGTGGGGATATTTCCTTACATAGGCCTGAAAAATAGGCCTTAAATATATGGTAGGTACCTCCAATTTAGGTTCCTGAAATGGCCATTGATTATTGGATTGGCAATAATGATAATCCCATGACCTTAATATTAAATATTAGGGGGAAGGGATTAATGTCGACCATGTTTTCAACAAACATAGTCATCCCATATAATATAGTTTATCCACTATATCCTCCACCAGGACCGCCTTCTGAACTCTCGCCCTCGGACGTGGACTCTTCCGACGCCAAAGGCTCGGCTTCAGTGTTTCCGCCCTGGCCGCTTTGCACCAATGGACCGTGGATCCACGCGCTCCGTAACGGTAACGGGTTGACTAAACAAATCAGTGGGTTACCCTCTGGTTATGTCAAAATAGCTATTGAAAATGGCCCATTTATAGTTGATTTTCCCATTAAACATGGTGATTTTCCATAGCTATGTTAGTTTACCAGAGGCTAAACTCAGCAATAGTTGAAGTATATGCGAGAAATATGAAGCTATACGTTTAACATATTATGTTTACAATAATGAACTATGGGCATGGTAAACCAGTAATAGATAATAATATAAGTTGGGTGTGTTTTTTTGTTTTATGCTATGCTAATCAAACCGCAATGAGCAACTGATTGAATAGACAGTAAATTGAGATAATCATCTATGATCAATCAGTGGGACATTGGGGATGTACCCAACCAGGATAAAGCATGACATAACCACTAAATAATGTGGGAATGTGGCAAACCCGCCAAAAAAACATGTGCGTCTACCTACAAATTTGACCATTTTTGGTTCGAGTGTCACGGGTGGGTTTGGCGCAAGCTGTTTTGAGAGTGGCACATGTCAATAGATAGCAGTACTCAGTACCAAGAGTACTGTATGGCACATGCCTCTGCACAAAATTGAAGGTTGTGTTAAACCTTTATCGTTATTTTAAACCTTTACCATTACATGTGTGTATTTCAAACATTTGGTATCCAACATTTTAGGGCATTACCTTTAGTACAAAACTGGAACAAAATTAGAATGGTTCTGATTCTTTCGGGTTCCCAGCAGGTTTAGTGAGGTCTGGAGTGACACCACACGCAGCTTTAGTGAGGTCATTCTTTGTTTCACATCCCAAAAACACAGGATATCATGTGATGTGGTAAACCCTATGATAAACTCCTAGCATTTGCGGATGGTTTACAGAACCCATTAGTCATGGAGCTACCCCCAGTCATCATCCAGCTATTAGATTGGGATTTTCTATGAAATGAACCATCCAGCTATTGTGGTTACAACAAATTTCAGGAAACCAGCATTATCATAGTTGATTATAGCTGATGATAGTATATTCCGTTTTAACTATAATGGGATATGACCAACTATAATGGGATATTACCCTTATATGGTATATAATTCGTGACCAACGCATTAGTATTCCATTATGAATGGAATATAGGATGGTATTGGATATTCCTATATGGGATTTTACGTTACTATAATGGGATATTACAATTATAATAATACATATTAATGAGCATTCCTGTTGCATGACCAGACGCCCTCTCCTGAGTACTTCACGTCCAAAGCTACTGTAATTTCCCCATTCACGGACGGCACATCACCATGTATAAGTGCTTCCAGCTATCAGCTGGAAAAACCGATCTAACTAGACAAACATGTAAATATATTATATATAATACATCCTGGTTAAGTAGGCGGTAACAACCTCGTAGGTGAGATAACCCAATAAACATCGCAATTCCCGAAGCAGGGTTCACTGTAACGCCATGGTTATTCCCGCAGCATCAAACATTGCAATCGCAAAATCCATGAATATGTTCTATAAGTGGAGTTCATATCTATATATATATATATATATAGATAGATAGATCGATCGATCGATAGATAGATAGATAAATAGATAGATAGATAGATAGATTATATTGGACAATTCATCTATACATGAATATGTTTTATTGCCACGTGTGAATAGTGGGGGTTAATTTGAACGTAAACCATTTCCTGGTTTCTTTCAGATTCCGTTGGATCCAGTGGAAAAAAGTTGGTCTCTTGCTGGTTGGACTGGAAATACGGGAAGCAGTTTTGCGGTTCAAGATGGTTTAATATTATAGACTATCTATAGATAATATTATAGACTATCTATAGATTATATATATATAAATATTCTAGACTATCTATAGGACTATCTATAATAGGACTATCCAAAATTAAACCTGGTTGGTGGTTTGAATCCCTCTGAAAAATATGAGTTCGTCAGATTGGATCATCATCCCAGCTATTGGGGAAAATAAAATTCATGTTCCAAACCACCAACCATATGTATATATATATGTATATACACATACATTAATATCCATATAACCAAATCTATAATATATATATATATTCTCCATGGTTCTATCATTATAACTATATAAATCTATATTTTCCCACGGTTTGCCCATGGTTTGAACATTTCTCCCGTTGATTCTGAAACCACATGGCAAAACGCCACGAATCCCACGGATCTCCACCTTCTGCGCGAGCAACTGAGAGAAGCCCCTCCGGGTCTGGCGGGTCTGGCGGCCCGTTTCGACCTCGACGGCAGCCGATCATGACTCTTAATGGCAAACTTGATGCTGGAAAATGATGATGAACCAGTAGCTGCTAGCTTTCGAGATACCCTATGTTCAAAGAACCAAAACAAAAATGATGATGAACCAGTAGCTGCTAGCTTTCGAGATACCCTATGTTCAAAGAACCAAAACAAAAATGATGATTAACCAGTAGCTGCTAGCTTTCGAGATACCCTATGTTCAAAGAACCAAAACAAAAATGATGATGAACCAGTAGCTGCTAGCTTTCGAGATACCCTATGTTCAAAGAACCAAAACAAAAATGATGATGAACCAGTAGCTGCTAGCTTTCGAGATACCCTATGTTCAAAGAACCAAAACAAAAATGATGATGAAACCAGTAGCTGCTAGCTTTCGAGATACCCTATGTTCAAAGAACCAAAACAAAAATGATGATGAACCAGTAGCTGCTAGCTTTCGAGATACCCTATGTTCAAAGAACCAAAACAAAAATGATGATTAACCAGTAGCTGCTAGCTTTCGAGATACCCTATGTTCAAAGAACCAAAACAAAAATGATGATGAACCAGTAGCTGCTAGCTTTCGAGATACCCTATGTTCAAAGAACCAAAACAAAAATGATGATGAACCAGTAGCTGCTAGCTTTCGAGATACCCTATGTTCAAAGAACCAAAACAAAAATGATGATGAACCAGTAGCTGCTAGCTTTCGAGATACCCTATGTTCAAAGAACCAAAACCAAAATGATGATTAACCAGTAGCTGCTAGCTTTCGAGATACCCTATGTTCAAAGAACCAAAACAAAAATGATGATTAACCAGTAGCTGCTAGCTTTCGAGATACCCTATGTTCAAAGAACCAAAACAAAAATGATGATGAACCAGTAGCTGCTAGCTTTCAAGATACCCTATGTTCAAAGAACCAAAACAAAAATGATGATTAACCAGTAGCTGCTAGCTTTCGAGATACCCTATGTTCAAAGAACCAAAACAAAAATGATGATGAACCAGTAGCTGCTAGCTTTCGAGATACCCTATGTTCAAACAACCAAAACAAAAATGATGATTAACCAGTAGCTGCTAGCTTTCGAGATACCCTATGTTCAAAGAACCAAAACAAAAATGATGATTAACCAGTAGCTGCTAGCTTTCGAGATACCCTATGTTCAAAGAACCCAAAACAAAAATGATGATTAACCAGTAGCTGCTAGCTTTCGAGATACCCTATGTTCAAAGAACCAAAACAAAAATGATGATGAACCAGTAGCTGCTAGCTTTCGAGATACCCTATGTTCAAAGAACCAAAACCAAAATGATGATTAACCAGTAGCTGCTAGCTTTCGAGATACCCTATGTTCAAAGAACCAAAACAAAAATGATGATTAACCAGTAGCTGCTAGCTTTCGAGATACCCTATGTTCAAAGAACCAAAACAAAAATGATGATGAACCAGTAGCTGCTAGCTTTCAAGATACCCTATGTTCAAAGAACCAAAACAAAAATGATGATTAACCAGTAGCTGCTAGCTTTCGAGATACCCTATGTTCAAAGAACCAAAACAAAAATGATGATGAACCAGTAGCTGCTAGCTTTCGAGATACCCTATGTTCAAACAACCAAAACAAAAATGATGATTAACCAGTAGCTGCTAGCTTTCGAGATACCCTATGTTCAAAGAACCAAAACAAAAATGATGATTAACCAGTAGCTGCTAGCTTTCGAGATCCCCTATGTTCAAAGAACCAAAACAAAAATGATGATGAACCAGTAGCTGCTAGCTTTCGAGATACCCTATGTTCAAAGAACCAAAACAAAAATGATGATGAACCAGTAGCTGCTAGCTTTCGAGATACCCTATGAGATTATGTTCAAAGAACCAAAACAAAAATGATGATTAACCAGTAGCTGCTAGCTTTCGAGATACCCTATGTTCAAAGAACCAAAACAAAAATGATGATTAACCAGTAGCTGCTAGCTTTCGAGATACCCTATGTTCAAAGAACCAAAACAAAAATGATGATGAACCAGTAGCTGCTAGCTTTCGAGATACCCTATGTTCAAAGAACCAAAACAAAAAATGATGATTAACCAGTAGCTGCTAGCTTTCGAGATACCCTATGTTCAAAGAACCAAAACAATGCTATAATATGGTATAATGATAATCTATGGTTTATGATGGGATGGTTGACGATGGTTGGCACAAATGTGCAGTATATAATCCCCTGTTCATATTAAACACCCCCATAGATCATGATAAAAAAGGACGGAAACTACCATAGTCATTTGGGACCATATAGGAGGTGTTTGAATGTGTGATATATGAATGGGGATGGGATTACATGGGATTACCATGTTTTCAAGATAACTGAAGATGATCATACTAATCAACATCTGAATCATCTGATAGAATAGATACTATAGTTGGAGATTTCAGCCCCGCTCAAAAATATGCTCGTCAAGTGGGATTGTAACCCCAGGTAGAGATGAATATCAAACATTCACCATAAAACACCAACCAGAATGATTTGGCAATAATGAATCAGATTTACTTGAAATCGGTGGCGTAAACAATCCCCAATTGGAGGCTCATCATTGGGTTTACCAGAGCCATAATATATATATATAGATAATATACTGTATTATTGTGTATAGCTACGTAATGATTATATACATTATGTGCATAAACATATAATATATATATGTATATATAATATTATATAATGCAGGTATATATATATATTTATATGTAGAGACATTATATACAAACAGAAATTTATTTTTCCCGCTCCCTGCCAGTTGGCACTGCAAAGCCCGTGCGGTTTCCTCAACCTGAGCCCCAAAAGGCCCAGCGACTAAGCCAATGGCAGACATGATGAGCCTGGGTGGCCCATGGGCCCAGGCAAATATGCACATTTAAACTGTACAGTATATATAATTTATAATATATATATATATATTACTGCATGTACATTATATTATATATATATATTATATTCTCAGGTTCTTGAGGTTCATAGGCTTAGATTGTCTTAGCGTCATCTTCCGTCCAACACTCCGATCCCAGCACTATCCGCCGACCCCCAGTGGTATATTTCTAACGTCTCTGGCGTTTTCTAACGAGTTGATCCGGAAGTCAGGCTGCCTTGGCTACGATGCCTGCATATGCCTGCTCTGTCGAACAACCAAAATGGTGAAGTTACCTGAAGTCCAGAAAACTGCCATAGGCATTTGTCATACAATGTGAGGCCCCCAAGATATCTAAGTTGGTGCAAATAACTCCAATAACTATGGTTTATGGTACTTATAACGAACTAGTTACTGGGGCTTATAAACCAACTAACATCACTGGGGGGCCTCACATTGTAGTTATATATTATAAAAATGGTGAAGTTGTCAAGTTCCAACAGTATAGATGTGCATATTTCCGATATTCTCTTGGGAATTTGATCGGTGCAATGGTTTCGTCGGGGTGTTTTTTTCTGCTGGTTTCCACCTCCTAACAATGGTTGGTGGTTTTTCGCCACCCCTCTGAAAAATATGAATCAGTTGGGATGCTGACATTCACAACTGAATGGAAAGTCATAAAATTCATGTTCCACCAATCAGTAATGCATGTTAATGCTTCAAAGTGAGGTGACAAGGAAGCCAAAAAACACACCACACAAATAAATACAGGACTATACCAGAACTGTTGACTGGAGCCTTTCAATTTTGGATTGTCAGAACCATCCAACATCTGAGACAACCACAAATCGAGAAGTCATGGCACATGACCCATCAAGGGCAACCAAAGATCGAGCTAGGATCAGAGCTAGGCGAACTCAAGTTCCACTTTTGGGAATTTCTGCAAATCTGGAGAATTTACCAGTTATAAGATGTTATAAGTACTTAAAACATCTTATAACTCTATTTCTAGTATGTATGATCCCATTGAAATAACCAGCTATAACTAATAAATGGCCACAACTCTGGAGAAAATATCCAAACAACCCCGAGTCGCAGTCCCAAATATATCCAAATATCATCATTCATACCCGATATTGCATTTTTTAACCATGGATTTTAGATGTGTTGTTGTTATCTGAACGGGGGAAGGGCTTTATACCGATTTGATGTCAGGCATCAAATCATTTCGGTAAAATTCTCCGGACTTCAGCGAGACTGCAACCGTTGCGGGTTCCATGCCCCACGCGTTAAATTCCCGGCGTTTTCAACGCCGGAGGCAACTCAGAGCAACTCAGCTTTGCTGGGCTGACTCAACGATGATCCAAGAGGTGTTCATTGATGATGCCCCAATGGAAAATCAATGAAAATCACCCATTTATCGATGAATTTCCCATGTATGGATGATTTTCCCAGCTATAAAACCTCTATTTAGTTCGGGGATTTTCCAGCTAGCCATGTTTGATTACCAGGTATGCATTTTTTCTTCGGTTTGTTGGGACTGGTTTCAAGGCAAAACATGTCTGCAAGCATTCAGTTTAGGTGAATTGTAAGGCCAACTCAAATCTCTCAAAAATCAAACATGATAAAACAAACCAGTGAATTAGACGAGTTTCCAAAGCAACAAACCTACATCCATTAAGCTATGAGATATGGGAAATCCCCAGAAATGTGCATCCACTTCGTTGACTTTACCATCATACCATCGATTTTCGCATGGAGGTTTCCTACGTCATGGGGATATCCCTAGCTATCATCCCATTTAGAAATTTAGAAATCGATGCATGTTCCTTAAAAATTCAAGCAACCAGCGAGCTTGGGGATCCTGGAGATCCCCCATGGAAACCCCAAGAAGTCTATCGTCATCCCGAGTGCGTCTCGTCGTTGAGCACTCCGATGCCGAGCCCGAAACCATGATTCAGCGTGGCCTCAGTCGGTGAAACACGGTGAAACACGGTGAAATGGCGCCATGGTTTACCCTCTGGTTATGTCAAAATAGCTATTGAAAATGGCTATTATGGCCATAGAAAGAGTGGATTTACCCAGCTACAAAATGGTGATGTTCCATAGTTTTTTGTATGTTTACCAGAAGGTAGTGATTTTTCTTCAAGAAAATCTAAGATTCGTGATGTGAACTTAGCTATCCTTTGGGGGCGCCGCCTTGTACTAAGCACCCCCCAATTAGATATGGTCCCAAATATGTGATTTCATCCCCTATATCCATCATGGTTTCTGGGTGGTGTCTAAGTGTTTAATACTACGGGGGAATTGATTATAAATGATGTAAAACAAGGATAGAATAAATGAAACAGTTACAGTAACTGTTTGATTTATTCTATCCTTGTTTTACATCATTTATATGGTATTACTGGTAGTAATTGTAGTTATAAACTAACGTGTCTGTCTTGGGGGCCACACAATGTGTGGCACCCCAATCATTTCCAACCATTCACCAACCTCCTATACGAGTCTTGTCTTTTATTTTTTGGGAAACCCCAAAATCACATCGTTTAAAACATCATTTTTCCCACTAAACTGGATATGTTCGGGAAAAATGCCGAGCCAGGATTCATAAATAAGATTCTGTTGATCATTTGGTGGGTTATCCCCAAAATCGTCAGCCAGCCATGAGCCATTGGTACCATCGTATTAGTTCCCCTAGGGTAAACGTTTACTTAGAAGTGGGAAATCCACTATTTGTAAATGATTTTCCTAAGGAAACCATAGGGTGTATGTATGTAAAGGTTTACCTAGGATAGCATTGTCTGCAGACAAGCATCGTGTCCCCAGCCATCAGGAACAAGCACCTCAATGCGCGAAGAGTCAAGAGGTACCAGTTCGGTCCCCGTCCCACAGAGATGCGGGTTTTGTAATGAGGATGTTGTTCTTTTCACATGTATCACATGCGTATACCAGTATAATGTATCTATATATATATGTTCCATGAGATATATATATATATATATATATATATATTTATATAAATTCTATTATATACAAGTTCCAGGTTTCAAAGTGTTCGATCTATCTTGACAAGTTGGGTTACCAACTTTCATATTTCTCTTTTGCGGCCTACCGGAGCGGTTCACGCCGCCCTACAAAGGGTATGGCCTGAAATCAGCGGCCAGCTTTGGGAGGCTGGTGGGATCTCCGAATTCATCATCTGACCCACGCGAAAAAAATTGCTCGCACAACAAAACTGAACACATAATCCACATAGTCATGAGAACGGCTCATAACAACATATCCGATATATATCCCAAATTGTGGTGGGTAACATAGTGACATCCTTCATCATTCGGTTTCGCCACAAAGTTCACAGTGGTGCCCTCGACTTGTCTGGGGTTATAAACCCCATATGCGAAGACCATGGTGCTGGAATATGCACACCAACATGTGCCACAAAATCAGCCAGTCTTGTAGGTTTTTATATACCAGCACCATGGTTCGCATATGGGAACCCATCTCACATTCATCTCACTATTAATATCTGCCATCATTTCTAGTTAGCCTAGCTTTTTGCCAACTTGGCGTAGTAGGGAACACCACTGACAGTAACAACTCTACACGACTGATGTCATACTCTTCACATTGACCAAAAACTCATGGAAATCCTAGCTGCTACAACCCACAACCCATGTGGATTTTTCATCCTCAGTGATACAGCTGCTCCATTTCTTGTTGTGAAAAATACCCACCATCTATGTTGCTTTAATCATTCAAGATCTGTTCGCTAAATCGTTGGATCTTTGCAGAGGACAAACATGCGAAATCTGTTTGGCAAAAAAAACGATTTCTAAAAACACCTGAAAAAACAACATTAGCCATTCCCCCCAACATATCCCATATAATATCTCCAACATATATAAAACCATGGAGAAGCACAACCAAAAAACAATGGACCAACTCCCTAGATTCAACTGATTTTTTCGGACAGCCAAGTTCTTGGGACGACTGTCCGACTAAGCCCCCACTTCACGTTCTTAGTATAGGCAAAACGGTCATTTCTGGCGTTAAATCCCCTACAAGTGAGTGAATCCCGCCATTTAATCACCCTAGTTTATCATTGCATGCGCTTAGTTTATTATTTCTCTGTTTCCATTCAGCTTCCATATATCTCCACATGTGTGTTGCTCAAATAAACTAACAACCAAAAGAGAATATATAGCTAGACACACAACAGGGAACTAAGCCTTCAGCCTCCAATAAACTATACCAAAATCATCCAAACCACCGGAGGTGCAACACCAAGGACGTTGTAGAAAACCTGGAGGTTTCCTGAAATAGGGGTACTGCCAGTTCTCATCCATCTTTTTAAATAAGATGTTCCCTCATAAACCATCCAGCAATAAAGGGGTACCCCCCATTTTGGAAACCTCGACATGACAAACCAAAAATCCCATTAAACCATATTAAACCACATAAAACTTGGATTGTGGTTTACTAATCCCATTAAAACATATTAAAACATATTACCACATGACATTCACCAAGAAACCAAATCCCCAGCGTATTGTGTGCAGCGGAAGAGGTGCTTCTCATTGATGCCGGACCTGCCAAGAAAAGGTCGCAAGATGAAAAGGCACAAACTTCATCCAGCTATGTACGGGGCTGCATCCTAATCAGTGCTTATACAACCATCAACAACCCATGTATATATATATATGTATATATTTATGTATATGTTTATGTATACATTTGGGTTTCTACTCTATATATAATTGTATAATTATAAATATATATATATATGTATGTATGCACATGTGTCTATATATATATATATTGTCAATCTATAAACTAAACGGTTGTTACCCACTCACTTCCTCAAGTAAAGATAAATTTTCAGATGCTAATTTCACGGATTTCTTAACAGCAAAACCATAAAACCTAGAGTCGGTCTATGCCTCTAACAAGAGTCGGGCCGGAACCATCTGGAACTGAGGATTTCACCAAACAGAGGATTCCACGAAGCAAATGAGTGGGAAAAAAAAACTTACCCTCTGGTTATTTAACATAGCAATGTTATAGATGGCCCATTTATAGATGATTTTCCCATGAAAACCTCCATTTATAAGGGATTTTCCATGACTATGTTAAATAACCAAATGGTAGAATTTCTGGAAATTGAAGGTGAAGGTCAAACCTTCAAAGCTACTCAACAAAATTTTGGTGGTTTGTCACCCAACTAGTACCAAAATCGCGTTTACTCTTAGGGATTGGGATGGTGTTTCAGCATGAAAGTCCATCTGTATCCATATTTGATCAACCGATTTTTATATAATAGAATGCAAACCATGTTTGGAGCATTTTGGAACCACAAACCACTTTGCGATGGTGACCCCAAATTTACAAAACCAATGGTATCTCCATATAGATACATACATATATATATATATGTATGTATATATATATATATATATCATTATATCATTCTATCTATATCTATAAGTTCTCCATTTGGAATGGTTTTGTTTTCAGGCAATAAAAACATGGCGCTCGCTTGGAATTGCCAGGCTGAACTTGCTTGGTGCATCCTGAGCAATCCGGAGCGCTCAGTTTCTGTTCAACTGTGAGGCCCCCAAGATATCTAAGTTGGTGCAAATACCTCCAATTTCACTATGGTTTATGGTACCTATAACTATAGTTCCTGGGGCTTATAAACCAACTAACATCACTGGGGGCCTCACATTGTAGAATATCAACAGTTCAATCTCCGATTATCCCAATTTTTGAGGATTGTTTTAGAACTATCTACTTCAGGATGATCATAATTTAGTTATTGATAGTTATTGCATAGATCTATGGAAAAAAGGGAACTTCTAAGTCATATCCCATATGCGAACCATGGTGCTGGTATATAAAAACCTACAAAACTGACTGATTTCGTGGCAAATGTTGGTGTGCATATTCCAGCACCATGCTTCGCGTATGGCTATTCTATAACGTTTACAGAACTATGGAAAATCACAATTTTTAAGTTCGGTAAATCAACTATTTCTGTGGCCATGGCTTCAAGTTCGCAAACTGTTAGTTTACCAGAGGTGCATATTCCAGCACCATGGTCCGCATTAATGGGATATATTTCCACATATTTCCAGGAATATTTCCATAGATGACGACTCAGGATGACGACTCAGGATGGTTATTCCCAACTGAATGGAAAAATAAAAAATGTTCCAAACCACCCACCAGGTTACTTTACCAGAGGATGACGACTCGTTGGATGACGACCCATTCGTCCCATTCGTCCCATTCGTCCCATTCCGCTCCGCCTGTGAAAGAGATGGTCCGTGGCAATTCCGCTCCGCGCCGCCAGATACGGTGGAGTCCTGGTAGACTGAGCCACTGAGCCCCAAGAAATGCTGAAGATTTTGAAGGCGGATGAGGTTTCCTGAGTCATGGGGATACCCCAAAAATAGATGGTTTATTTCATGGAACATCCGAAAATAACATGGATGATTTAGGGGTACCCTATTTTAGGAAATATGTATAGATACTTGTAGATACTTGTAGATATGTATAGGTTAAGAACTCTGGATACTAAGTGTTACTAAGTCCCGGAAGTCGATTTATCCATGATAAAATTCCATAAGTTTTTGTTTAACCCCTGATAAAAACTAGCCGACTTTATAGGTTTCTAGGTCAAAATTGGGTACCCCAAGAATTGGATTAAGACATGTCAATACTAAACATATACCCTCTGGTAAACTAACATAACTATGGAAAATCACTATTTTTAATGGGAAAACTCACTATAAATGGCCATTTTCAATAGCTATGTTAAATTACCAAAGGGTACCACTGTAGAATCTGTGGTCCCACAGGACTTAACTTCTGACCCATCCCCATTCCCATCCATGATTCGATGACTCGTCTTAAGGATGATCAACCAACCAGCCAACCCTCAAATCACAAAGAAGTCATCCCACAAACAATGACTTCCATTTGTCCATCAACATCCACTAATATGACTATGTTCAAAACATGTGTTTTGCTGGTTAAGAACTGGATTTTTCCTTCATGGATGATGATAAACCCCAATAGAGTTCGGATAGCACAACTTCTCAAAAAAAAATGGACGAACCGGTGTTTGAAACACTATCATCATTGGCGTGACCCTCTGACAATCAAAGCTGGCGACAGAACATCCCCAGTTTTAGTTTGTCAATTGCGGCTTGGATTCCTTGATTTGTTTTGTTTAAAAAAACTGCACACTTGGATATACATCTCAATTATTGGCAACCTGGTGAATTGCTTTGCTTAGTAGATTACTCAACTGGTAGGTGTAGGTGATTTGATTTTTATAGCTGGATTATATGCATGATTATAGATATATAAATAACTCTACCTTGCACATCTAAGTAGGGACATTCACTCGCAAGATTGATGAGAAATCACACCCTTGAGGTGTTTCCAAATTTGACCAAGAATGCTTTGAAGAAAACACTTTCGATGTAGGACAACAGCAATGATAAGGTGTACAGTCTCGCCATTGAATTCTGGATTGTCCCCAAACAATCGGAATCGTACAATTCCATGACTTTCCATTTTCTGTCCCTGCCATAAATTGCTGTATCACATATTTTCAATCATGTCCAGGGTTCAAGTGAAATACCCAGTTTCGCAACGATTCAACCACAAGATCACAGTTTGATATATACATATACATATATATATATATATGCAACCTCCCCCCAAGACCTACCTTTTGTGTAGCAAATATGCTCCTGAATGTCTTGTTTTCCTTCTTATCTTATCACCTATTGTAGCTGGACACATCCTGCCCCAGAATATAGCATATTATTTTTATTGTTTTTGATGAATACATTTTTTGCAAGGCAAGTGTTTAATGACTTCTGGTGGAATTCATGTTTACCAAAGTTTCTGTAGCAATTTGAAACCTTTCAGTTTCTACCAAAGCTGAGCTTTGTGCAAGATTAGGTGATATAGTTAGTGCATCTTGAGATTTTACATTTTTATAATGCAATTATTTTTTTAATCCTCCTACAATTTCATAACATTCCATCAAACTTTGCATAGTCAATTGACAATAACTAATCATATTTTCATTTGATGTTAGTTGTATTTTTTGTTTTTGTGAACCTACGTTATTTCCATTAGTTTTTTTTCAGCATCTACCATTTTTTTTGGTAGAAGAATTGTTTTTTTGTTGTAATGATTTGTTTTTTAAATCTGTAATGTAGATGATCTTGTAATTTCATTGTTTTAAATCCAGGGGTGCTTGAGTTAGATATATTATGTTTTAAACATAAATGATTTTGATGATACTAAATTAGTAAGTAAAAAAATAGATCAGTTTTTAATATACGTGTCATATTATAATCTGTCTTATTTTTTTAGTTCTTAGTTTTGTGTTGTTTTTTCTAGATATTATCAAAGGAAGTTGGGAAGCAATTTCCGAGTTACGAATGACTTTTTACTTGGTGCAATTGACTATGATGAAGGGTGGTAGATCCTGTAACAATACATAATGTACCAATACATCACAAACCAATAAGAAGCAATGAAATTGACCTTGAGGAAGGGTGGTAGATCATATAACAATACATAATATAACAATACATAATGTACCAATACATAACAAAAGAATAAGAAGCTATGAAATTGACCTTGAGGAAGTGATGATGAAGGGGAGTGGTGACGAAGGGAAGTGGTGAGGAAGGGAAGTGGTGAAGAAGGGAAGTGAATGTGGTGACGAAGGGAAGCGGTGAAGAAGGGAAGTGATGATGAAGGGGAGTGGTGACGAAGGGAAGTGGTGACGAAGGGAAGTGGTGACGATGGGAAGTGGTGACGAAGGGAAGTGGTGACGAAGGGAAGTGGTGACGAAGGGAAGTGGTGACAATGGGAAGTGGTGAGGAAGGGAAGTAGTGAGGAAGGGAAGCGGTGACGAAGGGAGGTGGTGACGATGGGAAGTGGTGACGATGGGAAGTGGTGAGGAAGGGAAGTGGTGAGTTGGGGAGGAAGCCGGAGCACGAAACCTTGTGTTTTTCCGTGTAAAGTGGCTGCAGCCGGCGATGAAAGGTACCTCGTGTGTGCGACGGGTGCGGCTGCGGTCGGTTGGTCGTTTTTTTTTTGCCGCAGTGTAACGGTGGCTTGAAGCTGCTTTGGGTGTGCTTGTGTGTGCGTAGTTATAGTGTGTTTTGGAATCTCCGGTTGCAGATCGCATTGGAATGGCTGCATGATGTTGCATGGGCTATGTTTTGGGGAGGAAGCCGGAGCACGAAACCTTGTGTTTTTCCGTGTAAAGTGGCTGCAGCCGGCGATGAAAGGTACCTCGTGTGTGCGACGGGTGCGGCTGGGGTCGGTTGGTCGTTTCTTTTTTGCCGCAGTGTCACGGTGGCTTCAAGCTGCTTTGGGTGTGGTTGTGTGTGCGTAGTTATAGGGTGTTTTGGAATCTGTGGTTGCAGATCCCATTGGAATGGCTGCATGATGTTGCATGGGCTATGTTTTGGGGAGGAAGCCGGAGCACGAAACCTTGTGTTTTTCCGTGTAAAGTGGCTGCAGGCGACGATGAAAGGTACCTCGTGTGTGCGACGGTTGCGGCTGCGGTCGGTTTATCGTTTTTTTTTGCCGCAGTGTCGCGGTGGCTTCAAGCTGCTTTGGGTGTGCTTGTGTGTGCGTAGTTATAGGGTGTTTTGGAATCTGTATTGGAGTGGCTGCATCCAGGCTGCGATAATCATTTGTCAGGAGATTTTCTCAATTTTGGCGCTAATAATTTTCCTTTTAAAATTCCTTTTGAAAAGTGCTTCAAAATCGTATTTTTTTCGCTTTGGCGTCGAGATCCGGTTTTGGAGCTGCAATTTCCGACGCCATTGCACGTAGTTCTATTGTGTTTTGCAACTCAGTCTCTGCAGATCGCATTGTAGTGGCTGCGTCAAGGTTGCTTGGTGCAGCGGCTGCATGCGTAATACTATTGTCTTTTGCAGCTGAAGATCGTAAATCGTATTGGAATGGCTGCATCAAGGCTGCGAAAGTGATTTGTCAGCAGATTTTCTCAATTTTGGCGCTAATAATTTTCCTTTTAAAATTCCTTTTAAAAGTGCTTCAAAATCGTCTTTTTGTCGCTTTGGCGTCGAGATCCGGTTTTGGAGCTGCAATTTCCGACGCCATTGCACGTAGTTCTATTGTGTTTTGCAACTCAGTCTCTGCAGATCGCATTGTAGTGGTTGCGTCAAGGTTGCTTGGTGCAGCGGCTGCATGCGTAATACTATTGTCTTTTGCAGCTGAAGATCGTAAATCGTATTGGAACGGCTGCATCAAGGCTGCGAAAGTGATTTGTCAGCAGATTTTCTCAACTTTGGCGCTAATAATTTTCCTTTTAAAATTCCTTTTAAAAAGTGCTTCAAAATCGTCTTTTTGTCGCTTTGGCGTCGAGATCCAGTTCCTTAGTAGTAGTAGCAGAAAATGATTCATGAAAGCTTAGATGACATATGAGAAGAGATGAGATGAGAAGAGATGAGCTGGGATAAGGTCAGAAGAGCTCAGATGAGATGAAGTGTGGAGTGTGAAGGGTGCAGTGTGAAGTGTGGGGCGTGAAGAGTGCAGTGTGAAGTGTGGAGTGTTAAGTGTGAAGTGTGGACTGTGAAGCGTGGAGTGTGAAGTGTGAAGTGTGGACTGTGAAGTGTGAAGTGTGGAGTGCGAAGTGTGAAGTGTGGACTGTGAAGTGTGAAGTGTGGAGTGCGAAGTGTGAAGTGTGGACTGTGAAGTGTGAAGTGTGGAGTGCGAAGTGTGAAGTGTGGAGTGTGCAGTGGGAAGCGTGCAGTGTGAAGTGTGGAGTGTGAAGTGTGGAGTGTGAAGTGTGAAGTGTGGAGTGTGCAGTGTGAAGAGTGCAGTGTGTAGTGTGGGGTGTGAAGACTGTCAAGTGTGAAGTGTGACGTGGGGCTTCAAATGTGACATGAGAAACAAGACATCAGTTTCGCAGAGTGCACGCACGCACGGGCTTCGCTGGCGCACGGCGCATGCAAGTTCTATAGATGAGAAAGGTCTTATATATATCTTTAAGGCAACTTCCGCCCCGCCTCGTGCGGGTACTACTGGTAGGAGTTTCTAGCGTTGGATGAATATGACTTTGAAAGATCCTATATGTTTATTGGTTCTTTTAGCTCTATATTCTGAGGATCTAGTTTTAGGTTAAAAACATATTTTGTTTGATTTTGGATATGTTTTTTTCAGATTGGTTTGTTTGCATTTTTTATGACAATATTCTACCATTTTGAGATGTGAACTTTGATAGCATTTCAGGGTTTTTACAGTCTATTACATTTGTTTTCTAAAAATAAATTGCGACCATGTTTTTTTTAAGAAAATTTTCTTTGCCGATCTACCTGCAACCCGTTCAAATACATTTTGTTGGGACGGTTTGAATTGATCTGTAGATAAAGAGGTATTGCTATTGGGTGAATTCATGTATTTTACTCATCATTGTTTAATTTTTCCTTCTTAATTGTTCAATAAATTACTGTTTTAGATTACACAAGGTTCTTTTTCAATTTATTTTACAGAATGCTCTTACCAATCCCGATCAAAATTCTTTAGGAATCCAAGATTTTGATCAGGGGTCTTGTGGGAATCTTGGATCTTGGATCTTGGATCTTGCAAAGAATGCATTCAGACTGCATTCTTCCCCAAATCTAAGGGTGTAGGATTCAAGATTCAAGGTTCAAGGTTCCCAGAAAGAATTCTTGAATCCAAGGGGGTAGGATTCAATATTCAAGATTCAAGGCTCAGCAAAAAACTTCTTGAATCCCAGGATTCAAGATTCAAGATTCCCAGAGAGAATTCTTGAATCCAAGGGGGTAGGATTCAAGATTCAAGATTCCCGGAAAGAATTCTTGAGTCCAAGGGGGTAGGATTCAAGATTCAAGATTCAAGGCTCAGAAAAAACTTCTTGAATCCCAGGATTCAAGATTCAAGATTCCCAGAAAGAATTCTTGAATCCAAGGGGGTAGGATTCAAGATTCAAGATTCAAGGCTCAGAAAAAACTTCTTGAAACCCAGGTTTACACACGTATCAGCGATACTGCAAGGACAGCAAGCGGCTGCCGGCATGCATGCGCTGCATTGCATCATTTCTCTCGTGAAACGCAGTAAGTGATATTCACGGTGAAACCGACAGGGTGAAACATGTGAAACTCAAAGGGTGAAACTTTAATCTGAGCATTGCATCTCTCTATATTCTGAGATTGCTAAGGATGTGTGTACTTTGGTCAAAATTGATATACATTATGTATGTGAGAAATAGCATGCCCTATAGCCTTCAAACTGCGCCTCGGCGCTTAATTTTTGAATGAAACTTCAGCTCTGCTGGCTGCCACGTCGGCTTAGCCTGAGCAAATGACAGAATTTAACGTCCTTATCTGTGTCAACTTTGTAGTGAGGATCTGATGCAATTCAATGATGATCTATGATGATCTCTGATGATCTACGATGATCTAGAAACATTGAGAATCAGAAGATTTGAGTGCTTCGATGTGAGATGTGCTTAGGATTGCGCAGGTCAACTTAGGTTGTGGCTTCCTTTTTCTTCTTCTTCGTCACGACGAGTTTCCAAGAGTCCTTTTTGGCTTGGACCACCAAGACTTCTTTCACCCGTAAAAGTACAAAAAGACTTCTACAAGTGTCAAAAGTCAAAACCAAAGAAGAGCAAAAAGTGAAGAAAAACAGAAAGATACAAAGATGATGCACTTGTGATACAAAGAAAATACTGATACGAAAAAGCGATGAAACAAATCAAAAGAAAATCAAGAAAGAACCGGAGCAGATGCCTCTTGTGCTCGTGGCTCTGCTGCAGCCATGCGATGATGTGTGAGGTGAGTGTGAAGACTGTGTGGACTTTTTGCACTGAGTCATGAGGCTGTGCGACATAGAAATACATACCGCATGCAATGATCGCAAACAACGACGGTGTATGGAGTTAGGCCTCGTATTCTGCGCTGCTGGGCTCATCATTTCCATTAGATTTGCTTGGCTCAGTCTGCGGTTGCTCCTCATTCTGCTCCGCCTGCAAATTCTCGAGATGTCCATGTAGTTTATGCTTAAGTCATCCTATTTGACCTAACATGACTTGACTCTGACTTGACTCTGACTTGATTGATTTAACTTCGTAACTTCGTAACTTCCTCAATGACTCCGACTCCGCCGCCTGACTTCGCTCCTCTTGGCTCAAAGCTTCTGCTTTTCCCTCTCCCTGACAAGATGAAGGCAGGATGTTCGGCCCCGGCGCTGGCGTTGAAGATTCCTGGCTCTCTGGAAGTCAAACATCCGAAGATTGTATTGGCCACAACATGCGACAGCAGTTCAGATGTCTTGAAGCTGCCAACGAGATATCAAACATAACTGAATTTGAATGAAATTGAATGTGAAAGGAACGTTCAAACATCAAGTTGAAAAACATGTCAGGCATTCTCCACCATTCTGTGCCCCAGCAGTCGCCAACTGGTGCAAGGTACAAAACAGCCACAGACATTTTCAGAGGCCAAAGACTTCGGAAACTCATTGAGTCAATTGAGTCAAGTGAAGCGAAGTGATGTGAAGTGACTAATCTGAGTTGACTGAAGCAATGCTTATATTGTCCTTCTGGAACTATGAAGATCTATTAAGTTTCTATTTCCAACTCACTGATCAGCAAAGAATTGCCTTGTCAATGACATAGCGTTGCTGCTCACGGGGGAGGACTTCTATTATCCTATCGATGGTGAAGCGAAGAAAAACGTCTGTCTTGGTACCGAGCTGGATAGACTCTGAAATTCAATTCAATACCAGGACAGGCAACAACTAACTTCTGGCCAAATGGAACGAAAGGATCTCACAACGATTACAGAATAGGACCAAAAGAGACAGTACTGTGATGACACCAAAAGCAGCAGTAGCAGCGTCCTGTCAAGCATGATCTGCATGGTCTGTGGCTTCTGTTCCTGACTTCAAACGACACAGCTGAGCAGAATTGAAAACATGAAAAACAAACAAACAAACTGAAAATGCATATAAACATCATAAAGCCAATGAAAAAGAGACGTCAAAGCCCAGTGGTGCAATTTGCGGCCTCGGGGAATGTACTCCATTCTGAGAGTAGCTTTTTCATTTGAAACTGCACAGCACGGAGCACATAGCGGCAACTAGTGCTATCCACAACCAGCTGGGCCTACACTGGATCTGTAAAGCTAGTTGTTTCATGTTCTTTCGTGCTGTTTGCAAAACTACATTTGGAGAACGTCTCTTTTGATCATGTGTAGAGAATCAGACACACACTGTGCACATGTACCAAAGATCAAACGCAGTCCTGAAATTGAAATCAAGAGGCATCACTTGATGACTTACTGATGGATGCTTATAACCCTAGACGAGACAGTGCCCTGTTGACATAAGTGAGGAAAAGAACCATTTCAGACAGCGGTCAGTATTGTCAAAGATCGAATGCGAAAATAACTTTAACACTAAGCTAAGGCTTAGCTAAAATATACTAAAATTGCAAAATTCCAATCGCCGTGTTTTGTGCCTCCAGATTCTTCATGCGTCCCGACACAAGGGCAGCAGGTTGGGCTGCCTGTGCAATCTCCAAGCGGACGAGTCGTTTGAGTCATATCTGTGTGAGCAGTTCGAGGGTGAACACATGTGAACAGGATCTATCAGGATCGCTTGAAAAGTGGCACAGCTCCAACGTTTCATTCAATGCCATATAGTGCCACGCAATGCATATTGAAGGATATGCATAATATGTGGAACACATATGTTGAACACTTGGAAAAATTCACGCCTCACTCTGAACAGCATCTTTTTCTTTCTTCAATGACTCCACCTGTTCACCGTTTGCACCTAGGAGAGAGGTTTCAACCCGTGGAATCTGAAAACACCAGGCGTTTGCAGTAACGAAACATAACAGTCATAACAGTGAAAAGACTTCTCGAGCACCTGCGCATCAATCACGTGTATTTTTTCGCAAATTTCATAGCAAATCACGTGAGCCTCGTGATGAGGCTGATGATGGCTCTTCATAGTGCATTCCACGCTGTGGTGCGTAGTGCGGAGGTGGTAGGGAATCTCGGAATCTTGAATCTTGAATCCTGGGTTTCAAGAAGTTTTTTTCTGAGCCTTGAATCTTGAATCTTGAATCTTGAATCCTACCCCCTTGGATTCAAGAATTCTTTCTGGGAATCTTGAATCCTTGGATTCAAGAAGTTTTTTCTGAGCCTTGAATCTTGAATCTGGAATCTTGAATCCTATACCCCCTTGGATTCAAGAATTCTTTCTGGGAATCTTGAATCTTGAATCCTCGGATTCAAGAAGTTTTTTCAAAGCCTTGAATCTTGAATATTGAATCCTACCCCCTTAGATTTGGGGAAGAATGCATTCTGAATGCATTCTTTGCAAAATCCAAGATCCAAGATTCCCACAAGATTTGCAAACAATTGCAATTATTGATCACCAGAAAATGCCTTAAATTGTAGAGTCCAAAATATTAAGGAAAACACTGTAAATACCACTAAATTTGCTTGAAATTGGGGGGGTACCATATATATATATTTATAGATATATATATATATTTCATGTTCAAGACTTTCCCAAAATATCTACACTTTCATTTTGCATCGAATCTTCCCGCACCGTGTCCCTAAAATTCCCTGAAAGTTTCAAGTGGATTTTCCCCAAAAAATCCCCAGACTTTTCCTAAAAATCCCTGGAGTTTCCCTAAACTTTCCCTAAAGGTCCAATGGATTTTCGATAAAATTCCCGAATGTGTCCCTCAACTGCACCGTTTCTGGGCGCTCCAACACGTACCATTCCTAGGATGCCATGGGCGATAACCAGCGCATCAAAGGGATGAACAACAACTCATCGGGGACATCAAAGGGATGTAAATTGATCATATTGATGTAAAGATAATATTGATGTATTGATATATATATATATACATTGCATCAATATCATCTTTACATGTATAGACATAAACAATAAACATACATGTATATAATTATATACTTAAAACATGGTCATCTATCTATCTAATCTAATCTACTCTAATCTACTCTAATCTAAGCCAATCTAAACTATCTGACTATCTGTCTATCTGTCTGTCTGTCTATCTATCTATCTATCTACCTATATCTATACACTGGTATATATATATATATACATACATCATCATGGGAAATTGGACGCCACGGCGGGTCAACTACCAACCCTGTGCCAGAGGAGGTCGTTCCAATCTGCCCTGATTGATGATGGCCAGCAATTCATTATTCTGGCTAAACTACCATGAACCTTGCAGTGTATCGAGCTTCCAGAAATTCATCCACCACCAACTCACCTGCCCTGATACCCTCTGATAACCAAACGTGGTTGGCTGTCACCGAGGTCGACATGAATCCCCAATCCACTGGTTTCTGACGAATTTTGTGGTACCCCACATCCTAAGGCTTTGGGGTTGGAATCCCAAGCATAAGTTACTATTATATGATATTCGTGTGTAACAAAAAGGAATCTATAACATCCCAGAAAAAGGTAGGTAGGCCCTGGAAAGGGCCGTTTAATAAAAATATAACCATATATATATAATCATATATATATATATTGTATATTCATACGGCACAATCATACCTGAGGGTTAGAAAGCACAGACACAACGCCTGGGTCCATCCAAGTGACTTTCTCACCAATGAACAGCACGTTGAAGGCGGCGACATGGTAATGCAAGGCCGCACCACTGCGGTCCCCGCCCCAGAAGTATTGCTTCGACATATGATTGATGCGCGGCAGGATTTCCTCCGACTTCATCGTGCTGGGGAAGAAGATTGCAATGTCTTGGGAATATTTTGATGATTAGATCCAGGGACCAAGTATCGATAAAGTCGATTTCTTAAACATCTTGCTACTTCTCCAGAAAACTCTTTGGATTCCGTCTCTTTCTTTATCATTACCCTCCCGCAACACAAACATTGATACAGCAAACCAACACAACGATTTTCCGAAAATCCAGTTACAATCCACTTCTAGATCATTCTGCTATGAAAAATACTTCCAGAATTTCCCAGAAAATAGCCTTTCCATCATGATTTCTATTAATTTCCATCATGGATTTCCATCATAATGTCCATCTTTGGATCATTGTCCATCATTTCCCTTTCCAAACAAATGATAATTCCATCACATTGAGACTTAAAACATGTCCATGATTTCCAAACAAATGGATAAATCATGACAAATCCATCACTATCCAGGATTCAATTCTTGAAATTATTGCATTTCCCTTTCCAAACAAATACCCTTTAAAGAACGCGCCGTCCTTCACCTTCTCGAAGGTCTTCATTTTGGTGAGTTCCGTGGGCACCAAACCTGGTCCAAGCTTGGGTCCCTGGTGGTCGAGAGGTTTCTTTTGTTTTGGTATACCACGGAGTTAAACATCTAAAATATTTGTCGTAACTAGAACTGATATGTATATATATATAAATGAGCATATATACTTGGGTATATATATAACTATATAATTATATATCTAGTTAAACCACAACAACAGTTTAACTCTAGAACTGTTTAACTCTTGAACTGTTTATATGTTAGAACTGAAACAAACCTAGAACTAAAACAAATGGTTGAGACCAATACTCATATTTTAGTCGTAACTAGAACTGATATATATATATATATGTATACATATATATATATATCATTAAAATTTTGCCATCATACTTGAGAATCGAATATCACTTAGATTTTCTATCACAAGACATAGATAATTATCATATGTGTGTATGTTAATCAATACCTTCGATCATTGTAATCTATGAGTCATACTGTAATTTATGCGGGATCCCGTTTCACCATCGTTTTTTTCTCTGTCAAATGTCTGAATTTCAACCTGGACAATTCACAGTCGGGTTGTCTCTAAATGGGGTACCTCTATAGTAATCATGACAACATAATGTTCCCATATAACACTTGATGTATGACATTTTATATTCTCATATAACACTCCTAAAATATAATGTGATGCATGCCACTTCACAAATCCATGGTCATTCTTGGTTTATCATCATTTTCCCCAAATAGTTACACCCCATTTTCAGACACACCCAAATGAGCAGTGTGCAAAACCCTGTGTCTTTTTTTGGTACTGGTTGATAGGGATTGCCCAATTGGAGAGTGATATTCCCAAAATTTCCCAAATGTATTGGGTAGTGCAATCCCCGAACTAATCATCAACGATTTATAAGTTATATTCACTTACATCTGATATCCCCATAGTTGGTTGAAATCCCTATTACCCTCTGGTAAACGTTCACATAACTATGGAAAATCAGCATTTTCAATGGGTAAATCCACTATAAATGGCCATTTTCAGGGTAGAGGGTAACCCAATCAAATCCCATTAAATCACCATTAAAATCGATTAAAATCACCATTAAAATCACCATTCAAAGGGTAAATGATCAACCAAAAAGGCCACCTAGCAGCCTGATCCTCCAGAAATCTACACCACCTCGGCCCACCTGGACTGTGCGAAGCGTAGTAGTTGGAGGTATTGCCATGCCTCGCTTCGTCGCTTTTGACATCAGGGCCTTCAATCAAGGTGGTGCCACTACATAGCTAAGTTTGGTTGAAAAAATAAGCTAATTTTATTGAATTTACTCTATGTATATATAAATATATACAATATATATATACAATATATATATATACATACATATGTAAACATGTATATATAATATACATAATATATATAGATATATATATATATATAATGAAACAAAATATAATATCATATAATATAATATAAAATTAAAAAAAGAATATAATCTATAATATATAATATATAATACATAATACAATCAATAATATATAATTTATAATATATAATCAGTAATATATAATATAATAATATATAATATAATATATAATATACAAATAAATAATATATAATATAAAAAATAATATATGATATACAATATATAATATATAATAAACAAATATAATATAATATAATATAATATAATATTAATATAATTATATACTATTTAATCTATAATATAATATATATATAATATAATTTAATGTAATATAAAATATACAATATACTATAATTCGCAAATTTGCTGCTATGCGCTATTATTAAATGTTATTATTCATGATTTAAACTTGTCTACTGTCTTATCTTATCTTACATTAGTTCTTCCTTATATGCTCTTAGTCGCTCCTATTTGCTCTTATTAGTCTCCGGCAGGGTTAGGTCTCATCTTCTCTTATTTTCCATTTTTTGCGCTCTTTGACCTGTTGATGGTCGCATCTGGGCTGGAAAATCATTGTATAGCAGGAAATCATGAAATGTCCCTTAAATGGCACATTTATGTCTCTTAAGTGCTCTTAAATGCCAACCCTAAATGTCTATCATTATAAATAGATATAATGATAGAGTGCGCTTATATCTAAGTATCTATCATTATATCACTATTATATCAATGCGCAAATACCAAATGCCACTAAGTCTGACTCTATCATTACATCAATGCACCCTGGGCTATTTAAAACCCTGGTTCTGGGTCACATCCGGATGGATTAAAGATATTAAAGGGACAAGTTCGAGGAAAGGATCCATTTCGCATCCAATCATAAGTACCCTCTGGTAAACGTTTACATAGCTATGGAAAATCACCATGCTATTAATGGGTAAATCCACTATAAATGGCCATTTTCAATAGCTATGTTAGTTTACCAGAGGGTAGGGTTTTCCGATGTTTACTGCAAATGTTGCCTTCAATCAATTCTGCGAGCCAGTAGGGCCAGTATCACTCATAAACTCCGGGAGTCTTTGACATTTGACCCATATGTGTGAGCCCGGCCTCTCACAATGAGCTCCCTGTTCAGCTTCTTCGACGGTGAAGCGTTTCCTTGCCATCAGGGTTGCTCCATGGGTCATTTGTCAACTGTAGTTGGTACAATGTGGTCCCCAAGACAGGTTTCTGTTAGCTTAAAGCTACAAAAACTGGTGGATTGATGATGTAACTCTATATATATATATATATCCACAGCTAATGATGAATATATAATTAGACAATACTATGTGTGTATGTATATATATATATGATATGATATGTATGTAAATATATATATATACAATATGTAGTTAAATAGCTTAACTAACCTACTTATTGTAACTGAAGGGTCCCAGTATGTGTAATATCACAGATATCTTGAGCACATCGTAATGTAAGCGAACAAATCAAAAAACATGTACGAATACGTGTACAATCATATACAAGCTCGAGAATATTCACAGCTACAGACTGAAACGTTAGAATCATTCCAATAGCAACAACAGTATGTTCTTTCCACCAAAATATGAAAGCAGTGTTGAAAACTCCGTCATTCAATCAGGTTGAGCACAGGATTCCCATTATGGATTATGATAATGCCCATTTCAGCTAAACTTTAGTATGATCCCGGAAAGAAAGACTTCAACCAAAAGCATGTCTTGCAGCCACTGTTATCCACCACCCCAAAATGCACCAAAACTCCCTCAAAGAAACTATAAAGAGGTGTGCACTGACAAAAAAACGGCGCGTGGATAATACCTCAAGTGAGAAAGTGGCTAGAAAGTGTGGTATATACCAAACAGTTTATGTTGATCTTTGTTGTGTTATAAGCCTTACTTATATATTTGTACGGTATAGCGGTAGACCCCAATTACTAAAGGACTTCCAAGCAAAAACATAGTATAATATAGAATAACAGTCAGCACGCATTTCCTTAGTTGAGAGAATGCATTATTTAATAAACATCACTGATTTAAGAGATTCCTAAAATAGGGGCACCCCTAAATCATCCATGTTTTCGGATGTTCCATTGATTATAGACCAATCATTTTGGGGATCCCCCATGACTATGGAACCCCCCATGACTACCCCCAGATCCCAATGTTTTACAAGTCCTCCGGGAGAATCTCCATTTCGGAGATTTCCAGATTTCCTGCGACGTATGTTTGATGACACTGTGACACTGGTGAATAACATATTAAACCTTCTAATATTAAATCCCATATTAAACCCCATATTAAACCTCCTAATATCCCATTTTGTTTGATGATATCCCATATTTTCGACTACTCCTAAGTTTCATCCCATAGAATCCCTATGGATGATCCAAAACAAAATGAATTTTTAGCTCTAGCCATCCCCAGGCTCTCACAGGGCTCTGCACCAATGAGGCTTGGATATGCAATGGGTCCCAGCTCAAAGAGATCCTTGCTGTGTGCCTGCCGTGATCCACTGATCCACCATGAAGTGAGATGAAAACCGTCGAAAAACGAGTTCTGAACTCATCGAAAAGGCTAACCAATAGTAGTGAGACAAAAAAACCTTGGTGACATCGAAGTCATAACGTTGGAAAGTTGGGTCGTGTGGGTCGTAGGTCGTTTCAACCAGCTATGTTGCATTGGTACATCATCTCTAGCTGGTCCACTATCCCAGGGACCATCCGTGGCCACCTTTAAGGGTAAACTAACAGTTTGCGAACTGGAAAATCACTATGTTAAATTGGTAAACCAACTATAAATGGGCCATGGCTTCCATAGCTATGTTAGTTTACCAGAGGGTATCCAGAGGGTATATCCCCAATAGACTGTTTGGTTTCAAGACCCCTTGATGTCTTGTTGTACCCCTTTCGAGGTTGTCTCCCAGTTTCCCTCGTTCCCTCCGATCTCCCACCTGCATGACGTAGCCCTTCCGCACGTTGCAGCGATCTTCGATGGATGCAAAGTTTCCTTCGATGGGCCGCAGAAAAAAAAACGTAACATAGCAGATAATAACGCAATATACACTTGGGGATCTCCCCATAATGTCATAATCATAATTGATAAATTTTGGTTGAAAATATGTGTATATATATATATATGGTGTATATATATATATATGGTGTATATATATATATATATGGTATATATATATATAGTCAGATATGAAACTGCATGTGTATATGTCTATATTATGCATAAAACTCGGGTTATGTAGCGATGAAGCACTTGCATCTGACCATGGCAGTGCAAGCGTCTGAGCAACACAGGTCGACCCAGATCTCGGTAGTTCTCCTACGGAGATGACATCATGGAACCCTTGGGAAAACACATAGAACAATGAGGATACAACATAATACCACAAAAAAATACCTTTTTTTTATGATTAATTGTAACCTCACGATAGTGGGGTTATACTTGGTTATATCATATTCCACTGGATATATATATATATATATACATACATATACATATACATATACGTATGTATGTATATATATATATATGTATGTATACTGGTTGGTGGTTTCAACCCCTCTTAAAAATATGATTTCGTCAGTTGGGATAATTATCCCCAATATATGGAAAGGCATAAAATTCATGTTCCGAACCACCAACCAGTATATATATATGGTATTCCATGCCCCAACTAACATGACCTAAACCCACCTTTCATCTAAACAGGGGCCCCCCGTGGGTCGAGCTGTGAATGTTGGGATGGTGAAAAATTGGTTACAACGTGAGGCCCCCCAAAAAGGTAAGTTGATTTATAGCTACAAGGTGGTGCCCCCCCAGTTATAAATTGGTTATTTTTGCTCATTAACTATAGATTCTCACCTACAAAAACCCTAGTTATTGGAGTTATAAACCAACTTAGCTATCTTGGGGGCACCACCTTGTAGGATAACAAGGATTTATATGGATTTATGGTGATATATCATGTTTGTTCATGTCTATACTAAACATGAATGTTGACGAAAACCATTCAGAATAATTTATGATCTTTGACACACAACAATGATGACTATACACGTATGCCGGAATATGACTATAAATGGTAAAATAAAACATGCTATAAAACAGCTAATCATGATTGTTACAACGTGAAGTCACAATAAAACAAGAATGATGACTTTAAATTTATGCATGACCTCTTCACAGTCAGCTGTCCGAACGCTAAAAACATGTATCTCCATTGGTAATTTGTTGGTGCAATTTCAACCTATGAGTCATTATCTTCAGTTATGGCCATTTATTAGTTATAACTGGTTATAAATGGGATACAGTAATACATTCTATAAATGGGGTTATAAGTACTTATAACTGGTAAAGGGCCATAACTGTTCAACATGTTTTCAGCAAAAGAAATTACAATGACGTAATTTGATTTCTTTGAGAACATGGATTTTGAGAGACCAACAAAAGCACAGTTAACAGCCAGGGTCCAGAAGGTGCGGGATGGTAAAACAAACAAACTAACCTATTAAACATCATTAAACTACAAAGCTGTTGATCTTAGTCTCTATGAAAGAGGGATGATTACTGTCAATTTCCTGACCAAAAAAAGCGGTGGTCGCAAGGAGACTCTGCAATGTGGTGCCTCCTACTTAGCTAAGTGGGTTTATAGCTAGGCCAAACGATTGGACTTGTGGGGGATAGATCTATAGTTAGATGGGATCATGAGCAGACTTTTACTTGCAGGGCCCCACCTGTTCCCAGATTGATGATGTTTGAACTTCGTGACACAGCATCATCTTAAAAAAAAAAAAACTAGCATCAACAAAATCATCTGACATCACCCAAAAATAAGCAAATATGTGTGAACAAAAGGGCGCTCCATCATTCTGCTCCTCAAAGTCCTTCTGACTCAAAGCATCAAGTACTTCAAAGTCCTCAGTGTGCTGCCGGCGTGACCAGTCCAACATCTGCATAGTTTGTTCCATTTGTGTTTGTCCAAAATGAGGTACACCAAATGGAACGTCAACGGGTGAATCATTTTTTGTTTTTTTTCCATATGTTATGAGCATTGATCAAACATGGCCAGAAAATATGATCGATATGTTCCTCATCTGGGAGGGCGAATTGTGTAGTTGTTGGCAGCGATGCTTGGGTGTGAATCCAAAGTTTCCTTTGAAAACACATTGTCTTCTGTACCAACGGACTCCAACATTTTGTTATCTCCTGAGTCTTCAGAAGGAAAGACAAAAAAATGTGTATATACATATACCAATGGCCATTTCAGGAACCCAAATTGGTACCTACCATCTATTTTTGGCCTATTTTTGAGGCCTAAATTTCAGGGAGTATCCCCACAATTCATATGGCCCCCAGCATGCCGCCTTTGATATTCAAGGCAAAGGATGATCGCTGGGCCCCACTTTTAGCATAGCCATGACATTACATGTATTTAACCTACCCTTTACCAGTGGCTTTACCTTTAAAACAATGTCTGTGTTCGAACCAAAAGATATCCTTCCGTACTTTACTGATTGAAGTTGGTATAGTTGGTAAATATTGTGGTTGTACACATGTGCATATATATATAATATGTATATCATATATTATGTATTTTATCTATATCTCCCCGATAGCAAAAGAGTACACACCCTGCGGTTTGTTCAAACGCCGCATTCCAAAATCCACCAGTTATAGATGCATTGTTTCCCGGAAAACCTCCATCTATAGGGTATTGAAAAATGTGTAGTTTCCATTGCCACGTTGATTTCCAGATGGTTGAATTTACCTATATATTCCTATTTATAGCACACATTCATCATTCTATGGAACTACATGGAACTACCAAGCTCACCAGCTGGTTACCATAATATCAGCTCCCATTTTACTACTGACACTGAATCCTGAAATCTGATGCAATCGATTGGTAAATTCCCTACGAGTAATAAATGTAACTAACGTAAAGCCTGGTTGACCTATAGTTAGTTCAACCAACAATCCTCAATTTTGCCGCTTGAACTCCAATTTCTATAAATTGAATCCCTTCTAAACAACCATCAATCACACATCTTGACACATCTTGACACATCTTGACACATCTTGACACATCTTTCTTGCTTAAAACCTGAACATCTATACGTAAACCTTCAATTCTTCCACTACTTGTCTCAGTTTTTCATACCGAGACGTGAAAAAAAAATGCCACCGTCCCAGCATCACAAGCGCCGTAATGCTCCCAGGTGGTCTCCTGGCCAAGGACTATCCCTGGTTGGTGGTGCAATAACCATCTTGAAGAATATGAGTTCGTCAATGGGAAGTACTATCCCATATTAATTATGGAAAATAAATTGCTTAACTTATAACTGCTTGGTGGTATACCTACCCCTCTGAACTTATAACTTAACTAGGGTGAACTAGGTGACTAGATCATATTCCTGGTTATAAAGTTCATATATGAGGTATAGAAATTAGCATCTGGTTATCTGGCTGGTGGTATATCTACCCCTCTGAAAAATATGAGTTCGTCAGTTGGGATGATGACATTCCCAACTGAATGGACAAATAAAAATCATGTTCCAAACGACCAATCAGTTAATGTATCCTTATGTGGGTGTGGCTTACACTTTGAGGCAAAGAAGAGTATGTTTGGCCATAGTTGAGTATGAACCATCCTTCTTGAGGTATACAATCTTAACCCATACCAGGTTGCCATCTAGGTATGTTGCTGTTGCTTTATGTCAACCCACCTGGACCCACCTCAGCTTTTTTTAGATATTGATCATGAATCCCAGCGCAACTTGGCCCGTTAGTTCAACCAGGTCATTGGGGATCATCATCCCAAATAGGCTAGACATATCCGACATCACCATCCATTACCCTCCGGTAAACATACAAAAAACTATGGAAAGATCAACCATTTTCAATGGGCAAATCAATTATAATAGCCTTTTTCAATAGCTATGTTAGTTTACCAGAGGGTACAGCATGTGTGGGCAATAGTCCCATTCAATGATGGATACATCCCCAGTTTCATCTTTGGCTACTTTTTTTAAATCAAGATTCACATTCAATACATCAATATTGGGAACTATCCCAACTAATAATATACCGTATATACCCATATTAACCATTTATAAAACCATCAATTTCCCGCAGGTGTGTTAAACCAAATATTTAGGTCATGGGGTTATAACAACCAAAAAATCTAATGATACCAATGAATAAACCCAATAAACAGCATGAATGAATATGCCATTGTTTCCATATGATCTAAACCCAAATAAACATTGGAAAATGGGAGTTTTAGGTTTATAAACCCATATCATATTTCATAAAAATCCCCCATATTCCCATTGTTTGTAAACCTAAATGGGATGCGATGGTGATATATCCCCATTATATACCCTCTGGTAAATTAACATAGACCCTGGCAGTCATCGGGGTTGGAAGATTAGTTTCCATTAAAACTAGGCTATTTTCAGGGTCGAACTGTTAATTTACCAGAGGGTAAATCCCATAAACAAAAATCCCAGTGACTTCCCCAATCAATGGGAGATCTCCAGGATCCTGAAATGGAGGTACTGTACCATATAAGGCCATATTTTGGGGGTTCCTGAAATGGCCATTGATATAACCTAAAATTTATATCCCCATTATATAAAACTAAAAATCCCCCATAGCCGCCATCCAGTCGAAACTCCATCCCTGTCCTGAGTCCATCCTAAAGAGAGCTCAGGGTACTCCAAACCTCAGCGACCCGACTTCCGGTTCTTTTTTTCCGCAAGACGGCAACGTATGATATCGATAGATATCTAAAATAGTGATAAATATAATATACAGCTATACAACTATAGTATATGTATATGTATATATATATGCATATATATATATGTTTACATATGTGTGTATATATATATATATATGTATATGTATATATATATGTATATATATACATTATGTATACATATATATATAATTATAATATATATATACATATATATACATATACATATATATATAGATATATATATGTCCATATACATTACATACGATGCACATATAAAATTGCATATGACATATATACAATTATATATTTATATTATCATATGCACCAACCCAATTTAGCACACATACATTCTCAACAACAGTGGATGCACCAGGCTTCCAACAGATTTCCCCCTAACAAAAATCCCAATGATCAATGCAGAAGCCGCAGAAGCCTAGTTGATCCTAGTTGTGCCAGTGCATCATGTGCCATGGTCAAAACATGATATCAATGGCCATTTCAGGATCCTGAATTGGAGGTACCTACCATATATAAGGCCTAAATTTCAGGGAATATCCCCAGAAAATATGGCCAGAAATATGGTACTAACGTACCTCCATTTTAGGATCCTGGAGATCTCCCATTGATGATATTAATGGACCTTCTATGGCTACAGTCATCCCGGGAAATCCCGTTGCTTTTCACGGCTAGATCAACTAACTTGGCGATTCGGATTGACCATGGCACATCTCACCGGGCTACTTAGAAAGCAACAAAACTAATAAGGACCAAGCAAACAACAAAACAGATCTATAATATCTATAGTATCAATATGGATAGAAACAATCATTGAGCAGATGAAAACACCTGGCTCATTGGTGGTTTCAATCCCCCTGAAAAAAATATCAGTCAGATTGGATCATCATCCCAACTATTGGGGAAAATAAAAGCCATGTTCCAAACCACCGACCAGTTGACTTACAGTAAGTATAGATCAAATTTGATGTTTGTGAAAACCTTCCAAACTGTGTTGGAATCACAGACACGACCAGCCTGGCGGGTTTACGCAGCACTTCCGAAAGCGGGTAGCCTTCGTCATACCCTCTGTTAATTTAACGGTTTGCTATTGATAATGGACATTTATAGTTGATTTTCCCATTAAAAATGGTGATTTTCTATAGTTATTTAAGTTTACCAGATGGTAAATTGCTGAACCCATTCAACTGTAGGTCAACCTCATCCAGAACACAATTGGTCTGGTTGCAAATCAATGAACATCGAAACCAATCAACAAAACCACTAATATCAAGGATTTCTATAAAAGATCAGCTGTATCCACAAAAATCAACAAAATCGTCACGATCAAATCCAAATCATCAACTCAGAAACCTAACAACTATCAGCAAAACAATTACTTTTGAAATCTATAATTACCGGTACCCATTTTGTAATTGTTGCATTTTCAAAAAAACAATGATCAACTATCAACTACATAATCAACATTAATCAACTATATCGCCTCCCTATGATTTGTAGAGAAACAAAACATGTCCAAAACTCGTTGTTTGGGACAAGTTACCATCACAACTCAGCATGCCAGTCGGTTTCGGGCGTTCCACACGATAGCGACGAGGACCCGAGGTGGCAAAGACCTAAAACAACACAACCGAGCCAGCGATGGACCACCAAACAGCCCAGGATCAAAAAAATGGAATTTCAACAAGGAAAAGGATAATATTCCACCATTCAAAAAATATGATCAACACTAATCAATCATGGGATTGAAATAGTGTATTTATGTATTTCATACCATGCAGGATCCATGAAAATAATTGGATGTCTGTAACTTTGCAAAGAATGATGAAAAATATAAAATCATCAACCAAGTCTATCCGGTGATATATGATGACACTAAAGAAAAACAATCATCGAAAAGTGTCGAAGCTCTGTTCGCCATCAATGTTTCCAGAGGTTACATAAAGCACCAAGATTTGGTGTGGTCCATGCACTACACATTTCAAATATGCACTACACACATAATATCATAATTGATTATTAATATATATATATATCATAATTTAATTATTCATAATATTAGTAATACACCATATAATATACATAATTATATGATACATAAAATACATAATTATCAACATGGTGGATATATTCATGTGCACTACTCACATCATATTAGCCTCCCATGACCGTAGAAAACTCGTGGATTTACCCATTGAAAAATGGTGGATCTTCCCAGTTCGCAAACTGTTAGTTATGTAGACATTTACCAGAGGGGATCTCAAAATGGGTGATGTTCCATACAATGTGAGGCCCCCCAGTGATGTGAACGTTGGTTTAGATTCGCCCAGTAACTATAGTTATAAGTACCATAAACATCCATAAACCATAGTTATTGGAGTTATGTTCACCAACTTAGATATCTTGGGGGCCTCACATTGTAGCTATGTTGAAGAACCAGAGGGAACAGCTGATGGGATTGTCATGCCTTGTCCCCAAAATCTAGCGGTTGATCATGTCCTCTACCCTCTGGTAATTTTACATAGCTATTGAACATGACCATAGAAATAGTGGATTTACCTATAAAAAAATCTGATCCTCCATAGCTATGTAAACGTTTACCAGAGGGTAAATCCAAATCAAAACCCATTAAATCACCATAAAACCATTAAAATCACCATTAAAACCTTTGGTAGCATGGTGCTGTTCCATTGTGGAGGCTTGCTGCATGCTATGATCGCGATTGGATTATAAAAAACCGTTGCCAACGTGGGGATGCAAGCAACAAAGATGGGCATTGATACGCAACCCATAACGGAAATATACCCTCTGGTAAGCACAGAAAAAGCTATGGAAAATGGCCATAGAAATAGTCAATTTTTTGCTCGCAAAATGGTGATTTTCCAGTTCGCAAATTGTAAACGTTTACCAGAGGGTATATCCCAATGAAATCCCATGAAATCCCATTAAACCCTATTAAATCCACTATTAAAGTGAACATTTATAGATGATTTTCCCATTGAAAACCTCCATTTTTCACCTCGTTCCAGGGCTGGAAACCCTGAGCCGTTCCAAGGCGCAGCCGATGCCACGAGATCAGCCATAGGCCAGTTGTAGACGGGACAGCCAGGTGCAACTCGGGTGCAGGTGCGCCATGTGGGGAGTGGTTCATATATACATACTTGATATGGTATGAATAATATATATATATATATCCATATCCATATCATGTCAAGTATATACTATATATATATATATACACGCGTATATTATACACGCATATGTACTGTATATATAATATAATAAAGTAAAAAATAATATAATATAATATAATATAATATAATATAATATTATAGTATATAGTATATACACACACGTATATATTATATACATATATATTATAATATATTATATATATTATATATATACATACATGTATATGTATCATGTATATTATCTTGTGTACCGCCCATTCGCTGCAACAGTGTGCACCAGAAGGGCACCAAAAAATGCACGAGAAAAATTAAGAAAACGAGGTTCCTTTTTTTTCATGTTCCAAGGAGACCGTAAACGTCCACAATGAAAGTAATTAGATTTTCTGGAGACACTGTGGGTTTTGCACATGTAACCAAGTTATCGAGTTATCGGCCATTCTCCTTGGGGTAGGGGTGGTAAAATGGGGCACCTTGCCAATTGTAGGAAATGCCCATTATTGTAATTTCCAAATTGCAGAGTTTCGTCATGGTATTCTCCTTTGATGGCTGGGGTGCAAAAGGCAAATCATGGGAGATCAGGAGTTTGGGAACTGAGGCTCGCGATATCGCCCACGAGCGATAACCAGGACCAGGATACTTACAATGTGAGGCCCCCGTTCGATATCTAAGTTGGTGCAAACAACTCCAATAACTATGGTTTATGGTACTTATAACGAACTAGTTACTGGAGCTTTTGTTAACCAACTAACATCACTGGGGGGCCTCACATTGTACAAATCAAGGGTATATGTCATCAGTGTCACCTCAATAACAAATTGGTTTCAAAACCCACAATGACATGTTTCCCCCGCATTCGCCAGCAGAAAACGAATATTGCCAGCACAAGCTGAACCCAACCAACAAACAAATTCTTGTCAACAAATACCCTCTGGTGAACTAATATAGCAATTGAAAATGGCCATTTATAGTGGATTTTCCCATTAAAAATGGTGATTTTCCATTGCTATGTTAGTTCACCAGAGGGTATGTCACATATTTTTCACGAACAACATAAGTCTAAATTAATCAATCGAGAAAACATGTCTCCATGTCCCTAAAAATCGTCCCTATCTTTTGGCAATCCAAATCCCAAGAATCACCCAGTCGAATCAGATGTTCCATCCCAATGTGAGAATCTATGGAGCTTTCCTAAGTCATGGGGGTACCCCTAGTTATCATCCAGCTATTATTTTCGGATTTTCCATGAAATAAACCATCCAGCGATAAAGGGCTACCCACAATTTAGGAAACCCCCAAATAAATCCTTTATGAAAATGAATTGATGACCATCCAAGGACACAATATCGACAGTATCCCAAGCTGCTTGACCAATTCATTTGGAATGCACCACTGAATCATTTACGGATCCGTGAGTCCTGGATCCAGGATTCATGTCATAGATATTCATAGATCATACCCCCGTGTTTCGAAACGCCAATTTTCGAGTCAATGCTAGTTCAAGGAACCTATACCGCGATGACTAATGGTTGTTCTTCATATTTTTGCATTGGCTCACGCATTAACCAATCAACTAGTTTGACCTATTTTGTAACACCATAAATCCTATCCGAAAGCTCGATGTTGCCTTTTAAAGCCATCCAACTATAGTTGTATAACCTAAGAAAGAAAAACTAGTTCGATTACAACTTCGCCCAGTACGGAAATCACCACGATTATAGATATTCTCCACTGTATATACCATCTGGTTATCTAACATGGCCATGGAAAATTGCCACTTTTAACAGGTAAATCATTTTTAATATGTAAATGGGTAATGTTCCATGGCTATGTTAAATAACCAGAGGGTAATATACATTTGTACGAAGATCAATAGCTGCTAGGTCTTCGTTCCATGGTTCATTTGAATCCATCTGTATAACACGGACACATTTTGTAAACTAATCACATCACGTGGGAAATCTCAGTATTTCAATTCACAAGTCAAGAACCATATCAATCCTATACTTGGATGCTTAGACTACTATAACTACTATAACTACTATACCTATTGGATATCACAAAATAGTGATTTCAACTACTTAAACTCAATAACATGTTTAGATGCTTAACCAACCATTCTTTGAACATTACTCCCACATCACCAACCATTCGCCGATCCAGAGCCACAGCATCCCATGTTGCTGTTTATATCCTTATGTTTAATACGTTACGGTTACTATGTTTAATACTAATGGGATTTGTAGAACATGGGATTATAACACTTAACTTGTTTAAATGCTGTTTAATACTAATTCTTCCTGGCTAAATCATGATAAATCACAATAGTTTCTGGTCAATACCCCGTTTTCGCTGGTTGAATCAAAGACAATGATGTCTTAAGTCCACTAAAATCCCATCTAAACGGCGAAACTCATTAAAAAAAACAAATAAAAACATATGTAACTGGTTGGTGGTATACCTACCCCTCTGAAAAATATGAGTTCGTCAGTTGGGATTATTATACCCAACTGAATGGAAAAAAAAAACATGTTCCAAACCACCAACCAGGTAAACTCTCCATCTCTCTCCATGGCTGAAATCTCATGAAAACTCACTGCCCAGGCGCTCAAATAGTCCTGCAAGGAGCGTTTTTGTTCGTCCATGGGCTTTGACAGCGCTTCCGCTCCCAGAATGGCGCGGATTAAGTCCTGAAATGATCCCGGGGGATTTTTTGTACAACTGCAGGATGTTTTCAAAAAATGGTTATGGGGGTTGTAATCTATAAGTATTAAACAAGTATATAGAAAAAAGTAATCTATATGTATTTAAAAAGTATTTTAAAAAAATATATATTCCCACTAAAAACGTATTTTTTAAAAAATAATATATTCCCACTAGTTTAAACGTATATATAAAAAACAAAAACTATTAATCTATGAATCCATGTATCTATACTTTTAAAGTATCCATGTAAAAATTCTATGTATCGATGTTTTTTGATGCACCTATGTATCTATGCGTCGTTTGTATATCTATCTGGTTGTATCTGATCGACATCTAATATCATCTAATATCTATCGATATAATTACATCATAATCACCATGATATATATATATATATGTATAATACGTGTTGGTTGGTAATTTCAACCATGGTTGATAGGCAACTATCGGACATATAGCGAAACAAAGCAGGAATCCAAATCAGCAAACAACTATATACAACCTCCTTTATTTTGATGCTGCAGTTATTCACAAACGCAGAGATTTGAAATTATGGGAGTCACTTTGATAAGCCATTCTATATGTTTTTCGTCTTTGTTAAGTCATTTTTAGCCAGTTTTGGACGGGTCTGGAGAAATTTTGAAAAAAACAAAAATCAAACAACACCAAAAAGTAGATAGAATATTGTTTCAAACCAGGTAGATAGAATATTTTGAGGGAATTGTGAACACCACGCGCAGACCCCACAGCAGCTTAAGACCCTGCAAACCATATTCCAACTACCAGTTTTCGACCTCCCCCGAAATATTCCAACTACCTATTTATTTTTAAGTGGCCGACATCCAACATAATTCCAACATAAATCCCGCACCCTCCAAAAAAATATTCTATCTACTTTAGGATGACTATATATATATATAAACATGATTAAACATGTCTGTTACCAAACACATGAAATAGAACAAACATCTGAGAACCAGCGAGGAAGTTGTTGCCGCGTCCGAAATTTTGCAGAGTTGGTCACAACATAGATGGCAACAACCAACAAACGAGGAAAAAAAAAACACGCCTCAAATGGCATTCTTAATGGGGAACATTTTACGAGAATCCTTGGAATCTCAGGGTACCCCATTTCCAAACAAACGCATTTGATTCTCGAGCGGAAACAGAATCTGTGTGTTTTGATATCCCCTATGGATCCCAGCCTGGCTATAGCCTCAAAAAGCAGAGGCCACTCTCCCAACATCCACCGAAAATTGGCGGACTGTCTCAAATGATCTTGGCGGACACGCGTCAAACGATTACAAGGTGACGCCCCGCAGTTGTTTTTGTTGGTTTATGTACACCATCAATACTATAGACGGTACCCTACTATGCTCCATCTATGGACTATTTACACGACATTTTGACAATTTTGCGGGAAAAGATGTAGGTAAATATTCTAGACATGGCGCATTTACCTACATTTACCCCCATTTACCCCCATTTAACATGATAGTATGCTATAGTTAAAATGGTCATTACCCTCTGGTAAACGTTTACATTCACTATGGAAAATCACCATTTTTCATGGGAAAACTCACTATAAATGGCCATTTTCCATAGCTTTTTCTATGTTTACCAGAGGATAACTCCAGTCGAAATTGGAGCTAGGCTTCCAGCGCCAGGTCTTCCAGGCCTTCCAGGTTCACAACCAAGGATCCGCGTGACCCATGAAGACAGCCAGCTGTGCCAAATTCCGGCCTTGCGTGTGAGTCCACAGCCGGTTCTTGAAACCTCAGTAGGGTTAAGGCTGGTTGGTGGTTTTTCATAACCCCGAAAAATGATGGAGTGAGTTCGTCAATGGGTTCCGGATGACATCTCTCATCCCATTATTATGAAATGGAAAATAACAAATGTGTGAAACCACCAATCAGAAGGAATATCTACATGGAAAATCTGGGTCTTACCATCGAAATCTACACGCAACCATGTTTTTTTTTAACATAGTTTTACCATCAAATGTGCGGTGTTCCTGTAGATTTCTTCTCTTCATCCAATACAGTGTTGTGAAGGTGTCTGGCACAAACTGGTGCTCCAATCAAAGCCCTGAGTTGCTTGAGCTGCGTAGGCGAACTTGCTTGGATTTGTAGTAAACTTAGTAAACATATCCAAGTGGTTAGATTGGTGAACGTACACGAAGTTACAACTGGGGGACTCACCTAGAAGCTGGGTCTATGTATTTAGAGATTCGTTGAAACCACGGAAGAACGATGATCAGCTCAGCGGAGTTCTGCAAATGTTGGTGGATTTACTGCCCAAAAAAGACCGTACCTCTCAACATGTTGACCGAGCCGAATGGCACCCAAAAACCATTGGATCTATATATCCCATCGGATCCATGTATGCTATATATGGTAACATGAATCCCATGAATATACCCCAAATGCTAGCATATATACCAGCACCATGGATCCTATGGGTATATCTTTAAATAAACAAATCCTCGAATCCACCATAGTTCGATGATTCTTTTCCCATGACACTGGATTCTGACCTCTGAATCCGGGAGTTCCCGGCTATGCTCATTTAACCATGTGCATAGCACAATGTGGAGCCTCCAAAATAGGCAAGTTATGGTGTACGGCAATGATTGCAATTAGGACCACAAAGACCGGATATATGGTAGAGATTCATCACTCCCGTTGAATGGCTTAACCAACTAATAACTTCGCGGGCCCACTTTGCAGGTAAAACCCTAATGTTACATGTTGACCTTTATATGTGGAATACCATTATTGTTGATAGAATATCCCTATGGTGAATGATTAAATCCCATGATAGAATGTATCCCCATCAGGAGTATTACATCTTGTTCGAAAACACAACAATATGATTTCCCATCTTTAATGGCTACCATCTCCTCAACCAAATTAGACCATGGACACATATTCCAACCCCAAACTCATGGCTGGGTCTTGGCTGGATGGTGAATCACGAGCTCTACAATAGGGTGCTCTTCAGCTATAAATTCTTTTATGTTCACCCATCTAAGTGTATAAATGACACTTTCCTGAAATAGGGGAGCCCCTAAATCATCCATTTCAATAGGATTTTCCCCTACAAACCATCCAGCTATTGGGGTACCCCCAATTTGGGAAACCCCCATGTATATATATATATACATATAAGTATATATATATATACTACAGTATACATATCCAACAGTTGGCCTAGTTACTGTACAATCAACTTAGTTAGGTCACCAGGGGGCACCCAAAAAATGTGGGTATCTTGTTGCTTGTTGCCATCCCAGGATATCCCCTTCCCACATTTCCCACCCGGCTCCACGGAACCCGTCAGGGAAAAGATGGAGAGTTTCTTCTTCTTGTCCAGCTGGACACCTTCTCGAGGCCTGCAGATGTTTTTCGATTTGTGAAGCGAATACGGATGGCCTCAACAAGATTTGGCTGTATCCAAGCTTAAGTACAATCTAGTCATCTAGTCAGTTGACCCAGAAAATTGAGAAGTGTGCAAAACTCGCTGCCCGTCATCATGTCATCCCCACACATCCGCACTAATTATAGGGTAGCATAACCCTCCAAAAATGACCAACAAACAAACCATAATTTATCAGTTTCTATGCACTTATATCATCGTATGTTCCATGGTTTGATGGTTGGCACAAACCTTCTCGGCCGGCGCAAAGGCAGGAACAAAGCAGCCCGAGTCCATCGTGAAAAAGTCAAAGGCAAGAACATCCCTATTACCCTCTGGTAATTTAACATAGCTATGGAAAATCACCATTTTTAATGGGAAAAATCAACTATAAATGGCCATGTTCAATAGCTATGTTAGTTTACCGGATGGTAAATGACAATAATAACCGACCAACATCGGCTTAAAACAGAAACCACTTAAGTCGACTGAATTCCACACGCCCAGAGCGCGCATCTCCCAGTGCTCGTTGATGGCATCAATATCTGTCTGGCTGAAGGGTTCCTGATCCGAAAAAGAACTGGCATTACCCCCCCCCCAAAAAAAAAAACGGAGATATCCAAACATGGTCCACTAATAAATAAAAATAATATATATATATAGAAATTGGAAAAATGACCATGAACAACATTATATGGGTAAATTGACCATACAGAATTTTGTTCATGCTCCATGCGGAATAATTCTACAGTAGGTGCAGGCCAGGGTATGTGTGGTTTGCCTCAGGCCAGTCCATGGATGACATCATCCCTACAAGAACATCAATGTGGTTAAAACACAAAAAAAAAACATCCCCCAAATCATCACCATTTTTATAGGTGGTACATATAAACCATTCCCAGTCCTGGGTGGTAAAAATGGCATTGTTTGACCCACAACCAACCGTCGACGCAGAACTGAGGTTTTTTTCCAACTGAATTGTGATGATCCCTGGGGATGTGAAAATCGATTTAAATACCCCAGGATTATCTCCAGCAAATATATAGAGGTCATTACCCAAATGCTCCATGTATGGTATATATGCTAACAGTTGAGGTATATTGATGGGATCCATGTTACCATATATAGCACACATGGATCCGGGTTTTAGTTCAGCCAGATTCACGATGTTCAATTACTATATTTTACATAACATTTTACTAACATATAATTACATGTGTATATTGAAGGATGAATCAACATTGGTTTATTATATCTGGTTGGTGGTTTGAACCCCTCTGAAAAATATTAGTCAGTTGGGATGATTATTCGCAATATATGGAAAAATAAAAAATGATCCAAACCACCAACCAGATATAGTATCTAGCTGCATATAGTCTAAATAGTAATTCGTGAGCACGCATCACTAATCTCACAAGTTTTATATGTGTCTAATCATTTCATGGCATGGGGTGCTCTTTTGTCATCATTTACATTAAAAGTGGTGTCGTAGGGAAGTCACCATAACTGACACAGATACTAATCCTTAGTGCCGAAACAGGTCAACAATAGTTGAGAAACCAAACTGTGTTTCAACTCTTTTGGCACATATTAATATTAACTTCTACATCCATTTACCATATTACCTGTGTCCGTCTGCAATATTATAACTATAACAACTTGCCACGCTCAAGGAAGGTCCATTGTGATCAGTGTGGATGATTTCCGCTTATGTTGGTGTATAAACCCATTAACTTATTAACTGGTTGGATATATGTACCAAAAACCATAATTATACTAGTATTGCATATAGTTATACTAGTATTCACCAACTTAGCGATCATAAATAAGCTAGTATAAGCTATAAATCCCAGTACATCCACCAATTTACTCATTATCTTCTGGTGACCCGATGACGTCATGTCTTTCCGCTCGCATCCCACAGCTGGGATGCGTCCATGTCGAGGTTCTGTCGGAGAAAAGTCCAAGCGACTTGCCAGAAATGCGCAGGAAAGGACCAAGCCGGACAAGACACCTGCTGTGGTGCTTGAATGTGGTTTATCTTTGGAAAATATCTGGTTGGTGGTTGAGCCACCCCTCTGAAAAATATGAGTTCGTCAATGGAAGGATGACATCCCACATATTATGGAAAATAAAAAATGTTCCAAACCACCAACCAGATATTAATGGGAAGATCATTGAACTAAATGGCATAAAGGAATATAAATGAGCTATAACTTGGGGATTTCTCGTATCTCTCCAAAAATATATCAATGTATATTAGTTTGTTGGTTTATGTTTGTTGAGCCATAGTCAACTAAAGTTACAAACCAACTTGCCTAGTACCTATTCATGGTGGTTAACCAATCACATGGCCAATCTTGGATACCCTGCAACGAGTCGCTCATTGAGTAGTACTATAGCGAATTAGATCTCCGAAAAAATTAAGAGGTCTAATCAGAGAAAATTCCAAAGTCTTGTCATGTCTGTAGGTTTATAGGTCAATTAAATATATGAAATACTAAAATCCAACATTTCTTGGGGCGAACCTCTCAATTTTGTCGCTTCATCATCTTTCTAGATTGCAACAAAACCAACTGAGCCATTCAAAATACCCCAGCCGCCCATCCAATTGTACTGGTTGGTTGAGAACGGGATTCCCATTAATTATGGACTATGAGAATGCCCAACAAACATCAACAAACCAGGTAGGTAGGTTCATAATCCCCTATCCCCCGTACTAACCGATCAACAATCGCTCAACTGCGCTAAAGGACCTTGGTACATCATCAACTGCGCGCCCTTCCGATCTGTCGAAAGATCAGCAGATTTCAAACACGCCTGGCAAAAAGAGGAGATAGTCGGCATAGGTGGACAGATTTACGCACCAAAATGGAGGGATTCAACAAGCAAACACTGGTTACGTGTGGGGAAAATCAACAAAGAAGAAATGGGGGAATAATGTGGAATAACTAGCCCAACATGGTTGGTTTGGAAAATCCATCTATAAATGGATGATTTGGGGGTACAGTACCCCTATTTCAAGTTATATTTGGACAATCTGAAAGAGTTGCTGATGATTACTGAAGATTCTCTTGTTGGATTTCCTCAACTTAATGCAGAAACTCATGCAATGTCGCATTCCAAGAGTCCCTGGGCCATTTTCCGCGACTAATGAAGTTGCATTTCATTGTTGGCGAATATTCTACTTTAAACCATGGACAGTAAGCAATAGTTTGTTTAGCGGACCATATCAGGTGTTCACTGTGAGAGAAACTGCGCTCCATAAAAAGAGAGGGACTGTGTTGGTTGCCAGAAAATAAGTACACGATGAGATAATCTCAGAAATTCACAATCAAACAATCCCTACATTTCAATCATATGTGGGGTGAATCATCAACAGAAGAACACATAAAAATAAAACAATACCTCCTGGTTTAAGAAATCTACAATGTGGGGCGCCCAAGTAGTTGGTTCAACTACATCTAACTCGTTTCTTATGCCATAAAACCCAAACGTTAACTACATTGGTTCAACCAACTTAGCTATCACCAATTAAGCACAAAAAGTGACTTCGCGGCGGCAGAATCCTCCACATTTTCGTGATCATCAAATGGTTGATAATGCGGATCCTACTATTTATGTGTAATGGGGATTGTATAATATTATAGATCCCCATTATATTAACTATATATCTAGTGATAATATCACCATTATCCCCACTATACTATAGATAATCAGTTATAATATATAGTATATCTAGATTATTTATAATTATCTAGTAATCATAGTAATCATATTAATTATCACCATATTATCCCCATTATATCTTAATATATCCAGTTGATTTACTGGGGGTGTTTTGTCAGATTTACCCTCTGGTTATGACTAACATAGCTATTGAAAATCACAATTTTTAATGGGAAAATCCACTATTTCTATGGCCATGTTCAGTAGCAAACCGTTAAATTACCAGAGGGATCCAGAGGGTATATTCACTTTCACCAAGAGTCCAAGATCGATTCATCCAACGCCATACGGATGCTGGGCAACGTGAGCATTTGCACCTAACGGTTACGCAACGAACGCAACCGAGCGAGCCATCGGGTGATGCAGCGACTCAGTTGGAGTCAAATCATCAGAAAACGCGGGGAAGATTCGCAGATTTCGACTGGCAAAAATGGTGATATAGTTATAGAATATGATATTACTATATATATATCAATGGGAATATTATCAATGGGAATTATATAGAATATATCATATAATTATATGATACATGCGATGGGAATAATCCCTTCCTCCTAATACTAAACCCCCCCCCTAATACAAAACACGGCAGGTAGTTTTTAGTATTAGGGGGGTATTTATTATTAGGGAACCAAATGGCAGTTCGAAGCTTACCCCTAATACTAAATTAAAACCCTTAATACTAAAAACTATTTTTTCCGATCTCAAAATCAATTAAATTTCTTTATATAACGCAATTAAAATATTGCCAAAAATGGCAATTCGAAGCTTACCCCTAATACTAAATTAAAACCCTTAATACTAAAAACTATTTTTTCCGATCTCAAAATCAATTAAATTTCTTTATATAACGCAATTAAAATATTGCCAAAAATGGCAGTTCGAAGCTTACCCCTAATACTAAATTAAAACCCTTAATAATAAAAACCATTTTTTCCGATCTCAAAATCAATTAAATTTCCTTATATAACGCAATTAAAATATTGCCAAAAATGGCAGTTCGAAACTTACCCCTAATACTAAATTAAAACCCTTAATAATAAAAACTATTTTTTCCGATCTCAAAATCAATTAAATTTCCTTATATAACGCAATTAAAATATTGCCAAAAATGGCAGTTAGAAGCTTACCCCTAATTGCTAGAGTAGCTAGGCAGCTTGGAGTGAGGGATTGGGACTAGGCCCCCCTAATACTAAACACCCCGGGGTGAACTAGTTTTTAGTATTAGGGGGGAGAACCCACAAATGGTAGGTTGATTTTCGAATTGTTTTTTAAAGGGGATCAATTAAAAGTCAAATTGGCCAAACTGAAATTTTCGGAAATTGGAGATGGATGCCTGTTTTTAGTATTAGGGGGACGTTTAGTATTAGGAGGAAGGGATTATATCAATGTATGTTAAGCTGTGGATTAGGCAACAAAAACGTAGCTCCCAGTGATTTGTTTGTAGCTTGAACCGTGGAACATGACTTAAAAAGAATGAAATAATCTAGCAATGGTACATAATTGGGTATTTTCCACATATTCCAGAATATCTCAATGGATATGTTTGTTGGTGTATGTGAAAACCCATCCACTGGAAAAAAACAAATCCAATCACTTGAAAGAACCATACAATGTGAGGCCCCCAAGATATCTAAGTTGGTGCAAATAACTCCAATAACTATGGTTTGTGGTACTTATAACGAACTGGTTACTGGGGCTTTTGTTAACTAGCTAACATCACTGGGGGGCCTCAAAGAACCATAATCATTGACTCACTGTGAGGTGGAAATCTCCGGCCATACCTGCAATGTGCCCCTTCTCGGAAAACTGTGTCAGCTTGTGTAAAAAATTCCCCCATAGTTACCACATAGTTACCCTACTTACTCCAATTATAAACCAAAGTCAACAGTGAACAATATACTATAGAAAATATACTACATATTTATAAACTCTATTATAAATCAAGCGCATCAAAAAACACATGGCTTAAACTTCCACCATTTCCCACGCGTTTCATGGCTAAAATCCCCGCCAGGGTGCCGTCTTGAGCGCGACCTCGTCCGGGCCTGCGACACTGCTATCCTGGCGTAGCATGGCATTGGTTGGTTGATGACTATAGTCACTTTAACCACTAAGATAGATGATTTTAACCATCATTTAGTAAGTAGGGTAACTATGTGGTAGTCACAGCTATCGTATGGGGGGATTTTTTACACAAGCTGACACAGGTATGGCCAGAGATTTCCACCTCACAGTGAGTCAATGATTACAATGTGAGGCCCCCGTTCAATAGCTAAGTTGGTGCAAAAAACTCCAATTTCACTATGGTTTATGGTACGCAAATAACATCTTATAACGAACTAGTTACTGGGGCGAATCTAAACCAACTTATAACTGGGGGGCAACTTTGTAAGATAGGTGATTTTAACCATCATTTAGTAGTAACATACGACAGAAGTGATGGACATGATATATATATATATACACACTGTATATATGTATATTTAATCAAACCACCAATGATATAAGTGTTAGAAGTGATAGGTGGATTATGAGTGTGGCTTAATGGATGTTTAATCATCGTTTATAGAGGTATCAAGCAGCAAAACATGTGGATCTATTTGGTAATTGATGGCTGGTGGATGATTAGTTGTCATTTCCTATGGAGTTTCAAGCATTAAAATGCAAGTGATAGACGTGATAAAGTATGGTTAGTTGATGATTTGTTCGTCACTCAACGGGGGGTTTTAACCATCAACATAAGGGGATATAAGATTATATTTTCGTGGATAGAAGTGATACATGATGGTTGGTAGGATTTGCCAATTCACATTATGAAAATCTCCAATATATAAAGGGTAGCAAAAACCAGAAAAATCATCAATCAACAGGGGTTTTGAACAGTGCTCACATGATGTACCCTGAGGTAAAATTACAAACAGATGTGGAAAACCCTAGTTTCCTTGGAAATGATCTGCAAATGGTGGGTTGTCCACATTTTTTGTTAGTTTACTGGAGATTATCTTGTTTTTTTTTAGTGTTTAACTTTATAGATTATGTAACTGCAATGTGGGGCCCCCTAGATAGCTAAGTTGCCTTATAAGTGGCTTAACTATGGTTTATAGTAGATATAACTATAGTTAATGGGGTTTATAAACCAACTTATAACTGCGGGGCACCACTTTGCGTGTATGTAATAACATGTAATGACATTAGATAACCAACATATAATTCTTTGATATGCTACAGGCATGTGATTCTGTTGAGCAATTTACATGAAAATGGATCTGCTTATCTGTATGCGTGCATGTGAATGGGAGCATGCTTATCGAATATGAATGTGTGAATATGGATTTGTATATGTATATGTGTATAGACAGCCCATATGCATATGATATTATATATATATATATGTATGATTCTACATGTGTACTTGCATAGACATAAATAGAGAATAATCTATTCGTGTCAATCAACTACAAGAACCACACTGCGAGGTCACTGGAATGGTGTTGTTTTTACGGAAATCCCAGTTTTTCGCTTCAGGCTTCAGGTGGATGAAAATTCAAAAAATTATCCAAAATTGGCTGAAACAACATTAGGCCAGTGATAGGCCAGTGATAGGTGTACAGCATTAACATCAAGTGATATATATATATATACAGGCTGAAACAACATTTATCCAAAGTGTGTACAGCATTAACATCAATTCACTGCAAATAAGATGGCCGTGCGAGCATCCGATGATTCATGGACATGATACACTATCACAATCACGGAGGCATCGTCGACAGTGATGAGGACAATGTTCCCCGAAACAAAACAACACATAAACACAGCTTACGGCATTTCTTGCATTATATAATTCGTTGTTTTAGTGGGGTACTTTGTATGATTTTATATGTATATCATATCTGTCTGTCCATCTGTCTGTCTGTCTATCTACTTGCATATGTACTACGAATGTCTATATACAAATATCCTGAATCATAACCCATCTCCAAAACCCATCATGATAGGCCAGTGATAGGCCAGTGATAGGTGCAGAATGTCTTAAGCTTGGACCATTAGAGTTTTTTGAACATGCCAAGCACAACAAGTCCGACAAGCGAACGTCGATAGGGCGCATCAAATGAATTCGTTGATGAGATCTCGAGAATCTGGAGCAAAGATGCTGGGATGAAATATGATGAAATCATGGATAGAAAAGTTACGGAAACCTGGAAATCTGCGGCAAGAACAATATCTACCATCCTGGAAACACCGGGACTATGTTGTCTTGGCTTGTGATATTTATATAAGTAATGAAGCCAGAGAAACAACAAAACATGGGTCCAACTCCACCATAGTTCAACCAATACATAATATAAGGGGCAAGATATTTCAACATGTTTAGCACCTACTTTATCCATTTTTATTCTACAATAAGTCATGATAGATCCTTTTTACCAATAATTAAGTCAACATAAACCAACTGTACATGGTCTATCTTAGTGACCAGCAGTTCCACAAAGCCATTGCCATAATTCCCGCCAAGCTTCACAGGGTCCAACACGGGCTCTCCACATGGTAGAACCACCTGTTTTGGTGACACAGGATCCTGTTTTGGTAACACCAACCTGATTGAATATGAATCATTATGAATCTGTAGTTTCGTTTCAGATTCTATGGATCTAGTACAGACTTTCTGATTTTCTGCGCATGTCGTATATCTTTGTATATGTTGTAGACCAGAATCCGCAAAACCCAGGACTTTTCTAAGAACATTTCGATGACCACTTGAAATGATGCTCTCCTATTCGTTGTGGCAACGTGTTAGCATTTCAACTGCTGGATTCTTCTCGAACTGGCTGACGAGTGGATGCGAGTAATGTTGTTGTTGTTGTTGCTGTTGGATGCAGTATTGGGTGCTATGTGAAAATCGGGTTATAACTGCAGTTTAAAATGGTGATATAACGCGCACCAAGCAACGTCTTGTGCACATGGGTTTCCTTTAAAAGTTATGCATCGTAAGATCACATGTTCATCTTTGTTTCCAAACACACACACACATGGCCAACCATTCCCCGATCAAAGTAAGCATTTATATCAAAACAGGTTCATTGTGTTTAAACACATACCTGTTTCATCCAAGATGCAAGTTAACGTGAAACGTACTATATATCCCAAACCCCATGACGTATATAACATAGAACATCTCTGGCAAAACACATTCGTGACGCAAGACCGCATGTACAGGAGTTAACATGAGACGTACTACTCCAAACCCCATGACGTAACGTAGAGCATCTCTAGCAAAACACATTCGTGACGTAAGACCAATGGCGCAAGTTAACGTGACAAGTTAACGTGAAACGCACTACCCCAAACCCCATGACGTAAACATCTCTACCAAAACACATTCGTGACGTAAGACCAATGGCACAAGTTAACGTGAAACATACTACCCCAAACCCCATGACGTAACGTAGAACATCTCTAACAAGACACATTCGTGACGTAAGACCGCATGGTACAGGTTAACATGAGACGTACTACCCCAAACCCCATGATCTAACGTAGAACATCTCTAGCAAAACACATTCGTGACGTAAGACCGCATGGTACAGGTTAACATGAGACGTACTACCCCAAACCCCATGACGTAACGTAGAACATCTCTAGCAAAACACATTCGTGACGTAAGACCGCATGGTACAAGTTAACATGAGGCATAGCATCACGTGACCGTGCCACCAACAAACATATCTACAAGGTGGTGCCCCGTTACATGGGTCAACCAACAACCAGAACAGGCACCACCTTGCAGTTGGCACAACCATAGTAGGTGAGAAATGGATCACCATGTCACACTTACATGAGCGATTGTGAAAACCCTAGGTTCACGGAAAGGACATCCACAAATTTGGGAAGGTCCCATCGCTTACCACACGTTTGTACAATAATGATATATGGTAAACTTGGGGGGTATCGCTTGCAGGAAACTGCTGCATTTATATATATATGTGATGAACTATGAATAATATGTGATATTTGGGTATCGCTAATGTGGATATTACAGAAATATGATGACATAACCTTGAAAAGGGGTATCGCTAATTTGGGAAGGTCCCATCGCTTACCTCGTGTTTCTAACAATTTCCATCAATTTCCATAAACCAATGTCCGTCGAATACATATTTAGTATTGCCGGGGTTTTTACGGTTGCTCACATGATCTGCTGTTAAAATCAATATGTTCATCCTATTTGTTATTTTCCTTGTTGTTTAAATCCCAACACTTTGTTGTTTTTGCTGACATAATCCAAAAAAAAATGCGTGCTCTGACACTAAAAACCCTGTAATTCTTATGTTAACAAACCTGAAGCATCCCAAGATCCTCAACTTGGTCAAAATCCCCATGTTTTACGTCTTACAGGGACAGTGGTCGTCCAAAATCCAGCGGATCCGTCCAGCGGGTCCAGCGGCTATGTGTGGTCAGTGGTCGTCCAGTCGCTCGGTCGAAAGGATCAGCCCAGGACCAGGGGCTTCCGAAGCCTGGCAGAATTTACATGGCCTCGGTGATTTTAGAACATGTGTAGTGGATAAATCCTACTTAAGTAGATTACTGTGGATGTCTAGATGTGTCATGTGTTGACATGTGTTTAATTATTTACATGTGTTTACATATGTTTATTTTTCTTCCATATGTTTCTCGTAAAAAAAAATCCTTCAACCAATTCTGGGAAATTGGCAAAAGGCTGGACATTTCGCTGGCCAGCAATCAGCTTAGCCACATAGGTCCAAGTTCAAGCGGCTTTGAAAGGAAACGGGCTATGGCTAGACTCCATCCGGGGTAAATGAATGGGTATCTAAACACAAATCAGGATGGTAAAAAAAGGCAAGGGATGGAACAAAAACCTGCAACAGTGGAAGTATTCATTGGTAAACGTTGAAAATTCATGTGGAAATGGGGTTGAAAACATGTTGAAACTCTAAACATCTTTCGAAGATCTGTGGGTGCAAGCTTTCTCCCTCTCAATTAAACGTGTCTATCTCAACTGTTTTGGTCTGAAACACTCTAATCCCCTTTTAACCGCTTCACTTCAACCCCACATCTGTTTTTTCAGTTTTTTCCATAATTGCTTCGGATGAAGTAGTCAGCTGACATCCTTACCCGCAGAGTCGTACTTTTGCCCTGTTTTCCCATTCCACCGAAAAAAAATGTTGAAATACTAAAGTGAAGCAGCCCCGTGCAGCCCCCTGAACCTATATTTTCCCCAAGGGAAAGGTGCTTCCTCAGACCAGGGTTCCTTCTCGGCTGTTTTTATTTTTCGATTTTCTATTTTTTTGGGGCGAACCTCGGAGATAGCATGCACTCCTTGGGAAAGCACGAAGTGTCCGGGACCTGTAAAAACCAATAAACATTGCAACGTTGCTTTGTCTACGGTACGTTGCCATCTCCGTTTTGTCCAAAAACAGGAAAACCATATTTCGCGTAGCCCATCGTAGCCCGTTGTCCCAACATTAGCGACTGAGCAAGTAGCCCCGGAGCAAGCACGCTGCAGGATCCGTGCTTGTGTTTTTTCTCACACGCGGAGTCGTATTGTCAAGTCTTCGGAATTGGACCTCCCTAAACTATTCTTCATTGTGAACAGTCAACATGGCTGGAAAATTTGCCCTGGTTTGAGAAAAATTACTTCTCATCAAATTCAAAGTTCAAATCCTTGAGATAGTTACATTTATCCGGAAAACACGTTAAATTGAAAGAATGCGACTACAGCCGTTTGAATCGTGAATCTCGGATAGGCTTCTTTGGCTCGAGATGGGTCATTCAATCCGCTCCAGCTGAAGGTTTGACATGGCTAACCTATCTAGCCAAAATTTACACAACTTAAAAATTAGGCAACTGGGTTTTATGTTGTACGTGGCTACGTGTGAAGGTTTTCGAGGGCCTGATTTTTGCTGGTCAGGTTGGTCTTTGGCCGCAATGGTCGTCCCGCTGGATATACAGAGGTGAGAATGTCAACGGCTTGGGGTACATGTCACTCCCACCCCACTCAAAGCACTTGCATAATTTTGTCAAATCTGATTTAGGAGGTCTTACTGAAAATGGTGTGTACCTGCTTCTAACGGGAATATATCAGGTTTTCACCCCGTGGATTTGCTACCACCGTGTTTTCAAACAAACCCATATGGGCAATGGTCAAAACAAAAATAAATAGTTATCGTCATCCCACCATCATGAACGGGGTTCCCCAATGAGTTAGTATATTATGGTATATTAAGATCATTAAGATATTATGGTATACAGTGAATCACATATTATGGTACATCATAGATAAAGACTATTGAATACTTTTCAATAGTATCTGGTTGGTGGTTTCAACCCCATTTTTTTTCCATTTGCTCTGCTGCACCGTCTTGGTGCTTGGTCTGGTCGATGCACTACGACGCTGAGTTTATCTCAGCTGCCACCGTGGTAGTCCGGTTGTACCACCTCCGGGGCGTGGCAACTCTGTTCAAGGTACGGGGTGAACTCCTTGGGCAGGTCGGTTGCGATGTCGAGGTGCTGCCACTGAACCGCTGCATCAAAGAGCGCTTCACCCAGTATCTTGTTGAGGCCGTAGGGATATACTTTGGCTTTGGCCGTGTGGAATGTGCCATCTTCCTCACGGCCAATCAGCGCCACGTGAGCTCCAGGCGGGTGATTGCACCGTCCACTTCGGCCACGCCCCAAGAGCCTGTCTCGCACCCTCGGCAGTCTCAGCAAAAGGAGAGTGGTCGGTTTTTTCCCCAGGGCACCAACTGTGCATTGATCGAAGCTCACCACGGAGAAGCACCCCAGGTTCTTCAGAATGATGAGGGCTTCGGTGGCCCAAATGCTCGCCGGAGAGCCTCTGGTGCACCACGTTGGAAATTGCGGATGTTCCAAAAATCCGCTCATCCCCATGAGAGCTAGGGCCACGAGAACGTCGAGCAGGAAGCGTAGGAGTCGGTCACTGATACGCAGCTGTGCCCACTCTTTGAGAGTGAGTCCCGGAAGACCGAGGGGGTGGGCAGAGTCCCGCAACGGTCTGGGGCCTCCTTCATATTGTCGGGCCACAGTGAACGTTTCACATGGTGGGCCTCCTCCAGCCGCCACCACTTGTCCAGCAAGGACTCGCTCTCGCCACCATCTTGAGGCCTGTGGCGTGGCAAGGTCGCCGTTGACCCGTTGCATGCATAGATCTACCGAGATGGTAAAGACCTGTGCTCCTGTCTCCATGGTGCGGTGGTCGAGGATGTGATGAATATCGCCCATCCTGCGAAATCCGCTAAAGAAGTGCACCACAACAAGTGCTCGGACGTGGAGCAGGGCGGTCTCTCTGGCGAGACCTTGCATTGCAAATGCGCCGCCAGCACAGTCTCTGCCGCTAACCGACTGCATAATGAAGGACGGGAGGTCGGCACGTGTCCACCAGAGCTGTGGGTCAGTTGGTGGAAGCTTTGTGATGCGAATGCCCTGCAGTTGCGTATAGGCTAATTCGTCGCTCGGACGTCTCTGCATCATCTTGTCATACATGGCTTGAGCGGCAGCAGAGCCAGCAGAGGGTAGTGGGGGACCCTGGGTCTGCTGCACCGGTTGGAAAGCTTTTGCGGCCCACCACCCTTGTTTGCGCAGTTGCGCTTCGTCTTCTTTGTCGGCCATGTCGAGGCTTTGCACCATAGCAGCTGGAAAAGGCGGCCAACAGGCAGTGACTATGTCATAGCACTTTTGCTGCTTTTCATAGTGCACAGAGAGCCTTTTTCTCGTGTGAAAGTTTTGCCCACACGCTTGGCATGTGTCTCCGATTGCAAAGTATCTGACCTTTTTCCTGTAGCCATGCCCTCGTGCAGCATGCATGGCGAGCGCTCTGGTGGAGTTGAACACCTTCTGGCACAGGTCGCATTGCCAACGCTCCGGAGCTGGCTGCGGTTTGGACTTGTCGGGAAGTGTCGCCCCTGCTGCGGCTAGGCGGTTGTCAAAGTGCCGTTGCCAAATGGCATGGTCGGCTCTTGCCCGATGGTATGACAAGGCTAGCTTGCTTGTTTTTCGGACCCTGCCTTTCCAGTTGGGATCCAGTCGCACGAACTGCACCCAGTCCTGGAAGAGCGATGAGGTGTCCAGCGGAAGCTTGCTGTCATAGTGGTAGAGCATCCATTGACATGATTCCATGCATTGTGCCATCCAGGAATGATGTCCTGTGGTGTGGTGCATCAGCGCCCATGTGATAGGGGGACAGGCGCCAAGCAGTCGTGCCAGGAACCTCAGCCGGTTGGCGTGTACTTGGTCCATGAGCGGGAGGATACCGGCGCAGGCCATCATTTCATCAGTGGTATGCATGAATCTGGTAGGCGCCATCAGCAGCCCCTTCAGTAGGGTGCCAGTGGGGGCTTTGAGGTGGTTAATCCACGAGTGCATGTGCTTGGGTGTGACGGATGTCCATGTGTGCACATTGTAAAGCATCTTGGAGAGTACCAGGGATTGGAAAATGGCACTCTTGACCGGCAAGGTGATACACTTTTTGGTGAAAAAGGAACGTGCCAGCTGTCCGTACTGTTGCTTGGCAGCCGAGCTCCTGGCCAGGATTTCCCTGGTATGCTTGTGGTGCGCTTGGAGCCACGTCCCCAAATGCTTGTATGTGTGGCACAGTGGTATCGTATATTGAATGCCCTCATGTGTCCACTGCAGGATTTGGCCGGCTTCATGGAGAGTTTGTTTCATCTGTCTGGCCCCTTTGCCAAGAATGGTCCATAGTGCCTCCGTCTTGCCACGTTCATAGTTGATGCTGAGCCCCCGTGTGGCAGCAGCTTTGTCCATGGCTTGAACGACTGCTTTCATGGTTGCTGCTACATTGTCATTGGAACGTCCATGGATCAGGACCACGCAGTCATCCACGAATGTAACATCAATGAACCCGGTGGGCGGTATGCTTGGGATGTCACTCAAGTCGGAGACCGGAGTTGCTTGGCCTAACCACGGGACATCAGAACTTTGCTCCATGGTGGCATGAAAGTCGGTCAGGATGAGGTGCATACAAAGGTTGAACAACACATCGGCGATGGGATCCCCTGGCCGGGTGCCACGAGTCGTTTGGCACGGATCAGGGAGGCCTTGCACTGTAAAATAAGTATTGTGCAAAAGGTCATGCAGGATGTGTTGCATGTGGCATGGAAGTCCTTTGACAGCATCATCGGTTGCAGCATTGGCGATCAATTTGTGAACCTCGGCGGGGGTCAGTCCTACATGATACATCGCTGCCATGAATGCGTCATCATGGGAGGGAATTTGAGTGAAGGCCTGTCTCAATACCATGTAAAATGCCGATTTGAGGTCAAAGAACAGAGCAGCTGAAGGCACTGCTTTCTGTTTGCACCATGATTGGTGGCATTGTACGATGTGGTGAGCCACGTCGGCACCGATTCCTTTCCTGCCGCCGCATTGGAGGTGTGTCAAGGTTTGCTCCCAGGCATCTACCAAATGGGCACGGAAACACTGGTGATATAGTTTGGTAGTGTAATTCGAGATAAAGATGCTACGATATCCATTTGCCAGGTGAGGCGCCAGTTTTCCCTTCCAGAGTGGGATCAGGACCCCACCTTTCCAATGGAGGGGTTCCTGAGCGCCTGCAGCAGCTTTGGTGAACATCACTGAAAGCTGTTTTGCCACTACACTACCCCCAGCTTTGAGCAACGCAGGTGGCACAAGGTTGGGACCTGGGACTTTGTCTCGGTGCAATTTGGAGATTAGCATGCGGATTTGCCATTGGCCGGGGAAGGCTGCAGGTTCAAGGTCATGGCAATGCTGGGATTGTTGCAAGGCAGCGTGCTGCTGTTCAAGCTCGTCCCAAGTACGGGGGACTCCAGCCTCAATGCTTGCAAACTGGTGCATCCATGTGCGCTGCTGATCAAGGTATGAGCTGGCAGTGGTACCATCAGGTTTCTGGATCATCGGCAGGGGCCTGGGCCCGTTTGCTCCTGCACCTTTCTTGCGGCCCAACCTATGGAGGAGCCGAAAGACCAGGCGGTGGTTGGAGATTTCTCCAGATGCCTGAATCTGCTTCAGCAAGTCATTGTAGAAACCTTGGATATCATCGCGCACTAAACGAGCGACCGTCTTTTCGATGTTTCGCAGTTCTGCCTTGAAGTCCTCATGGTGCATGCTGTTGGTTTGTCGGCCCAAGTCCAGTACGTGCCTTTTGAATGCAATGGCTTCCAATGTCTGGGAGCTGAGGGTGATAGGTCGCTCTTTGCGAGGTTTGCGTGCAAAGAATTGGCGGCCAAGGGCCAGCAACTGCTGCTCATACAGGGCAGCATGGTCATCTACCCCTATGTCCCACGCAGGCAATGGTAGCGTGCGCAGCGCCTGCTGGAATGCATCAACTTTGGCTGGGTCCAGCATGGCACGGTCGTCCCATCCGATGGGCGGGTGGGTATGAGATGTTGGAAGCCATCCGGCACACTGCAGGACGACCGGCAGGTGGTCTTCGTGTGCAAATGTGCTATCATGGTGTACTTCTACCCAGCTTTTGCTAGCCAACTTTGCCACTTCCTGGGAGAGAAGGATGTAGTCCTTGCGGCTCTTCTTTCCGGTGCTGTGCGTCCATGTGGTGGTTGGGCCATCATGGATGGAGGCGAAGGTGGAAGGCACCATTAGGTGCTGCAGTTGGATGAAGCTCTCAAACCGTGCGCTTGCATGATTGGCAGGTTCGGCACCGTGTGGTCCAATGAGCAAGCCGTCCCCAGCATCCAGGGGAGCATTCGCATCGATGAAAACCCATTGGGCCCCAGCAGTCACGTACTTGGCATAAAGGGCTGCTGTTTCATCCCACCACTGTGTGGCTGCTTCAATGGGGTCAGGAACATCTTGTGCTGCTGTGGCAAGGCTTGGGCCATGCAGGACAATGAACGCATAAACATAATGGCCGATCTTCGCTTCTACCAGTAGGCGGCGTGGATCGGCGTGCTGGACAGTGAGGATCGCTTTGCCGAGTACAATGGGTTTCCCTTGAGGGTCTGTTGCTATCGGCAAAGTCTTATGGATCCACAATTCGCACCCATAGAGTGGTGCCCTCTTGCATTTGGCACCGGAGGCCAGGATATGATAATGAGGTGCATGGTAACGTCCTTGGGGCGTTCTGGCCTCTTGAACACCGATGACATGAATGTTGGCTTGGTGCCATTGCTGGTCAAGGCGCACCGTCCTCTGCCCAGTACGTTTGGTGCCTGCTGTGTGTGTGGCCCAGACCTCGGCTGCAAGAACATTGGTTGTACAAACCTTAAGGCCCCATTTCAGTCCTGCTTCATGATGGTCGTCGATTTGGCGCTCAGTTGGCAGGATGCCGAGCTTTGTGGTAGGCTGCGTGAAGTGCATCACTTGTTGTTGGCTGAGCGGTGGGAAGCAGGTTGCAATTGCAGGATGCGTGGTTTGCATCCAAACCCAATCCACATCGTGTGGGTTGGTGGCAAGCTGGTGCAGTTGGGCAAATTGTCCTGTCGCAGGGTCAGTGTGCTGTTGCATTGCCCACTTTGCAACGGCATCTGCTAGTTCATTCCAGGCATGCCCTTGGTGGCCTCTGACTTCATGGATGATCGCTTTGGGGCCTAGCCAAAGGCCCAAAGCCCCACACAGTCTGGCAAGGGGCTGGTTGGACTTGCATGTGGTCGAGGCTGTGGCTACAGTGCGGCTCAGGGAGAGGTCAGGGCGTATACAAAATTGGTTGTTGCCGGACCTCTCATGGCAAGGTTTTGAGCAGCAACCATGGCCGACAGCTCTGCAGAGATGTTGTCAGCTGTGGTTGCCCCTAGCCAGTCAGGGTGATGTGGGTTGAGCTGTACAGTACCATAAATGCATCCAAGGAAGGTCTCTTGCTGGTGGCAGTTTGCAATAGCAATGACGCTCCATCCGGCTTCTTGGCCATTGGCGGCTCCGTCCAGGTAAAGTGTGTAGGTCATGTCGGCTACATCTGACAATGGTGGCGGTTGAAGCAACGGCCAGTAGGATTGCTCAGGAACTACGAGCCCATCAGGCAGTGGGAGGAGTTGCAATGGCAATTCAGCTTCAAGGGCGAGTTTCCAGGCTTCATTAGCAAACCACAACTGTTGTGGCTTGTCATCATCGAGACTGACATGCTCTGGTTGTGCTTTGGCGGGAAGGACTGCTTGCAGGCAAAGCGTCACTATGTGGGCAGTGTTTGGGGACACTGCTGTTCCATGGGTCTGGCTGTCCTGGTGGCATTGGCACATGTCGGTGCAACGCAGCAGTGCATGATGACCCTGGCAAGAGTGGCATGGGTGCCTGTTCGTCCAGAGCCTCTTCCCCAACCCAGGTATCGCAGGTGTTGGATTCTTGCTCACATTCCTGAGGATGGAAAGCAAGTGCAAGCAGCGTGGCTCTGCTGAGTTCAGTCGGGGCAATGGTGGCATGTCGCCTGTGTACTCCAGGTGTCGCACTATCCAGTGTGGTGAGCAACGCAGTGGTGAATCCTGGCATTTGCTGTTGTAGCACAATCACATGAGCTACTAAGTGCTCTTCCATCATGATGGGATTTGGCTGGACGATGACTATTTCAAGATTTGCAGGCAAATAAATGTCATTCCATGCTTGGAGGATGAGTCGCTTCCATGCCTGTGGATGTCTAGTGACAAACACTTCCCTTGGGGCAAAGCACTGTGGGAAGCGCTCATGATCCACGTACCAGGTCATGATGGGTGCCATTGGACGGGCCTCTTTCTTTGGGTCTGATGGCAGTTAATTGCTGCCAGCGGTGCAAGGTGTCGGGCTGTCGTCCCAGTCCTGGTGTGTTGCAATGAGTGGTATCATCTTCGATTGGTGGGTCTTTGTATAGGGAGATATGCATGGGTTGAGTTACCTCTGGGTGAGGCTCTAACTGCATTTGTTTCGGTGAAACCACCGTTCTGGAGCAAAGAGCTGTGTTGATTCGCTGCATAGCCATTTCAAGTTGTCGCATGGACTCAAGGAGTTGCTCACAGCAAGCAGCATGGCTGCTGCTAGCAGTAGCTGCATTGGGCATGTCGGAGGTTTGGTGTTCCTTTCCTGGCCAGGCAGGGGAGAATTGCAGGAGAGCACTCCCTTCTTCCTCAAAATCAAGTGAGTCAGTGACAACCTCGAAAGCAAAACCCGAGCGCACTGGGTAGGAGCTGCCATGCGGTATGTGTGTTGTGCCGTGGTATGCACTGAGCCCAGGTGTGGCAGCTGCTTGGTCTTGCGGAATGCCTGCATGTTCAAATAGTGCATCGCTGGTTACTGGGCTATGCAAGAAGAGGGCAAATCTCGATGGGTGCCACGGGTCCTCAAGCAGTTCAGTAACAGAGACCAGTGCTGCTGCCTGATCAGGCGGTGCCTTTTGGGTGACGATGACATGGGCAAAAACATCGGGCATTCCTCCTGGTGGATCGGGCTGCACTACATAGAGGTCAACTGGTTGGGATGGTTGCAAAATGTCGGCCCAACGCTGCAGTACCTCACTCGGCCACAGGGTCGGGTTGGCAGACAACAGGACGTCACGGTAATGGTCACTACGAGGCATCACTTGCGGCTCAAGGTACCAAGTGGCAATTTTGGCTTGACCAGCATCTGGTTGGCATCGGTCGTGTTGTGCACGGTTCGACAACCACTGTAGCATTGTGTGGAAATCTGCAAGGTTTCTGACCTGGATGGTGGTCCATTGGACCGGCTGGTGTTGGCTAGTACCTGTAGGTGCAAGCGGCTGGGAGATAGTGAACCATGAGGAACTGGTAGGCGCAGGTGGGATGCCTTGACCGGTACCTGTTGTTGGTCTGGGAAACGCTTTGTACCTGGGCCGTTGCATCAATGCAGTTGTATCATCCATGATGTCTGCTTCTTCTGCCACGGTGGTGTCGTTTGGCTCGACAAGCATGGGATCATCGGTGCTGGATTGTGCCGGTGCTTGGAGCCTATGGTCCCCTACATCGAGCAATAAGCTGATGCCAGAGGGCACTCTTTCAGTGTTGTGGTGGTGAAAACGAAACCTACCGGAGAACAGGTGGCATGGACGAAAATCACATTGAGGTTGCAGGCCATGGTCTTGAATGACACGTTCTGTGCAGGTGTCCACTGGGGATGATTCTGCTTGCTGCATGAGGCCCATCCTGGTACCTCCATGGAAGGCAACGGTGAGCAGAATGGCGGCTTTCTCTGGGGTCATCCCTTGTTCCAGGATGATGTGGATCACCGCTTGACGTCTCATTTGATATGGCGGTGTCGGCTTGACGATGTGGACCCTTACCGGCTGGTGCCTGCGGAGTTGGTCAAACCATGCATTGCATAGGTCTGCGTACCACAAATCACGTATGTCGTCCAATCTGATCAAGCGAGGGTGTCGGCATATGGGCATGTCGGCATGATGAACGTACCATACTTCCACAGGCAATTCGGGTCCGACCTCACGTCGGTGTGTGATGGCTTCCTCAAGGAAGATGTTCAACTCCATATGCCAAATGGGGCGTGGTCGTGGCGCTTCAGGGTTGGCAGGTTGAGCTGGAGCCCTCGCTTCAAATGTGGGAGGTTCAGCTTCATGGTGATAGCCTGTGCGTGCTTGCACTGTCTGAGTATGTTCTACTGGACCGTGCATTGGAACACAGAAGGCAACACATCAAGGCAGCTTTGGTGCTCAGGTACTTCTCGGTTGGGTTTGACCTTGAAGAACTGTCCAATGGTTGTCTGCTTCTTGGCTTCAGATTGAACTTTCTTTCCCTGTGGCGCTCTGAAGAAGTTTGTGATGGTGAGCTGTTTAGGGCACCTTGCCGTACATGGCTTGGCTACTGGGTCACCTGGATGTTGTGGAGTGTGAATGGGTCTGACATCGTTTGTGGGCATTGCACCAATTGCCTCAGTGGGATGCAGTAACCTGAAGGTGGAGGTGCTGCTTTGGCTGGCGGTGACCTCTCTCTGTTGCGGAGTTGTCGGCAATGACGGCTTCGATGTCGGACTCACGTACTGCGCTGAACATTCAGCTTGTAGGGGCCTGGCCTGTTGTGGCGGATCATCGGCCGTCTGCGCAAGTGGGTCATGCTTCCACTCTGGTTTGTGTTGTGGAAGATGATCGGCATCTGCCGGCAAGCGTGTTTGGAAAGTGGCAACATTGCGATATTTCGCAGCAACTTGTGTAAGCTGAATATCATCAGAGTCGGCATCGTCTGTGTCTATTGCATTGGCGATGTCATCATCAGCACTGGATGGGTCAAAAAGGGCTGCCTGTGCTTCCTCGTGCTCGACCGTTTGGTGAGCGACTTCCACAGCCATTTGGGTAGGAAGGTCATGCGTGGGTGGTGGTGGTACTATGACTTGGGCATAGGAACCATGGTGCACAGGTCTTGGGCTGTGTTCATCTTCAGGCCACAAAACACCATCAAATGTGACAGCACATTGTGTGGTCACTAGGATGCAATAGTGATGCGCGGCTGCAGCAAGCAAGATTTGCTGGCGCAAAATTTGATGACCAACGCGTTGAACTTCCCGCACCAAAGTGGGTCTGTGAGTCACTCCGTTCGAGTCTGGATGGTGTTGATATACAATATCCACAAGCATGAGCCTATCCATGGTGTTGGGCGATAGGTCTCCAGTACGTTGGACTACAGCCACCATGTCATACTCTGGCATCTGAAAAGGCGTGCGCGGCATGACATGGATAGCTTCCAGGCAATCCAGTGGTATGTGCAGTGCATCTGCAATTTCTTGAGTCGGCAAAATACGTTGGTCATTGAGGACTTGACAACACACTTCCACACCTTCAAGCTGGAAAAGATGAAGCATTGTGGTGAAACGTGCTGGCTGATTGCTGGAGGCTGCCTGTGCATGTCTTCCGGGAGAGTATGTTGGACTGGTAGTGATGGCTTCTGACGAACTGGCATCATCTACATGTTTTGACAGTGATAAGCGCTCCTGATCATGGACCACAATCTGAAACCCATCACCATGACCAACCTGGTGCGTTGGGCGTAACGTGTTGGGGATTTGAATCCACCTGTATGTGATGAGGCATTCAGCATGTCTACAGTGTCTCCCTGCGTCAGCTGCTTGGACCAATTCATATCCACTGACAACTTCAGGCAATGAACAGGCCACCGAATACATCTGGAAGGTATCGGCTCTACCTGGCAAGACGGTGACCATGGAAGCAACACGTGGCATGTCCAGAGACTGCGTGACAATCATGTCGTATACTACAAACGGGGGATCAGGCTCTACAATGATTACATCAAACCAGTCATCGTTGTTGAGTTGGCCTACCCACAAGGATTGGATTTGTGCTTCCCATCCCCTTGGAGGTCCTATACCAATTGCAGAATGCGAGGTGCGGTCCATCTATGGATGGTGCGATGATCAATGTACCATGTGCGTACAGCAAGGTCAAAGTCATTGTCATGTGGATTGAGCCCGAGTCCTTCTAACCTGTTGGTTAGGTAGTTGACAAATGCAGGCAACACTGGGTGATCGTGCTCATCCATCTGTTCATCCTCTGTGTCATCTCCATCCTGCTGTGGTCCGACCAGATGTGCGATGGGACTTTCATGCTCACGCCTGACTTTGGCAATGATTGGCTGGGTGCATTCAGTGTGTCCATCCACTGCAGTGTCAATCCTCTTGAGCTGGAGTGTCCTTCCTCTTCCCTTGGCGGGCTCATGGCGTACTGCTTTGCAGGCTACCATGGGGTGAGTGTCGAATCTTTGCAATGACCGCTGGATGTCACTGAGCACTGACATGTGGAATGGACGTACAGCTGTTGGCTTGGCACAAGGGTTGTAGGAAACCTGGTCACTGAATGCAAGCTGGGCATCATGCTGGTTGATTACAGGATTAAGTGTGTGCATGGACGTGGACGGCACCTCTGTACAAACGGAAGAACGTATCGGCCACCGCTGCATCTGTACATCGGGGTTTGGCGGATGCATCTGATGCTCATGGGACTGGTTAGAAGCAGGCTCATCCATCCGGTCAGGTTCATGTTGCCTGAGTACTGGGTGCAGCCTGTTGCCTGGTACTATGGTCTTACGGGCTTGGCCATAGTCGGTTGATCCATCCAGTTCATGCTGTGTGTCCATGGTCCAAGGTTTCAAAACTGAAATCAAGGCATCAACATGAGTCCAAAAGTCCTGAAAAGCAAAGGAAGTGTCTTCGCCTATCCTAATGCAGAGGACATCGGAAAATGTAACACATTTCCTTAGTGTGGCTTTCATGGGGGTATCGTCACATGGGGATGCAGCAACTGAACCCTTGCAAGACAAAATCGGGTGAAACTGAGTCGACATGGCATCTGCTGGTGACGATGGTTCGGACAAAACTGGGTGGCACTGGAGCGGCAAAATGCTCACTTCATATGCCAAGTGAAACGCTGCATCTTGTGCTTGCCACTCTGAAACAAAACTGCGTTCATGTAGAACTGTGTGCGTCCATTTGGGAACTAGATGGTGAACATCTGTTGCATGGATAAAAGGCCTTGGAGCAATAGAAACCTGATCTGTATTTACTCGGCCTAACCAAAACCCGATGCAGCACCAGGCAACTCGGACGGCTTTGCTGAGTCCAGCTGACCCGTGTCTAGGCGTGGTCGCTTGAGGGCCTTTTGTTCGTCCTCCACCATCTGCTCGGCTGAGGTTTGTAGCGCCTCTAGGCTGGACTGCAAATTGGTGAGGCCTTCTTGGATGCGATCGGCTGTGGAGCCTGCGATCTCCTTGTCTGGCTCTTCGTCGCTGATGGCCATGGTGTCTTCTTTGGCTTCGACTCCGGCCGTGGACTTGGCTTTGGCCAGGCTTTCTTTTGCTTGGTTCAAAGCTTCCATTGCTGTATTGACCCGCTCGTTCATCTGTTTTTCTTGTTCCAGGAATTGTGCACTGTAGCCCTGCCACTGAGTGACAGCTTGGCTGAGAAATCCCCTCCAAGCGTTGTGAAGCTGAAAGCGTGCCAATTGAGCCTGTTGCAGCTCTTTGCGAGCTCGTCCATGGGCTGCGACCACCGCGTGGAGTTGCTTGGTCTGTTGCTGTCCTTCTTTGATTGCAGCTTCGTTCACCATGTTCTGGACTTCTGGTGGCAGCGTGTCGCTGTGCTTTTTCAACACTGCCATAAGGCTCTTTAATTGCTTGTCCTCCGAGTTTTGTTGTATCGGAGGTGGCATGGTGGCAGCAATGGAACTCATCGATTGCAGCCAAGGTGGGTCTACCGGGTTGGTAGGCAATGGAGGTGGACCAATTCTGTCTTGGTCCGAGCTCGCATTCTTGCCTTTGCCCTTTGCTCCTTTTGTTGTTTCGGCATCTTTTTTGGTCCCTTTCTTTGATGGCCGTCTTCTGGAAGAGGTACGCCTTCTCGGGGACGCTGTCCATTGAGAGTGGCTGGATTGCTGTGGGTCCCATTGAGGATCCTCCCAATCCTGATCTGTCCAGTCGTTTGCATAGCTCCATTGGACTGAACGCTGCGACCTGGCTTGTCTCGGCGGTGCCTGGTAGGATGGGTCGGCACATAGATGCCATGAAATCCCACACACGCCACAGAACTGATGTGATGCACTGCAGATCTTTTTGCATGTATGGCATCGCCAGGGGCTTGATGTACTTGTTGTACCCGCCATTACTTCTCTGTTGATGCGATTGATGAAATTTTGATCTTTGGAGTGATGATTCTGGAGTTTGCTCACTAACTGGGTCAGTCTCCACTTGGGAATAGATTGGATTCCCTTTTTGTGCAATTGCCAGATGAACCTCGCTTGGGCTCGTCCACGTCTCTGTGAACGTCTCTGCGAAGACGTTGCCGTTGTCAAAACTGGTTGATTCACACAAAATCAGTGGATGTCGCTGTACGTAGTTGGCCCCCAAAGTGAACAAGATCTGAATTGCAGCAATGAAATGTAGTGCAAAAATCATTCACTGTGAATTAGAGCCAGTCAGATTGCAAAGGGGAGCTCACCCCCTGTGGGAAAAGTAGAATACCCAAAACTCGCTGTATGGCCAGCGCAGAACCAGTGTATTATTTGTCCACAGTGGTCAACACCCAGCCAAGCAGTGAAATAACCAGTGTATTCCAGGATATCCCAAGGAATGTGGAAAATCACCCGCTGTAAGGCCAGCGCAGAACCAGAGTGCCTCAAAAACCCAGGATTAAGGAGCTGGGACTCCAGTCCAAAAATTCAGTGAAGAGCGAGCACAGAAAAAATCAATGTGGTTGACGCAAGTTCCTGAAAGTTTGGTAGAATTGAGGTACGATGTGCCAGTGATGCAGTCAGTAGATCGAACTACAGTGAGTGCAAGAACCAGGGCAACCGGACAACGAAAAATGGCAAGGTCACTGCAACGTGACCCGTGGGTAAAGAACGGCGGTACCCACTAGGTTAACGGTTCCTGAAGCGGGGGCTTGAACCGAAACCCTGGTTTCAACCCCTCTGAAAAATATGAAAGTCAGCTGGAATTACTATTCCCAATATATGGAAAAAAACAAATGTTCCAAACCACCAACCAGGTATTACACCAGATTCTTAAGGTCTATTTTCATTTCTTGGCTGGTGACCATCTCCGAAGTTATGGGACAAAAATAACCATTGAACTGGACAAGTTGGTGGCTGTTTTTCCCTGTCGGTTGATATAGGGCATTACCCGGCCTGGTAAACATACAAAAAACTATGGACATTCACCATTTTTAATGGGAAAACTCCGTATTTCAATGGCAATTTTCAATAGCAAACTGTTAAATTACCAGAGGGTATATGACCAAATACTGGAAAGAAACAAAATCCCATGGTGGAAATCTCTATCAATCATCATCATTTATCAGTTATATTCACTTAAATCATATCATCTTACATACCCATAGTTTGATGGTCAAACTCCCCCTTAAATGGCGATAGTCATCAACCAACCATATGTGTTCAAACATATCCACATTTGTCGATTCTTAAAACTGATGGTTAAACATCCGTTAATCCACTACAAACATCAACCAACCCAGTGTACTGAAATGACGTCCATGTTTTCCCCTTAGGTTTCCACATCCATCCACCCACAGCGAACCTGAGCGCTCAGCGGGCTCCTGAGAGCAGAAAGGATAATATGATGACTTTTGCAGGTCTTGTTATTTGCATTATATGTTGAACAAACTTAATAATTATGTGGTGATGATGATGATGATGATGATAGTGATGATGATAGTGATGATGATGCTGATGATGATGATGATGATGATGATGAGGATGAGGATGAGGATGATGATGGAAGGATGGAAGGATGGAAGGATGGAAGGATGGAAGAATGGAAGGATGGATGGACGGATGGTGATGATGATATTGATTAACAATAAGCCAAAAAAGACAGACACGTAGACTACAGTACATCTTTGTTGAGTCGGGTGTTATTTTGTTTTTTTTGTTGTCAGGGTTGATATAAACATGTCGCTGATGATGTGATATAATAATATATGATATGGTGTGATATGATGTTAATTGTATGAAATGCAACTAATGTGAATGTGTATAGTGTATATATATATAATGATATGTCAACATGTCTGTGTATGTGGAATTGCTTAGCAGGATAGTACGGACAGTGTTAGTCTGTTGGATAGATGCAACATAAGGCACCGTCTATGCCATGACTCTATAAACAAATTCCATCTCAAGTAAAACAGACATGTGTTCTTAATGATTAATCAACAATAACATTTAACAAATTATGTGTGTCAAACTTTGCAATAACACAACAAGTATGTGTTTTAATGATGTATTATGATGTATTCAATTATTTGGGTTATATGGTTTGATCAAGGAATCAAAACCTATGTGGTTATCATCAGATTGAACATTTGAAATATGTATTCCTGACATACACCAGTTGTTTATGGTCAGCTACATTGTGCATAATATATATATATATCATACAATATTATATATACATATACTGCTTGGTGGTTTCAACCCCTCTGAAAAATATTAGTCAGTTGGGGTGATTATTCCCAATATATGGAAAAATAAAAAATGTTCCAAACCACCAACCAAGTATACATATGATTACATACACATTTTGGGTATATCACCCATCATTGCTGCCGCTTGCCTCAAAACTCGGCGTAGGGCCACTTTTTGCAAACTGCGACCGCGAAAATCAGAATTCCTCCATGATGAAGGTTTTAAGATTTTCAATAGAGGTTTATTTGATTTTATTTGTTTCAGGCAGCTTATCACATTTCAATACATTTTACGGGTACTGCCTCGAACAAATCAGCGGTTCATGATGGACGAATCTCAACCATCAACAGAACTGCATGAATCCCCATGTTGTCATAGCTACAGCGGTGTTTCTGCTGCCTCCATGTGCTTACCAAAACGGCATTCCCATATATGTTCCATGTCTCTGGCATGCTTGAGAGGAATTTTACAGGGATCCCCTGATGGCTTTCTATTCACATACGACTCCCATTTCAGAAAGCCCGTTTTTCTGCATGGGAAGATCTGGACCTTGCCATGTCACTAATCTGAAATCATGTCGTCTGCGGATGATTCCCCATCCGTTCACCATCATCCCATTACTGGTTTGTGGTTTCAACCCCTCTGAAAAATATTAGTCAGTTGGGGTTATTATTCCCAATATATGGAAAAATAAAAAATGTTCCAAACCACCTACCAGATTATATATGGATATCACCTCTTCCAATGAACCTGTCTACATCATATACTATATCTCATTAGATGAACTGATATGTGAACTGTCTATATCCATCTATATCCCATATAAAGGTCATATATGACCCTATCTATATCTCATTAGAGGAACTAGTATCATCTCCATTCAACTGAGGAATTATTCCTGCAACTTTTGGGCACTAAGTTTGGTTCAGCTAGCTAGGCTAACTGTAAAGGTACTGTAAATTACGTGCTCTCAATTGTTCACTAAGTTTGGTTGAGCTAGCTAGGCTGACCATTTTCAATAGCTTTTTGTATGTTTACCAGAGGGTCACCCACTATCAAATCATACATCAGTGCTAAAAACAAACCAGTGAGGTCATCATGCGGGACCCACGTGACGTTCAACGGTCCCCTTCCTCGATGGCATGTCCACAGCAGGTGGTATAGCCGAACTTGGAGAACAAGGGAGCCTGTGGAAAAACGGCAAGGATGGTGTAGCGAAATCCTGCACCAGATTGCACCGCCCCATGATTTTGGCCCATTCTTTTGGATGGGTCTCAACCATCCGAACTTGCTAGTTTATCGGATTTCGCAACCACCTATGGCGTATGTTTGGTAGGATATGATTACCCCCAGCAGTTGGGAGCCCATGTTACGAGCTGTTTTTTTTATCATCTAGCTGAATTTAGATAGTTCGGCCAAGTATGAAATATATATATATTGCTATATCTATCTATCTATCTATATATATATATATATTGCTATATCTATCTATCTATATATATATATATTGCTATATATATATTGATATATATATATAAGCCTATTTGGGGAGAGTTTCCCCTTCCAACCAGAAAAGTCCAGTGACGCCACAGTGAGGTCATTATTCAGCCACGATGTTCAATTACTATTTTTTTACATTATTTTACTAACATATACATTGGTTTATTAATGTAAATGGACATATGAACAGATTGCTAACTTGCTATTTTACTAACATTGATCACTATATTTCAGATACATGTGAATATTTGGATGAATCAACATTGGTTTATTAATTGATGATTGATTATTGTAAATCATATTTGGCGAAGTGAAAGCTGAAGGGCAATTGATATTGTATTCATGTAATTGCCAGCTCAGCCGCACGGTTCAGGTTGTCAATCTCACAGTGCTGAAATCTAAGTGATGGTCTATTCAACTCTTCCAGGTATGAGGGGCTAGATGATGCCAAAGAATGCGCAGCCCCAGAAGATATTGATAGATATTGGGTGTCCCTTGAAAATGTTCTTTCATCTAACAAAAACATCGGTTGCAGTTTGGCAAGTTTTTCTTGGTAAAACCTTTCACGGGAAACAACAGTGACTTTGATTTCGATGGTTAAATGATGTTAAAATCCTTCTGTCACAATCACTTAATAATGTTAAAGGGGGTCAAAAACCACCCCTATGTTATTGTTATATGACCACCCCTATGTTAAAACCACCCCTATGTTAAAGGGGGTCTGTGACATTTAACATAGGGGTGTATTAGTGTCAGCAAAGCAATGTCAAAAACCACCCCTATGGATTGATGGTTTATACTACCCAATCATAAAAACCATGGTAAACCGAGGCATGGTTTACTATGGCTTTACCATCTTTTTATGGACATGTCCATCATGTCCATACCCATAGGATCCATGGTGCTGGTATATATACTAACATTGGGGGTATATTGATGGTAAATGTTACCATATATAGCATACATGGATCCTATGGGATATGCCATATTTTCTTACTATGGTTTTACATTTTTTACTATAGCTTTACCATGTACTATGAATATTCACGCACATGACTCAGATTTACCCGGTTTTCTCGGTAAAGCCGCCATGTGTTTCTCTACCATGGGAAGCTGAGTGACGTCCAGTTGCCTCACAAGTTGTGCCTTAGCGAGGCTTGGACATCAATTTGGGATTTACTCGGTAGATATCAAGGGAAAATTACCTATAAATGGAAATATCATGGGGAAATACTCTATCAATCTGGGTAAATTATAACATTTCACTAAGCTGAAACGTTCGGCTACTGTATTCGATCGTTACCTGTTACGTTCACCATCATTCCAGTAAATAACGACATGAGGTCATGATCAAATATCCAGATTCATGGACCAAGGGAGACGCATCTGAAAGGTCACAAAAAGGAAAGTACGAGATCCATCTGGGGGCTCACATTTTAGAAATTGATCAGAACTGAGGTTTCTAGTCATAGTTTGGTTAAATCGAGATTTGGCTGTGGCTGAAACTAAGGTATACCCGCCAAATGGTTATTTTGATAGGGAAAATCATGATAAACCAGTGGATTTCGGGCCTTGGGGTACCCAATCTTCAAACAAACCATGTAATAACGATTTTTGAAAGTAACATGGATGTAAAGTTATACAGAGGTTCCAGAACCACGGTGGTGTTCACAGATTTCAGCACACCCAACCCAACTTCGCCAAGCCTTAAAACCTTTAGACTCAGACATGTTGGGGGAACACAAATAAACTACTAACAATGGATCCTGCTAGCTAGCAAAATAGATAGATAGATAGATAGATAGATAAATAGATAGATAGATAGATAGAGAGAGAGAGAGATAGATAGATAGAGAGATAGATAGAGAGATGGAGAGATAGATAGAGAGATAGAGATAGAGATAGAGATAGAGACAGACAGCAGACAAACAGACAAACAGACAAACAGACAGAGACAGAGACAGACAGAAACAGAGACAGACAGAAACAGACAGAAACAGAGACAGACAGACACAGACAGACAGACACAGACAGACCAACAAACGGACAAACAGACAAACAAACAAACAAACAGGATGGATGGATGGATGGATGCATGGATGGATGGATAGATAGATAGATAGATAGACGAATAAGACAAATAAGACAGATAAGACAGATAAGATAGATAAGATATATAAGATAGATAAGATAGATAAGATAGATACTATAGATACTATAGATAATATAGATATTATAGATAAGATAGATAAGATAGATAAGATAGATACGATAGGTAAAATAAATAATATATATATATAATATATATAAGATAGACAAGATAGATAAGATAGATGATATAGAATAGAATAGAAAAGAATAGAAAATAATAATAGAAAAGAAACACATATACTATAATAGAATAGATAGATAGACAGACAGATAGATAGATCGATAGATCGAAAGATCGATAGATCGATAGATAGATAGACAGATAGATAGATAGATAGATTGATAGATTGATTGATAATAAGATAATAAGATAACAATATAATAAGATAATAAGATAGATAATTAGATAGACAAACAGACAGACAGACAGATAGATAGATCGATCAATTGATCGATAGATAGATAGGTATATTTTTGAGATGGCTTCGTTGGTATTACAGTCCGAAAGGGTGGCATGGTTTCTACCCCTGACATGGTTTAAATTGGATAAACTTGGTAGGATCTCCCCAATGATTGTCTGGTTGGTGGTTTCAACCCCTCTGAAAAATATTATCAGTTGGGATGATTATTCCCAATCTATGGAAAGTCATAAAATTCATGTTCCAAACCACCAACCAGTTGCTGGCTAAGCTGCGCAGCCATGTGTTGGCCAACTACCACCCATATGGATTGATGGCTTAGATTAGCTCTCTTTGGATTAGATCAACCCGGGATCAATCTCTCAACCAACATGTTACTGGAGATTCATGTCAGGATATACCGTGAGAAACCCTGAACTTGGTGGTTCACTGATCGCTTGCTATAAATTTCACTTGAGGTGGAATATATATATATATATTTTTAAAATAGTTATATATATAATATAGTTATATATATATAATATAATCTATATATAATATAGTTATATATATATTATGCTAATCCATCCAGTACTTGGGGCTGCAGTTGGAGTTATCATTGAGCTCAAAACTATGGCATTCTAACCTCGATCCCCGCAGGAGTCCCAGTGCTTCGAGCCGCGGTCTCCTCATCGAAGAAGATCTCGCAATTGCCATGAGTTGAAGCACCTTTCACGCCACTCGCCTTGGTCTTCGGGGTCTAAAACCTGCTATTGCTGGAGCTATTTGGAACTAAACATGACCCAGAAATTTAGAAAATGACCCAGAATGGAACTAAAAAATGACTATTGTTGGAACTAAACCTGTAAATGAAAATGAACCCATAAATTGATAATCAACAGTAGCACTAGCGACAATGACCTGTTTTGGGAGGTGTGTTCCGCCACCGATGCGCTGATTCGACATGCTTGGAACGACGTAGCGCCGCACCGGGTGGTAGTTCAACGGACTTTTTCACACGGGGACGAGTCAAAACCCAGGGAAACCCGCATGAAGCCCAAAATAAATTCAGTATAGCTGGATGTTCATCCCCAAATGAGCAGATTTTGATAGGTTTTGATACATCCCCACATCAAAATAGCATCCCTAAAAAAAATCTGGTAAGCTTTGACCCACAAGAAATATGTGGTTTCACAGTTGGAACTATGATCCCAATTTGGGGTCGAGAGGTAAATTGAAGCTGTGAACAGCATCTTTGGGGGTACTAAAAATCGAATCTTTGAAATCCACCATCGAATTACATATCATAGTCTATTTAGGCTTCCATATTAAAAAAACATATTTAATCATCCATTAGTTTTGATTTTCCACACCAGCATGTCTATCTATAAACCCGCATATGGGGGGGTGTCCCCCCAAAAGAATGATAGACATGTAAAATCCTGACCTAAAATCATCTGGCTGACCTGCGGTTCATGATTCACCAAAAGTCACCTGACCTGGGTCATTCATGGTCATTCGTCTTGACGTGGGACGAATCTCCGTCCTAATCCTGAAGTCCCCAAACACATCTTCTAAACCCTTTTCGAAAACATGACGTGGGCCAGTGACGTGGATATAATTCGGCCAGTGACTGGGGGAGTTACTACAAGGTGGTGCCGCTTAGTGTGCCCCTTAGTTGTGTGTGTGTCGATTCAAAAACAAAAATCCATTTTGACTAGTAACTGGTTGGATGTGCATATATATATATACATATATATATTCATATACATAATTAAATCCAATTATATACACTATATAATACACGATAAAATCATCATCATCAGCATCATCATCGTCTCCCCATTCTATCACCCTTTGAGGGCCCGTCGACTCTGCTAACTGGGCAAATGAGATGATCTGAATCCTTCTTCGATCAACAAAAAAGATTATTAAAAAAAAACAACATGGCCATTGTATCCCCATGAAATATCCCCTTGTTGTGGTTAAGTCCATGAACTCCAACAAGTTGCGGACAATAGTTGCAGGTCAACCCTTCCCCCACGAGCAGCGTACTGCTTCAGACCTGGAGTCGCGCGGCGTTTTTTCAAAGTACCCTAGCCATGGCGGAGTTCCAAGCGGAGGTAACACCATCAATAGTCCGGGGATACCTCATGTACTATGCCACTATAATATATATATATCTATGTGTATGTATATATATATATGTAAATGTGTATATATATATATATAGATAGAGAAATATACCGGGCATGATGATAACATATAATTGCCAAATATGATGAGCCAATAGATATGTTACTGTACCGCTCCCAAACACCTGGTTATCTGAAAATGGAAATCGTGTGGGTCGTAGCCCAAAGAAACGTGACCGAAAAAAAAAAAAAACACGAAACGAAAAAAACATCTGAGATGCAGGAAAATCACTGAAAAAACACTTGTTTTTCTAGGAGGAAAAACTACATGACTTTTTTTACGCATAGGACTCATCGCTGCCACTGGGGCTTCACACATCTGTCCAAATCCTGGCTCCGCGATCCCAGGATATGCACGGCCCCAAATTTGATTCAAGTCACATGTCACGTTTCCGGAGAATTTCACCATTCAATATCAATGTGCATATCATATCATAGTATGTATTATAATAAATATATATATATATGTTATATACGTGCACATATTATATAGATTACGTATTAATACATACTATATATATATGCATGTATATTGTAAGTTTGGATCTTATCAACAATAACCCAAATATGTTAACAATAACAAAAACAATGAAATCCAACACCTGATTTGTAGCGCCAAGAAGAAACATATAGACAAGTATTGATCAGTTCCAACTTCCAACGGCATTTTTGGTGCTTCAATCTTACCCTCTGGTAAACTAACATAACTATGGAAAATCACTATTTTAAATGGGTAAATCCACTATAAATGGCCATGTTCAATAGCTTTTTGTAGGATTACCAGGCCGGGTAGTCATGATGAGAATTCGCTGCCACTTCACTCCTCGTCCATGGTTTCCGTGTGCAACCAGCAATCCTTGCGCAGAAGTCCAGAACCAGGTGATAACCAGGATGACCAAGGGAAGGTGTGCTGATACCCTGCTAAAAATGGCTCACACTTTAGTGGTGCCCCATACTTAGCTAAGTTGGTGCAAATAACTCCAATAACTATGGTTTGTGTTGGTGATACATCTATACTTACTATGGTTTATAACTCCATGGTGCTGGTAAATTTAGTTGCAAAACTGGGTAATTTTCTTCGGGCAAATGTCGGTGTGCATATTCCAGAAACATGGTTCGCATATGGGTATGGTAAACCATGGTAAACCTCTCTAAACCCAAACAAAAATCAATGGCTGCACTGCCATCCCGGACCAGTTCGGGGTTTTGCACTTGGAATCCAGAGATGTCCAGAGCAAAGGAGCGGATCATGCCAAATTGAAATAGCAGTGCTGGGAGGATTTATGTATGGGTGAACATCTAGCGCAGCCATCAAAATGGATAGATAAATACCAACTTCAACATGACTGTGTTGTTTACCGCCAAAAATGAAATACTTCACTGGACAAAAATACGAAACACTCATGTAAGTCTTCACATTTTACAATGCTTTTCCCATCTTTTCCCTGCAGTTCTTTGGCACTTTGCCCAGCCCACCGTTGCTTCCTGCGACGATCCCACCCTTTTTGGCGCCAAGCTGCTGCTAAGTCTTTCACCTCCATGGACTTCAATGACTCCAGGATTCTGAGGAGGGGTTGGCCGGGTTTTTCGCCGACGCAAAACACAAAAAAGATTATATCACCAGGAAAACAAGAGGTGCTGTCATGAAAATAAGCATGAAAATAACCATGAACTTCATGGCCATTTTCCATGAGATTTTTTGTGTTTCTTTCGTGAGATATCGACCCCGAAGATTTCACCTTTTTTTTTGATTTATATAGGATTTATATAGCAAAAACCTGAATATCATGGGAATGTCATGGGGAAACAAATATCATTTTGGATACAACCTATAGTCAACTATAATGATTTGGGAATATGGTTTATATGGTTATGGTTTTTTTTCAAGTTTTCACGGCATACACAAGTATTCCATAGTCATTGATACTGGGACAAGGGCAAAAGGGTGGTAGAATGGGGAATTTATAATCAATAATTTATGGTTATAAAAAACATATGGAAAAATCAATGCATAATGGGATCTTACCACTTCTCATGGGGGATTCGGTCAAGAAAAACAAATATCCAATCAAGATTCAACATATCAACATCATTTAACATCATTTAACCAGTAAAATTAGGGTATAGTGGAGACAAATGGGGATAACATGCATTTTTTTTACCAAGAAATATGGGGATATAACTATAACATACTATAACCATCAATAATATGGGACAATTGGAGGTTAATCCTTTCATCCATCTGGATCCCCAGCTTCAGATGTGCGAAAAAATCCCTCGAGAGGCAAGGTATCGCAAGGTTCATAGAAAAATGGGGATACCTGGAAATAGACTGTAATCATCTGTAAATAATATATAAATATAATCTATAAAATCCTGGAAACTGGGAGTTACTACCTAGGAAATGGATGGGAATGGGCAGGCTTGGGCCTAGGGTTGGTTGAAACATGATTAAAGCGTTTAAACATTTTTTGGTTTAAACGATGTTTAAACCGACACTGTTTCAACCAATCCAGGGTAGTAGGGGACCCCAGAGAATTTGTTTAAACATGTTTATATAAAGGAATTAGAAGAGATTGTGGGCCCAACCGAATGAGATCATGCGCACATTGAATTGATTTAGAACATGTTTAAACATGTTGAATTCCAAGAAATTGAGGACCCAACCGCATCAGATTATGCTACGCACTTGCAGAATCATGCACTGAGAAATCTGCTCCTACTGACATCACCCTGGTGCTTCTGTTTCGCTCACCCGTTCTTGTATTATACATTTGAATACATTTGAGTCTTCCCGGCCGCCAACTTTGAAATGTGGAAATCTGTTTAAAGTGAACACGTGTTTAATGATGTTTGAATGTCAAAGCAAAGTCACAGGATCCGACTGCTCCAACATCAGCGTTGCCATGTCCAGAATCCGATGAATTTGTTTAAACAGTTTGATGTTTGGAACGACTCTGGGAGCAGTTCTAAGGGTCTCCGGCCGTCGGATCCATGTCGGACGAGTGGCTCTGTTGCACGCGATGATGACAACTCCTTCACCAACATGGCGTTGTCACGCATGTTCACCTGAACCATGAAGAAACTATGCAACTTTTTTTCTGGGGATTTAGGCAATATGTTCGGGAGTCCATCCTGCATAGATGGAATTTACATAGCATTTCAGGGGATTTGCAGTAAATGAGATTTGAACAATGGGTTAGTATACACGTTAATTAATATGTTCATATTTAGGGGATTCTGAACCGTTAACCTACCTGATAATTTTATTGCGGATTGTGAATAGACCCACATTTTTTGGGGGATACCGAGCTTTGCCAAGCGGTATCTTATTTGGGATGGACAGGGGTATTTTCATGGCTCACCGACTGGGCTGTTGAACACATTCGGCCAGGGCTTCCGGATGCTTCCGGCCAGGGCTGTTTCATGGTATACCATGGTGAAAATATTACCAGGGCTGTTTCCATGGCTGTTCATATACCATGTATCATATACCATGGTTCATATTCCGACGTAAGCGGCAGATTTGGGTATACCATGGTATACCCTGTTTGACCCATACCCACACATGGTTTCTGGATGGTATTTTTACCCAGTCATGCCCAGATGGAACAGTATTTTTTTACCATGAAATTAGTATAGGATTTACTCAAAACCATCTATTTGGGGATGACTATATATATATATAAATATAAAAATAATGTTTTTTCATTGCAAAGATTGTCTTTCTATGTCTTTCTGTTCTATTTGTCCTACATCGCCCAGGGAAAATGACCAAGGGCTGCAATGAATCACAGTCCTCACACTGGAAATCTCTGCTGCGTTCACCTGATTTATTTTTCCACGTTGGGCAAAAAGTGGATATTAGGTGATTTTGCCGCCCTCAAAGTAAAAAACAAAACAAACAATGGGATGATATGGAGATGATATGGGGATGATATGTAAACACGACATCACTATTCTTCAAAAGAAAAAACAATTCACCCACCTGCAGAGTTCGGCCATGGCTGTGAGGTTTAACCCACACACACACAGCATCCTCCATGTCGTGACGTTGCAGGTCGCCACATAGTTCAGCCAGAATATTCTGGTTGGTGGTTTTAACCATCTTGAAAAATATTAGTCAATGGGAAGGATTATCGTATCATATGATGCAAAATAAAACATGTTCCAAACCACCAGCTAGAATATTGCTCTTAAAATTGTTGAACACCCAAAAACATGTCCGGTTTCAGGCTGGGAACATAAGTAGTGCCAGGGCTGTTTCGATTGTTACAGGGCTGTACCTGTTTCAGATCCTTGCAGCAACCCAGCAACCATACCCGCCATCAATCTATCTATTTGTCCATCTATCCATCCAGCCATGCATCTATCATCATCTATTTATCTATCATTATAAATTTGTATATACATTATATATATAATTATCTACTATCAATATATATATATATATATCCATCCTTGAAACAAATTCGCCAATGAAAAATCCGAACCTTAATTTCAGAGGAACATCATCCATGATAACATGACTGGCCTATCTTTGAAGATCAGCCGTTTCAGCCATGAAATCAGCCGTGCTTCTGCACACGTCTAAGCTGGCAATGTCATACATCAAACCAAATTGACACCAAATCACGTCAGCTTAGATCATATCAAATCACGTCCCAAACATTAACTGTACGAGTATGTATGCATATATATATAGATATATATATGTACACTTAAATATACACATAGATGACATCCATACGTTCACGTTGTACTGGTGGGTTATGGAATGCAACTCCACTTGTATTTTCATATCCCCATATATCCCCATAGTATCCCCATACCTTCCTGTTGTCACAAAGTGGGTCTGAGTCATAAGTTGGTGTGTAATAAATGGATTCCAATGTTTTGTTTCACCTTACACTCTTAGTTTTTGTACTTATAAACCAATAGATACCCAAACTTCTACCAATCAACGTCCATGTGATGGTTTCCTGAAATTTATGGTACCTCTAGTTATCATCCAATTTATAGATGGATTTTCCATTAGAAAAAACACATCCAGTTTTTTTGGGTACCCCCATGACTTTGGAAACCTCCATGTTTGTTATAGCTAAATCACACATTTCCTCCATTGTTAATGGGTTCATTCCAACTATCCCGTGGAAACTTTGTGTCGCCTCTGAAGTCGAGATATACTTCCCGTAGAAGCGTCCACTCATCAGACCTACCGGTGCATGGGTGAACTATCTGTGTACGAACCTACTTGATAGATATAAATACATGTGTATATATATATATACATATATACTATGATATATATATATGTGCATGTATGTAGTACACATTCATAATCATATATATATGTACATAATTGTATACAAATGCACACATACACGTAATCGCCTTACAAACCATTATAAAACTATAGTTCTGTTGGTGTAGAAAAATACCAGTAGTGGATATATATATATATACTCATCCCAAGAAGGGTGCCGGGTTCACCCCCCATCCAGCCATAGCGCCATAGCTCCCTAGCCTAAGACCTACAGAAAAACTCTCCAAACGGGTAGACTAACATTGCTGGACTTGTTCATGGGCAGAATGAGAGTTTAGTGACCTCTTCAATCCATAAAGCTGCCCCAGAAATTGAAAGGGCTCTAATCTCGGACCCCTTTGAAGCACACCTGACAAAAAAATAGGCATGGCGAAGCAAACCGGCGAAGCTAAATGACCCTCCATTGTTTGGTCCGCACCTTTTTTTAGATGTTCTTCAGACATCCTGGAGACATATTAAAAGCAACGTATGATACAATCAATTATAATCATATCCCCTAGGATCCATGTATGGTATATATGCTAACATTGGGGGTATATTAATGGTAAATGTTACCATATATTGCATACATGGATCCTATGGGTATTGAATCATATTACAACACATACCATTGATTGGAGGGTTCAACCCATTCCAAACATACTCGTCACCGAATGGCATCAACATGCTATTTTTTCTGGCAACCATGTATATAATATAATCTATCATGTATATGCAATGATACAAGGGTGGTGCCCCTTAGATAGCTAAGTTGGTTTATAATTCCTAAAAGTATGGCTGGTGGCAATTTTGACTATAGTTATGAGGTTAAAGACCAACTCATAACTAGGGCTCCCGACATTGTACCAATGGAAGCATACTGGAATATAGTTATTTTATATTATCATCTATAATTATTATATGTGCATCTTCCCAATTTTACCATAATGTACCATCTGGGTATATGGCAAAATCGATCCTGAAAATGGATGGTTAATATTTAAATTTGACTCAAATATGTGGTTATCTGAATCAAAAAACGGATCCATACCCATCTATATTATGATACTTTATATTATCTATGCATTGGTAAATTATCTTATTATTATCTATGTACTTCATGCTTATGATACTAAAACTCTATATGTATATATATATATACTTTACTTGTATATATATATGTATATATGTATGATACTCTAGATCATCTATATCATGAAATTCCCAATCGAAACTTCCCCAAATCCTCCGCAATTACGGCAGCTTCGCCTAGGCTGATCTCGTCGTGGGCAAGGAAACGAATCCATGTGCGAAACCGTTGGACGTCCTGTGACTTGGGGCCCCACGGGGACCTCGAAGATTGATAGGGATTGAGATTGAAGCACAAATTTGGATTGAGATTGGATCTTTGAACTCTAAGTTTGAAGCTAAAATAATCTGTTGGATTTATGGTAGATATATCTTAGTAGTTAGATCATATGATTGATCAACCAAAAAAATGGGGCAGCATAGTGCGACCGGTTGATCGGTTCGAAGCTGCTGAAGATCTGGATGGCTTTGTTGTCCAAACTAGGGCCAATAGGGTACCCCTAAAACCACTAGTTAATCATGATTTTCTCCACAAAACATTGACTTTTTGGCGTGAACTCCATGTTTAGACAGACCCATACACATGTATATATATATAAGCTGAAATAGGATTGTCATAATTTTGTATGATTTTACAAGTTAGAAGGCCAGTTGGGTCTAGTGTATAGCCAATTTAGGAATTTATACCCCATTGTATGCCCATATGGGATATCATATCTACAATGTGAGGTCCCCGTTCGATATCTAAGTTGGTGCAAATAACTCCAATTTCACTATGGTTTATGGTACTTATATAACGAACTAGCATTCCTGGGGCGAATCTAAACCAACGTTCACATCACCGGGGGCCCTCACATTGTAGATATTTCTGGGTAAATTATAATAATTCACTAACCTGAATCTTGCAGCCATTTGGTAATGATTTCCCATATGAAAACCATGGATATAGTATGGATATGGATCATTATCCAAGTACAGTTATGGCCCAACAAACAATGATTTTGATGGGTTATTTCATTATATTTAACCAACTAGTTATTTCTATCCACTGATGAGTCATATCTCCATCAAAAGTTACGAAGACCTGGCCCCATGATGCCACGAGGCGGGACCCATGAAAGTTCTGCTGAACATGGCGATTTCACCGAGAAAAATGGTGGAACATGGTGGACAAAAATGGTAGAAAATGGTGAAAAATGGTGAACAATTGTGGAAAATGAAGATTGAACACATCAAAACATGAGGAAACAGGGGATTTCACCATATTTCACCATATTTCACCATATTTCACCATATTTCACCATATTTCACCCAGAAAATGATTGATTTCTGGTGGCAAATGAGGATTTCACTACACAATGAGGAAAACATCAGGTATGGCTCAATTGCTGGCTTTCAGAGGAGATCCTTTGGGCTGGTGTAGTCTGAGCTCTCGTCCTTTCCTGGGCGTCAAGGACAATCCCAGCGCATGTGTGTCCCAAAAATCGAGTCATGTACATCTTCCATGGGTCAAAGATGTTTTAAATCCAACCCATCTCGTGAAATCCCCAAACGTTTCGCGACGCAAACATGGTAGAGCAAGCAAAGGTTGACACCATTTTTTCGATGAATTCAGGTTGACATAGGTTTTTCCTAAATTCAAAACTCAGCTTTGGTAAAGCAATCACAGTTTCCAACATCCCATGAATTGAAAGGTCCGCTAAGCCCTACTGCTACAATGTGAGGCCCCCCAGTGATGTGAAAGTTGGTTTAGATTCGCCCCAGTAACTATAGTTATAAGTGTTATAAACCAACTTAGATATCTTGGGGGCCTCACATTGTACATAACATATTCAATTGACCAATTCCAAACCTGAAAGATTGGCACGAGAAAGTTGCAACGGCACTAAAAAATGCGCGCAAATTCAAGCATTCATGGCTTCCCTCTTTCCGTCATTTTCGGAATCTTTTACTGAAATTCAAGAGAAAGTAAGATATTGAAATTGGGGACAAATGGGGAATACCTTCATTTAACAACCAACTTTTTTTGTCATCATTTTGAAAACATGTCCCCCGCCATGATTTTTGGGCTCAAGAGGAAACCCCCGTGATGGAAGAGATTCGAATGTATTATGTGTATATATATATATATGTATATATATATATATACACGGGTTTGTCTGAAAATATAGTACCCCCTTTGAGATGGTTGAAGAAAATCAGTGTTCCCCAATGTTCCCCATAGTCGGCGTGAAATCGGGGCCCATCCCATCTCGCGGTGGAACAAGGCACCCACTAGGCGTGCATAGTCCTCTGGACGTCGTCGCTTCAAATCCTTTCCACAAAGAAATATGATGTGCCATGGTCAAAACATGAGCTATGGCCATATCATCAAGAAATAGAAAAAAATATAACATAAATCCCTAAAAGTTGGATTAGTGGATATGTTTCCCAGTTATAAGTAATTATATGTAAATATGTTCATACAGAAATAGCAAGATAATTGAATACAGAAATAGCAAGATAGTTGCATAAATGAATATAAATGGATTGGTTATTTCCATCCAATATGGCTATTGTAAATCCAGGATGGCACTCATCGCCCACAGGGACCAGACCAGGATACGGCGAACTGCGAAGTGCGTGGAAAAGCGCATTGGGCCACTCCGGTTCAGTTGAATTCAGTTTAATCAATCAGTTGAAGTTAGTTTAGTAGGTCATCATTTTTTCCAAACTTGACTTGGATACTTGGGCTGATTGAAAGCAGTCAAAGCGTCTGTTCCCAATGCCACTGGCTGGCCGGCCATTGTGTTGAACTAACCATGTACACATGTGCATGAAACATATTCTCACAATATGATACACAAATAATCACAAATATACTGTATACTCAATGGCCATCTCAGGTACTGTACCTGAATTGGAGGTACCTACCATATAGAAGGCCTTTGTACGAGCTATTTTTCAGGATTAAATACGTCCCCCACAAGATGTCTTTTTATATGGTACAGTACTACAGTACCCCTAGGGTCCTGAAATTCCCATTGATATTATACAATGTGAGGCCCCCAAGATATCTAAGTTGGTTTATAACTCCAATAACTATGGTTTATGGTACGCAAATAACGAACTAGTTACTGGGGCTTATAGACCAACTAACATCACTGGGGGGCCTCACATTGTGTGTATATATATACACTGTCAGGCATCTGACATCAATCCAGCTCGTCTTCTTGGATCTGATTGAAAGGCCCAAAGGCTCAAATACCTCGAGCTTCCACAGGCAAGCTGGTGAGGCTTCACAAAGATGTGATATTTCACCAACCAGAATGGGGATTTAACCGTTTGAGGGCCACAATTAAATTTGTTTCTGGTTGGTGGTATACCTGCCCCTCTGAATAATGATGGAGTTCGTCAGTTGGGATGATTATTCCCAATTGAATGGAAAAATAAAAAATGATCCAAACCACCACTTTGTACCGCTTTGTGTATCGCACTGTCTTGGGTTGGGAAGACAGTGCTTTGACCGTTGTGACTCTTTGGTCAGGGTGGCAGCAAACCTGAGTAACCGGACCTGGAGAAGAGGTCTCTCCAATCCGGCAAACATTGAAAAGGATCAACAGCGTAAACAACCAAGACCTGACACAGTGGCCGGCCCTGGCGGAAAAGGCAGTTGACACAAACCCCAAAAACTGGTAGAAGGGCATCAGAGCAGCAAGTACCCACACGGCACAACAAGACCCCATCATCATCATACCACTGTGAGAGCCATGCAGCTCAGGCGCACCCCCACATTCACCATCATCTCTCAGGCGCTTCCGCAACAAGCCACGTATATGAGAAGGCTGATTCTCAAACATAGCCTGGATGCACTGGTACTGGGTACTTTGGCCGTAAAGGTGTTGAGACTGGGCCTGCATCAGGGCCTGTAGATTCGAAACTTGTTGAGACTGATGGTGGGTGAACTCCAGAAACTGCCCGTCAATCTGTGTTTGGTTCTGCATCAACAGTAGTACCCGACCAATAGCAGAGAGCTCAAGGTTGATGTTCTCCTTCACAACTCCAGACCTGTCGACAAACCTATCAAGGTGTTGTGAAACGAACGGATCTCTGCATGCAGGGACAACGCATGTAAGCACCAAACCATGAACACGCTGAGACAGTGCAGCTCTAAGGTTGTTAGGAAGGGACATAGCACAAGGGTCTGCCCCTCCTTTCCGATCACCCAACTGGGAAAACGGCTGACATGAAAGTCCCGCACTCATCACCGCAGCATGATTACACTTGGACCACACTCCAGCGATCACCTGGGGACAGCCAGCATCACCGATCACATACTCACATCCTCCATGAACCTTGTGAAAGGTCACCATACGGGCACTAGAGTCAACAGCAACCATGGTTTGCACACCAACGGCATAAGCCCCATGTGTAGGACCATCCAACCCGCAGCAAGCATCGACCAGTTTGAAGAAGTCCTCCCAGGTATGCAGTGAGTGAAACAACACCTTAGTACCATCATCCACCTTCAGCAACGGAATAGAGAATTGCTGCACCAGGACAAAATCCAACAGAGTGAGCACATCAGGAACTCCATCCAAGAGGCCAGTAAACACCATACCAGTCCCATCGCGGACAGAGGACCAAGAGGCGCACAAGCACAGGATCAGAGACCACCATGACCACAGCAGAGAGCTACCTCCAGCGTCAACTTCAGCAAGATCCATGACGGTCCATGGCACAACACGGTGAACGGAACGCTCTACGATCTGCAGGGCACGGCCGCACCTGCTGGTAGGTGTAGAGCCCACGGCTGATCCAAACCACCAACCAGGGATTTTATTGACCAACGACCCCGTTTCAAGAAATATGCCAGACCCTTCACCGGCCCAGGCTGTGTTAAAATCATGTCAGCCCAGGATTTTAGCTGTAGCCGTAGTTAATTTTATGGGAAAGATTTTTTTGCATGGCAAATGATATCATTTTGGCGGGATACCTATGATACATTTCTAAGTAAACCCAGGTAGTTCTCTGAATAATCCAGGCAGTTACTCCCAGTATCAGTCTGCACTCTTCCTATAGACTCGAAACCTATCAAGTTAGGGCCTCAGTTCAGAATCGCTAAGCTGGTTGAACTAAATATAGGTTAAGAGTCAGGTACAAAATGGTTTAAGTCTGGTCAAATGGGATTGCAAACCGGCAAACGTTTCACGCTTTGGTGGGGCCACATCGAACCCATGTTTGCAAGTGGGCCCCCTAGATTTAAGTTGGTTTGGAACCCTATCTAACTATACATATATATATAATATAGATATATTCCCCATAAACCTAGTTAAGGAAATTTGTTAAAAAACTTAACGATCATAAATCAACTATATAATAAATCTGATGAAATCTCATTTTTTCTTGGAGAAGTCACCAATTTCCTCTGGTTAACCGTCCACGGCGGGGTCCTTTCGTCATCTCTCCGAGCGGCGATTCGCAGGGATTCCGCACGGAACCCACCAGGAAGGCCCGCTTCAGGGGCTGCAGCTGAACCGCTTGGGCCTCCGGAATCACCCGCAAGTCCTCACAACGACGGGGCCCAGATGTCAAGGAAAATCCATGGCGATTTTGTCTGGAGAAATATGGAAGTTAAGTGTGTTTTGCCATATGGATTTAAGCGTTGGGCATGTTTTTTTCCCCACCTGCCAGGTGAGGGTTGTTAGAATTTTATCAGAGCTGTTCTCCTCCTCCTCCTCCTCGGCTAGCTGTCCTCCTCCTCCTCCTCCTCGTCCTCCTCCTCCTCCCCCTCTAGTTTCTCCTCGACCATGTCTGCATCAACTTCCACCTCCACTTCCGCCTTGCCAACTCTTCGCCAAGCTCTTTGCCAACTCTCTTCGCCAAGCTCTTTGCCAACTTCCCAGCTCAGTGTGCACTGGGACCTCAACCTGGGACCTGCCCAGCTCAGTGTGCACCGCTGGACCTCAACCCGGGATTTGCCCAGCGCAGTGTGCACCGCTGGACCTCAACCGGGGACCTCCCCAGCTCAGTGTGCACTGCCCGTTAACAGGCAGATAGAATGCCAGAAGATATGCCAGATAGAATGTCAGATGGAATGCCAGAAGATATGCCAGATAAAATTCAATGAGATATGCCAAATAGAATGCCAGAAGATATGCCAGATAGAACGCCAGAAGATATACCAGATAGAATGCCAGAAGATATGCCAGATAGAATGCGAGAAGGTATGCCAAATAGAATGCCAGATAAAATATCAGATAGACTGCCACAAGATATGCCAGATAGAATCCCAGAAGATTTGCCAGAAAATATGCCAGGAGATATGCCAGATAGAATGCCAGATGGAATGCCAGAAGATATGCCAGATAAAATTCCATGAGATATGCCAAATAGAATACCAGAAGATATGCCAGATAGAATGCCAGAAGATATACCAGATAGAATGCCAGAAGATATGCCAGATAGAATGCGAGAAGGTATGCCAAATAGAATGCCAGATAAAATATCAGATAGACTGCCACAAGATATGCCAGATAGAATCCCAGAAGATTTGCCAGATAATATGCCAGAAGATATGCCAGATAGAATGCCAGATAGAAAGCCAGAAGATATGCCAGAAGATATGCCAGAACATCTGCCAGAAGATATGCCAGATAGAATGCCAGAAGATATACCAGATAGAATGCCAGAAGATATGCCAGATAGAATGCGAGAAGGTATGCCAGATAGAATGCCAAAAGATATGCCAGAAGATATGCCAGAAGATATGCCAGATAGAATGCCAGATAGAATGCCAGAAGATTTGCCAGTAAGAAAATGTATAAATGCCATGGTGGGGGTCACACGAACTAAAGTATTTTTCCTATTTTGGTGGGTATAGTTATATATATATGTTGAAACTGTAAATATGCCTGAAATAAAAAGGGATGGATGGCTGGCGAATAGATTTTTCTGGCAAATAATTATCTGATATGTTGGTTCAAAGAATGGTGTCCAAGAACAACGCTAGTTCATGATATGTCATGGTAGTCAAAGTCAAAGAGACCACGTAGACCACGTAGACCACGTAGACCACGTAGACCACGTAGACCATGTAGACCACGTATTGGATTGTGATTTTCAATATTAATCTGGCTGGTGGTTCATTGGGATTATTGTTAGTCAAATGGGATGATTGTTCCCAATATATGGAAAAATGAAAAATGTTCCAAACCACCAACCAATAATGCGTATGTAACCAAACAGAAACCCTGTTGTTTTTTATGGGGCTATTGGACGACTGCGTTCAATCAAAAGGGTTGCCTGACCTTTTCTGGTTGATCAAGTTGATCAACGGCATGGCCAACCTTAGATATGTTGCAACAAAATTGTAAAAACTCCTAGTTGATGAACCAATGGAGTTGTTTCAATATTATTAGTATTGGGCCAATGGGAATTTCAAAATCCTATTAGTATTATATAGGCCTTATATATGGTAGGTACCTCCGATTTAGATCAATTTAGGTTCCTGAAATGGCCATTGATTAGGGTTAAAATTGTATGAGTTTTAAAATACGGTATTGATCTTACAAAGATTCTGATTTTTCACCCATCACCCAAAGCGATTTTCGCAGTTCCCAACAGCTTCATCAATTAGATTCAGGACATCTTCTGGTACCTTGGCCTGACATTTTTTGTGAAGTCATGAAAGTCCAAAAGGGACAAGTACCAAAATGGAGTCCAAAAAAAATGGTATAGTATATTAGATATTGTAACATATAGATATGTAATGAAAACATGATGAATAACTATGAATATGTGCTATATCATTATGATTGACTAATAAAAAACTATGCGATTCCCCTATATCACCACAACTAATCATGAACCATTTGGTAAAACTACCCGTGGGGTCATAAACTGGTCAAAATTATCAAAATGCACCTTTTGTGCTGCCCCCAAGTTGATCGAAGTTGATCCATGAAGCCATCTGACTAGAGTTATAACTCCCAAAAAATATCGTCAACATTGTCAAGATAGTCAACCTAGTTACAAACCAGTTAAGCAATCAAACATGTCACAAATAAATTTTACAAGGTGGGGCCGCGTAGACAGCTAAATTGGCAAACATGCTCTCACAACTATGGTTTATGGCTGGAGTGAGTGAACCTAAGCCAAAAAACATAGCTGAGCTGGAAAAAAAACGGTTTGTAAATCGTGATCCTGCGAGCAAATCATGTGATTTCCAAGCGGCGGTCTTCATATTTATGTCTCGGCGCTTGATTCTTAGCTGTTTGAACTATAGAGCTTGTTGCATCTACATCAGAACTGCTATCAGCTACATCATATCCATTTCTAATCCCATGGCGGGGCCATTTTGAAACATGGCGGAAGAGTTTGACAGTGTTACTGGGTACTGGGAAAATGGACCCATGTGTGGAACAGATTGCTATCAGGTCAATGACCTGGAACGCAGCGCAAATGGGATGAATGGTCTGCCGTCTGTGGGTTTTTGTGGACAAGTGGTCATTCTGACTGAAATCCTGATGTCGTTCAGAGGTCGTTCTGAGGTCGTTTGGGAGCTGATAAAACTGGCTAAATATTGACCCTTGAATACACAATAATCATACAATCTGAAAATCAGATCCCTGTCTGAATTCCCCGGAACGGGTAGGGTCCTCTGTATTTCTAGTGGACATGCACTTCTGCTTACTGCCTTAGGTGCGCCCAGGATAAATTCCTTATAAAATGGCCCTGTCTCAAACATTTTTTGTGCACGTGCATTGGTGGCACAGCACGGGGAAGAGTCTCGAGCTCATAAAGACATGGTTCTAGAGGGAAACGGCTCAGGCCGGGGTCTCGTCGCAGAGATTACAAAGACTGTGCCAGATGCTATTTGCCAGCCCCAAAAAATGCATTTAGGGTGGTTCCGGGTGTAATTTGGCTGCTGATTTGTTCTAAATGCATCTAGACGTAAATATATGTAAATATATAATTATTAGCACACTTATGTGTGTGTATATAAATATATATATATATATTTTTTTTTAGGAGGTCGTTCCAATGTCTTTCTGGATGTCGTTCAGAGGGTCGTTCCCCAACTAAATGGCACATTCCAAAATTACCAAAAACATCAGAAATAGCTGCGGCAGTGCCTGGAATTTTGAACGAAGGATCGCACAATACTACTGTACACCAACCACCCCTTTTTTGACTCAACTCGGGGGGGCACCTTTTGTACACCAGTGGCAACTCCTTCCCCAATGCTCCCTCGCGTTTCATCCGTCAACCTACATGTAAACCAACTATGTAATCATATTCAAGTCAATCAGACATATTCAATTTTAAAGCAGTAAATCTGTTATAATAAGTCTCATTATCCTAGCTATTCTAGCCATCATAAATGTCACAAGTAAATCGAAAAACCCTTAGGCAATTCACTCCCCCTACCAAGAAACTACGTTCTGGTTATTTAAGAGCTTGGTTGGCCGGAAAAAAACACTATGATAAACATGATGCTTAAAAAACAAATATGTGACATCATGGTGACTTTCCAGTTCGTCAACCGTTAAACAACCAGAGGACAGGCGTTTACCCTTTGGTAAACTAACATAACTATGGAAAATCACAATTTTCAATGGGTAAATCTACTATAAATGGCCATTTTCAATAGCCATGTTAAATTACCAGAGGGTTAACGGTCATGGAACCAGGGCTAAGGCAAGGTGACCTGCCACCCGTCCTTCCCGACGACCCGATGGAATTTGTCGATGGCGTAGCGACTTCCAGTCCTGGGGATCTCGTCGAAGCACGAGAGATTGGATGTTGATAACCCTCTGGTAACCTACAAAAAGCTATGGAAAATGGCCATTGAAATAGTGAGTTTTCCCATTGAAAATTGTGATTTTCCATATTTTTTGGTATGTTTACCAGAGGGAAATTACGATTGAACTTGGTACAGCTATGGCCCTAAACAATTATTCTGAAATGGGTTTATTTCATGATATATATATATATATATATATATAACCAACTAGTTATAGAAGTTATAATTCTACTTACAATTGCAAGTGGGCCATGACTGTACCCACCTATGAGTAAACTGATGCGTTGCAAAATCCTGGGTTACGATGAACCAAACACCATGATTCATCCACCGTGTGCAATTGTACATACCCCATCTGCTCCATGGTGCTGGTATATAAGAACGTACTAAACTGGGTGATTTTGTTCGGGCAAATGTTGGTGTGCATATTCCGGCACCATGGTTCGCATCTGGGTACAGAAAGTCCTTGTGCATATGTTTGATACCCATATATGACAATCGGAACATGTGCTGGATTCAACTACGCAAACTGGGGATGTACCATTGGCTAGTCTTAAGACCTTGACGAGGATTGCATTGGATGGGTAAAACAATAGTTATCAAACTGAAAAATAGTTGTAGTAGTTGCTCCATTGCAAACCAAACGTAGTTACAAGATGTTGCAAATGGTGCGAAAGTGAAGAGATGTTGTGTCATAAATCTGATGGTTTTACAATGGTCGTTTTTTGTTTATTTGTTTTTGCCATGTGTTTTTTTGTTTAGTAAAGTAGAACCAACATATTGCATTTAAACATGTGTTTGTGTGTTTGGTCGTGTGATCTTTTTTTTTAACAAGATGGTGCTTCATCATCCTGACGTGTCGTTTTGTGGAACCGTGTTGTATCCACATGTTTATTTCAATAGACTCATGTCACTAGTTTCTCTTAATCGACTCGTTTATCTTCTTTAAATCACTTGGTGGTTCCATCTTGAGTTAAAGTTCTAGAGACGTTGTCTGCCAAGTTCGGCAGCGTGATTTATTTGAATTGTAAATAGATGGAAGTTTCCTAAAATGGGATGGTACCCCAAAATGGATGGTTTATAATGGAAAACACTTTTAAAATTAATGATTTGGGGGTACTCCTGCTGAATAGGTAACCTCCGTATTGTCCATAAATGAGAATAAATTGATCTCCATTTATTATATTCTGTTTTGCGAGGTTAATATTTCCGGACAGAAGACTGGGAAAATCATTACCCTCTTGTCATTTAACAGGTTCCTATGGTATTGATAGCTCATTTATAGGTCATTTACCTATCAAACATGCTGATTTGTCATGAATTTTCCATAACTATCCGTCCATTGCCTTGGGCTAAAAATAATGTCAACATATGTCAACCATGTTTTATTGCACCAGATTTGATTATGAAACCTCCAACGTTCATATACTCTTCAAGGAGTCGTAAGCCATTGTTTGTTGCTTGATGCTCACCCATTACCTACCCTCTGGTAAACTAACATAGCTATTGAAAATCACCATTTATAGTGAATTTTCCCATGAAAAATTGTTATTTTCCATAGCTATGTTAGTTTACCAGAGGGTAAACTAGTTGGATAATATTTACCAACTGAGCCTAGTGAGTTTAACAACTTTGGCCCCCAAAAAAACACACAGCACCACCTTGATTCCATCGTTTCCCCAACAATTGTCCCATACTTTTTCGCATATTTCCCTGTAGTTTTCACCATATTTTTCCCATAATTTTCCCATATAATTATATATATATATATATATTCTCATAGTTTTCCCATATGTTCTCTCACATTGTCAGATCATAGTTTTCCCCATCTTTTCCCGGAAAGCGCCTGGTTTCTTTCGGTTCTTTCTATGGCCAGGTTTCTTTGGGAATCGCGCATACGCCAAGACCTTCACCGGCGCTTCCCGTGGAGCTGCCGGCGCCGGCGCAGTCGGCGCGGGCGCTTCCGGGGGGAAGCCGGTGACCTTCAGAGCGCGAACGTTGATAAACCATGGCTGGTTGGTGGTTTCAACCCCTTTGAAAAATACAAAAGTCAGTTGGGATGGTTATTCCCAATATATAGAAAAATAAAAAATGTTCCAAACTACCAACGAGATAAAGTATATAGATTAACTATGAATATAGTAAATACACAGTATATGTTTAATATATATATATAATACTATGATAATAAAGATTAAGTGTCTATAACTATAATAGATTTAATAGATTATCAATCTATATATATATGCAGAGTATAAGATCATTATAATAGATATCTTGATATCATGTTCCATCATTTTCCCAGCTATCAACCTCCATTATCCATCATTTTCATCCATTTCCTTCGTGGCTGTCGTAGCCATCCACAGTACTTAGATGGGCCATGGAGTTAGCTAACTAATTAATAAATGGATTGTACTTGGGATATAATGGGTTATAACCCAGTTACTAACCACGAATCGCTAATCCCATGGCCCATCTAAGTAGTATATATTATAATAGATCATAAATTTTAAGCGTACATAACCATAATAGATTATCTATACAAGTATAAAATCATAATGGGTTATAATATATATATATGTATATATATATATATTATACCCTCTGGTAAACTAACATAGTTATGGAAAATCACTATGGTTAATTGGTAAATCATCGATACATGGCCATGTTTACTAGCTATGCTAAATTGCCAAAGGGTAATAGATCATAAAGATGAGTTTAGAAAAAGAGAACATATATTAACTATATGTATATAAGCCGGATAAACTATTATCACTATGTAAATATATATATATATATCAACATATAATAAAACGATTGAGCAGCCTATAGATTATATACGTTGCTATCATGTTATTTCAACTATGTATTTACTATTATATATAGTAGATTGTAACACATAATATTACTATAGATGTTAAAACGATCGGAAACCTATAGTAATCCAATGAAATTATCCACATCATGTTTGTGCACTATATATATATATATGATGTTTAATCACAGTAAGGAATAATACCTATAGTAATTGTATATTACTTTAGTGATACTTAAACATGTGGGATTTGAGATGCTATGATTCATGGTAGATAATTTAATATCTATCGTTAGATGGGTTCAGATGGAACAGTCAATCACAATTTAAGGGTTTAGATGGGTTTAGATGGCTTTTACCAAATTCCATCTTTTTGATTCTTTTTGGGGTAACTACAATAGATATGAGATTAAACCTCCCATACTTGGAAGATTTGATATTTCATTATTCCCCACCTGCCAGGTGAGGGTTGTTAGATTTTCTCAGAGTTGCCAGAAGATTTGCCAGTAACAAAACGTATAGATGTCATGGTGGGGATAACTCGAAGTAAAGTAATTTTATAGATTTAACATACAAGAAGGCGAACAAGCCGTTCTTCAAGCTAGGGTTGAATTAGCAAGAAACAGATGTGCGGAATGAGCAGAAATGGCTTGGATGTGTCTGGTGCAAAAAGACCCTCTGGTTATGACTAACATAGCCATGGAAAATCACCATTTTTAATAGGTAAACCATCGATTTCTATGGGCCATCATTTTCCATGGCTATGTTAAATAACCAGATAATTTAATGGGAAAACTCACTTTAAATCGCCACTTTCAATAGCTTTTTGTAGGTTTACCAGGCCGGGTACTTGCTAAATTACTGCTAAAATAGTGCCAAACCAACAGAATCTGGGGATGCGACTCCCAGGTTGAGCATCAACATGTTGGAACCGGAAATCTGAGACGTACGCTTACGGTACGTCATGGTTACGGGCCCCATAGTTAGTTAGCAAAGTCAGTTTAGGTTGACCAGTTCACCTTGCGGTCTTGTGGTAGTTATAGCTCTAGCTACCCTCTGGTAAAGTAACATAACTATGGAAAATCATCATTTTTAATGGGAAAACTCACTATAAATGGCCATTTTCAATAGTTATGTAAACATTTACCAGAGGCTAGACGGAATTATAAACCAACTTCTAGGCATTTCAGCCATCTGACATAAAAATGTTCAGAACACTTAAAAAGCGAAGCGATTGCAGAAGCACAAATATCTGAAAATCAGGATGATTTGGTGGTCTGATATGGCATCCCCGCTGAACAAATACCTGGTTGGTGGTTGAGGTTCAACCTACCCCTCTGAAAATAGTGGTTATGTCATACCAACAATAGTGGTTATATATGGTTATATGATGGGATCATAACATATTATAACTATATATATATCTGGTTGGTGGTATACCTACCCCTCTGTAAAATTGATGGAGTTAGTCAGTTGGGATGATTATTCCCAACTGATTGGAAACATAAAAAATCGTCCAAACCACCAACCAGATATCCATATAAACTCAATCTGATGCGTTATTCACTAACGGTAAGACTTAAGTAAAACAACAGAACCAACAACGAGCACAAAATGGGGGGCACCCCACGGCCCCACCTTGCCGTCATATTGATGTAAATGCAACTGGCTACAACCTGGCTTTGGGTGGTTCCACTGTTTCAACCAGCAAAGATTGTGATTTCACGATCAAAATAGGTGGTTTAACAGACTTTCAGACTGTCATAATCCTGACATGGAGGTCTAGTTGCATGTATACTCATTTATATATACAGTATATATATATACATAGCCAACATGATATTGAATACAATCCATTTGGGACACGAAAGTGAACAGATCCAACGCTAAGCCATGGTTTCGGACTGGGAAGGTATCAATTTTAGGGGGATGGGAATACTGGTATTGGATGATTTCATTCATTTGAATAGAATTGTTCCGTACACCTGATTGAATCTGCTGGGAAATCTTCTCCAGCGCCTTCCAGGGAGATGGCGTTGTGATTCCAACCCACCCCTACCTGATAGGCCAGATTTCCCTAAGTACGAATGGAACACGACAAGTATAAAGAAACAGAAGATAATATGCAGCCATGAACAAGAAAAAAATGAGGCAGAATGGAAGATGTAACAGTAATTTACGTAGGAGAAAGCAACCAAACAAAACACGCATATTCTTCACTCAGAGAGCCTGAAGGCTCATAGTTGTTTGCATCGGGCATCAATTCAATAGGAAACAAAGTATCATCTGGGAAACTTAAACCCTAACTGGCTGGGAGGATTGAAATCATCCCAACAATACTTCTCACATGGCTGTCGCAGTCAATCTGAGGAAGCCAAAAAAAGAGGTCGGGGGATGGTCTTTTTTTATTATATCTTTCTTACTCAAAATAGCCACTATAGGGTATCCCCCACAATTTCAATGGAATACAGATATCAAGTAACATAACTAACTATGTTTCTGTGGAGTAGTAATTAATCTACATAGAAATGCTTGGTTATGGTCGATGCAAAATCCCTTTGATTGCCAATTATTTGATCTAGTTAAAACCCCTATTGTATGGTCATGGTTAAAATATCGTCCCCTAAACTAACATCGACCCGGCAAATAGGGAGCTGGAAGATTACGTTCAGCGTTGAAGTTATCGGATATCGAATCAACACATCCCTGGGAATAGCCCTCAAAAATAGGCTTTGTATACAGCAGGCACCTCCAATCAATGGTGATTTCCTAAAATGCTGGCACCCCCTAAATCATCCACTTTAATAAGTTGGTTTATAACTTCAATAACTATGGTTTATGGTGCTTATAATACCTTGTAACTATAGTTACTGGGGCGAATCTAAACCAACTAACATCACTTGGGGGCATCACCTTGTAGGAATTATAAACCACCCATTTTAGGAACCCACCACTCAAATGAAATCATCACATCTCCAGAAAAAAACGACGGTCGCACCGATCACTGGCCGGCGGCACCTGCAATGAGATTTTCGCGCGTCAGTACCACGATCCACACCACCAAGACCTGTGCGACGGTCCCGAGGGCGATTCTGGTCGATGTGAACAAACGGTGGTAGCCGTTTAAATATGGGGATGTGAAACACATCATTTAATGGTGATATTGGGGATTTATGGTGATTTTATGGTGATATAACATGCTATTTAACCATAAAATCCCCATAAAATCCCCATAACATCCCCATCAATTCAACAAACATGGAGATTCAACCGTTCAAAATTGGCAAACAAAAGCACCAGAGATGAGGATCTGTAGCTCATTTCTGATGACCCCAACTGGCAACGGCAGGTTGATTGTACAAGACAAACTTGCCTACAATGTGAGGCCCCCGTTCGATAGCTAAGTTGGTGCAAATAACTCCAATTTCACTATGGTTTATGGTACACAAGTAACGAACTAGTTACTGGGGCGAATCTAAACCAACTAACATCACTGGGGGGCCTCACATTGTAGATTTCGCGAAGATATCTCGGAGCCAGATGGGAGAACTTAAACCAACAAACATAATTGGGGGGCACTGCAGTGAGAGGAAATGGTCGTGTAATGTTCAGTAGAGCGTTTGTTTCTTTCCGCAAAATTACTTTCTTTGTGTGATCCCAACCCTGGCACACCATTCTGACATAGTTTCTGACATGCCATCTGGAAGTTTGTATAGCATAAATACATAAGCATAATTACATATTCATATATTCAAATAGATTCTGACATTTTATATGACACTCTTTCTGGCATATTCTCTGACATTCTATCTGGCATCTATTCTGACATTCTTTCTGGCATCTATTCTGGCATTCTATCTGGCATCTATTCTGACATTCATTCTGGCATCTATTTTGGCATTCTATCTGGCATCCATTCTGACCGTCTTTCTGGCATGTCTTCTGGCATTCTACCTGGCATCTTTTCAGGCATTAACTTTGGCATCTATTCTAACATTCGGCATTCATTCTGGCATTCTATCTCGAATTTATTCTGACATTCCAGCAGGCATTCTCTCTGGCACGAGTTCACATCCAGGCGCACTCCACAGCATCCTGGGCTTGCGATATGGAGTTCCGGTCCCGGCATAGCCCACTGCATCCGGAGTTGGCAGAGGAAGACGACAATCTGGCTGAGGAGGAGAAGGGAGAAGAAGAAGAAGAAGACGTGAGAAGGAGTTGCACCTTTGTTAAAATCTAGAGACCCCACCTGTCAGGTGGGGCAAAAATAGTGATTTCTATGGACGTTGTGTTTCCCAGTTTCGGAAACCCATTGAATTGGGGGTCTGTGTAAAGTTTGGAGCAACAGATTGATGTAGATTGCAACTTGTAACCCCAGTTCGAAGGAAACGATCATCATCCCAGCTTTCCTATTTATAAACAGTTTTATCATGATTTATCACTGTTTGCAAAAAGTTCTAAAATCTATATTGGTGTATCTTTAGTAAGGAAATTTGTGAGTTATGGCTTTTCGTGTACCATATTTTCAGACAAGCCCATGACCTGGTTGGTGGTTTCAACCCCTCTGAAAAATATTAGTCAATTGGGATCATTTTTCCCAATATATGGAAAGTCATAAAGTTCATGTTCCAAAGCACCAACCAGTAGAGTTATGACCATCCATTTTTGAGACCCTGGGGAGTTTTTTCGGCAGTGCTGGGAAGAAATCCCCTGCGGGACTCCACCTTCTGCTAGCCCGGGGTGAGGTTGTCACCGTTTAAGTACTATTCCTGGGAAAAAAAACGTGGAAAATCAACCACTTAAAATATCTCATTTTCCTTCATTCTCCCAGCTTGGAACCTCCACTTTGATCAACATCCAGCCATGGTTAAGGACACCGTTCCACCGTGCGATACGGCAAAAAAGAACAGTTCAATAGCCAGTAGAAATCTTCATGACTCCATAACAATCATAATACGTATATGAACAGTATATGTATATGTGATTTTCCTCGTCCCTCAACTTATCCACAAAAATGGCCGACAGTACTTAAGAGGACGCTAGACATGGCAAATCAGTCCTTGTGGAACAGACGCTTCAGCGCCGCCAAAAAAATGATCCTGAAGCTATGAGCAATTATTTCTCTATGTGTGACAGTAAGGTCTTGTAACCCACAACAACAGAGATGTCCCTATAGTATGTATAGTGGTTATAATCTCATAGATGTGAAATCTATTTGCTTTGAAGGATCATCCCAACAAAATGCCGGCAGGAACAAAGGAACAAGGCACTGAAATCACCAACAATAAAGCCCCGGTGTTCCATGGCATGGTGTCGCAGCGAGAAATAAGGGTTGCCAGGGATAAGAAGGCCTGGTGTCCCGTCCACTGGTTGGTTGGTTGGTTGGCTGGTTGGTTGGTTGGTTGTTTGTTTGGTTGCTTAGTTGGCATGTTTCAAAAGACAATGTCAAATACTCATCATTTTTGGTCATCCCGTCGCAAAAAAGCTCGGATGGAACCACGATCACCAGGATCACCAGGTGGATGTATATGATCCCTCTAGCAGCTGTAACCACTTTGATTCCATGGTCCGTTACTGTTGCGTTGGCCAAAACGTAACTTTAAGCGTTGATGCAACGGTCGAGATTTCTACAAAACACCATGAGCAAAGCGCTGCGGTGATGCATCTGGCAGGGATGGTAAACCCAAGAATGAAGCTACCATGTGGGGATTGTTTGTACCACCCATCTATGGTCGTAAAATGGGGATAGATTACTATTGGCTTTATTTACCACATTGGTATATATACATAATATATCATAACCCAGATGCTCCATGTATGGCATATTTACCTACATTTACACCATTGCACGGCCCACATGTAAATATTCCATACATGGAGCATCTGGGTAATATATTATCCACTATTCTGACATCGCATATCTTAATCTAGTATCAGAATGTAAGTGTACTATATATATATCATGTATTATCCACTATAATTCTGACATCGCTTAGCTATCATGCGTACGGACACTCCGCGTGTTTTGTGTTGACCCTGTTGACCCTCTTCAGGATCCGCTGGATCATCGACTACTTCGAGAAATATCATGATGTCATATCCCTATCAGAGATATCTGATGGTTCAACATATTAAGATAACTCAGATATAATATTTTAGAGTATAATAATATTTTTAGTATCTGATGGTTCAACATATTAAGGGTAAATAACTATAATTCACTAACCTGAAATGTTGGCAAATTTTGGGATTCCCTAAATCTAAAGCATGATTCCAGGGCTCGGGAGAACAGGCTTTGGTCGTTACAATTTGCCCAGCATCAATGCTGGTTGGTGGTTTCAACCCCTCTGAAAAATATGAAAGTCAGTTTGGATTATTATTCCCAAATTATGAAAAAGTAAAATTCATGTTGCAAACCACCAACCAGAATGTCATCAATGTAACATAATCCAAGACTTTGCTACGTGGGATATCTCCAGCATGTGACCCCCCCATGTTTGTCGGTGGATTTTTCATCCCAACGTATACTGTAGGTATCAAGCTTGGGAGCCTCAGATCGTGCTCCCAAGCTTGATGCCCAGCTTGTGGCACCGGACAAGAAAGTAGAACATAGTAAAATCCTACGGACGAAAAATAGGGCTTATTAACGGGATTGATGAAGATTAACATAGATTAAGCATCAACAATGGTCATGATATTGGGGGCGCCCACTGGTCTGATCATGGCAACGGAACATCTCCCACTCGCCACGTGGGTTTGTGGCGAGCGGACCTTTTTTTTAATGGGGCACCGCGATGAAATTCCTGTTGGGAAAATGATGTTTCACCATGAAAATTTGGGATAGCTTATTTTCAAGCAAACCCATTTGTGTGGTGGGAGCATTTTCTGAACCACATATACTCCTGGAAAGGGAACTACTAAACTGCTTCACCCCATTCTGACAAGAACCTGACCGATGCTGCAGTAATTCATGGATCTAAATGATCTTTGTCCAACAATTAGGAAAAGTGCTGTTTGGTATGTGAAGCCGCCAATCGTATAGTTAACCATGGAATTGCTTGGCTGCTTTCCAATAATTCTACACATGGTTGCTAGATGTTGCTATAAGTTTGGTGCCCCATGTTTAGCTAAGTTGGTGCGTTTATAACTCCAATCACTATGGTTTTTCTTGGTGATGTAACTATATTATATATTATTTCTATGGTTCAACCAACGTTCCATCACTGGGGGGCACCACCTTGGCTTCTTGGTGCTACCCTCTGGTAAACGTTTACATAACTATGGAAAATCACCATGCTATTAATGGGTCAATCAACTATAAATGACAATGTTCAATAGCTATTTTGACATAACCAGAGGGTATCCTCCATTGCTACCTCCAAATTCATCAAGGCAGAACCGGGAGCCACACAGTAGGTCAAAATTAGAGTCACCTAGCAGCGGGAAGTCGCTCGCAACTGGGGCCCTGGGTCAAGTTCTGGTTGGTGGTTTGAACCCCTCTGAAAAATATGAAAGCCAGTTGGTTTATGAACCCATTAACTGGGTAGATAGATATATATATATACCCAGATGCTCCATGTAATTATGGTATATTTACCTACATGTGGGTGATTTTTAGGGCAAATGTTGGTAAATATTCCATACATGGAGCATCTGGGATATATATATATATAGATATACTGGTTGGTGGTATACCTACCGTCACTTGGGATGATGACATTCCCAACTGAATGGAAAAACAAGATTCATGTTCCAAACCACCAACCAGCAGTCATTGGGTAATTTTCAAAGGATTCATCAACCCTGGCTATTGCTTGGAGGAGTTTCCCCAAAACCAATGTGATGAATTGTATACTATATATATATGAAAGTTAAAACCAATGATGAATTAGATACTATGAAAATCTATGAAAGTTTGTACCCATCCTAGATTTTCATAGATTTTCCTCTACTTTCTACAGTAAATTGGGTGTTTATACTGTAATTCTGGTTTTCAAATGACCGTAAATTGGGGGATAATCAAAACCTAGGATGAAACAGAAGGCAGAAGGCACAGAGCCCCACATAGATACCCCAGAACGATAGTGATTACGAACATATAATTTGTTGGATACCCCAGATATCACGAATATCATGGTTTAGTATACATGATATCTAGATTTGTTTGTTTTGGAATATACACAATGATAAACCACAAAATGGAGATTGTTTACTGTGGATCTGCCCATCAAGCCGAGTCTGCCAGATATGGCATATGCTAAAATCATCCTATGTACCCTCTGGTAATTTAACAGTTTGCTATTGAAAATTGCCATAGAAATAGTGGATTCCCCATTAAAATCTCCAATTATAAGGGATTTTCCATGGCTATGTTAACTATTATAGTTGATTGTCACATTAAAAATTGTGATTTTCCCATCACTTTTTTGTATGTTTACCAGGCCGTGTATCTTTCAGAATCAACGTTGAGTGACTATGACTACGGGTCCCCTTAAATGATACTCTTGACCTTGGACCAGTCCAGGTTTCCGATTTCAGGGGTGTAGAAAATGTACAAGTCGAGTCACAACCTATAGCAATCCCCATATATAGATAGAAAATGATAGAAAAGTGATTCATCACTAATTTAGTGGGAGTGGACTTCTCCATCTTTTTTTGGGATGACTACAAACTGTATACCAACACATTGGCTGCTGCAACGTTGACCACCCGAAACACGGGTCAAAAGCGCCTTGAACGGCGCGCGATGCTCGCGAACCCGGAGGTGTTTCGCGAAGCCCAAGAGCTTTGAACCACGAAAGAAATCCCACGCGGCGCAGGAGAAGTTGATACCAATCATTGGCCATGCAACAGGAACTGATTTATTGGAGGCACCTAGACCTAGCATATTATTGACCTGAGGGCCATGCAAGGGGATTATAGCCCCTAAATATGGTTTTATATGGTACAGTACCTCTGTTTTAGGGTCCTCAAATTCGCGTTGAACCAATGCATGCATCGCCCTTAACAGTAACAGTTACGCATGGACGCATAACTCGCGTAACTAGTTGGTTGTATATCATTCGAAAGCCTTTTATTGTATAAGTCTCAAGGGCCATAACTGTCGGCATATGACATGATATGACGGGATATGTATGGATATGTATTTCTACAGTTTATGCGATAATGTTCTAAGTCTATGTTAAAGGAGGGTAACTGGATAATAAATATTGATTAGGATATATGTGTATAAGACTATAGTATACTATAGTATAAAATATTTATATGGATATATTTATCCGAACATACTGTGGATGGTTAAGAAATCCTGCACAAGCTGGTTGAAACCCCCAACAAAATAATGGGATGTTTACCACCTATCAACTGGTGCAGGATTTCTATGTGAACCCAGCAGGACCGGCAAAGTTGGTTGAAGTTCTGATGGGTTTTTTTGGCTGCAATAAAGTAGACCATGATAGACCTAAACCTCGGGGAAAAACATGTGGAACATGATGAAATTTATGGTGTGTTTTGCCGATCTATTGCAAACAGCAATCAATATATACATCAAAGAAACATAAAGAAACTATGGATATGCCGTAACTCTAGTTGATCTAAAAACTAGGTGCAAGAATTGGAGTCACCAACTGGTCAACAAGTCTTATGGCCAGTTTCCGCCCAAACACGAGAGGCCATTTCCGAGAGGTCTATCTGTTGTTTTTTTCCCAATGTCAGCCATTCAAGGCTCCGATAATCAAACCTGGCAACAGAAAATCACCGCCATTTGTAGCAGATTTTCCCAGTCACAACATATTCGGAACACCCCTTGTCCTAGCTTGCAGGAGTATCATCAGTCATTCCCACTGGTATGCCGGACTGATGATAAGCAAATTACGCTGAGTTTATGATTTTGTTTTCAAGATTTACGATGATATATCATACATGACGCATTATTAAAAGAAACATGTAGACGTTATGTAGTCATCTATGTTACAATATAAATTTAAATACACATAATATATTGACATATATATATAAGATTAATATCAGACCTAACCTCCACACAGTAAACACTGGGCAATGTTAGTTGCGGTTTTCGAATAGAAACCTCTACGACTCGAGGGTCATCCAACTTAGTAACTGGTGACCCGGGGACCCGGTCAGCCTAGTTAGCAAGTCCCCGATTCGTGCAATATCCCATGTATAACTGCGGGAACTCACCCCAGATACATGGAATACTGACTGTTACATGATAAGAACTACTCATTGTTGTTAGTTGAATGAGTGGGATGATCCTCCAAATACTGACTGTTACATGATATTGTGGATGGTTGCGAAATCCTGCAACAGTTAGTAGATGGTAAACATCCTGTCCTAATCCCATTATTTACAGTGTTTCATATAGAAATCCAAGTTCAAAATCATATGATTTTCACTGGATCATCATTCAGTTCGATGATTTTCCCAGCTATAAACTTCCATTTTCCATCATTTTCCGTCATTTTCCTCCATTTACTTCGTGGATTTCGTAGCCATCCACCTTCAACGTAGCCATCCCGTTGTGGTAACGACCTCGGCAACCGGACGACTCGAGGCTCCGAACCCAATTTGAGCTGCGCCTTGAGGTTGTGATCCACGCAGGTGAACACACCTGCGGAGTACTATGGCTATATTAATAGTAATAGTAACTATAGTTAATTAATCGAATAATAAAGATAACTAATAGTAATAGAATATACCAGTAGTACCGCACAAGGCAGTGGCGGAAGTTTCAAAAATAGGAAACCTATAGGAGAGGTTGGTTGTTGTGAATCACGGATGGCAGAGCGAAGCCACTGACTCCACCTATTTCTCTAGCTGTCTCTCTGACTATTTATCTATCTGTCTGTCTGTCCATCTATCTATGTATCTATCTGTCTGTCTGTCTATCTATCTATCTGTCTATCTATCTATCTATCTATCTTTCTTTCTATCTCTCTATGTATCGATCTATGTATCGATCTATGTATCTATCTATCTATCTATCTGTCTAGCCATCTATCTATCTATCTAGCCATCTATCTATCTATCTATCTATCTATCTATCTATCTCATCTACCCAGCTGGCCTCTCTCTCTCTCTTTCAGCTAATACCTATCTATCTATCTATCTATCTACCTATCTATGTGTCTATCTATCTATCTATCTATGTGTCTATCTATCTATCTATCTATCTATTTATCTATCTATCTATCTATCTATCCATCTATCCATCTATCTATCTATCTCTCCCTTTCATCTGTCTATCTGTCTAGCTGTCTATCTGTCTATCTATCTAGCCGCCTACCTGTCTATCTGTGGTGCAGTGTCATTCAGTGTAATGTAGTGTAGTGTAATGTAGTGTGGTGTAGTGGAGTGTGGCGGAATGTTGTGTAGTGTACTGTAGTGTAATGTAGTGTATATAGTGTAGCGTAATTTAGTGTAGTGGAGTGTAGTGGAGGGTAGTGGAGTGTAGTTGTAGTTGTAGTGTAATGGAGTGTAGTGGAAGACAGTGTAGTATAGTGTAATGAAGTGTAGTGGAGTGTACTGTAGTGTAGTGTAATGTGATGTAGTGTAGTGTAGTGTAGTGTAGTGTAGTGTAGTGTAGTGTAGTGTAGTGTAGTGTAGTGTAGTGTAGTGTAGTGTAGTGTAGTGTAGTGTAGTGTAGTGTAGTGTAGTGTAGTGTAGTGTAGTGGAGCGTAGTGGAGCGTAGTGTAGTGTAATGTAGTGTGGTGTAGTGTCATTCAGTGTAGTGGAGTGTACTGGAGTGTAGTGTAGTGTAATGTAGTGTACTGGAGTGTAGTGTAGTGTAATGTAGTGTAATGTAGTGTAGTGGAGTGTAGTGTAGTGTAATCTAGTGTAGTGTCGTGAAGCGAAGCGACATCTGAACCTCCAAAAGTGGTCCGTACCCCTAGTGTTTTGAACGTTTTGACTTCGAAATGTGCTTCGCGCCACAACGGCATGCACTTTTTCGACATCTGAGCCTCCAAAAGTGGTCCGAACGTGGTGTGCTTTGTACATTTTGACTTGAAAATGTGCTTCGCGCAACAACGGCGTGCACTTTTTCGACATCTGAACCTCCAAAAGTGGTCCGAACGTGGTGTGTTTTGTACATGTTGACTTGAAAATGTGCTTCGCGCCACAACGGCGTGCACTTTTTCGACATCACAACTTCCAAAAGTGGTCCGGACCTGGTGTGTTTTGTACATTTTGACTTCGAAATGTGCTTCGCGCCACAACGGCGTGCACTTTTTCGGCATCTCAACTGCCGAAAGTGGTCCGGACCTGGTGTGCTTTGTACATTTTGACTTGAAAATGTGCTTCGCGCCACAACTGCGTGCAATTTTTCATCTCTCATCTGGCCAGCTGGCTCTGCACCCGCCGCTTTAGCGAGCCTACTTTTCGACCCTCCGGAGCCTCAAATCATTGGAAAAACACAGTGATTCGCGACTTTCCTACGTTTTCGCGCATCTTACTCTGTCTCTTCTACTCTTATCTCTTCTAATCTTTCTCTTCTCTCTGCCTCTTCCCTACTCTGCTTTTCATCTGTCCATATTGTCGGAAGTTTGACTTCTAAACTTCCTTCGATTATATATAGGATAATAAAGATAGTAATAGTAACTATAGTTATTATAGTAGTAACTAATTGTGTATATATAGATAATCTATATATTATAATACTATAGTGTATAGTCTATTGTAGTAGTAACTCTAGTTATTATAGTATAATTACGGAAAGGACTGTTGTGAGCGGCAGAATTCACAAGTTTTGGGGAAGAGAAGTTTCATCAGAATAATTTCCTACTGCTTGCCCTCACAAGAATCGTTTCTGACACATGTCATGGCACCACGTAATTACACTACATCAGTCATCTGCCTACATCTGCCCTACATTTGTCCAATTACACACATCTGTTTCCAACATCTGCCTTCACTTCTCTGCATTGACTGCACAGATTAATCCAGATTAATCATGATTAATCTAGAACCAAAAAAAACAAAAAACAATGTTTCCACAACTACTCTGACCTCTAGACTAGTTGCCAAATCTTTGTTTTTTTGCTATTTTTCTGTTTTCTGTTCTAGATTAATCATGATTAATCTGGATTGATCCTGATTAATCACTGGCATAACATCATACATCACAACCCTGGCTTTTCGCTTGACTCCGGCTCTTAGTTCGGGCCTGCTTGTCTGCTTCTGCGTCTGTGTCCGGTCTTGCCCTGTCATGTTTGTTCGGTTTTCTCGAGGTTTTGGTATGATCCTGATTAATTAATCTGGATTCGTAACGTCCTACATCATGACTCCGGCTAGTTCCGGCCTTCTTGTCTCCAAATTTGGAAAATCAGATGCTCGGAGACTTGGGCATGGGTTGAGGGCAATTTTGTAGTTCATCTATTTCCACCTAGTTTTCTGCAGAATTTGGCACTGTTCAAAAACAATGCCGCAACAATTGAAACAAAATAAAGCAGACAAAGTGCACTTAGGACATGGGTTTGGCATTTTTTTGCATACAATATTCCAACATCTGTGATCCCAAGTCTTATTTTTCAAAGAAGGTGATATTCCTTACAGAAAGTGTGGCCTGACTTTGTGCATTCCCTTTGAAAGATTGTAATATCTTTGCAAAGAGTGCAGTACTGGTCTGAAATAGACCTTCAATGCGTATACAATTTCATAAAAGTATGGCGCCTTCTGCTAGCAGGTTCCAACACCATTTCAAATTAAGGTCCACTTATATATATATATATAAATGCACGCAAACACATATATATATACCATGGTGTTCTTTTGTGATCATGGCATTCTTTGAAGTGAATGTTTATAACATGTATAACTATCTGGAATATAATCCTTCAAGAAAGTGCATCATCTCTTTGAAAAGGGTGCAAGATTTCCTCAGACATCAAGACATAATTCCAAATGTCAAGATGGAATTATTTTGTGTTTATAGTGTTCCTTTAATCAAAAGAGTATGATATTCCTTGAAAAAATGTGGAAAGCGTTGTTTTTCTTTAAAAGCTATCAGCTCCTTGAGGGAGATGCAATATTCTCTTAAGACAATGGAAATTTATTCCAACATGTAATCCTTTTACACATGCAGCACTCTTTCTGAAATAATATGGTTGCCCCTTGGTGCATAAATGATGGAATCACTTGATTAAGAAGAGTGCACAACTCTTTCATATTGAATACAGAAACTAGTTTCTTTAGAGAAAGACCTGATTCTTAAGGAACAACAAACGAAAACTGAACCTTTTCAACATGAATACTACACGTGTGAAGACAATTATTTTTACTTTTGCAGGAACATGGCTTCTTGAAAAGGATACTATATTGTCTTATGGTGGGGTACTTCAACATAGTCATTTGACGTGATGTTCAAGGACTATAGTGTTGATGCATTGGGCATTGCACTTTTGACATGAATTGCACATATTAAAGGGATGGTTGTGAATCGAAAAGCATGCTACATATGGCGCAGGAATATTGCCTAATTGAAGGGATATCATGTGGAAGAAGATTTCGCTTTTTCAGAAACGAATGCTGCATCTTTTAGTTTTTGGAGGATTTCTTCATAATTGTAGAGGTGTTGCTTGTTGAAAAAAACATTGTACTTTTTCAAAGGAAAAATACAATTTAATGAAAAATGCTTCTTTATAAGCTGGGGATACTTCAATGTTTAGAACAGGAATGCACTATCTTAAATTCATGCTACATGTTATAGACACATGTTTACCCCTAAATGGAAGGCTGTACATCTTTAGGGATGCCCTGCATCTTTTAGAAAAAAAAAAGTTATATTTTGCATGGGATACTGGAAGGATTCATGAAACTATTTCAAGGATATTATATAAGATGCACATACGGTTCAATATGCTTATTACTGAATTGTGTGTATTTACATTTATGATCATTTATGGCTCTTTGACTCTGATGTATTTACTTAATTGCTTTCAATAAGAACACCATATTTCACAAGGAGACTCTTAAACAAGAAATATAATATGAATTTAATAAGATTTTGCATGGGAATTGCATGGAACTAGATGTCCAATAAATTCTGAATAAAAACCTGCCTTTCTTGATTTATGGCAATTTTGAGCACGTAGTTGGGTGAAAAGTAGCACATAGTTGGGTGACAGATACAAGTATGTACTTAAAGTGCAACCTGTTCATATCTGGATCAGAAGGATTTGCAAAAAATAATGCAATTAATTTAAGTAAATTTTCTGCCGCTCACAACAGTCCCCTCCCTATAATTAAAGATTAACTATATTATAGTATATATATACACTGTATGATACTTTGTAATATAGCATATAGTACTTCATCTTTTTTGTTTAAACTTTATAATCTTTATGAAACTATATAATAGATGATCTATTACTATAGCATATATTAAAATAGACTAACTATATATAGTATAATAATGATTGACTGTATGTAACAGTTAAAAAAACTAACTGTATAATCTGATATTACTATCAACAGTATCTATAATTGATAATAAAGATTAACTGTATATAACTATAATAAATTATCTAAATATATTTATGTATGTACAGTAAAATATCACAATTGGTTATCAAAAAATATACCCTCTGACTCTGGTAAGCTAACAGTTTGCTACAGTATGATGCTATGGAAAATCACCATTTTGAATGGCTAAATCCACTAGAATAACCCAACAGAAATAATACTATAGGGGGTTCATAATATAATATAATTATCATAATTATCACAATATAATAATGATAATGTATGATGATCATAGAAATAATGATATTGTAATAAACCACCCTTTCATCTACTATATTCTAGTATCATTACCTACTGGATGATAATCATAATCTCCGTTAAACTACCCAGTAGACCTCCCTATTCTAATCAATAGGGGCTTTGGTCACTGCTCATCCAACAATTTGTACTGGCTGTGTTTTCTGCACTCCCGGTCACAACCTCACAGCAGGGTTAGATTTCACTGAACTTCCCGGAAATTAAAAAAGAACTTCACAAAGACTGACAAATTTGTTTCCAGCTGACAAAAACATGTAAAAAAGAAAGCAACTGCGATCCTTGACATGTAAAAATGAAAACATATTTTTGCATGTTACAGTAAGAAAGCAACTGCAATAAGTGGTTGCAATCACTGCTTAATCCATGCTTCAAGGCCACTCTTAGCAAGTTCCAGAGCGCAACCAGCACCATCCACTTGTAGCACCCCCCCAAATAGGTGAGTTATAATCCATTAAACCAGCCACCAAAAGATAGATGCAAAAATTCGCATTCAACCATATGGTAAATTGTGTTTTCTATCTTGTGGGGTTACTATTCATCCTATAGGGCTTTGTATTTCAGGATTCATATGCTAAGTTCAGGGATAGTCCATGTTCACTCCCCCGGGCCCGCGGGCAGCTGCCAAAACATCGACGCCCTGCGGCACTTGACCAGCTTCATGTCAAGATCAAACCATGGGTGGCGATTTCACTAGCTGATTGTTGTGCCCAAGAATTGTTGGATGTGTTTTTTCATCGCTAACAAGCAGTACATCCAAAAGTCGTTGCATTCAGACCAAAAAATCAAGGGTGTGAAGCCATGTATATACATATATATATATATTATACATATTCATATACATATAACATATATATATACATAACATATATATATAACATATATAGATATAACATATATATATATAACATATATATATATAACATATATATAACATATATAACATATATATATATATACAGAACATATATATATATAACATATATATTTATATAGATATAACACATATGTATATATATATATATATATCATTGTGGCATTTAACCCATCTCATTTTGGGGTATCCCTTCTTTTTACCCATGACTCAATCCATTTCCTCGGTGGATTTTTTTCGACGTCCTCGTCCTGCGCAGCCATTGGCTGAGCCCCTGAATCCATGGGAAACAGCATGCGCACGGGTCCCCGGGATGCACTTCGGGGTCAGAGCAATGAATTGCTAGTAGTTGTGTTGGTAGGTTAAACCATCAACTTGAGAAACTGGTTGTATCTATGAATATGATTGAATATGTAGTCTTGTTGGCAATGTTGTCTTTGCCTAGCCTGGCATTCTGTTGTTGAGCCATGGACGTTGGCAACACATATCAACACATGGTTCACATGTCAGATCAGTCTGATTTTGTGGACGGGATTCTACGAGTCCCTAGATGTGCATAGTATATCATAGTATATCATAGTGTCAAGTAGCCCAAATATATCCATATATATATATATGTATATAACCTACGGAAAATGTTATTTGGACCTTTTGAGACCCACCTACCTGGAATTTAGACCTGGTTACCTTCAATATGACAATAGGATACAATAGGCTAATTGGGAATATTCCACAACACATGGCTGCAACATGAAATGCTGCAAAGATGTTGCTTAAAATGGAGGTTTCCTGAAATGGGGGTACCCCATTTCTAGATCGGATTTTCCCTTAAAAACCATCCATTTTGGGGGTACCCCTTAGGATGTTGTAGGGCCTGCAGGATGTTGTAGGGCCTTAGGGTACCCCTTAGGAAACGTCCCTTAGGAATCCTAGGGCCTAGGGGCCTGCAGGGCCCCGGAATGATAGGCTTCTGTTACTTCTGTTGGTGAAAGCAACATGAAATAACTCTGGAAAGATTGAACAACATTGAACATATGATCTTTTTTCCAAAGTAATTCCAGTTGGTGGTTTCAACCCCTCTGAAAAATATTAGTCAGTTGGGGTGATTATTCCCAATATATGGAAAAATAAAAAATGTTCCAAACCACCAACCAGTGACAATAACTTTGGAAGTACTCTGGATATCGGCGACGCTTGGGTGAAACGATTCACCCAGGGGAGGTTAACCAGCCTGAAATCCTCACGTTTTTGCATCGTATCGTAGCCCTAGATTTTGGCGATGATTTTGAATTGAATGATTAGCAAAACGTCTAGAAAAGTAGAAAAGGCCGATTCAATTGGAGGGGTTAGCATCAATAAACTTTCGAGTCTTTGGTTTCAACCAATCCTGAAATATCCAGTGAAGTCTGAAAGAAGCATTTCAGTGATGGAGAATTCAGAATTTGCTTTTTGAATCTTTTTGATATCATCAATCAGAAATCTAATGATTTATCGTGCAATTCATCCAAAGAAAATCAATCGCACAAAGATCCCATTACTTTGCGCATTTTGAGCCTTCAGCGATTGTGAGCTTGCGCCAAACTGCACAAGCCCAGCAAGAGCCGAGGGAGCTGGGCACTCCTACTTGACAATCCAGATCTTGGATTGCTACAACTCAAGAGCTTTGTACAATACCCATATGCGAACCATGGTGCTGTTATATTTACCTACATGACTGGATGATTTTGTTCGGGCAAATGTTGGTGCGCATATTCCAGCACCATGGTTCGCATATGGGATATGATTCTGATTTCGCTACTTGAATGGGTATGGGTCAAGTCCGTGGACACTGAAAGATTGAGGCCCAACAACCTGGTGACCTCCAATATGACCCTGTTTTGAAAACTTGGGAATGTGCCCAGTGCCCAGCTTCATTGTCAGGGATTTTGTTGCCATATCCGGATTTATGGATGTTTATTCTGGATGTTCATCCCCTGCAAACATGGGCCATTTCGACTCAGTTTCGACCCTGGGCCACATGGGCCACTGTTGAATCTTGACCCATTGACCCATGCCGTCATCTCGGCTGCAACTTTGCGTAACGGCTTGGCCGTGCGCTATTTTTAGCGGTGCCGGAGATTCCCGACGAGAAGCGCTGAACTAATCGTGCGCATGTAGTAATGGGATTTACTTGGATGTGGAATTGAATGGTGGTTTTTCATGGAATTTTCATGGGTATATCCTCCTGTTATCAAACATGGTAAGGGGAAAGTTTCGATTTTTATGGAGGTTTCCATGTACCCAAGGTTAGGCCCAAAGTTTAGAGAGTCGGATCATCAAAGCCCAATCTTTGCTACTTCGGTCCACATACCCGGCCTGGTAAACCTACAAAAAGCTATTGAAAATGGCCATAGAAATAGTGGATTTTCCCATTCAAAATGGTGGATCTTTCCATAGCTATGTTAAATTACCAGAGGGTATGTTTGACATCCCCCCCCGTGTTGCCAGTGACCACCAGGTTTCCGTTCGAGAAACCTTCGTACATCTGGTTGACAGCACGCCTCAGGTTTTATCTCAACATGCGGAAGACTATGACCATCAAAAGATCGGGTTACTTGGATGTTTCGAATCATGATGTACTGTAACAATCTATAACATCCCACCCAAAAGTGCATATGATTCACCCATAGGTTGAATGTCCATTATATACTGATTAGATTCACATCTTTTCTTTATAATGTGGTTAATGTACTGTTAATAATGGTTAATATATGGTTAATGATGGTTAATAATAACTTGGTTGGTGGTGCAATAACCATCTTGAAAAATGATGGAGTTCGTCGGGAAGGATGACATCCCAATACATTCCATTTCAATGAAATGGAAAATCAAAGCCATGTTCCAAACCACCAACCTTGGTTGGTTACATCCTCCGAGTTTTCCCCGTTTTTTTTTTGCAGAGAAAGTCACAACCCTCGAGGCGCCTCAGGGCATCCTGGGCCGCGCCACCTGGACCGCTTTCCGCTCCGGTGGCGGGCCGCTGATGGGCTGCAGGCGGCCGCGGCGTCGCGGCAAGGCGGCCTGGAAGATCCATCTTGGATATCACGGGAAAAGATCATCCAATGGTAATCCAAGTTTAGTTATACTATGTTATACTATAGGCTATAACTATAGACTACATGGCTAATTGTGGCTATATTTCCTGATGTTTCTTTTTGGATTGAACGTGATTGAAATATCATGCCCTCTGGAAATCAAACTTGGCTGGAAAATCCCCTATAGAAAATGGATATTTATAGGTGAATAATCGAACTATATAAGTAGGTAATTGTCCAGCAAACCACTTTTGACTACCGGTGAATATATATATTCTACACAGAATCTACACAGCATATATGAATATACAGTGACATAGATGGTAATACACACAAGATGTATTTATAGATTTATATGATTTATAGAGAGAAAGGTATCTATGATCATTGTTGTTGTTAGTGCTATCATCTTGTGTAGCCTGACCCTCAAAGTATGCGTAAAAAATGGGTTTTCCGTACTTGACATTTGGAGGCTTTGGAGGTGACAGAGTTAGAGATGCTCATATTGGATAATTATAATCCCCTATGTAACCTATCCCATCTGCTCCATGTATGGTATATTTACCATTATTTACCTACATTTGGGTGATTTTTAGGGCAAATGTTGGTAAATATTCCATACATGGAGCATCTGGGTATGTACCAACCAATCAACAATGATTTTGGACACTGCTGATTTTCAGACACTGCCCAGTCCTCAAATATTCAATCACCCACTGGTCCTTGCCTCACGCTCAAGTTCCTGGGCCTACACAAAGGCCAAGGAACCAAATCATCAATGTGAGGCCCCCGAAACTGCGAAACCATAGTACAATGGTGATTTAACCAAGAAAAAAAATCCAGGCGAATGGGATGAAAAAACTCATTGTTTCATAGTCAAGTTCATAGCAATGTATAGCCAGTTGGGGGATCAGCATCCCATTTGAAGCGGCCAACCAGACGTGGCTAGCCACGTCAACAATTCCATGTTTTACATGGGAAAGGGGGTGACAAAGTAAGACAAACCTGGGGTGCAGTTCCACCTTTTAAGTGGATACATTGCTCTTTAATATGCTATAAAAGTTAAAGGGGCCCCATATCCTAACTTATGATGCTTATAACCCTTTTTACACCCATTTAATCATTTAGAACACACACCCAAGTAACCCCAGCCTGTTGGGATACCATGTTCAATTGGCGTTGCCCCTGACTTTTTCCCAGGGAAAAGGCACATCTTTGGATCTTCGGGAGCCCACGCAATATCTTAACATAGATCGAGAGCCTACCCGCCATACTTAACATAGATATTTAAAAAAAAATACCATGCCTTTCCGTTCGGGGAAATTGTCTTTGGGAATTCCCACCATGTTTGGGGAAGTCGCTCATGAATCATAAATAATAAATAGATAATAGATGATAATAGATATAAATAGGTCAAACATCTAATTGAGGAACATCTGCAAGACAAAGCAGCCCGTTTTTAGTTGGTTGATCAACACAGCAATCGACATATTGCCACATCAGATGCCCTTTTCCGACAGAAAATCAGGCATGGTCCCTCCTTCACCAGCAGGGGCAAATGAGAATTTCTCGAAATGACTTGTATACCAAAATGGGCGAGCCCAACATGTTCCCCATTGAAAGATATTTAAAGACATGGTTGGCTAGAACAAAACAGCCATCGTAACTTCAGTTGCCAACGCTGCCTGCGTTTGGAGAAAGGCCAAGTGCTTGAGCCCACGCGCTGCAACCTTTTTTGGCAGGGTCATCCCGCGGTCAGAAGTGGAAACGTGGTGAAACATGATGAAACATGGTGACATTCTATATAATTTCTTATTAAAGTAATCTAAGTAACATCATGTAACATCTAAGTCTCCTATAGTGATTTACTCACGGTTATCCCATGTAATCCCATCGAAAAACTGGCTGAATCTATGCCCCCAGTTACCAAGTACCATCGGATGATCATCCATGACCGAAGTGACGGAGGAACTGGCCATGTCGCCGTGAGTTTCACCCTTTGATTGCTGGAGGCTAAATGGTGCATGGCTTGGGGGTTACCCGGCCTGGTAAACACAGAAAAAACTATGGAAGCCATGGACCATAGAAATAGATGATTTAGCATGATTTAGCGATTAAAATGGTGATTCTCCAGTTCGCAAACTGTCAACGTTTACCAGAGAGTAACCCCCGTTCGCAGATTTCAGGGTTGACATGCCGTCGAAGCAGATTGTGAAGGTACATCCTACCATATCCCAATGGCATTCCACTTGCGTATTCCAGGGTGTGCTCCGATATCTTTGTCGGTTGATATTCAGCCATGTCATTCCTTCGATATATCATATATCCATATATATGTATATATATCCACCATGAATCAAATGAATCAAAGCAACTAAGTTCGTCTAGTAAAAGTTCAACCAGCTTGGCTAAGGATTGATAATGTCAAGTTCATATTAATAATCACCCACAAATTAATCAACTCCCACCGTCCAAAAACATGTTGGCAATACTACTTTGGGTTGGTCCCCCTATAAATCAACATGGGTGGCCATCCCTAATTGAAAAACACCTTTCTGGAAAATCCTATTTGTTTTTGGTGAGAAAGTAAGGTTCTGATGCTTCTAACCTGATGGTTCTGGTGCTGGCTTCAAAGGGATGCAAGATGCACATGGTTCAGGAAGGGAGATGTATTGCACAGAGTGAATGGAGGAGATGCTTTATAGCTATGTCAATATATATATATAATATGTATAATATGTATAATTATATATAGTTCTATTGAAGAGATTCAAGGCACAGAATCCCTAAAATCTAGGACAATCCCAAACTTCTGATTATATAAACAACGATGCATTTTCCTTATGACTTTCTCATTTAAAAATGCTCTTAAATGGTACTTTAGGTGGGTTGTCCCTCCCAAATAATGTGCATGTGCACCCCCAATTTAAAGAACGCCCTCAGCCCCTGGCCATAGTTGAATAGGGTTCAAATGAAATCCATACTTATTCTTGAGATTGAAACGGAAAATCAATTGAAAGTAAATTGATCTCAATTGAAAATTTTACTTACCATTTAGATTTATTAAAAGGAACATCTCATAAATTCCATTTTGGATTTTGCTGGTCATTATTTGGGGGTGAAGACCTTCTCATGGATCTAGACCTTCTGGGGGGTGGTTTATTAATCCGAACTTGGCATTATATGTCCTCATTGTTGTTGCATAAATTGCTTAAATCGCGTATGTTTGATGGTTAAACCCCCACTTTACCAGCGGTACCAAACACCGCGCGGTACCAACAGCTGGGTGACATGTTTGCTTCGGTATCCAGGATGCGCCTGCGGGGCTGGTGACAGCTTGGATTTACGAAGCAGAAACAAAATTCTGATGGAATCAGATATGAAGAATTGGATGTTGGATGATGGATGGGATGTTAGAATCAGATCTCAATGGGATGTTACCCTCCGGTAAACTAACATAGCTATTAAAAATTGCCATTTATAGTGGGTTTACCCATTGAAAATGGTGATTTTCCATAGCTACGTTAGTTTACCAGAGGGTAGGTATTACAATGCGATGTTCATGGGATGTTACTGGGACTTGTCGCGGCGAAATATCCAGCCAAACTGCTCCACCGGAGGCCTGCTGAAAGTTGGCTTTCACCGTCTCAAAGTCCAAACTGGGCAGCCCGGGCCCGAAAGCTGGGTAGATATGTGTTGTAACTTAGTCTTGGAATGTCTTGGATAAGTTTATATCCACTCATATCCAAGATTGGATAAGTTTAAACCAGTTTATACCCACTCATATCCAATCATATATCTACCCAGCAAAATATGATTGGGCAGTTGAAATATCCACTCATGCGCTAAAGATCAACAAGATCGAATCCATTTGGTCCATTTGTTTGTTCCATGTCTGAATCATATATCTACCCAGCAAAATATGATTGGGCAGTTGAAATATCCACTCATGCGCTAAAGATCAACAAGATCGAATCCATTTGGTCCATTTGTTTGTTCCATGTCTGGGTGGAAATATTGGAACGAATTTCCCAACACATAAAGTGCTTATAGTGCTTATTGTCATGCGACCCCCATGGGCTTGTCACCACGGAGATCCCCAAATTCTTTGCTCAGTCAGGACTGAACTTTCACAAACGGCTAACGAGCAATCTGGATTTATATTGGATCTGAGCGATCTGAGCTTCCCACAAGCTTACTGGGATTTTATTTGCACAGGCGCGATATGTGAAGGGTTTGGTCAGCATTGGTCAACGGGTTTGGGTATGAATCAAGCAGCCAGTGCGAAGGGGACATCTGCATGATTGATCGCATCTATACCACATAATGCTGCAAAAAAGAACACATTCAAAAAAATATGAAATAGTCAGGTTAACATTCCTAACCATGAGACCCTACCCAACCAACCATGCAACCCTTGCAAATCAAATAGCTGGATGTGATATGTTTCCTCTTCACAATCAATTGACCCAGCTTACACCATTCACTAGTGGATCCCTGAACACGACCCCGATCCATTCCCCCGAAAAACTCGCTGGTAAATAGATGTTCCATGGTCTCCCCTTCATGGGTCAGTTCCATGTTCTCCACTTCATAAATCACATAGCTACAATGTGAGGCCCCCCAGTTATAAGTTGGTTTATAAGCCCCAGTAACTATAGTTATAAGAACCATAAACCATAGTTATTGGAGTTTCTTGAACCAACTTAGCTATCGAACGGGGGCCTCACTAATTGTAGGTGACATCAACAGCTCCAATTTCAGCCATCAACAGCTGTATCTTGTCATATCTCGTCAGCCATTGACCACATCACTGGCCTGGTGCCAAACCTCTTTTTGAACTCGATGGTGTGAGTGGCCTGTCGAGCACAGGACACAGCCTGTCGAGTACGAGCGGTGGCTTGAGCCCGCAATTCGTAGAGAACGAAGAGTTGGAAAAATGGAAACAAATGGGAGAAACAGATACAAACATTCAGAAAACCATGATAATCATACAGAAACAGGGAAACGGAAAATATGTTTCGAATTCTCTTTTTCATGTCCCGGAAGAAAAACTGTTGTGCATCGATCTTGGGACTCCTTTTTGATGTAAACCTAGGATCAAAAAGTCACACAATATTAAGGCCCCCCAAGATAGTACAAAATAGGATGCATGATGAATCCAGTCATAGAATGAAACTTTGCACATTCACAAACTTGGGATTTGTTATGATTTGTTCTTAGTGTAACTACATCTAACTATACGTTTTTTCTGTTGGGAGGTTAAATCAGCAAAACTTTCATCGCAATCAGCCATACTTTAGGATCTACCCACCAAGAATGTTGGAATTTAACTATCGTTACCACTTTGACATGGGAATTTCATTAGCAGGGGAATTGAAACACAATTCCAACGGGGGTCTATCAACGAGAATAAGATAATAAGGAGATGAAACTGATCAAAAACGGCATCACATTAGTTCTGAGCTCTTCATCCGGGAATGTCCCATTAATCCATGAGTCAGCTACAATGGTATAGTTCCAGTAACAAAAAACAAACAAATCTTCCAGGCATATATGATGATATATGTTGAGTATGTTTCCCAATTATAGGTGTTCAAGGTTTCATTATCTTTGACTACGGGTTGCTAGTTGCTATAGTTAGTATACCATTTACTATCAATGCAGGTCCCGTTCCAACACTCTAAGCTTGGCACAAACAAACAAATGGTAAGGGGATGTAAGATGGGCACGACATTAACACCAGATCTTTAAGATTTTCCAGAAATGGATGAAATGGTATGTGCACTTGCTATTTGCATGTATGTGCTCTAATAATCGCTTGACAATTAACAAGGACCGCTATTTTGTGCTAGTTTCGATGGTTAGAACCCCGCAGTGCTAGCAAATCTCACTATCCATGATTGCTAATTTAAGTTTGCCAATCATTTTGTGAACCCAATTCCCCCAACGTTTTCCCCCCATACCCACACAACGTGAAAATTCCACCACCTTTGTGAAGATCTTGGGGTCCCCGCCACGGCTTTCCGAAGTCTCAGATCGTCGCGTTCCGCCTCATCGACAGATTTTAACTGGCGATTCAACCAGACGAACTTTGATTTTCAGTCATAAAATGGGGATTTCACAATCAGAAACTCTTGATTGATCATCAATTTATTTGTTAAATATCGAGGTTCAATAAATCATAAAACTCAGGAATCAGACTTGCGCAGTAACCATGGTGGCTTTCAAGCAACAATCTGTGTATATGAGGCGACATCTATAGGGTACAAAAATAATTTTGCAATTCAGATGATGAAATTACATGATTATGAATTATGATCAGAAACAATGTGCATGTTAAAGTGATTGGCCATCAACCATTTGCGACTCAAATGGTTTCTTGGCCAATCATTCAAGGTCACTTTGGGATCATTGCGTCCAATCCGACTCGCTGTATGTCGAAACCAAGCGCTGGTAATACGTGGAACATGCCGTCCATTCATGTTTCGCAAGTTCAAGACACACCCACAAAATATATACGTATAATATTTTATTTTATATTATATATATATGTGTATACATTTATTAAATTATATATAATATAACTTACATATACTATGTTTTACTCTATATTATATATATAAGGCGGTGGTGCCACCCCAGATATAAATTGTTTTACAAACCCATCAAACTAACATGGACATCTCATATTACAATAATTCATAAATCCAAGCTTTAGCCTAGTGAAAGTTCAACCAACCGTTTCGGATTGGGGGCACCACCTTATATATAGCTACTGTATGTCGCTTATCTGGTTTATCTCCCGATTTTCTATCCCCATCATATCCCATCATATACCCTTTTTTAATGGTTAAATCACTTTATGTGTTTATTTTTCCCTAGTATCAACATATTTCAAATGTCTAGATATCGCTTACTAATGTTCCCATCATATCCCCATCATTTCCCTATACTTATATATGGAGGTTTCCTAAAACCCCAAATCATCCTAAATTAGACCATTTTAGTATTGGAACCGATGGTTTTGGGGCTCCCCCATTTTAGGACACCCTCATATAATTGAGTTACAGTACTTGAAGATACTTGAAGTCATTTGCCAATTATAGGATTGATATGTTTCTACATATATACAGTATATACCCTCTGGTTATTTAACATAGCCATGGAAAATGGCCCATTTATGGATGATTGTCCCACTAAAACCTCCATTTATAAGGGATTTTCCATAGCTATGTTAAATTACCAGAGGGTATATATATATATACAGTATATATATACAGTATATATGTACATATGTATATTATACATGTATATGTATATATATATATATCCCCATGATGGGTGAGGTCCTCAGCCCGGCCGAAACGTCCCCGGTGGCCACCTCTGTGAGCTGCTTGAGAATCTCATCGCTCTCCAGCAGAAACTCCGCAGTGGTGACCCTCGAGCGTCCCGCTGCTTCTTAACACATCTGATGGTGGTTGAGCCAGCCATCCCCCATAAAAATCATATGTATTATAATATATAATATATACATACATACATACATATATATATATATATACATATACATATATATATATACATATATTATATACATATATACATACATACATACATACATACATACATACATACATACATACATAATTACATTACATTACATTACATTACATTACATTACATACATTACATTACATACATACATACATACATACATACATACATACATACATACATACATACATACATACATACATACATACATACATACATACATACATACATACATACATACATACATACATACATACATACATACATACATACATACATACATACATACATACATACATACATACATATATATATACATACATACATACATACATACATATATACATATATATATATATGCATATATATACATATATATGTACTTATATCATCTTATATTATATATATATGTGTATATGTATGAAAATCAGCTGGGATCATTTACCTTGTTCGATGGATTTTGTGACTTGACTGTTTGAAACCAGCAAAAAAAATGGATGGTTGAGAAAAGTTACTGATTTGGGGGCTTCCATAAATCGGGGTACCCCAAAATGTTGGTTTATAAGGAAAGATCCTATCTGGTTGGTGGTTTTAACCATCTTGAAAAATATTTTGTCAATGGGAAGGATTATCCCATATATTATGGAAAATAAAAAAATGTTTGAAACCACCAGCCAGCTATTAAAATGGATGATTTAGGGGTACGCCCCGTTCCAGGAAACCTCCATTTGAGGAAGTCAGCAAGGTTCAGCAACTCACAAAAATGACTTGGGACAAAAGGCTGAGGAATGGGAAGGACCTGACACTACTTGGAGGATCATCCCACAGATCGTCACCGAATGCAATGGTTGGGATGGGCCTGCAACCGGCAATGGTTATCAATGGTTGGGATGTATCAATACAATATGCACACAACGATTGCACAACAAACTCTGAGGTGAGTGAACTTTAACTTTTGCCAGAATCAAAAATGGTTTGGGAGGTCTCAATCGTCTCATGGACTTTGGTACAATGCCAAAAGGCCAATCGAAAAGGCCATGCCTGATATGTTTGAAAATTGCATTCTCAAAAATGTTGACATCTATGGGATTATCAGAAATTTATGGTTATCTATGATTCTCGATTTGTATCTATTAAAAAAAAAAAAACATGTACATCCCGTGTTAGCTATTTAGATATTTAAGAATGCTGACCTAAAGCACTACATGGGATGCAGACTCCCAAGGTCTCTTCCATCAGTATGATCGGCATGGGGTCCCGAGCACGCCACTCCAATCTTTGTTCTTCATGAGCATGTGCATCAGCAAGTGGATAATACCCGCCAACTGAGCCAGGTGACCCGGGTTGGGCAACAGAACGTCTTTTTGACATATCCTGGTCCAAAGGACATTGAAGGAATTCATGAAGAGTTGCAGATTTGTATGCATGCTCTGTTGCACCCTCATAATTTTGTCATGGAACCTTAAAATGACCATAGTTAACAGGAACTCATTGTTTAAACTGTTTTTTGTTTTTTTTGAATCTATTTATAGTCTGTGTGGTATGAAGCAGGGTAGGGAGCCCCGAAAGTGTAAAACATAAAAAAAACATTTGTTGTTTTGAAAGGGACTACTGGACCACATTTTTGGCATTGGTAAAAAAAAACAAATGATGTAATTAGCCAGCCTGAAACCCCGGTCTGGCAGTCTTGGCCAACACCCTTAAAAAAGGTCCGAACGAAAAGATGTACTAAACCAGGGCTTCTTTGGAGGTATTCAATATTGCGGGAAAAGGATGAGAAAGGCTTCTCCATCCGAAGGTAGCCAACTCCGCACACGTGAAGTTCCCTGCCCTGCAAACAGATACTCTTGACCCATTGATACTTCCGAGCAACAACAACGTGATGTAGAAATTGACTTTGCGAGTAGCTAATGGTAACCAATGGTCTCTGTTCAAATCATCTACCAAATGCTGCGGATTCCGCTGGTTCAACGCTACCACGGTGGGAGCCTCGGGTGTTTCGGGGACCATCTTCTTCTCAATTTCTCGGATCGTCTTCTTGTTGGACTGGCGATGACAGAGGAAGATCATATGTAAACAGCGTGAGCAATTGGGCGCGTAGTTGTTTTCAAAAAAAATGGAAACAAAATCAACAAGCACAATTTTTGATCATTTCAGACTAGTAACTAACGGCCCCCTACGGAACATGTTTGATTGGATTTTGAGGATTTCTAGTATTCGAGCATCCCTTTTTTAGAGTAGAAAAACAACTTGGACCCCAATTAAATTGGAAATTGAAAAAAACACCTTCCAGTATTCAACCATCCATTGTAGAAAAACAATTTGTCGATGGTTGAACCATGTTGAACAGTTGGGTCAGCGAACCAATGTCCGGCCGGCCCCCTTTATTAAGTTGGTTTAGTTCACTCATGTGAACATGTTCGGTTGATGAAAGGGGGGTTATATCATGTTATATCTATATTTAATTTGGGATTAATCTTATAAGGTTGGTTAGTGGTTTTATATCTATAGCTAATGGTTGTTCATTGGGGTTATAAATTATATCATGTTATACCATGTTATATCGTAACTTCTATCGTCTTATATCTATAGTATTCCATAGATCATTCTACAGCTAATGGTTGTAACAAAATGGGATAACAACACCCAAGAAAACTAAACCAATAACTAAAAGTAACTATTTTTCTATAGATATACTTAACTATATATAGATATATCTATGTGCTGATTATCTACAGTTATATATCTATAGTTATATATATATCTATAGTTATATATATCTATAGTTATATATATATATCTATAGTTATATATATCTATAGTTATATATCTATAGTGAAAATATATATCTATAGTTATAATATATATATATAAATATATATATATATATAGTTATCAGACTGTCTATATATAAACCAATAACTATATCTATATATATATATATCTCTCTCTCTAGTGATGATACTATAGATGGATTACTATAGATTAATGGTTTCCCCTCACCTGCCGCCCCGAGGAGTTCAGCAAGGCGTTCAGTGGTGGCGGCGGCGCACCACTGGGTTTCTCCTCTCCGGAAAAGAACAAGGGGAAACGTTGGGGAAAATCTGATGGTTATAGTTGGTTTTATGTGGTTTTTTATGGTTTTATATAGTCCTGTTCTGTTGGTGTTTTTTTACCCAGAAAAAATGCTGGATGTAACTGATTTAAGCAACACATATGGGGATGTCACTGGATGTAATACGATGTATTGGAATAACAAATCACAATAGATTATTGTAAATCACTCATCTGAAATGTTCGGCTATTTTGGGATAGTTACCCTGCATTCACCATCATTCGATTCCAGTGACGTCGCAACCGGAAGTCGTTATAAATTATCCAGGTATAATATATATATATATGTATTTCTTTATTTATATACATATATCCGTATAAAATATACATATGTATATATATATATATACATACACAAATAAACATATACACATATATACATGTACATATACATATATATATATATTTATATATATACATATACATATACATATACATATATACATATATATATATGTTCCCGTCTTCCGACCGCGAGGTCCCCCCCCCCGAATGGGTGGGTCCCCAGATAGCACCCCCCCTTCCCTTCTATTTGCAAGCTATTGGCAGCATTTCTGAGGTCCAGCCTCGTGTTTGCTAGGTTTTCGCAGCGATTCTGACTACCAGCCTCCCATTTACTAGGTACATGCCACCCTTTAGACGACCTACGTAGCACACATACTCCCTCAAAGTACCTACGTGCAGAAAAACCATTCTTTGTCAAAGAGATTCAAAGAGTTTAGACTCGCAGCCCTCAAAAAAACGGACCCCCAATGTGACATGTCACTGAGTTTGGAATCATTGAGCTTTCCAGCAAACTGCTCTCCAGAAACTAAAGTAACACCGGACCCATGCGGCCTCGAAACAGTGCGACCCCCGCTCCCCAGCGGCAATGCTGCTTGAGTGTGATATTCACCTGGACGCTTGACATTGAGCTTGGAACTGCCAATGTTGTCGACACAACATTGCCACCGGGGGTAACTAGATAGTATTATCGACATCAACAGACACAGATCATCTCAGTCATGGAAATAAAATGGTCTAACGATTCTAATCGCTGTGACGAGCTCGTTTACTTGCATTGCAGTGGGTTGCAAAGCTGGATGCTTCCACATTCAGTGACACACATTGGGGATCTAGTTTCATGTTCTTCAAAGTTTTCTGGACTGAGCTAGATGCTACCAAAGTCAATGACAAAAAGCGACAGTCCTTTTTTTTCAGGGCTGCGGTACATGTCGTTGAAGAGCTAACCATTTTAATCTCTTTCACACACATTGGGAATTTCCTGTCTTGTCGCGCTTGCAGGTGGAGCTCCCTGCACTGCTCGATGCTTCGGAAGCATTGCGAACCGTCCCATGGTCGCAATCTTTCGAGGTCGTGTCGGTCCAATATTGCCTTTTTTTTGCTGGAGTGCAATTGGGTGCAACGTTCGACGCTCCCAAAGTCAGTGACACACACACATTGGCGGCCCATCATTTTTTTGAGGGCTGCCCGGCATTTTCTTGCAGAACCTCACGATTTCAAACTCTGTGACAATGAATAGTTCTCTGCATAGCAAGCTGTTGGAAAGCTAAACCCTTACAAACTCAATGACAAACATTGGCGGTTCTTTTTTTTCAGGGCTGCGCTGGATGTCGTTGAAGAGTCTGCCGATTTTTAGACTCTGTGGCAAATGTTTAGAACTTTACTTCGTTTCTGGCTCAACCTTCTGCTTCTTGTGTTTGCTCTGCTGGGTTACCTTGTCCAAGATCTGCCGGGAAACCTCTTTTCGCACGACTTTGTCCACAAAGCCACGGGTTCTCTCTTTGCACCCCTGCAATTCCTCCACATCCACACCTAATAGGTCCGCAAGCTTTTGCATCAGCATGCTAAAGGTCACCTTTTCCACGTCTTCACCCCGGATGGCTTGGGCCATCAGTCTCTGTCCGCCCACTAGTGGCGTTTCTGCTTGCTCACCTAGCGTCTCTTCGACTGGCTCAACTGGGACGGAATCTGCCTGTTGCTCACCGTCTGCTACAGGTTGCAACGTCTCTTCGACTGGCTCCACTGGGACGGAATCTGTCTGTTGCTCACCGTCTGCTACAGGTTGCAAGTCTGCATTTTGAGACTCGGAAATTGGAGTAGCAGCATCACCGTCAACTAACCCAACATGGACTCTCACAGCAGGGCCTTCCCCCCGTAACCAACGTTGCATGCTGATCCTTTTCACTAGAGAGATAACGTGGCTTTTCTGTATCTATGTGAGTTTTCCGGGTGGTGCAGGATAGAACCATAGGATGTACGGGATACAATCAATCGAATTCCCAATCTGCAGTCAGTATTCAGCCCATGAACTGTACCGAAGATTACAGGGGTCCACCAGCTGAGATTCTTGGAAGCAATTTCTTGACATAGCATCGGCTGCAAGGTCAACGTGGATACATCCAGCAACAGAGTTGAGATTAGATCAAATGAAATCAGTGAGAGGAGATCAAATGAGACAAAAAGTGAGTCAAACATCACGAGATAGGATTTGATTAGGTTGCGTCAAGTTGGACTTGATAGATACCACACAATGCCCAAATGGCCGTCCTGAGCTGCCAAACAAAACGCCGTTGAGCTATCATTCATTGCATGCTCTTTGTTGGCACCAACTTTCGCCAGCTAGCGGACAATGCCAAATTGCGAAAACGGAAAATAATGATTTTTGTCATTGTTTTCCCCAACTTCAACCAGATACCGGACAATGTCTCGTTGCGCTTCACACAACTGAAGCCGACAGAAATAAACAGTCAAACATGAGAACTGAAAACTCCTGAAAACGAAAAGGCGTGATCTTTGTTTGCCTAACTTTGGCCGGATATAAATGGCCTCGCTGAGCTGCAAAGTGGATACAACTCATTCATTGCAAAATCTTTGTTAGCACAAACTTCGGCCAAATGCCGGACAGTGTCTAAATCGCCTTGCCGAGCTGAGTAAAAGATTGGTGTGGCACCATCATTGGATAGCGAGCCAGCAAGATACCACGCAATGCCCACATGGCCTTCCTCAGCTGCCAAACAAAATGCCGTTGAGCTATCATTCATTGCATGCTCTTTGTTGGAGCCGACTTTCGCCAGAGAGCGGCTAATGCCAAATGGCGAAAACCGAAACCAATGATCTTTGTCATTGTTTTCCCCAACTTCAACCAGATACCAGACAATGTCTAATTGCGTTTCACACAACTCAAGCCGACAGCAAAAACATTTAAACATGAAAACTGAAAACTCATGATGTGATCTTTGTTTTCCCCAACTTCAGCTAGATACCGGACATGATTGCAAATGGCTTTGCGTTGCCGAGCTGCAAACAAAGTCGTGTGGAGACATCATTGCATGATCTTTGCTAGCACCAACAGCAGCCAAATACCGGACAATGTCTAAATCGCCTTGCCGAGGTGCGAATCATTGGTGTGGCACCATATACCATCGGATGCTCCAGCGCCTTCAGCACCTCCAGCGCCTTCATGAAGCGCCTTCAGCGCCCTCAGCGCCCTGAGCTCCTTCAGCGCCTTCAGCGCCTTCAGCGCCCTGAGCGCCTCCAGCGCCTTCAGCGCCTTGAGCGCCTTCAGCTCCCTCAGCGCCTTCAGCGCCCTGAGCGCCTTCAGCGCCCTCAGCGCCCTGAGCTCCTTCAGCGCCTTCAGCGCCCTGAGCCCCTCCAGCGCCTTGAGCGCCTTCAGCTCCCTCAGCGCCTTCAGCGCCTTCAGCGCCCTGAGCGCCTTCAGCGCCCTGAGCGCCTTCAGCTCCCTCAGCGCCTTCAGCGCCCTGAGCGCCTTCAGCGCCCTGAGCGCCTTCAGCGCCTTCAGCGCGTCCAGTGCCTCCAGCGCCTTCAGCGCCTTCAGCGCCCTCAGCGCCCTGAGCGCCTTCAGCACCTCCAGCGCCTTCAGCGCCTTCAGCGCCCTGCATGAGCGCCTTCAGCGCCTCCAGCGCCTTCAGCGCCCTGAGCGCCTTCAGCGCCTCCAGCGCCCTGAGCGCCTTCAGCGCCCTGAGCGCCTTCAGCGCCCCTTCAGCGCCCTTCAGCGCCCCTTCAGCGCCTTCAGCGCCCTGAGCGCCTTCAGCGCCCTGAGCGCCTTGAGCGCCTTGAGCGCCTACTTATCATATACTAAAATAGGTAAACACATAGCGGTAGTTGCTAACTGCCAAATAGCCTCGAACTGTCCATCGTACGGGGAGGAGGGGGGGACCTGGAAGGCTGCATCATATGTATATATATATACACATACATATACGCATACACACATATACATATTTATATATATATAGTGGTTATAACATGTTAAAACATGTTATAACATTTTATAAACATATCACTTAGAATGGTTATAGATGGAGATACTGCGATATAGTGGGACATAATGGCATGTACTTCATCCAACACTACATAGGCGCACCTGCTGAGGAGAAGGGGGTATGATGACTGCGGGAGTTAGGTGTACCTTCTCAAGAAGTACTTGGATCCACAGAGATATAATATATGTATATACAGATATGTAACGCGTATATGGGGGTGTCCATTATGGGGGTACCCCCAAATCATCCATTTAGTTCGATGGATTTTCCATGAAACCATCCAGCTATTGGGGTAGCCATGTAGGAAACCCATGGAAACCTTGTTTCAAATCTCAACATCCATATTTTTGGAGGATGGACTGTGGGATGGTAGTAATACCCTTAAAAAAAGAGAAAAAACGGGGTTGGGCAAACGATGAAGTTGCGTTAAAGTATCCATGTTATCCATGGCCTTTCGATGATTAAATCCTTCGAGAATCCGTTGACCCATCGAAGGTGGAAAACATTGGATTTACCTGGCAAAGTGATGGGAATTGACATCAAAGAAATTGCAAAAAACATCATTTGTTTGATGATGAAGAACATCTGGAAACAACATAAAATCATGAAATCTTATGTTGTTTCAAATCACCTGAAGTTTCAATGATGATTTTCAACATAAGAGTTCATCTGGAAAGTGATGAACCGATGGGATTTGACGAGAGAAAATGTAGTACGGTAGTAGCGGTAGTACCCGATCACCACAACTCCAGCCTTTTCCAGCTCCTTCTCCTGACAACTAGGAAGTGATAGAGACGTTTAAGACGTTCACCGATGTTTCAAATCATGACTTCATTTTGAGGTAAAACATTATGAAATTACCTCAAGAAGAGAACAGAGTAGAATCCCACTAAAATATATACATTCCACATCTATTTTTCTTGGGGGTGTCCTAACTATACATAGTCCTAATCCCAACATGTCGTCCCTTTATACTGGCTGGTTTTTCGAAGGGGATTCGCCATTCATGGATTGTGATATATTCCCAATTAATATTGGTTGGTATAATCCCCGAACTACCCTCTGGTAATTTAACAGTTTGCTATTGAAGCCATGGCCATAGAAATAGTGGATTTACCCATTAAAAATCGTGATGTTCCATAGTTTTTTGTGTGTTTACCAGAGGGTAATCATCAACCAAGCATTTATAATAAGTTATACCATCATATCATCTTTAAGTTACATCTTATAAGTTTATGATATAGATAATATAGTTAGTGTGATAACTATAATAAGTTATACTCACTTATATCATCTGATATCTCTATAGTTTGATGATTGAAATCCCTATGAAATAACGCTGATCATCTACCAACCAGGCGGACGGATGCGGACGGCACTTATGAATAATCTTGTGTTTATCCAAGTAAACTGTAATTTGTAGCTGTCTATTTTATACCCTCCAGTAAACTAACATAGCTATGGAAAATGTTCCATTTATAGATGATTTGCATTTTAAAATGGTGATTTTCTATAGCCATGTTAGTTTATCAGAGGGCATATATATATATATGTAAAAAGGTATAGTATAGAAACACTTATAGACCATACGTATAGACATACGTCATGAACACCCTGTACATTCATTAAATACCAACACATCTGGATGCAATATGTAAGAGAGAATAGAACATACCTCAGAGTTTATACATTACATGTTTCCACATAAAACGTGTTATAATATAATACATACGATGGGGTACGTGTGGGGTTATAGTTGCTTCCTATAGATAGAGATATATATATATATCATAGCAGCACAAATATGATGCATTGAATCACATGAGTGTATATATATATGAAAAGAACAAAACAACACTCCTAATATTGGTATTAGCTGAAAAAAAAACATGCATATATACACGTACAATCTAGTTAATTTATGTTTATTCACTAACCTGAAGTAAGGCTATATCGGGATAGTTATCCCTACTGATCATTGTTCCAGTGAGGTTGCAAAGAGGTCGTTATGATTTACCCAAATATAATCCCCATATAATCCCCATAAATTCACATCAAAACCTCCATGTGTAGCAGAATTTTCAATATTTTCCCATGGTTTGTTTCCCAGTCCTCAGCTGTCCCCCGAAAAAAATCCATGGCAGTCTCTGTAGGAATGGCGTCCGCCATGCTACTGCAGTAACATGATGATCATTACCCGGCCTGGTAAACATACAAAAAGCTACAATGTGAGGCCCCCCGTTGTGATGTGAACGTTGGTTAACAAAAGCCCCAGGAATACTATAGTTAGTTGTGTACCATAAACCATAGTGAAATTGGAATTATTTGCACCAACTTAGATATCTTGGGGGCCTCACATTGTATTGAACATGGCCATAGAAAGTTCGTGGATTTACCCAGCTACATAGCATGGTGATTTTCTCATCAGCTTTTTGTATGTTTACCAGAGGGTATATAATGATAAACATATTTACTATACGGAGGTATAGATATAGAAAGTCACACCAAAAAAATGTATTTTCAGCCCAAAAAAATATCTCCACACCTTACAACCCCCAAGTTCGCCGCGACGCCTCCAACCAATTTCTGACCGACTGCTCCAGCACGCGAACGGCCAAAAAGCAGTCTCCTGTGCTGCGATGTGTTTTGTGTGGGGCCAATCAAGAGGTATGATATACACTTCACTATATACACTACACAGCACTACAATACAATCCCATATGATGAAGTATGGCAAAATTCCATGATATATATATATATATAATGTCGTATAACATGATGTAATACAATTTAAAATTGAATATTGCAAAATATAATGTGATTTGACTGTGACTACAATCAACTGCACATATTAAGCATAATGTAGTACATAATATTATGTAATTAAATGCCATATAATTTTCAAAAAAGTGGACATTGAATATAACACAGTATAGAATATAACATAGTATAGAATCGAATATATACAAGATAATCCAATGGAATACTGATACGTGTATACACACATATATATATATATTCATAACTAGTATCCAAATAATTGCAAATGTGTATAGTTTTCCAACTGTTCCATTTCTTTTTTGGCTATTTCAGCCAGCGATTCCTGGTTCGGAAAGATTTATGTTTCTATCTTTTGGGGGATTCTGCCGAAGAAAACCTACCCTCTGGTAATGTAACAGTTTGCTATTGAAAATGGCCATTGAAATAGTGGATTTTCCCATCAAAAATTGGATTTTCTATAGTTATGTAAACGTTTACCAGAGGGTAGTCTAGAAATGAATAGATTTGCCTTCTTTCCCGTTGCAGATGTTGAAGTCTGACTGATTTTTCGCCAAGACTCTACGAGTATGATGCCGGAGATATCCCGCTTAGATGTCGATATTGTATGACATTGTGATCTCCAAATGGGATGTTGCCCTTGGAATCAGCCTAAAACCATTGGTTTTCCCACAGACAGGTCATGGTCGTGGCATCCCGGGTTGGAATGTCTTATGAACAATACCAGTGCTGCCCCTTCCCGCAGCCGGTCTCCTATCTTAAGGATAATTAGTCATTAGATGTCATTAGTCGTTTTTCTTAATGCTTGAACGGCAAGATTTGAAGCTTTTAAGCTGTTTTAAGGAGTGGTTGATTCAAAAAAATGGAGTTGACCCACCAGTTCTGGGACAACAAAAATCATTGCTTTTTCGAGACTGGTCCACAGTCTCGGACACAAGATTTGGCCGTGTTCGGAATCAATGCAGCTGGGTGATGGTAAATCAATGTATATAATATATATATATATACAATATGTATATTATATATAATGTATATATATACAATATGTATATTATATATATAATGTATATATATAATGCATATATATATATGTGTGTGTACGTTACATACATAGTTGTACGTAAAATTTAGATGTTGTAATGATTACCATGCTCCGATGGTGTAGTATGGGAATGAAACACGGGCGGAACATGCTTTAAGAAATTCGTGTCTCAACCGAACTTCACAACATCTTGAGCTACTTTTCGCGCAGAGCGTCATAACGGCTGTCTTTGAACATCGGTTGATGCCCTTCCAAACAAGCGAGTCACCGAGTGGCGCAAGGACCCCTTTTGTTGGATTTGATCACAAACAATACCATCATAAACTGCATCAACCTCAAATGGACCAAATGAATGTCTTAAAACAAATCACCCGGTCAACAACCACTTTTCTTTAGCTGTTCACCATCATCTTCACCATCATCTTCCAGTGACACTGATGCCCCAAAACGCATTTTGAGACCTGTCATGTCAATATGTTTACACTGATAGGTAGATTTACCGTACATGTTATATAATATATGTATATATATAATTAGACTAACAAATAAAAGACGCTGAAAACCGCCAAATCCATGTCTCGGCTTTTCATTGCACGTGTTTCTCATCCTGAGTAGATGAGTCCTCTCTCACTTATCATCAAGCAACCCAATATATACAAAGTTATTGTACAATATCGTAAATTATTAGATAATTATTAGATCAAAGATGATTGAAATACATCAAACGCCATGACTGTCGTTTTTTCCCTTGTTGTTGTCTTTGCCGCCACGTGGTTGTCCGGTGTCTGGGAAATCACACTAACACTACTGGACCCATTGCGAGTTTACGATGTGAGCGCTCAGATTTTTTGTGCCATCTCCTGATCCATTTGTGAACTCTCTTCCCGGTCTGGGAAGAAATTGGTTAACCAACAATGAGTGGACTACCCTCTAGTAATTTAACAGTTTGCTATTGAAAATGGCCATAGAAATAGTGGATTTTCCCATTAAAAATGGTGATTTTCCATGGTTTTTTGTGTGTTTACCAGAGGGTATAACAAATGATGCCAGAAAAAAATATTGAAAATCTATGAACAGTTTCCCACAATTCAAAGCCGCAGATGTTCACGATTTTTTTGGCACTAGTCAGCATGGCAGCTCATCCGTGTTCACATCTCATCGCTCAGGAGACCAAGATGAGGTTATTGGCGGCAAATTGGTTCTCATCAATCTTTATCCTGGCCGGGACTTTTCTCCTCCCCCGACTGGAAGGGTATGTCACTCAAAACTTCGTTGGAAAAATATGGAAAAATGAGGTGACTCGAGCAGTTCTTTTTCCCAGTGTTTCCCGGTACATAAACACACCTGGAGACCTAACGCTGCAGCAAAGTACTGAATCGATTTATTTTTGGACTCCATGGCTAAAGGGGGAATTTAGAGGTGTCCGTTGGGGATTTTTTGTGGTGTCCCAAAAAGTACCTTCAACAAAAAATGTATGTGAATTAGATTTTCATGGATTTTCCAAATGTTCCATGATTTTCCAGCTGTTGGGGTACCCCCATGGCTATGGAAATCCCCAGTCGGAAAGTTGGACCAACTTCCACACACGGGGCATCCCATTGATTTCCACAGCTGGAGATATGTATGATGTAGGCAGCATTACGCAGCTATACCAAAACCCCAAGGGTCCTATTTTTTCTCAAAATGATGAGAAGTAAGTTATAAACAATTTTCACGTTTGGAATATCCTATTTCGGTTCTATTTCTTCGCCAAAACGTGCCTATTTAAAATGAAGACGATTTTGAGAAAGTGCTAATGAGGAACCCTTTGGCAAGGTGTGGCATCGCATGGTGATCATAAATCAAAACTGTATCTGGAGCCACCCATTACAATAGTAGGAGGGTTTGTCTGAAAATAGGGTACGTTAAATCCACCAGTTAGCCATGATTTCCCTTTTTTTAATCGACATCGATTCTCATAGATTAGGGGTATACCTAATTTTCAGACATACCCATGAATCGATTGGGATCATTGTGCCAGGATGGAAAAGATCTACAATTCTGGAAACTGCCAACTCGAACCAGGTTACCCTAAACCAAGGTTTCGAGGGCAAAGTTTTCAATATTAGGGGGTAGGGATCTGTCACCTGACCGCACATGACGCTGGATTTCCATGGACTTGACATTCAGTTGGACGGCATAGTCACGTATAAACGTGCGCAAACACGTGTATGTATGTATGAATGAGTGAATGTATCAGTGTATGTGTGTATGTAGACATGCATGTATACCATATCATATTATATCATTATATATATAAGTATATTATATTGTATCATGCTAGATTATAATATATTATAGTATATTATAATATATTATAATATAGTATATCATATATATATATCCATATTATATTATGATATATTATATTTACATTTTGTTTATATTGTGTTGTGTTATGACTTATTATATCATATTGGAAGTACATTATATAATATCAAGTTAGATCACATTATAATGCATTGCATTGTATATTCTTATTAGTATCATATTATAGTGTTAGTGCATTATTTTTATTGTACTATTTTGTTTACACTTGCATGTGTCATATGATAGAAACAAATGTCATACAAATACGATATAAGTACTAAATAGTTTGATATGTATATATATACATACATACATACATACAAACATACATACAAACATACATACATACATACATACATTACATACATTACATACATTACATACATTACATACATTACATACATTACATACATTACATACATTACATACATTACATACATACATACATACATACACATACATACATACATACATACATACATACATACATACATACATACATACATACATACATACATACATTACATACATACATACATACATACAAACATACATACATACATACATATGCATGTACATATATATATATATATACATACATATGTATATATATGCATATATATAATACATACATACACATATTATATATATATACATACACGCGTATATATATATACATACACATACATTCACATACACATTCACATACACATACACAATACACATATACAATATACATATACAGTCATATACATATACAAATACATTTATGTATATAAACCTTAACAGAGTACATTCATAGTCAAATCAGAGACCCGACATCAGCAATAGTCTGACCAACTCTGACCAACTCAGATGGAAACCCTTTCACTGTGCGGTTGTACAAAGGCACTTATCACTGCTGGTTGGTGGTTTTAACCATCTTGAAAAATATTAGTCAATGGGAAGGAGAAAACAAAACATGTTTGAAACCACCAACTAGCTGTGATATCAGACACTTATCACTATCGTTACATCCACTTATAACCCGAAGTGCACACCCAAGAACCCCCAAGAACTGTGCCAGAGCCACAGTTCAAACTCGACACTTTGTCCGGGTTGAACACCTTAGCAGCTGGGATGTTTCTCGACCGTGTTGTTTGTGGCAAAATGCGGGGAATAAACATAAATTACCCTCTGGTAATTTAACATAGCTATGGCAAATCACCATGTTTAATGGGTAAATCCACTATAAATGACCATTTTCAATAGCTATGTTAATTTACCAGAGGGTAACCATCCGCAAGCAGTTTCCCTCACTTTGTTTAGACATAGAATATTTTTGTTTACACAGTTGAAACATCCAAAACCTGACTCCTGGCTGGAAACTCATAGCGAGCGTGATTGTGACATCATCCAGTACATCCACGTTTATTTCTCTAAACTATATGACCACAGGACAATTCAACTAGAACGCTCCAAACTGGCCTTTTCCAACTAGAATATCATCCTCCAATCTTATTTTCGCGGGTTCACGGTGGGGCCAGCATATGGGATAGCGGTATCTTTCTGTTTGACAGGGATGTTTGAGAAGCAAGAACATGTGGAGGTTTCCTGAAATGGGGGTACCCTAAAGCATCCAGCAAAATCATAGGGTGTTCCACTGTAAATCATCTATAAATCATCCAGCTATTGGATGCGGGGTATCTCCATTTATGGAAACCTCCGTCATGGTGGACGCCTTGATGATAGATGGGACTTTCCAGCTATTGGGGCCCCGAAGATCGCTGGATTGGTTGCTCCACCTTGAATCCAACTGACTTAGTTTAGAAAGCAACAGAAGCCGATCAAAAATCCAATCTCAATCCTCATTTCTGTTTACATTCCCATGTTTTGTTGCTTAAATCTCCGTTTACAAGCAAAAATTCAACTTAATTGTTGGAGTTCTAAAAGATAAGCCTATGAAATGTCCAATCTCAATCCTCATGTTAGTTAAATCATATTCAAATTTCCATTCACAACCATCAATCTCATTTAAATCCCAGACATTTCTTGGTTGCAACCCGATGTTCCAACAGAAAATGTCCGAGGAACTCTCAGTGCCACTTGGTAGCTGATCTTTTTGGAAGGTGATGGGGACCTGAAGTCCTGGATCGGTGATGTGGATGGTTTCATGCGAACAAAATAAGTCCGTTTATAAATGTTAATATTAATAATAGGTAATTATAAATATCCACAGGTAATTTTCTAGAATAATAGGTAATAATAAGTAACTATTAACAAAATAATCCGTTTGTTAAAATAATAGGTAATATTAGCTATACACTCCATTAATATATGTAATATCTAATTAATATGCCATGAAAATATTACTTAGCCATTTGTCAATATTTTTCGCTTCCCCCTAACATTAAACACCCCCTAACCGAAACCATGTTTTTTTGTTGGGAATTTCCACATCATTGGGACCATGCAATTGGGGTGTTAAATATTGGACTTCAGCTGCCCATCACATGGGGATATGTTTTTTTTGAAATGGGAACATAACAGTGGGAATATCTGATATGGGAACAAACCATGGGGATAGAATTCGTGGATTTATATAAAGAAAGGATCACTTTATATACCGCAACGTGCAACCAATAGGAATGAAAGTAGGGAAATGATGGGGATAGGACATGAATTAGCTATATCCAGACATGTGAAGTTGAACTAGGGAAATTGAGATTTACCCTGTAAACTAACATAACTATGGAAAATCACCATTTTTAATGGGTAATTCCACTGTAAATGGCCATTTTCAATAGCCATGTTAGTTTACCAGAGGGTAAACAACAGAAAAGGTGATATGATGATGATGATGATGATGATATGATGGGATCCAAACATTGCTTTGCGCAAGGATCAAAAATATTTGGTGTCATCCAAGGTGGAAAATTCTTCGAAAAAAAAGGCTGGAGGTTTCTGGCTGGGACCATAAATTTATCTTTAAAAAAATGGAGATTTTCCAGCAAAAAAATGGAGCTGATTGGAGGGTTTTTAGCCTGTGATTGATAGTGCATGTTTTGGCTAGATGGGGATATCAATATAATAATACAACTAAGATTGACCAAAACGGTGATTCCAAGGTGGTAGGATCGAGAATTCACGGAAAAAACGTGACTGAACCAGCAAGAATATTGATTTACCTAGTAAAAATGGATTGGTGATCGTCCTCTAACTGAGTATATAATAGCATATAGTAATCCAATTCTTGATTAGTGTGTTTGCTATATAAACATGTGTATGTATACTCTATATATATCAGAAAATATTACCATTCATAACCCTGTTAAATATCCCAATTATGATTGTATTCCCCCAGGGCCCCTTTTTTTATTCGCTCAACCAAGGTTGAACCAAGTAGGTTAACTGTCGGGTTTCGGGTAATTACATGTATATAATTACTGTAGAATATGGCAGTGTGTCAAAACCTTGTACCCCTGGTGAACATCAAAATAGCTGGTAAATGGATGTTCATTCCCCAAAAAATGGTATTAATAGGTATTGATCCATACCCATATAAGTTTTGTAAAGATACAATATTGTAAATGGAAGCAAAAACATATTATATCATAATTATTGTTAAGCAATAGTTGTAGAATATAAGTTTTGTAAGATACAATATTGTTATAGTAAGATTGGATGAAACACACCAACTTACAACTTGGGAGTGCCCAAAAATTTACATTACTTCATGAGCGCATCCCAGCGATGGCACGGAGGGCATTATCTCAAATTCAGATCTACGGGGCCTCCAAACGATAGCTAAGTTGGTGCTTAAATAACTCCAATACTATGGTAACTATGGTTTATGGAAATGTTTTTTCAACTCTAGTATTCATAAGGGTTTATAAACCAACAAACATCACTGGCCTCACTTGATACCTTCTCATAACGTTTCCAGCTGGCAAATCCCCTGTGGAGGTTTATAGCTGGAAAAATCATCGAACAACATAATCTAAATAGTGGATTTTCCAGCTAAACCATGTTAAAAAATAAAGGTGCTACCATTGTTTATAATAGAGGTTTACCATGGTTTACCTATTGTTTACCATCATTATAAAACATATAAACCCCTATTAATAAACCATGGTTGTTAACAATGATGATTAATGGCATTATCTATAAACATCTAATTGACCTAGAAAACCTAGACATGTTATATATAAACCATGGTAAAACCACTATTTTCTATTAAATATTATAAACCATGGTAAACCATCCATTTTACCATAGTTATTACCATATAGTTATTTGACCATGGTTTACCTATTCTGGTCGGTGGTTTCAACCCCTCTGAAAAATGTTAGTCAGTTGGGATTATTATTCCCACTATATGCAAAAATAAAAAATGTTCCAAACCACCAACCAGCTTACCTATTGTTTACCATCTCAAAAAAAACAAAACATAACTCTAGGGATATCCATCGCTCCTGAGGATGATAGCGTCCCACCCAACTCGGCTGCGAAGCTACTGACGGTTCCCTTGAGGCGCTCCCTAGGTGCGGGAAAAATGCTGAGCTGGGAAGCTTTCCATGTTTTTTCCAGCAAAAATGGTGGGATAGCTGGTGGGATAGCTGGTGGCATTTATGCTGTTTTAAGGCTGTTTTGATGGGATTTCATCGGGGGTTTAATGGATGTAGTGGGGTATATGGCGAATGTGACAGTTGGGAGTGACTGAAAATGTTGAATTCCATGATAAACCCATAGAAATTTGGGATTTTGGAGCATCCTATTTTCAGACAACCCCACATGCTGTTGGCTCAACTCTAGTAGCCAAACCAACCACTTTCTGGGGATGATAATATCATGGGTGCTTACATATATATATATATATATACGTATTATTATTATATGGTTAAGTTAATATTATATTATGACAATTGACATTAGCCAAACACCTTGTTCTTACACCGAAACTGAAAAGGGGGTTCTAGTAGATTTGCCCTTCAGCCACTTCTGGGATTGGTTAGGTCGCATTTTGTGTGTAAATTGATGTTGATAAACATCCATATGGAGCGTACTGTATCTGATAGTCTGATTAAAGAAAAAAATCAGCCTTGTGTTGAAACCTTTGCAACATATGTATACCGGTAAGACTATGAGAGACCTACATCGGAAGATAATGGCTACACTGCAACTACTAAAATATACTAAAATAATTCTACATAATTCCACTACTTTGTCTACATCTGATCATTGCAACATATTGCCAAATAAATCCAAATGATGTTTACCTGTTTACCCGGAAAAAGGATACGTCATGTCAAGCGATGTGCCAAACCCCTCAACAAAAACTCAAAATGTCATATGTTTTAATGTTTCACAGTCTCGAGCCCCCTCTGGCCATATACAGTGCATCCGAGAGAAAGGTCTTGCAAATAATCCAAAATACCATCCAAATACCATGCTGTCAAAACCCATGGACTAGGGGCAGCAGGAAACTATGAACACCTGGGGTCACCTGCCCCTCTCAAACAAAGGAAAGTCTCGGAACGCCCCATGAACCAGATAGTATAATACCCTACGATATCACAGGTGGGTAAACGTCCCAATTAGACATGACCCAACAAAAAAGGGGGGAATATACAGTGATTGATGTGCTTCATCTCCAACATTTTTCTGGTTGGTGGTTGAGCCACCGACCCCTCTGAAAAATGATGGAGTGAAAGTCAGTTGGGATGATGACATTCCCAATATATGCAAAGTCATAAAATTCCATGGTTCCAAACCACCAAACTTTTCATGTTGATGATGGATCCAACAAATCCCTGTAGCCCGCATCATTCATCAACCCTATCTTCCCATGCATCAGGTTACCCAGGTTGAGCGACCCTTTCACCATCAACCTGGCAGAAAGGAGTTGGCAAAACCTTTAAAAAATCACACTGTTGGTAATTGTCCCACAGTGAAGCACTATTACTGGTTGGTGGTATACCGTATACCTACCCCTCTGATAAATGATGGAGTTCGTCAATGGGAAGGATTATCTCATAGATTATGGAAAATAAAATTCATGTTTGAAACCACCAACCAGACATTAATATTCCATTACCAGCTGGTTAATCACCATTAAATCACCATTAATACCCCTATTAAATCACCATTTGAAACCACCAACCAGATTAACATCTACTAATCACCTATTAGTGTTTATACGGTTTATATGCCTCGCCCATGATTTATGGCGAATGGGGCGACCGCCGCCCTGGGCGGTAGCCTTGCTGAATAGATCCCTGACTTAAATTTCTTGTTTCTGTACCATAATCTCAGAGATCTTCCATTTTCTTGGCTGATTGAAATTACTTCATTAGCCGGCTGATGATGAAAGGGTGGCTTCCATCAAGTTTCATCCCCATGTCCGTGTCTCTGGTGCTTGAACCAGGGGATTCTCCTCCCACATATGAATTCAAACTATCATTTCGGAGAAATAGAACATGTTGGCGCCAAACCCCACGTTCGCCCACACAGAAAGAACACACCCAAACAATATCATAAGTATACTTGTCATCAAAGGATGAATGAAAACACTGGCTATAGCAATTTTGACCTTAGGTTTTTAGGATTTAAGGTTCTAATTTTTAGGTTTTTAATGGTTTTTAGGCTTTTTGGGTTTTTAGATCCGAGGCGAGCAAACGTGGGCTTTGCAGCATCAAATAACCTCTGGTTATGTCAAAATAGCTATTGAAAATGATCATTTATAGTGGATTTATCCATTAAAAATGGTGATGTTCCATAGTTTTTTGTATGTTTACCAGAGGGTAACCATGATTTCAGCATGCCAGAAAGCCATCGGCCAAAGTGATTTTCTTCATGGAAATTCCATCCCAGACCCGATGGAAAACCCGCCACCTTCTGTCGCTTCGCTGGGGGTTCCACTGCACGGCCGGCCGGGCGCTTGCCGCCCTGGAGCGATTTCAAGGGATAGACAATGGATAAACCCACATGAAATGCATGTTCATATATCTCAATAGACGTGAATAGATGTTAATAGATGCTCATAGATGTAAGAATACTAGATATACTAATATGAGCTTTACGAAAGACAGGAACAACTTGAAAAACATCACTTGCAACTCCTCGTCATTCCTAGGGGTAGGTGGTCGGAACCCTCTGTGGGCCATACGGGTGCGTCATGCTTAACCTCAATAGGTTTAGGGGTACCCGATTTCCAGACAAACCCAGATTCATGCCTTTTTGCCACTGGATAGAACCCGACCTGCCAATTTCTATTCTGTGTAGACTAGTTTCCTGTCACAGAAAAGGCGTTTATAGCTGTAGAAAGTAAACCCACTTGAATCCCAAGCTCTTGTACGATTTTGATGGTGCTTCATATAATCACCATGTTTGATGGCGCTTCAGAATTCCCATGTTTGATGGTTAAATCACCATGTTTCATGGTCAAATCAGCATGTGTTACTGTCAAATCACTTGTTTCTCTATAGTCAAATGGGTATGGGTCAAAATTAGGTACCCCAATAATTGGATGGTTAATACTAAACTAGACTAACATCTGTGGTCCCCTAGGTCTTTCATTTTGACCCACATCCAAATCACATTTTTCTCATGGCAAAACCACACTTTTGGTGACTCCAATTGGCTCCCATTCCCAAGGCCACAAAAGCCACAAGCGCACGGCGTCACGGCGGCCTCCGACGAGAGACTCACATTGTGTGCTCTCCATCGACCCGTCCTGGCGATGAAATCAGAGACCCCATGTATCACTTACAATGTTAGTAAAGCAATCATAAACATGCAATGTGAGGCCCCCCCAGTTATAAGTTGGTTTAGATTCGCCCCAGTAACTATAGTTGTAAGTACCATAAACCATAGTTATTGGAGTTATAAAATAAAACTCAGATATCTTGGGGGCATCACATTGTGGAGATTATGTTGCTGTATAATGTTGGTAAACGTCCCATTATGTTAGTATTTCTTGGTAAATGTCCATGTTCATAATATATCTTATCATGTGTGTTTTTGCATGTCCCATGGCTTGGAGATTTTGAACATCACCTGAAAATGTATCTGTTGGAAATTATATTTTACCAACCCCTGATAAACATTTAGGTGATGTTTACCAACATTTTACATCTGTTAATAGGGGTGATGATCTGTTTTCTATATGTATCTTGGGTGATGTGAAAAATGAGGACATCTCTTCCAAGCCCTGATTTTTACCACCCCCTCATGGATTGATGGTTTTTGTTACATCATGGATGATGCACCCTTTAAAAATGGTGAGTCATTGGGGATGATGGATTCGTTCTTTTGCTTTACTAACATTATAGATCTACTATATATTTCATATATATTTCATGTACAAAGTGATCTATCTGATTCTCTAAATAAAGTTTATGTTATTGTTTTTTTACTATACAACTTACTGTATTAGACTTCTACCCATACATATCTGGCTGGTGGTTTCAATCCCTCTGAACAATATGAGTTCGTCAGTTGGGATGATGACATTCCCAATATATGCAAAGTCATAAGGTTCCATGGTTCCAAAGCACCAACCAGATATATCATATATATATATATATGATATATATATAATATATGTTTATCTGGTTTCATGGATGTTTTCCATCATTCAATCCACAAAAAGATGATGTTTGGTGGGCCAGCTCCCCAGTTCCAAGTTGCCCCAGGTGAAATCTCTGGAAATTCAGCGAAATCAATGGGAAATTCACCCATGAATCTCAATGGATATGTTGGTTGATGTGAAAACCAATCTAAGTAGTTCGAGATTTTCACATTCAACAATTCAACGCAGGATTGATCAATAGATTCAGTTGCCACAATTGATCCCATTTGACTCATTTGGCAAACCTGCTTTCTTGTCCCTTCCGCTGTCCTTCCGCCATCCAGCATTTCCTTGCTTGCTTCGCGAAAATGTCGTTGCTGATGCTGATGGTGATGATGACTATGGCGACAATGATGATGAACGTAATAAGCATGATCAAGTTCATCATGGTTGCGTAATGATCATAGTTGTAGTGACAATAAACAACCATAATATTCACAACAACATTACTAGTATATATAATCAATATTTCATCGCCAATAAACCCAAGTAGATGGGCAATAAACATGATTACACATTAATTAACCACATATCACTCTTAGCCTCTGGTAAACAAACAGTTTGCTATTGAAAATGGCCATAGAAATAGTTGATTTACCCATTAATAGCATGGTGGATCTTTCCATAGAGTTTTTGTATGTTTACCAAAGATTAAACCTCCATTAATCACCATTAGATCCCACTAAATCACCATGAAATCCCATTAAAATCCCATGAAATCCCATTAAAATCCCATTAAAATCCCATGAAATCCCATGAAATCCCATTAAAATCCCATTAAAATCCATTGTGAATTTTGTATGTTTACCAGGCCGGCTAAATAAATAAAGACACCCATCATTCCCCAACGAAAAAAACATCCTTTGGCTCCCGCCAAGGAACGACCCAAAACCACACGCGTCTGCCCATGAGTTGGAAGCCCTCAGCACTTCAGAAAGGTACAATTGTGAGGCCCCCGTTCGATATCTAAGTTGGTTTATGGTACTTATAACTCCAATAACTATGGTTTATGGTACTTATAACGAACTAGTTACTGGGGCGAATCTAAACCAACGTTCACATCACTGGGGGGCCTCACATTGTATGATCTAAAGGTGATGTGGGGCCGCCAAGTTATAGTTATATCATGTTATATCTAGTTCTTGGTTGACATATTTCCACCCAACTATAGTATAATTATAACATATTATAACTATATCTGCCAAAAAGCCTAGTTAACGAAATTTGAAAAGTAGCTATCCAGGGCCCCACCTTGTAATATAGTTGTGGAAAATCTGTGGTGAAACCCCTTTGGAAAACCATCTAGAAATGGTGGCCTTTGATCCATGGCCATCTTTGATGACACCAGGGTACCCAGTTTGTATAAAACTAATTTATAATGTTCCAATTTTATGGATATGTATACAACATCAAACATTTATAAATTAATTTGTTATAGTTAATGAACATGATAGGACATGATAAATTTATTTCGTGTTCGAAATCAGAAACAAACTCCGGTGACTCTGGTGTTTGCAGAACTCTGTCCCATAAAATAAGCGGCTGTTGGTCAATGGATATCCCGTTAACTGTGAGTTATACATACATGAAATGGAGGAGGTAGTCTAGCCCACAATAGTACCCTCCGGTAAACTAACATAACTATGGAAAATCACCATTTTTTATGGGTAATTCAAATATAAATGGCCATTTTCAATAGCAAACTGTTAGTTTATCAGAGGGTAACCAAAATACAAGATTACTTTGAATTGGTCAGCTTTCGGTCACTTACAACTGAGGTCACCCCAACTCCACGCAAACTCCCAGCAACATCTGTAGTTATTGACCCGTTCTTATCTGGAGCTACATGTTGTCTGGAGGTGCAGGATCCAGTTAAATGGTCAACAACTCGTCAACAACTGGGGCTTATCCCGCTTACAAGTGAGTTATATGTTATACATACATCATTTGTATAGCAACCCCCAAAAACATAGAAAAGTTACTTGCCACTGATTTTCGTGGCATGCTACTTGTCCATCTGTATTGGGGTTCCTATATATATACTGTATATATATATATTATACACTATCTATATACTAAGTTACTATATATATATATACACTATATATATACTATATATACTATATATATACACTATATACATATATATACTATATATATACTATATATATACTATATATATATACTATATATATACTATATATACCATATATATACTATATATATATATACTATATAGACTATATATATACTATATATATACTATATATATATTTACATGTAATATATGTATATAGTATATGTATATAGTATATGTATACACATGAAATAACATATATCAAATATACTACATATATGTATATGTAATCATGCTACTTATTTGCCACATAGAACCGGGATCCCACACATCTCAAGGTTTTCCCGCTGCCACTGGGCTTTTTCAACATGCTCCAAAGTCCCAAAAAATGGGTCCCCAAAATCCAAAGTCGGGCCCCCAGACTGGCTGCAACAGCTGTTGCTGATCTTCTGGTCTCATATCCTTTGTCTGGAAGTAGACATCCTGGATGGGATCCAGGTGTGGTAATGACACTGCTGAACTGCGGCAATCGAGAGCAGACACTGCGAGACCAAACGAGAAGTGATTGCCCTCAGAATATAACTGCCATTGGATGGGCAAAGGATAGATTTTCCAGCAACCCACATCTCTTTCTAGTAAATCTAGGGGCTTACTGCAAAGCGTTCCCCTGTTCCCCTCTCGATCCACTTACAAGAGACTGAACATGACGAATGTTGCATCAACATGAACCAACATATTCTATATACTGTATGCAACGGTCAAAACCTGAGGGTATGGTCATTCCATCCTTAAAAAAATCCTAAGAGTTCAATGCAAATACAGTAGGTGTCAGAACCGTAATTCATATCAGCTCTTGTTCATGTTACCCAACATATTCTGTTAGTATAGGAGTGTTCACGCATAAAAACCCACATAAAAATATCATAAAATCAAAGCGTCGGTGGTTTCAATCCATAATACAAAAAGAAATGAACGCAAAAGTGGGATCAACCAGAAACCACCAACTTCAGTCTTATTGATGTGTGTTGATGTTTTCCTCTCATTCTACCTCCCCCTTTGTTTGCTTAATCCTCATTACATTGGGTCTGGAACCTGAACAACATTGCCATGATCTGAAAATAGGCTACCTCCAATTTTCATGACAAACCCATCACTACCAGGTAGTTACGGTAGTTCCATAATGATCCTCCAAATTACCAAAATGAAGCTTTTCTAAAATGCTACCCCCAGTCATCATCCGCTTTAATAGGATTTTCCATGAAATAAACCATCCAGCTATTGGGAAAAACATCAAAAAAACTCAGCCCATGCCCGCTGCCCCGCGGTCCGTGGCGTCACCCTCCGCAGTCAGGAAGCCGAAACCCTGGCGTCGCCACCGAACATCAGAGGCTTTTCAGGGCTTTGAAGCAGGAAGATCAGTGGATTTAGGGTAAATCCCAGTGAAATCTGATTTGTGTTGATGATTACTTTGAAGTTTGAATTATAAAACCTAGGAACACTAATATTTTTTGTTCAAGGTGTTCAAGTGTAGAAGATAAAATGATGGAAACATTGGCTTCGGACCAGGAAACGGTTTTCATGGGACTGACCAGTTAAGCCGACCTTAGAACATCAGAACTACCCTCTGGTAAACATACAAAAAACTCTATGGAAATCACCATGTTGAATGGGTAAATCCACTATTTCTATGGCCAGTTTCAATAGCAAACTGTTAGTCATTGCCAGACGGTAAACAATGTGCATGAAGTGTATTTTGCCAGGGAGATTCAACGTTGATTCCACCATCGTCCAGCCACACATGAGGATTCACTGGGTGAAACGGGAAACTCAAAGAGGCCTGGGATGGTGGTTGAAACCAAACTGGGGACGTTTTTGGTTAGTTACCCTCTGGTTATGTCAAAATAGCTATTGAAAATGACCCAGTCGAAAGAGTGGAACATGGTGGATCTTTCCATAGGTTTTTGTATGTTTACCAGAGGGTACATCATATATGTATGTCTTTTACTCATATCCCCATGCATGTCTTGTACTCAACATGTAGAACCGTAGCCTATAAACATGTGGGGAAATCAACACACGTCCAGCCCCTTTTCCTCACCATCTCTCTTTGTGCTTAATCGCTTAATCATATCTATTCACTGGTTGGTGGTTTCAACCATCTTGAAAAATATGAGTTCGTCAATGGGAAGGATGACATCCCTTTTTTATGAAATGGAACATGAACAATTCATGTTTGAAACCACCAACCAGATTCATGTCTTCGATCCTCAGGTTTATAGCAATTACTATAGTTAATGGGATTATTAGCCAATATCAACCATTATTAACCACCAGATATGGTTTTTGGATCTTCTTGGAACATATCCCGCACCCCTCACGTCAGATGTTTCGTGACGTTTCGTGACACTTGGATCATCCCGCGAGAATCGTGAAAAAGCGCTGAGGGAAGCCTACGGATGGTATAACAAGGAAAGTCCCATTAGGATCGTGTGCTGATCCCAAATCTTACTGGCTGGGCTAATTATATATATATATATATTATATCAATATCTATCTATATATATTAAATATGTTATATTATATATATGTATATATATATAATTAGCCCACCCAGTAAGATTTGGGATCAGCATACATATTGGTCATTCACCAGTTACGAACCATGGGATGATCCTCCAATTCGTCACCCAAAATCACGTGGATTCATCCCGTAGTTTAGCCCCGGCCCCGTCGCCTTGTTGTCCTGTCCAGGGTTGAAGGTTTTCACTTCACCGGAGAGCTCTGCGCCATCCACCAAGATGGACGATGCAGCGGATGGAGGAACAGTAGCACCTGTGGCGTAGGAAGTTGCGGGGTCATGTCACTTGGGGTTATCAAATGTTATCAAATGTTATATATATATAAATATGGTACCCCCTGGTAAATATACCAAAAACTATGGAACATCAGCATTTTTGATGGGTAAATCAACAAACTTTCTATGACCATGTGTTCATTTCAATATCATAAATATGGTACATGATGTAAAATTGACATTTCGGATCCATAGGAAATTGATAGTACTATTTCAAATCCATAAGAATTTACTATGAATATGGTACTATGGTACATGATGTAAAATTCTTCGAATTGAGAACCCTGGAATCTGGGAATTTCTATTTCGATCGAATTCCCAGTTGGGAAAGAAAAGAATCTCCTTAGTTGGGACTCAACGGACGAAGCGGACAGAAGTTGGGATACAACACCTATATATATATATAGTCATCCTGAAGTAGATAGAATATCGGAAATTTTCAAAAAGGATTTTTTCAAAAAAAAATAAATAGTTGGAATATTTTCAAAACCCTCAGTTTTTACACGTTTTTCGTCTTTGTTAAGTCATTTTTAGCCAGTTTTGGACACGGGTCTGGGGAAATTTTGAAAAATACAAAAATCAAACAACACCAAAAAATAGATAGAATATTGTTTCAAACCAGGTAGATAGAATATTTTGAGGGAATTGTGAACACCACGCGCAGACCCCACAGCAGCTTGAGACTGTTTTTCCACAGGATATTCCACCATATTCCACCTACCTACCCCTCCAAACCATATTCCAACTACCAGTTTTCGACCTCCCCGGGGGGGGTCGAAATATTCCAACTACCTGTTTTTTTTTAAGTGGCCGACATCCAACATAATTCCAACATAAATCCCGCACCCTCCAAAAAAATATTCTATCTACTTAAGGATCACTATAAATATATATATATAACATATACCCTCTGGTATTTTAACATGAAATAACCTATGGTTCAATATGGTTTATAGGGATGATAATGGGATAATGATGGGATAATACTGGGATATTGATGGATATACCCTCTGGGGGTATTGTAAGCTAACATAGCTATTGAAGCCATGGCCGTAGAAATTGTGGATTTACCCATGAAACATGGTGATTTTCCATAGTTACGTTAGTTTACCAAATGGTAACTATGGTTACTGTTTTTTAATCCACTTATAACCCCAAGTGCAGCCCCAAGTATGATCTGGATAGGCTCATTTTTCGACTTTTTAAACCACCAACCACTCAAAATGGGGGTAATGGGGGTAGCATGAGGGTATAACAGTATGAATAATGGTATATGATATTATCAGGATCCACGTTGGGGAAAATCTTATGCGGATCAATAGGTGGTAGTTATTGTGGATGTTCATCCCCCCAAATTCGGCTACTTGTAGCTTTTCACCCCATTTCACAATGATCATATACAGTGTGTATATATATATACATATACACTAATACATATATATATATATACATATATATATACTAATACATATATATACATATATATATAAATATACATATATATATATACATATATACATGTATATATATATATCGACTTTTTAGGCTTTTCTACAAACTTTGAGCCTCTTTGGTGCTTACACACCAAAGTGACTTGGAAGTCGTAGCAGAAAAAACATTGCTGCCGTAGAACACCTTTGGAACCAACCATGGCATGGATGGACCAATCGCATCTTGTCTGTGGTGGAAAGTTGTCTCAGGATTGGGAAGAAACATGAAGAAACGAAACATTTCTGACATTTTCATGGACAGAACAAGCTGGACTAAACAAAAACATGTGCAGAATAATACATGAATGGTGGTAACTTATATATCTAAACAAACTCATCAACTAACTATATCATTTTCAAAAATTGTAAAATAGTTTGTAACAAGTCCCGTATGATTCTCATATGATCATGAGATTCATCAACTACTACCCTCCGGTAATCAAACGTGGCAATTGAAAATGCACCATTTATAGACGATTTTCCCAGCTAGAAACCGCCAATTTCCGTTGCCTCGTGTGATCGCGAGAGGGTAACTCATCAACTACTCATCATCCGAAATATCATCTTACATTGGTTGTAGTTGCAAAATGTTGCTAATAAATCCCATATCATCATGTAATTGTATGAAAATCGTCAACCACTAATCATCGAAATATCACCCTGGCCATCATGAAAACTTCTCCAAATCTTGAACCATATATCCCCGCTACCATCTGGTTATTTAACATAGCCATGGAACATCACCATGCTGTTAATGGGTAAACCATGGTAAACCATCTATTTCGATTAGGGCCATCTATACCATGGCGAACTGTTAGTCATAACCAGAGGGTATATCCCCACTAGAAATCCCCATTGGTTCACTCATCAAACCAGCTTGGCGGTGACCTCCCACGACTGGTGTCGCGGCCGTCTCCTGGAGATTTGGATGGGGCCCCCAGTGATGGAAGGTTGGTTTATAAACCATGAAATATCAACGAGCAGAATCACTATATATATATATATATATGATTATATGGTTATCCATGAAATTTTAGCATTAATATGTCATAGTTAACTATAGTATCTATAGTTTATGGTTATAAACCATGAACTAATCCCCATGAATACTAGTTTGTTGTATCTACCATAAACCATAGGTTTCATGGATGTGGATGGAGCTTTAGTTTGCTGGGGAAAAAAGAACATGGAATTATGGCTGGATCGAAATGCTGGATTTTCCAGCCACGTTACCAGAGGGTAATCGGCAACGGGTAGTGTGCATTTACGGTGACAAACGGGGAGATAATCTAGTAAGAATGGAAACGTAAGCACATTCCAAATGAGGATTGACATTGGATTGTTGATGAGTTTCTGTTAGTCAACAAAATAGCTGTTAGATGCTGTTAGATTCATGGTGGATACTGTATCAGTCTACTGTTATATAATGTTATTTATGGCAACTAAAGCCAGAAACATAACTTGCGGGCCCACTTCGTACCTGGTGGTTCATCCGATTCTAATCCCAAAGAGGTTATGCACCAAAGATATGTCTTGGAAGGGCAGAGTGATTCTGGTTCTGTATTTAAGCGGAATAACTAAAACAATTGATCTAGTTGCTAAGTGGAATAAACATCAAGTATGCAAGAATGCGTGGGTTGACTTGTTTAAGGGAAGCATGAGTGCAAGAATAGTTTCACCATATTTTTGCATATATATATATATATGTTTTCCTGAGCGTTCCAGTTTTTGTAACCAACTAAAATACGATAGTTGTTTTTCAATTCAACGTTTGGATTCGGAGAGTAGAAAAGTATGTGTTTCACTGTATGGCATATTGGGTATGTTTTTTCAAACTGTGGCTCACGCGAGGTGGTTTTTCCGTCACTTCCTAACATTCCCTAAGTAGGTTTAGTTTATAACTAAGCTAATCATTGGATTTAACTAGACTTAGATGATAGATATATTATACAGATATCAAACAGAATCCATAGTTTGATCCAATCCATAGTCTATATTTAGAGTTCTTGATATCCCGTAAATTTTCCGTTTTTTAGGTGATTCATATCACCAAACGCGACGTTTTTCAGATATCTATAGTTTGATGGCTCCTTGTCACCAAAAAGCTCACCATGTACCCTCTGGTTATTTAACATAGCCATGGAAAATCACCGTTTTAAAAAACGGTAAACCATCTATTTCGATTAGGGCCATCTATACCATGGCTATGTTAGTCATAACCAGAGGGTAGGCCTTGTTTGTTCAAGGGATGGTGGTCCCCATTGCTGATCCATCCAACATGGTGAATCACTGCTGAATCCCACTGGATCATCATGTCATAAGCCATCTTTATGTAACTGTATAAATAATGCCTCCAAATTACATATCTATTGAAAATACATAGTGGTAATAATATGTTATTATTTACCAAAGTTACATATGACATATCTTAAAATAATGTTAAATAACTGGTCTAACTGGTAAATCTCTAAGGTAACTTGAAAAAAATATTATATAAATAATTGGTTAATAAAAACTGTTTGATGTTATGATTGTTGAATCCCAATTATCAGGGTAGATCCCCTTGTTGTGAACTTCTCATCTATGTTATATAATCATATTAAATTCCATATTTCGTGGGTCCAATCTCTATTTTTGGTTCGTTGCCCTCCAGTAAAGCAACATAGATATGGAAATCAAACATTGCAGATCATCAACTTCAAACAACCATAGATTTCCATACCTGTTTGTATGTTTAGCGCAGGGTAAATCCTCATTTGTTGCTGGTTTAATCAAACAATTGCAATATATTCAAATATGTGTAGATTTACCAAGAACAAATTATGGTGTTAACACCATATTAGGTTGGTTTATCCTCTATTTCAAATATGGTGTTTCACGTGGTGTAGATGCACTTTATGTTGTTTACTCTGAAATCCCGAAGGTCTAAGCTGTTTCATCCGATCGACCCAATGCTCTCTTGGTGAAAAATCCTGATTTACGCGAATCTTTCCGAATCTTAATCACCTTAGTTGCTTGTCAAAATCCATATATTCTATAAATGTTTTAAACAAGTGTTTTCCATCTGTTTTCTGTGTTTCTTGCTTCAAGCAGCATGTTTGTTTGTTGTTTTTTGGCTGTTATATATATATATTATATGTGTATATACGGGGATGGGTCAAAACCTTGCACCCCTGTAGTTCGCGCCAAACAAGCTGGTGTTCATGGATGTTCCCCCTAAAATGGTACTTATAGGTATTCATAGCCATATATGGAGGTTTCCTAAATGGGGGTACTCCTAAATCATCCATTTTAGATTGGGTTTTTCCATGAAAAAAACAATTCAGCTATTGGGGTACCCCCATTGATGGAAACCACCATATATCACATTGAGTATCATATCTCCTCTTGTAAACTAACATAACTATATGGAAAATCAGCAATTTTATTGGATAAATCAACTATCGATGGCCATTTTCAATAGCTTTTTGTATGTTAGATGGTTTTTTGTTATGATATATCTATATTAACTATATATATTCCATTATATTTTGATCTAGATCATTCTAGATCTTTGATTTTTAAATATCCCATTGAACATCATAGTCATCCCATGGCCATTGATCCGCCTCATCAAAGACCACTTGCGCGGCTCGAATCGCTTCAGTTACCGAGTTGGCATCACTGGCCCTGGCAACGCGCGTTACCGTTGTTGCGGTGTTTTTCAGAGGGAAAAGATGGGGGAAATCTCCAAGATCACCAAGATTCCCAGGGTGATTTCACCAGCAAAAATGATGACTTCATGGGGATATCAGCAATAGTATGATGATTTTTCACTGGATTTACATGGGGATTTATAAGCCACAAAATCGTGATTTAACTGGGGATTGGGATATTTCGTGGGATGTAACATAACCAAGAATATGCAACAATATGCAACAATGTGGTGCCCCAATTCGCTAAGTTGGTTACCAGGTTACCAACTTAGCTAAGCCAACTGTTGGAGCCAGTTAGGTAAGTCGATATGGCACCACCTTGTAGGTCCAGGTATCTGGAGGTATCTGGAGGTATCTGGAGGAGTAACTCGCCCAAAATGGCCATGCTGGTTGGTGGTATACCTACCCGTCTGAAAAATATGAAAGTCAGTTGGGATGATGACATTCCCAATATATGATTGGAAAAATAAAAAATGTTTCAAACCACCAACCGGCATCTGTTCACTTATTGGAAAGTGATAAAATGATAAGCCAGATACAGCCAGATGGAATGGACTGGAATACTGTAGGATAAAAACTGTTTTCAGACAATACACAATTTCTTCCTTGTGCTTGATATTGGATGGAATTTGAATATGGAAATTGATAGGATTGATAGAATGAATTAAGTAGCCTATAGCCATGAATTTACTGAACTTATTGTAACTATGGAAATATGGATGAAGCAGGGACATATTTGAACTACGTTTGTTTTTGGTTTCTTTTCTTAAATCAATCATCTTAGATAAATCCTTACGTTTTCCATCCTCCATTTCTTCCATCTACAATACTATTCGATAAATCATAAATTTGCTTGACATGACAAAACCAATATGGTTGGTGGTATACCTACCCATCTGAAAAATATGAGCCAGTTGGGATGATGACATTCCCAATATATGGAAAGTCATAAAATTCATGTTCCAAACCACCAACCAGAGCTTGGAAATTGGTTCAACCAACTTCTATGGTCCTACCATTGATTTCCACGGAATGTTAGATGTGACCGCCTTGGGGATATGAGTCACTTCGGAATCCATGGGAATCATAGTGCCCAAGCAGCGGGTGAAAAAGTGGATGTTTTAATGGGGCTTAACGAGGAAAACTGGTGACTCAATGGGTGTTTACTAGTGTTTAATCCTCAACACTGGTGATTGTTCATTGATTATGCTTGGATATGCTTGGATAATCTTGGATCATTGGTTTTGTTTGTATTTTGTTTGGGCAAAAAACAACTTTTCAATGGTTGGATAGACCGGTAACACAAAGCGTAAATTTGCTGAACAAAGCTTTGACTGTTGCCGATTTAGTGGGATGAGAGATCTCCATGTTGTGTGAAGCCCCAATCCTGGTGATACGTCACGTGATACCACAAGGCTTGGGGTGACACTCCGGTTCCTCTTGGGGTTGCACCCCAGCTCTGAATCTTGATTGGCTTGATATTCCCAGTTGGCGATGTGTTTTCACAGCTCAGTTGGGATGTTGATTGTACCCATATATCATATGTATATCAATATGTCCATTCATTCAAATGTGTCCATTCCAAATATGCTTGACAAGAAACCGTTGAACAATGGCAAAGGAACGGTTGAACAATGCTGGAATGATGATATCATTTTCTTGAGATGAACAGCCATTTTCTTGTCAGTTGAACAACATCTTTTGTAGTTGAACTAACTTGCCACTAGGAAAATCCACCATTCGTAGATCATTTCCGATTCCGAGAAATGCACGGATTTCCTGTGGCCTTTTTTACGGGAGCGTACACAAATTATATATGTTTCCATTGTTTCACCTATTTTCATCTATTTTCCATGTATGTTCCATATACAGGAATTATTTTCCATAAGTTCACGTCCACGAACCACCGTGTGCCAAGATTATCAGTTTAACATAGTGTTCCATATAACATTTTTGCTGCTGATATCACCATGTTTGAACGTTCAATCAACATTTTTGATTAAATCTGCATCTTCGTGGATAAAATCACCATGTTTGATCATGTTTGCTAGGTAAATCATCATTTTCACTGGGTAAATCACCATTTTCGCTGGGTAAATCACCATTTTTGCTGGGTAAATCACCATTTTCCGCTGGGTAAATCACCATTTTCCGCTGGGTAAATCACCATTCTTGCTGGGCAAATCACCATTTTCACTGGGTAAATCACCGTTTTCACTGGGTAAATCACCGTTTTTTCTCCAACTGCCGAGACACGGAGTGCCGGGTGGAGCCAGAGAGACGTTGCGACCTGGCGAGGTGCGATCCACAGGGGATATGAGTATATATATATATGGATATGTTCATTGGATTGGTTTAAATTAAGGGAAAATTTACAGGAAAGCCTTATATTTGATGGTAAAAACCATGCATAGTTTCCTGTAGATTTTCCCTTAAGCCAATCCAGTGATATGTGGTAATGATCAATAGTGATCAATAGTGATCAATAGTGGTTTAGATTCGCCCCAGGAATACTATAGTTAGTTGTGTACCATAAACCATAGTTATTTACCCATTAATAGCATGGTGATTTTCCATACAATGTGAGGCCCCGTTCGATATCTAAGTTGGTGCAAATAACTCCAATTTCACTATGGTTTATGGTACTTATAACGAACTAGTTACTGGGGCTTATAAACCAACTTAGATATCTTGGGGGCCTCACATTGTATATATATATATATGGCCATGGAAAGAAACCATGAAACATGGGGAACATATGAAGAAAATTACAGGGAAAACATGGGGAAACTATGATCTGACAATGTGAGAAAATATGGCAATTAAATATTATATATAATATAATATATATATAATGTTTGGGAGTGATTAAAGAGATGGTACCCTATTGTGAGAATTTTCTTGCTCCTTATTCAGTCACATGCTAATTGTTGGGGGGGAACTCTATTGTGAGATTTTTTTCCCAGATTTTTTTCATTTTTTTCCAAATAATTACTTTAAATTTATTTTTATTTTTTCAATTATTTGTTGGTTTGTGTTTAAAATTATTTTTTCCAAATACTTTAAATTATTGTTTCCAAATACTTATTAAAAAAAATTAGATGCCTTATTAAACCCTTATTAAAAAACAGCACCCAGACAATTTTTCAAGGGGATACCTCATGATTGGCTCAGTTACTCAATAATATAATTGTTTGGATGGTACTCTATTGTGAGCACCAACTTTTGGGAGTGAAAAAAAAACAAAAACCCTTTCTCCACCTTTCTTTGGGTAAAGCTGGTAATGACTTTTTACTTTAGAAAGCCATATTTGTGCTAATTAAAAGTTTAAAATGCAAGGTTTTCCAAATAATTAAATGCCTTATTAAACCCTTATTTAAAAACAGCACCCAGACAATTTTTCAAAGGGGTACCTCATGAGTGGCTCAGTTACTCAATAATATAATTGTTTGGATGGTACTCTATTGTGAGCACCAACTTTTGGGAGTGAACAAAAAAAACAAAACCCTTTCTCCACCTTTCTTTGGGTAAAGCTTGTCCTTTCACTTTAGAAAGCCATATTTGTGTTAAAAGTTTAAAATGCAAGGTTTCCCAAATAATTAGATGCCTTATTAAACCCTTATTAAAAAACAGCATCCAAACAATTTTTCAAGGGGGTACCTCATGAGTGGCTCAGTTACTCAATAATATAATTGTCTGGATGGTACTCTATTGTGAGCACCAACTTTTGGGAGTGAAAAAAAACAAAACCCTTTCTCCACCTTTCTTTGGGTAAAGCTGGTAATTACTTTTACTTTAGAAAGCCATATTTGTGCTAATTAAAAGTTTAAAATGCAAGGATTTCCAAATAATTAGATGCCTTATTAAACCCTTTTAAAAAAACAGCATCCAGACAATTTTTCAAAGGGGTACCTCATGAGTGGCTCAGTTACTCAATAATATAATTGTTTGGATGGTACTCTATTGTGAGCACCAACTTTTGGGAGTGAAAAAAAAACAAAACCCTTTCTCCACCTTTCTTTGGGTAAAGCTTGTCCTTTCACTTTAGAAAGCCATATTTGTGTTAAAAGTTTAAAATGCAAGGTTTCCCAAATAATTAGATGCCTTATTAAACCCTTATTAAAAAACAGCATCCAAACAATTTTTCAAGGGGGTGCCTCATGAGTGGCTCAGGTACTCAATAATTTAATTGCCTGGATGGTACTCTATTGTGAGCACCAACTTTTGGGAGTGAAAAAAAAACAAAAACCCTTTCTCCACCTTTCTTTGGGTAAAGCTGGTAATTACTTTTACTTTAGAAAGCCATATGTGTGCTAATTAAAAGTTTAAAATGCAAGGATTTCCAAATAATTAGATGCCTTATTAAACCCTTATGAAAAAACAGCACCCAGACAATTTTTCAAGGGGATACCTCATGATTGGCTTAGTTACTCAATAATATAATTGTTTGGATGGTACTCTATTGTGAGCACCAACTTTTGGGAGTGAAAAAAAAATAAAAGTAAATTATAAGTAAATTAAAAGTAAATTGAAATCAATTGAAAGTAAATTGAAAGTAAATTAAAAGTAAATTGAAATCAATTGAAAGTAAATTGGAATCAATTGAAAGTAAATTAAAAGTAAATTGAAATCAATTGAAAGTAAATTGAAAGTAAATTGAAAGTAAATTAAAAATAAATTAAAAATAAATTAAAAGTAAATTGAAAGTAAATTGAAAGTAAATTGGAAGTAAATTGAAATCAATTGAAAGTAAATTAAAAGTAAATTGAAATCAATTGAAAGTAAATTGAAAGTAAATTAAAAGTAAACTAAAAGTAAATTGAAAGTAAATTGAAAGTAAATTGAAATCAATTGAAAGTAAATTAAAAGTAAATTGAAATCAATTGAAAGTAAATTGAAAGTAAATTAAAAGTAAATTAAAAGTAATTAAATCAATTGAAAGTAAATTGAAATCAATTAAAAGTAAATTGAAATCAATTGAAAGTAAATTGAAATCCTTTCTTGAGTTGATTGACCAAAAAAATGTTGAGGGAGGGCAAAAAAAAGTGCGAGTTATAGAGTATCCTCAAATAGTTTAGGGGGGGGCCCTCACATTAATCAGACGCAAACATTATATATATTGTGCCATTACACCAATATGATATGATGATGTCATAGGATTTATAAAGATTTTATGGGGATGGGATTGATTTCTGGAGATTCAGCATTAACACTGGTGATTTTTCACATGGGGATATACCCTCTGGTTATGTCAAAATAGCTATGGAAAATCACCATTTTTAATGGGAAAACTCACTATAAATGGCCATTTTCAATAGCTATGTTAGTTTACCAGAGGGTACATTCCAGTTTCATGAAATGTTGGCTGCAAAAGTCTGAACTAGCCATGGGGTTCTGGGAAAAGCATCGAACCACAAAACGCTGGGATTTTTGGATTTTCCAGCGGCTGTGTGGCCTTTCCCCATATGAAATGACACGTTTTCCACCCACACGGCTCGGTGAAACATGATTCCCCAGTTCGGGTGGATTGATCAATGGGAGATTTATGACACCGTTTTCACCAAACATGTCACCGTGAAAGACTCCCAAGACTATACAAGATCATTTTTGATCCATTTGAAAAAAATATATCCCATATTCATCAACATCCGGAAAAAAAAACTCAAAGCCCCTCTGGTGTCATCAAACATGGAAAATCCCCGAGCTCAATAGGAGAATCATCGAGCTGGTTTTCCATGTCAGCCATGACCTCAAGGTATATGTCCCTAGGTATCGTAAGTTGTACCCTCTGGTTATGACTAACAGTTTGCTAGCTGGAACATGGCCATAGAAAGTTCGTTGATTTACCCATGAAAAATGGTGATTTTCTATAGTTCTGTAAACGTTAACCAAAAGGTAAGTACCCTGAAATAGATGGCTTATGGATGTTTATTCCCCAAAATATGGTAATGTTTTTTCCCCATTCCCAGCTAAAAACATCCCATCCCTTTTTCATCGCATCACATCGCCTCTGAATCGCCCCGTGCCAGGCATCAACTGTAGCCTCAGGTGTAATCATGATGAATCCTTCACTGCATAATTCATCATAAGTCATTTCCTGTATTACCCTCTGACCAGAGGGTAAACCATCATACGCAGATGCCCATGTATCAACCATGTCCCATAATATCACATAATATATGATGTCCCAATTGAGTATCAGTGTCCCTTGTTATCCAATAATTTTGTAAACATAGAAAAAACTATGGAAGCCATGACCCATAGAAATAGATGGTTTACCGAACTTAATAGCATGGTGATTTTCAATAGCTATGTAACAAATTACCAGAGGGTACTCTTTAATGTCATGCAAGTAGGTGATAGAAATCACAAAAAAATACCATTAGGTGATGAATCATGTAAAAATATGGAAATCTCCAAACACATTAATATTAAAATATTGGAATAAACATTGGAATAAACATAGGCATCACTATATGTCCTCATCCCTGGTACATCCCTTGCCTACTACAGCCATGGTTGACACTTTAACCCTGAAAGTCCTGCCTTTTTAGTGGAAACTCATCTTCCAACCCCGATGACTGGCAGGGTCTATGTTGAAGTACTAGAGGGTCATATTATAATATTTATGCATACAAGATGTGTATTCTAGTTGTAGAGCAAACCCATTCTACATAATTGAAGCACATCATGTTCTGACTATGTGCATCCATGAAGCTCAAAACGAGCTGCAGCAGTGTCGTCCCCAGATTTCCATAACGGAACTTACTTTCCAACGAGCCCACACGAACACATTCTCGATCGAAAGAATCATGTTGATGTGGGCATGTACCGTATTTAGGTGTACCATCTGGTTTTTTTACCATGGCGAACTGGAAAATCCATTAAATGGAGGTTCTAATGGGAAAATCATCTGTAAATGGGCCATTTTCTATATTATTCATGTTCTTTCCCACAAAAATCAAGGGGCAAATACACACGATTGTCAACAAACCGCACACGTAGAGCAGCAAAGTTGAATCACATCAAACATATCATCAACACATGTTAATGGATCCCGCATTGAAAAAAACAAACAATCACACTCCAGCATGAACATGCATTCCTTATCCACGAACGCATAAACTTGAGCATATATATATAGACATATAGTGTGTGTGTGTGTATAGTATAAAATATATACACACTTACAAATTTCATGACACCATCAAAAGATAGTAGCACTTCCCAATAAGATTAAAGTGTCACTTCACTCCTTTTAAGCTTATTAGACACGTATTTGCCGTTCAATATTTCAAATGGCCATATTATATTAAACAAATGCATACAAATGCTGAGGCTTAAACTGATCCAGATATGTTTGATATTTCTTTATATCACTACACATTTCTTATGGGGGTACCTAAAAGGATAGAAACGATGTTGTAGATGATGTTCCCCCACAAGTTCCCAGGTGTCCAACAGTTCTATCCATTTTGGGGCTGCTATATTAGTAGAAGCTATAAGTTGGTCTTAAAGAAAAACATGCCATAAACATCCATAAACTATAGTTATACATATACATTATATATATATATCTATATTGGAGTATAAAGCAACTTAGCAATCTAGGGTAAATGTAGAGGTAGAGGTAGAGCTATAATGTGGGTAAAACAATAATAAACAATCCCCAGTCATCACCATTTTTATAGGTGGTATGTGGATCCCATTCCCAGTCATGGGTGGTAAACATGGCATTGTTTTACCAATATTACCATTAGTCACCGTTAATCACCATTATCAAACATCATTAACCATCATTAACCATCATTATGGCATTGTTTTACCCACATTCCCAAATCGCTGTATCCAACTTCTTCAAATCCCAGGTGCCAAAAATGCATCACCACACCAGGAGCTATGCCGCAGCCTTCTGGACCTGGCACTTTTTAAGCGACTCACGTCTGAGACTCTGCGAAATATAATGTCTGAATATGTGCATGTGTGCATATGTATATATATATGTATAGTCTGTATAGTTATAATAGTTATATATATATGTATAATTATGTCAGATATGTATAATTAACATATACACATACTAATAGTAAATGTCATACATTAATATGTTTCTATATAATAGATCCACCGCCGAAACCACCGCTTCTGCCTGCTGCGTCGAAGCGCTGCTTCAAACCTCGGTTTCCCATGGTCTCCCGGGTGTCCCATGAACATCAGCCGGACCCAACCTGGGCAACCTAGAAATGTTATAAACCATGGTAAACCATCCATTTTACCATAGTTATTACCATATAGTTATTTGCCCATGGTTTTGGCAAACTGGTTGGTGGTATACCTACCCCTCTGAAAAATGATGGAGTTCGTCAGTTGGGATGATGACATTCCCAATGTATTGAAAAAAAATGTTCCAAACCACCAACCAGTAAAATACCTGATAAAATACCAGTAACTTTCTGTTGGTGGCTACAACAAAAAACTCATGTAATCACACAAAGGGCCGTGGAAAATGGTCCATTCTCAATGGTGCATCACCAGCGAAGTCGTCATATCTCAAAACAACGGATGCGATAAACCAATGGCATGATGTTTTCTGACCGTCCTGTGGCAGAGATCGAGCCAGATACATAGTATACGTTGACATATTGACACATGACAGATTTGAAGCCAGGCACCCATGAATATGAGAAAAGTTGTTTGGGTCCTAAAAAATTGCTATACTCCACAAGGTGTTTCTTTTTGCGAACATTGGATTGTAGGGACCCCAATTCTGCTCGACACACCCAATGGATGACTCACCAGGTGACTCTCCATGAGGTCGTAGGGTTGAAAGTAAACATCCAACCTCGGTACAAATCTGGCGGAAGCCTATAACAAAAACAGGTTTTAAGCTCCCACAAGGTGGTGCCCCATAGTTAGCTAAGTTGGTTTATAACTCCCATAACTATGGTTTATGGCAGATATAACTATAGTTAATGGGGTTTATAAACCAACTTATAACTGGGGGGCACCATCCTGCAGGATTTTTTGTTTTTCTGCTAGACCTGGGTCTAAGTCTCGGCATGACTTGATGAGGGTTTTCGCGCTGAGATTCTGATGATTTTTCAGCCCCTTGAAGTTGATGTGCCCCTTGAAAAACAGCCCCACAACAGGTAAGGGGCACCAAACATGAGGCACTGACCGCACTCCAAATTTGATGATCAGTTGAGGAACATCTTTGGGCGCTAATTCGGGTTATGACTCAGATTGACCAGATTGCAACCACCAAAAGTTGAGAGATCACCTCATTCTCCAGAACCCACTCTTCATCATACGATCATTGTCTGCTTATAGTATCTTATAGTCATTTGTACCTGGTCAACCACTATAATGGTGGGTACCCAAATATATATATATATACATATAAATATATATATACATATATATATAAGCTCGCTCGCGTCAAAGTCCTTTACATTTGAGTAGTTGCTATTGTTATGGTTATCGCTTTTGGGGGGGGCCTATCGCTTTCCAGGGTTTTGTAGAAATCAGCATATTCAAGATCCAACATGAAGCCACAATCCATTCCTAAACAGGCTCGGAAGTATCGAGGAGTTGTTTTGTTGGTGTCAGGTGCTTCGGCAACAATTCATATATCTTTCATTTTGCATTCATGTCCTTTCATGTTCCTTTCATGCTCCTTTCATGTTCCTTTCATGTTGCATTCATGTCTTTTCATGTTCCTTTCATTTGCATGCATCTTCCTTTCATTCTGCATTCATTTCCTTTCATTTCGTTTCCAAGGCTATGGAAATGGGTTTATGGCTTGGCCAGAGGACCGAGTGCAACAAATGGTTATCGCTAAGTTATCGCTAAACAACCCTACAACATATTATGACACTGTTCGAAGGAATTTTCCGCAAAACGACAGAGGTAGAGAGAGAGAGAGAGAGGGGAAAAAAGCGAGAGAGAGAGAGAGAGAGAGAGAGAAAGAGAGAAAGAGAGTGAGCGAGTTGGATGCCAAATGACATGATACAGTAACTGCAGGAAACAGGGCACCACAGGTTGAATTTCCCTTATCGGTTTTGCCCGTTGGGTATTTGCTTGGTTTACGCCAAGTTTAATGGACTGTCGTGTACGGTCCCAGCTTATCTTTTTTTTTGGGGGGGGGCCTATCGCTTTACAGTGTTTCGTGCACATCTCTGAACAAAAAACTCCTGCAATACTAAAGTGGTCTTGAACCATTTTGACTGTGACTAATATAATATATATATATATAGATAGATATAGTGGGTAGTAGTAATAATATATAAATCGCTGGTAATAGTTTGACATACAGTGAATAACTATAAAACTATTAATATCACTCCAGTCACTTCTATAGTCTCAGTTACAATAACTATCCATGATCTCCAGTAAATAATTGACATAAATAAATAGTTAATGTATATAATGATTATTAATATCGACTGTTTATTCCTGACATATCATAACTCTTATATTTCTTAATTTCTCCAGTAAATAAAGTGATTGGTGGTTTCACCCCCTCTGAAAAATATGAGTCAGTTGGGGCTATTATTCCCAATATATGGAGAAATAAAAGCCATGTTCCAGTCACCACCAACCAGATAAAGTGAGGAAAACTCCAGTAAATCTCAAAAGCCCTCGTCCCGCGCCGTTTGCGGCGCGGTTTTTTGGTGCCTCTAGGGATCCGGCTGTTGACCCTCCACGGACATGAAGCCATAACCTCGGAGCTGGGAAGCTGGGAAATTCTTCTGGATTCACCAGGTTTAACCACCAAAACACCTGGCGTTTTTGGGAGTTTGTTTGCAGGTCTTAACATGTTTAAGCACCAACAAGGGGTGATTTCACCAGCAAGTTGATCAACCTCATGTGGATTTAGGGTTGATCATTCAGTAGCTTTCTGTTGCTGATTTGCCTACTGTTGGATGTAGGAGATTGATCTCCAATGAAACAACTGGGGGTATAGCCTCTGGTAAACTAACATATGGAAGCCATGGCCCATAGAAATAGGTGGTTTACCTTATTAAAAATGGATAAACATTGTTATTTTCTATAGCTATGTGAAATTACCAGAGGGGTACCCTCTTTTCACACACACACACACCATCACACACCCATTTTCAGTAGACCCGCAAGCCGGCAAACCTTTGTCAGTTGTAGCATTTTGTTGTGGGTCCCAAGATTTTCTCAGTCGGCGCTCCCATCTGGGAGTAAGCGCCTGATGTTTTCAGTGGTAGCTAAGCAACTGGGAGAATTCATCTATAAAAATCAGATAAAAATCAGTGACTGATCTATCACCACTGGATTTGAAAATGGGAGATAGTCATGGGATTTTTCAACCCAATTCCTGCAGATTTCTCCTGAATTCATCCAGGGAAAAACTCCATACTTGGATGTGCCACTTAGTAAGTGGTTTATAACCCATAAATATATACACATTTATAAACCCCAATGATCGTTTTTTTTTCCCCGGGATATAACATGATATAACCGGATATAGCCTCTGGCAATACAAAAAACTAGGGAAATCACCATTTCTAGTAGGTAAATCATCTATAAATGCTACATTTTCCATATAAATCCACCACTTTCCCATGGTTTTCCCATGGTTTTCCCATGGTTTTCCCATGCTATCAATGGGTAAATCCACGATAAATCCACCATTTTCCGATCCCCTTAGCTCCCCACCTTTCTCGTGGTTCCAGGCCTGTCACTTTTTTGGATCACGATGTAAGTGTTGATTTTGATGTAAGCAGCAAGCAGGGCGTATGTATATGTATGTGTATATATATATGATATATATATATATCATATATATATATGATCTATATATATATCATATATATATACACATACGTATATATGTATGTATATATATATATATATGTGTGACTGATTATGCATGTAATCATCAAAATAGATCAAGGTAAACCATTCCACTACCATTCCAAAAGGATTCCGGACATAGCATTGTCTGCTTATGCAGGAAAAAGTGTTGTTTATCACCAACAACCAGGATGTGTTGCACAGTTGGCAGTTGGCAAAGCTGCTACTTAAATAGGATCCACAAGGGCACCCCCATTTTTCAGAGTACCTCAGCGACTTGACCCATGCAGCGAAACTATGGGCACTGCGTCCTTTAATAAAGGGGCTGAATATCGATTAAAACATATCGAAAAACAGGGATATCCCAGTGCAAAAAAAAAACATATGACAGACATTCACAGATTTTCAACTCATGAGTTTTATTCAGATCTTGCACAGACGGCGGGAAATTGTGTGTGTGTAATGGTTAGTAAGGAGTATTCTCAACAAAGTGGTCTAAGCCCCAAAAATCGAAAAATCTTTGAACGCTCAGTATATCATTTGAGGACCTCTCACGTAGCAAACCAATGGTTTTGTTTTCATGTTGTTGATGCCATTTCTCCCCCAATCAGCTGGAATCTCAGTCAAATCATGGCAAACCATCTGATATTTCGATATATTTGGAGTACCCGGCCTGGTAAACCTACAAAAAGCTATTGAAGCCATGGCCCAGTCGAAAGTTCGTGGATTTTCCCAGCTAAATAGCATGGTGGATCTTTCCAGTTCGTTTTTTGTTGATGTTCCCAACAGAATCCATCTGGGTAAATTATAATATTTCACTAACCTGAATTAAGGCCATTTGGGGATGATTTCCCTTATTAACCATGATTCCAGTGAGGTCGCAGTGAGGTCGTTATAATTTTCCCAGATCCATTGAACCTTGCGGTTCAGGGAGCCTTCATGGTTCCCAGCAGTTCTGCCTTGGGGATGATTTTCTTTTCGGCCTCGCGAGAGGGCGAGAGAATGGAGCTACAAGAAGAGGGCTGACTTCATGAGATTTTTAATGGATTTGATGGGATTTCTAATGGATTTGATGAGATTTTTAATGGATTTGATGGGATTTTTACTGGATTTGATGAGATTTTTAATGGATTTGAATGGATTTGATACTAATGTTTTTTTTCTGGATCTTAATGAGATGATACTAATAGGTTTTTAATGGATTTGATGGGATTGTGATTCACATATTCAAACCTATGGAGATATATGGTAAGTCTTGAAACTTGGAGTTGAAGATCAAAAATTAGGACTTCTCCCAGCAAATATGGAAGTTCGACTAACTAGGACTAACATATGGTGATTGAAAGAGCCATCACGCAACGAAAATTGGGCTGTCACCAGACCAAAACGGAGATGAATATGAAGCAATAAAATCATTGATCCATCATTTTTTCTGAGATGTAAAAGCATATATTTACCAAATTCTACCAAGAAAAACGCAGTTTACCTGGGTTTTTTTTGTGACAACACAGTTCTGGATTTTCGAATGCAACCGGTTTTGGTAGTTGGATCCCCAAAGACATATGGAAAATCCATGAAATTTCTATGGAGGTTTGAAAAAAGTTGGGAAAATCCATGCTGTTTCTATGGGCCATGGCTTCCATAGCTATGTTAAATAACCAATATATATATAATATATATTTATATATATAATACATTATAATACTACATGTTATTTCAACCGACTACTTAATTCCATCCGGTAACTAAGGGTGACAATGAAAAGTCCACCATTTATAGATTGTTTTTCCCATTAAAGTTTCCAATTTAGTTCGGGGATTTTCCAGCCACGCTTGATGACACCAGAGTATGTATATTATATATATATATATATCAACAATGATCCATTCATGATCCATCAATGATCCATTAGTGATCCATTAATGATCCATACTCTAGGATGATTATATATATATACATATAATATTTATAATATATATATAATATTATTAGTATTATAAATATTAAATATATATTATATAAATATTAAATATTTATATTATATATATTATAATATATATATAATATTTATAATATTAATAATATTAATAATAATAATAATATTATATATATATATTATCATAGAGTTATATAATATTATATATAGTATAGTTATATCATACATATATATATATATATATACATGTATTAAATTATACCATATCTATCTATATATACATACATACATACATTACATTACATATCATTACATTACATTACATTACATTACATACATTACATTACATTACATTACATTACGTTACGTTACGTTACGTTACATTTTTTACATACATACATACATACATTACATTACATTACATTACATTATATTACATACATACATACATACATACATAATACATACATACATACATACATACATACATACATACATACATACATACATACATACATACATACATACATACATACATACATACATACATACATACATACAATACATACATACATTACAATACATTACAATACATACATACAATACATTACAATACATTACAATACATTACATACATACATACATACATACATACATACATACGTATACATACATATATCATATATACATACATATACACCAGCCAGCTAGTGGTGGGACAATCTTTCGCCTTCATCAAGCCCTTGCCAGCACCTGACCAAGGGCGGAGTCATCATCCGAAGTTGTGATTTTTGCCAGTGAAAGCTGAGATTCATAGGCTTTAATGGGATTTCATGGGCCTTGATGGGATTTTAAGGAAAGGTATAACTATGGCTTATGCTAGATATATCCATAGTTTTTCTTTAATGGATGTTAATGGCTTTATAAACCAAGAACATGTCTGCCAAGGCCTCAGCTTGTAGGATTTCATGGGAATATAGAATCACCGCATCATGGGGATATGTTGGGATATATCAGCAAGCAAAATGATATGTGGGTGTCTCTGGCAATTTGGTATACGGTGTACTGAGTGTACTGCCCCCATTGCAATGACATGTTCATCGGGAGATCTAATTCAACAAAATTGTGATACTTAATCATTCAAAATGGGTGGTTTAATCAACAAAGATAGGTAGTTGAGCAGCGTTTTAACCAACAAACATAGGCAGTTGAGCAGCAAAAAACATGTTGGGCACAAAGACACAAACATTGCAAGTGAACCAGGATAAAGAAAACACCTGGGAAAAAAATGTGTAAGGTATACAACCTGCAAAACTAGCTAAATGAAACAACCAGAAGTAGGGATATGCCAGGATACTAACGAACCAGAAAATACGTTGATCAGTTGACCAACGTTTTGAAGGATTTGGGCAAAAACATCAAAATTCAAGACATGTTGGCACAACAGTTGCCTGTTATATCTGGTATTCCTACCCAATTCTTAACTCATGTCCTGCCGTAAGCCAACATCACCAACATTCATCAAAACTGCAGGACTCACTCGGGAAAAAAAAACATCTGCATGCAGACAACGTCTGGAGCCATTCGGTTGTACGCAGGCAACACTCTGGCCCGGCCTTTGCTTCCCTGGCTGCGCTCAAACTGCGAAAACTGAAGTTTGGAAACATGGGCGGATGAGTTTCCTCTTAGGTTTTAGTGGGTCTTAATGGGGATTCTAACTATGGTTTATCCTAGATATATCTAGAGTTAATGGTTTGGAAACCAAGAAAAAAGTACTGTACCTACTAGTCAATCTTAGAAACCCTGTTTAAAAAATATGTGTTCATTTACTCAATGAGTATCCCTGGAATCCATGGTCGTCCAGCTCAGCTGACATTCGGATCTGGAGAAACCAGGAATATCATCGTTTCCTGCTTGGTGGTATACCATGGTATACCTACCCCTCTGAAAAATGATGGAGTTCGTCAGTTCAGTTGGGATGATGACATTCCCGACTGAATGGAAAGTCATAAAAGCCATGTTCCAAACCACCAACCAGTTTCTGTTGGAGAAATCCCTTTCTGTTGAGGGTTTTCATGTCGCATGGTTTAAATCCATCCACCATTCGGTAAGTTTACCGTAAATCTGATGGTAAAATCTGCACATGTCTGCAGCATTTGCGATGATGCAATCAACCTTTAAAACAGATGGTCTGCTTTAAAACAAAAAATGTTGGTGAAAGCTGCATGTTTGTAATGATGTGCTCCTTAAATCACGATTTCACAAGCCATCCCTGGCTTGTGGCTGTTTAAACCCAATGAAGGGCTATTCAATCATGTTGAATCCCAGTCTTTGCCATTGTTTCCCATTTGTGCTGTTTAAATCCCTGTTTTTCAGAAATCAAAATGTAGCTGATTGAAGCCCACATGTTTTATTCTGTTAAATTCCCATGTCTAGATGATTTACACCTAATTGTGAGGGTTCACCATGTTTCACCATCATTCATCATTTTTCATAGATTTGTTGGTAGATTTATGTAGATTTTGAGTCACCATTATTTTTCACCATGTTTCACCATCATTTTTCATCATGACTGGTTGGTTGTTTCAACCTACCCCTCTGAAAAAATGATGGAGTTCGTCAGTTGGGATGATGAATTATTCCCAACTGAATGGAAAGTCATAAAGTTCATGTTCCAAAGCACCAACCAGAAGAAGTCCCCTGTTTTGGAGGATCGATTTGTGGATTTTGTTGCCCATTGCCTCGGCTTTCGGCATGCCATCACCTGCTTGGGTGACCTGGCGCTGGGGAAATTGCCTCAAGAAAAACGGGTGGGATTTTTACCATGACGAAATGGGCAAAACATAGTAAAACCTTGGGATAAACATTGAGATTTCTATGGGATTTCTATAGGACTAGGATTTCTATGGGATTTCTATGGGATTTCTACGAGATTTCTATGGTAAAACATTGGGATAAACCCAACTGCATGGCCCCCACCTCTTTGGCGTGCCATTGGCCGTTCACCGCACTGAGGCGGCACCACACGGTGGTGCCCGCCAGAGCGCCGCCCTGTCGGCAAGGCGTGGCTCGGAGATGTTCTGGACATGAAGAATTCCTAATTCCGAATCACCCACAAAGTGGGGCCCCCAAGATAGCTAAGTTGGTTTATAACTCTAATAACTAGGACTTATGGTAGACATATCTATAGTTAGTGGGATTATAAACCAACTGATAACTGGGGGGGCACCACCTTGCATATATAATGTTTTTTTTTCAGGAATTAGAATGATTTGGTTAGCCTAATAATTCCCAAGAATAATTCCATCCGAATAAGGCATGGGATTATATGATTTGGTGGGATTCGGATAACCCATGGGATAAGACTATATTGGATTTAATGGTGTAATGGGTTCTAAATCCCCAAGTTTCCCCAAGTTCGGATTAGCAACCAACCATCTTGGAGATTTTGCTAACCAACCAGATGAGTTATATACCAGTTGATATGGTTACTAATATGGTTTCTATCCAGATTGAATGTTTCAATATGGTTTCTGTATCCAATTAGTATAAACCCTTGTTTTCCCATATAAGCAGTGTTCAAAATCCATTGTAATTCAATTTAATCCTGATTGGTTAAGAAATGGCTTTCCAGCCTGGCCCATGGGGCCCATGGATTATGACAAGCTCCAATATATTGGGTAGTATAGCTATAACCACTGAAAACATCATCAACCAATTGCATTGTTGAACACTGCGCATCTATAAATGGGATATCCTGGTAATCTAAAATGTGGTCTGGATTTAACAAGTTGAAAGTGATTTAAAATGGTTTGTTGAAAATGGTTGAAGGTTGAGCTTCAGCTATACCTATACTTTGTCAGTCTATACAATCCATCACACATAGGTGCAGGCAGACACGAAGATAGTTCACCTACATTGGGATCTGGACAAACAGAAGTAAGGAATTCACTCTGGTTGGTGGTATACCTACCCCTCTGAAAAATATGAAAGTCAGTTGAGATGATGAAATTCCCAATATATGGACAAATAAAAGCCATGTTCCAAACCACCAACCAGCATCTGTTCACTTATTGGAAAGTGATAAAATGATAAGCCAGATACAGCCAGATGGAATGGATTGGAATAGGATAAAAACTGTTTTCAGACATTCAATACAAAGTTTCTTCCTTGTGTTTGATATTGGATGGAATTTGAATATGGAAATTGATAGGATTGATAGAATGAATTAGGTAACCTATAGCCATGAATTTACTGAACTTATTGTAGCTATGGAAATATGGATGAAGCAGGGACATATTTGAAATACGTTTGTTTTTGGTTTCTGTTCTTAAATAAATCATCTTAGATAAAGCCTTACGCTTTTCATCCTCCATTTCTTCCATCTACAATACTATTCGATAAATCATAAATTTGCTTGACAAAACCAACATGGTTGGTGGTATACCTACCCCCTCTGAAAAATATGAGCCAGTTGGGATGATGACATTCCCAATATATGGAAAGTCATAATCCAGCCATGTTCCAGTCACCACCAATCAGCACTATATGACAACTACGGGTTCCACCAGGACCAGCCAGTGGCTTCTCCCCTGGGGATGTGAAAGTTATGAAAATATCCGCGTCCCAAGCTGATGCTCCTGCTATTGCCATCAATTCAAATCAGATTTTACGATAAGAACTTCTATGGAACAAAATTGAAATCTTCCATACCCTCTGGTAAACTAACATAGCTATTGAAAATGGCCATTTATAGTGGATTTTCCCATTAAAAATTGTGGATCTTTCCATAGCTATGTTAAATTACCAGAGGGTAACTGGTGTCATCAACTCCAGCCCCAGTTGGTAGTCAATGGTATCCAGATCCAAAAAAACAGTTTTTCCTGGCTTCATCCATAACTGGGGCTATCCAGATACCGGAAAAACATCAAACCTATAGGCATCTATAGGCTGGAAAATCCCCCAGACTGGGATGAAAACCATTACAAGTCGTGAGGCCCCCGGCCTTTCGATAGCGTTCAGTTGGTGCAAATAAAAAAACTCCAATTTCACGAACTGGTTACGACTATGGTTTATGCTACACAAATAACGAACTATAATAGTTCCTGGGGGTTTTCTTAACCAACGTTCACATCACCCGCTGGGGCCTCACACAGCGTAGGTTTTTGATGGTAACCCAGTGGGATCCCATTGATCCCCATTGAAAAGATCGTCGATGGGCGCCTGCCGCAGCTTGTTCTGCAGCTCTAAGGACAGGTCACTCTGGCTGCACATGAGGTCCAGCCCCTGCGGATGAGAGTGATAGTTCTCTATATTTTTATAGCCATGGAAAATAGATAGCCATGGAAAATAGATTTTTAGCATATTAAAAATGGTGATGCCCCTGTCTATAGATAGCTCTATACTTATCATCTGGTTATGACTAACATAGCCATGGAAAATCACCATTTTTGATAGGTAAACCATCTATTTCTATGGGCCATCTATACCATGGCTATGTAAAATAACCAGAGGGTAACATTAATACTAGTAGTACCCTCTGGTAAACGTTTACATTTTGCTATGGAAAGATCCACCATTTATCATGGGAAAATTCACTATTTCTATGGCCATTTTAGTTTACCAGAGGGTAATATAAAAATATGTTGAATATTGTTGAATAACCAGGAAGTATCATATGTAATGATAATGTATGGAGGTTTCTAAAGTCATGGAGTATCCCCAAATCATCCAAGTCATGGATGACCATGACTTAGTATTGCAACCTATGGTGACTGGCGGATCCACCATTTTAGGAAAGCTGCATTTATAAGAGCCGTGATACATTAAGTGCTTCTCCCGCTGATAGTTCATGAAAGTTTAGATAAGCGATTCATTCAGATTTCAGATGATTCCACAAATGAACAGATACTCATTCGGATATCATATGCATTCAATCTATATATCATTTCAAATATGTCAACAACGTGAACATATCTTCGAAACGAGTGAAAAAAACTTGGGTCTCAGCATCGCGTATAATTGAGTACTCCATGGCCCTAAAGATCCTTCTTTCATTGATATGTTTACTGGTTGGTGGTTTCAACCCCTCTGAAAAAATATTAGTCAATGGATGTCAATGGGAAGGATTATCCCATATATTACGGAACAATAAAAAATGTTCCAAACCACCAACCAGCCAATTATTGTTGCTCACGTTCTCATTGTTGATGCTATCAAATATCCGTGTTTGACGAGCATATGATGTAATGTCTTTACAAATTATTAGATCCATGAAATCCATGTGCTTATCACTTGAATTTCACTGTTCAATCATCTTGTCTTGAAATAATTTGAAATATTCAACTCAATGTTGCACATGTGAGGTCTAATTTCCGTTGTTTTGGGGTGAAATCCCCATGAAACCCATCATTTTCAAAAGGGCTTGACAAAAAGTGTTTGGTTTGATACCCATAGATTGTCAAACCAAAAATATCAATTAACTGGTTCATATAGTTTCCAGATTCGAACTGTTTGCACTCACTTTTTCTTATCACAGATTTTCCATTCGATTAAGTGCCATTGAAACTCGCTTAATTGGTGCAACCGGCTTCGCCGCTTCGTGCCTGTGCTCCAGGGACATTGATAGCCCCAGTGCCCTGCGATCGTTGGGATGGGCACTTCGAAGGGAGTTGACCAGGGATTATGACCATCGCCACTATTGGTAGTTTATATCAATATACTATTTATATCAATATTTTTGAGATTGTACTAACCAATAGTTTTTTTAATTTACTATCAATATATTGGGTAGTATAATCGAAATAATAATTTAAAAAAAAAACAACAACTAGCCAGCATGGTTTTTGAACACTGCTCAAAAAGCGTGTGATTCATTCGATCTACTTCAGGATTGGCAAATTCTAAGTACCCTCTGGTAAACTAACATAACTATGGAAATAACTATGGAAAATCACAATGTTTAATGGGAAAATCCACTATAAACTGCCATTTTCAATAGCTATGTTATATTACCAGAGGGTAGGTTTTTGTTCACCATCATCCTGTCCTCCGAGAAAGTTCGGATCATGCCGGCCACAGAGGCATTCTCGAAGAGAGTGGCACCCGCCTGAGCTTGGGCCCGTTTCGCATCGTTGTTTGGCTGGTTATAACTGGATTATATCTAGTATAATTAGATATATCTACCATATCCAAGGCCATATCCAAGAATACCGTATAGTTCAAGCTCCACTTATAAATTGCTTTATGAATTATAGATATATCATGATATATCTACCAGAAAGCCTCGTTGTTCAAGGAGTTATTTGCAGCTCTCAAGGTAGTGATTTGGAACTGGAAAACCACCCATTCGAGGTGTGGAACTGGTGACACAATCATCTCTATGGTGTCGATGGCGAAAGCCATCGAACGGCGATTAGTCCCGTTTTTCATGGTGAAAAAAAGATGCTGAAGATTCGATATTGTTCATGATATATCGATGTTGATTCCTGTTCATGATAGTAATGATACTTTAAATTAATGTTTTGCTGCATACTGGCTAATGTTAAGTAATAATAGTAATATCAAAGGTAAATTAATCACCAACATGTTCATTCATCGACTATTTAATGTTCATTAGTGATACTGATAGGTAGTAGTACATTAATGGTTTATCATAAGCTGATTAATCTTATGTACATTTATCAATATATTACCACTACTATCGCTAATTGTCGATGTTAAGGGTTTACACATAGTGGTAGCAACTAATTGCAACACAATGATAACAAAATTTATTTTCATGTCAATGCTAGTGTTAATTTCATCAAGATAGTGTCCGTTTAATGGAGTGAAAATGGTACATTTAAAAAAAATAAAAAATAAAAAACATGGTACTAGATCGTTTATGTAAAACTAACAATTTTAAAAAAGAAAACGTTTGACACATCATCGTAAAATACCAGGAATGTCCACCAGTTTAATGGTACAATGTCTCCAATTTTTTGGTGGTAAAATGTTTAAAGCTCAGAAACAACGGTTAAACATCTATAAATTAACAAATGGCTCCCAGACCATCACTATAAAATCCAAAGTGGGTAACACCCTCATGGCATCGAGCCTCTATAAAGTTTGAAGGCGAATGTTCACCTCATTTTTTCCGATGAAATTTGAACTTTATAGAAAAACCCTGCACTTTATAGAGACGGCCTCTGTTCAAGTCAATCCCGAAATGATTCCAAATGTGCCCTCAACAGGCGCTCAAACTCTGTGATTTTGTCTGACATTCTGTTTACTGCTGTTTTGTCTGACATATATATATACTGTTTTGTCTGACATTCATGAGCCAACAAAAACACTGTTTTAAAGTTCAAGCACAATGGTATACAAAAAACATTCTAGAATATACTCTCATTTTTGGCTACCAGATTTGAACTTCTTAGAGGAATATGCATCTATAAAATCTAGAGATTTCTGGGTCTGGAGAACATCATTTTGTAGAGGAGATAGGCAGGGGGGGTGTTAAAACTAACACATGATACACAAATGACAAAAATGTGAAGACAAAGAACAACATGTATCATGTTTCATAGTTGCTTCAGCATCCCATTTTGATGGTCACGGATTCTTTTTCAAGAATCCATTGTCGGTGAAAGAACGTGGCACACCTAATCTGATAAAGCACATGTTTTGAAGGTTCAGGAAAAAAGTTAAGCTGCCCTATTTTTCTCTTGGAAATATAGTTTTTATTTTTTTTTAACAGGTTATATCAGGTATATCCCATTACATCCTGATTTTCTTGATGCTTCAACTTCCATTTATTGGTTGCAAAGATTTGCAAAGTATCCATTACCCATAGGATCCATGGTGCTGGTATATATGCTAACATTGGGGGTATACTGATGGTAAATGTTACCATATATATGGCATACATGGATCCTATGGGTTATAAAATTGTCTGTTTCACCAATGTGTTCTATTCCTAATAAAATGTACTTATATTAATATCATGTATCCAGTGTGTGTTTGCCCATTGGAAATAAAAAAGTGCCAGGTGACAGCCCAAATCCTCATAGTTTGGCTTAGGGCAAAATCCCCTTCTAGCCGTTTGGTCATTTAACATAGCTTTAGAAAAATTTCACATGTATCATTTAGTTCGATAGATGTAGCCATTAGTTCGGTTGTGATTTTCATAGCTATCTTAAATGGTGTCAAAAAATAGAGTACCCGGTAATTGATCTATTGATCAATCATCATTCTCCCAACTCTCTGATGGCAAAATATGTATAGAATGTGAGGTCCCCCGTTGTGATGTGAACGTTGGTTAACAAAAGCCTCAGTAACTATAGTTATAAGTACCATAAACCATAGTTATTGGAGTTTTTTCAACCAACTTAGATATCTTGGGGGCCTCTCATTGTACCAGTTGCTGAAAAACAACAACTTTAAGTTGCCAGGTTCACCATGGTAGTTTTATTGGAATTCTGTCGCTCCAACGGTGAAATCTCGGTGTTTGGACCTCTGCCAGGTTCACCATGCGCCCGTGCCAGCGGCCATCAGGCAAGGCCTGAAGTCAGCCGAGCTCCCGAAGAAATATGTTTTTTTAATTGGGATCATCCCGGTGATGAAAAATGAAAATGAAAAAAAACTTACACCACCAACCAGACCATTAAATATATATATATATAATGATATATGGAGATATCATAGAGATAAACAAAATAACATTGGATTTAAGTTATTTGAGCAGCGATGTCATGTCAAATGGTTTTGTGTCTCAAAGTGGGGGATACCCAATATGGAAAACGACGATAGGAGTGGTTGAAAAATTGCAAACGTTCTTCCATCCCGATTCATGAATCGCCAACTCAAAAGACTGTTTGTTGGTGCAGTTGGGTCTTTGTCAATGGATTACTTTTCGTATAAGTATATATGTTTATATATGATATATATATAATGATATATATATATATATAATGATATATATATATATTTATGAATATAAACATGTTATATATATCATATATATATACATATGATACATGATATATGATATTTGATATATGATATATGATATATGATATATGATATATGATAACTATATATATAATATTATATATACATGTCACATGTATATAATTATTCACCACAGTTTTCTTTTTCGCTTTTCCCCAGCCTCCATCCGAAGGTGGGCTGTGCAGTTCTGAATGCCAGGACCTGGCGCAGAGCCGAAGCGCTTCGCAGAGAGGGAATGGCCTAGTTTTTTGTGGGGACGTTTTGCAACGAAAACCTTGGGAAAACCATGGAAAAACCTTGGGAAAATGGTGATTTATATGGAAAATCACCATGTTTAATGGGAAAAAAGTGGGATTTCTATGATCAATGGATTGGTTTAAGGGAAAATTTACAGGAAAGCCCCATATTTAATGAGAAAATCTATGGTTTCCTGTAGCTTTTCCCTTAAACCAATCCATTGATATGAATAACATATACTAGTCATTAATAATCTATGAGCCTGGGAAGTTTTAATCTATGAATCATGTATAATAATTCTAGAATCATAAATTCATTTTGAAACAGGAAGAAACCATTGAACAGTTGAGATTACCAGTTGAATCTATGAAATCTATGAAACATATGAACTGTGGAAGTTTCAAAACTGTGAGATATATGAATAATGGATGATAATTACAATGTGAGCCCCCCAAGATATGTAAGTTGGTTTATAACTCCAATAACTATGGTTTATGGTACTTATAACTATAGTTACTGGGGCTTATAAACCAACTAACATCACTGGGGGGCCTCACATTGTACCAATTGGGAATCATCGAATGATGATTTTTTCCAACGTGGAGGATGGTAAATGGGAATATAATGGCGATGTAATGGGAAAGGTGACATACCCTCAAGATTTTCAAGAAAAATATGGTGGGAATCATCTGATGATGATGATGATGATCATGGTGATCATGATGATCATGATGATCATGATGATCATGATGATCATGATCATGATGCTGATTTTGATGAAAACGGTGTTTTTTGGATAAAAATGGATATTGGAAATGATAAAAAAACACATCAAGAATGAGATGACACGCCAAAAATCATTGGAGATATATACAAAAAGAATATTTGAGGTGTAACAAAATATCGTCAAAAGTGAGGATGATGTTTTTTAGAGTCCATCAAACACCGAAGACATGTGTATGCGAAGCAGTATATACATCGACTCGAGTTGCGGTACAGCAAAAACTCGCCGAATGATCAACCAGCGATTGACAATTAATTGACTTCAAGAATGATTCTCCTACATACAGAACGTTCTGAATTGAAACATATTAGACTTGAGTTTCGAAACATATTGACAATTCATGTTTCACCTATTCAAACTTAAATGTTTCATTGACAATTCAATGTTTGTGGTTTCGTGCTTTCTCAGCCCACTGTAGCCAGTGGTTTTGGGGAATACATGGTACCTATGGGTTTCCATGGAACCATATGGTATCATAGTTATACCGTAGGTTTCCAGTAGATGGATTAACTACTATATATATATACTGTACATATGTATAATGTATATAATATACATATATATATAATGTATATAACATACATATATATATATAATGTATATAACATACATATATATATATATATATGTACACGGAGGTTTCCTAAAATGGGGGTAGCCCTAGTTATCATCAATTTTAATGGGATTTTCCCTGATTTTCCCTTATAAAACATCCAGCTATTGGGAAGCCCCATTTTCAGGAAACCTCCATGGCCAAACCCTTCCAGCCTCCCAGCATCGTCAGCCTAAGCGATGGTACCCTGGGGGTAGCACTTTGCTCTGGTTTGGATGGCCTATGAAAATACAGCTTACCTCTAGATGATTTCCCATTTTGGTATTTTTGATGTTCCATACTTATGTTAAAATTACCAGAGAGCAACTAGTACTTAAAATGTGTTTTTAATAACAACTGGCCCAACAAATATGTTGCCAAAGAATGCAATTTATAGATGTGTGTTTGTCTGACAATAGGGCGGGAATTAATGATCAGTACAATTACAATGGGCGTATCAGCATATCCCCATGTTTAAACATATGCAGATAAGATCAGCAAAAATGGAGGTTGACATGCAACCACAAAATGCATTGGCCAACAAACACGATGATACCACACTTGCTGAGAACTGATAACACCAAAAGGACATGGGCAAATAACACAACATTTGATTAGGAATCATATCATGAACGAACTCGTGAAAGACTCAAAACTTACAGTAAATGAGTGCGTGGACAAGAAATATATTCATCCACCTAACAATCCCGGAATTTGACGAAGGCAACATCTACAGGAAAACCCTGTGTTTGCAGGTAAAAATCAAGGGTTCCCGTATTTTTTTCCCTCAAATCAATCTATTGAGACTCGAGGAGGCTCCAATCATTTAATTCAATCATATTCCCATACATCCCCAGCCCATGAACAATAGGAATATCATAAATATATATATATATATGTATCGTATCTTAATACACGGGAAAATGGTCTGACTTTCATGTTCATCCATCCTATTATGTGGTTCATCTGCACATATGCCCCATTCCAAGAGATTATCAGTATATATTAGCATCATCCCCATTAAAAATCGCCACTAGGGTAACATTCCTAATGATACTCTGGAGATGCCAAATGCCTAGTGTTTTTTGTTTTTTTTTCCGGGGTTACCAAATCATAGGCATCCTATAGTTATATGGAGGTTTCTTGGGGGTACCCCAATAGCTGGATGCTTTATAATGGAATGGAAAATCCTATTAAAATGGATGATTTGGGGGTACCACCCTTTACGGAAACCTCCATATCCATTCATATCCATTATCTGAATGACGGATTTCATTGAAAGCAATGATTCTGCACAAACTGAATGCGTTGTGTTTTTTTCGACATTGTCAAAATGATTCAAAATGTAAGTTCCCAACTGTGTTTGAAATTTTGGACTTTGCCACCCAAATTTCATGTAGTTCTTGTTGATTCGCCTATCTCATCTGGAGCCCTTCCCACTTCATTACTTCAATAACATTCTCCACTACTTAGAACATTCATAGTCACTATAGTTTCTAGATACAATACCACTCATATCCAACTAGTTTTTGGGGAAACAGGGTGCTTGAACTCTTTTTCGCCCAAAACAAACATCCTCGACAGCACAAATGGCACACAAGATTATATCAGTACCAAATCGAAAAAAAAAACTGAGTGGTTTCCCGTGTAGTTGTTGCTATAAACACATGTTTGCCATGTTGGTGATTCTTGGGATCTCGGAGCTGAGGAAACCCACAATTTCTCATGTGATGGGTTTTCACCATGGTTTCCCCATATCTATGTTAGGTTACCCAAGGGTACACCTTTGGAAAAAACATGTTTTAGTAAAACTCGTTCAGAATTAGTTTTGCCATATATTTTTTGTTAATAAATCAATTGATGTTTGACCCCACAAAATGTTGTTTGAACAATTAAGTACTAGTGGAGCATGTCAAAAACCCATCTAGTCACCCAAAAATCGAGAAAAAAAACAAATGGAATGCCTACACCTAAAATGTGGTTAGGAAACTTGATTCCTAGTTCAGTGATCTCCATGCAACATAGGGAATATGAATATGGATACCCCTACAATGTGAGGCCCCCAAGATAGCTAAGTTGGTTTATAACTCCAATAACTATGGTTTACGGTACTTATAACTATAGTTACTAGGGCTTATAAACCAACTAACATAACTGGGGGGCACCACTTTGTAGTTCCTTATAGTTACGTCCTATCCACCAGGTTCCCCACAAGGTCTGCGAAGCTTCATCCATGTCCCGGCGCCTCATGCGCGTTGTTGAGCCGTGAATTTAATGGCGCCCTCTTTTAGCATAACCATCTGGCTACCCTCGGGTAAACTTTTAATGGTGATTTAATGAAGTTTTAATGGTGATTTTAATGGATTTATGGTGATTTAATGGGATTTGATTGGGATTTGCCCTCTGGTAAACTAACAGTTTGCTGTGGGAAATCACCATTTTAGTGGGGAAATCAACGAACTAAATGGCAATTTTCAATAGCTATGTCAAATTACCAGAGGGTAGACACTGTGGATCCAAGTCCGGGAGTATGACAATAGTATGATTCAAGGGGTTCGCTGTGCCTTCTCAAAAAAAATGATCGGAATATAAATTTTAACTTAACTACCATAGAATTTGGGGGCCAACATTGTATGGGTTTGTCCCAAAAGGGGATGCTCCAAAAAAATTATAGATGCTACTGATTTTCTTAAAAAATGGTCCATGTGGTTTCGTTACTAACAAATTTTGAAAACAATTTTAAGCATACAAAAACATCTGTGTATGCCTGTATGCATGGTGTTTTAATTCCATCGGTTATTTGAGTTATATTTATGTTGTAGAATCGTTTTTCCGTCACTTCAGCCCCCTATAGCTCTCGTGTTTGGACATGTGCAAGAGTGAACAGTAAGAACCGTCCATCAGATGGCTGGCAATGCATGGCAATGTTACCTTTTGATAATTTTGGGCACATGGATGTAGATTGAAATCTCCGATTTGTGGTTTTGGACAGAGATGGGTGTTTTTGAAGTAGAGTCATCATGTTATATACATCCTCCGTAACCAAATCAACCAAATCACCAGACACCAGCGTTTGAAAGTCTAAACACAATCAATTAGAACGCATCAATTTTGTTCATGCGATGCATTGACATTTCCACTCCAACTGAAATACCAAATTTTCACTGAAACCGTGAAACATGCCATGATTTGAAACAGTTCGGCCTTCTTAATGCTGGTCCTCGGGTAGTTTTTTGGTTTGCAATTCCCAGCAGCCCAAATGATTGAATTTGAACACACAGCAGCTGAACACATCGCAAACATTTTTTCATGTTAGCAAACACTTTGATGAAAAAAACAAATAAATAATGTGGGATGTACTGCAATCTTTTGGAAGACATTGCAGCATTCTGCTGCCCGAGGCAGATCAATCCGCAATTCCGTGATTTCAAAAGTTCGAGCGGGAAGTACGCCGAGTTCTTCAAATAAACAGATACGCGTGGGACACCACTAGGAAAAGTATTTCAAATAATTTCCCACTCAGGCTGGCACTGGAAGTAAATATCCTGCAGCTGAGATGCCCCCGCAACGGTGAAAAATATTTTCAAGAATGGGTTGCCAAGAAACAGCGATTTTCCTGCCCACCAGAAAAAAACATGTTCTGTTCGTTTTAAATATTATTCTACTTCTTTCGGTCGAACCAGTGGGCAACGAAGGCTTGAAAGAGGCTATGGCTTCACAGTCTTGTCTCATGTCTCACGCGTTCATCGGGGTTTGCAAGCGCCGGCTTTACCTTTTTCAAATGATGCCCAATAAGGCTCTAATGGAGACAGCGAATCTGACTGCAAACCCCAAAGCACACAAGTCCCCGCGCAGGCTGCCGCCAACCCCCCCAGTCCTGCTGATGCCCAGGGGCGCTGATAAAGCCATAGCCTCTGGAGTCATTGAAGACTTTCACCTCAGCAGGTAAACGGGCCAGAAAAGCGGCCCGCCCAGGTCTTATGGGTGCAGCTGAATGCCGTCTGAAGCTGGCCAGGCTGAAAAGAGTCGCTGGTATCTTGGTTTCTTTCGCACTCATCACTGTGTGGATCTCCCTTGCAGTGTACTGCAACCGGATCTAATGCATGAACTGCAAGTTGATCGCACTGCTTGTGGTTTGTATGGATAGAAACGATTAAATGTGCTCCAAGGGATGGAATTGAACTTCCTGTCGTTGTTGACAAAAAAATGGTTTGTTTCACCCTGAAAATCTCTGATACGCGAGGTCCGAGTGCGTCTATGTTTATAATCATGTTTTTTACACATACTGTAGATTTGGATCTAGAGATCATTCAATAATACTTGCATTGTTTAGAATGCTCTCACCGTGTGCAAATATAGATGTGTGGAAATGCATGTATACAAGTAATGAAACATGAGGAGACGCAGGCACGAGCCATATCCATCAGTGGGAATCACTTACATGTTACACTGATGAGTATTAATAATAATGATCCCACTTAATTCTAATCCAATTTAATCATATCATCATGGTTCATACTAATGTCCGATTACAGTTATAGTCATTTGCATCCAAACATGCAAATATACGCATGCATATCTATATGTGGACATAGTCAACTCATGGTATTGTCGCAGCCCAGCCGTGCAGCCCGGTGCCTCCTTTCATGTCGGCCCAGGCATTACAACTAAGAATCTTTCGCAAGGTCAACGTGAAAGGTCAATGTGATTTAGGGTTTGAGGTTTACGGTCGGTGTTTCACGCTTTAGGGTCTTGGGGGTTTAGGGTTTTAGATGGCAAAAACAGTAGGCCCGCGCTGGAATTTGAGCATTGGGAGGGAGTAGCGGCTGCATACTTTTTGAGGCCACGGGCAAACTCCAGGCATTTGCCGTATACATATGTATGAATAATACATGTATATATATATAATCATATGTATCTATGTATCTATGTATCTATGTATTTATCTATGTATGTATGTAGCTAGGTAAGTAGGTAGGCAGGCAGGCAGGCATGTATGTATGTAGGTAGGTAGGTATGTATGTATGCAAAAAAAACAAACACATCATAATCCCTCTCCCCCTAGTATTACGTAGCCCCGATAGAAACCTTGATGTCGTGCTGGATCTATTCATCCTAGAGTCCCTTCTGGAGTTGATATTTTGCGGAAGGGCGACTATAATTCTGGCTGAGTTACTGACCTGAAAATATCATTGGTTTGGGCCCATACACATATAAGATCATGTACAGTATATATCTGGGTAAATTATCATAATTCACTAACCTGAAATAAGGCTATCTTGGGGATGATTCCCCTTACTAACAATCATTCCAGTGACGGCACGATGCGAGGTCATTTATCATTCAGCCAGAGAAATATTATATATATATATCAGTATATCCGAAATTACAATGCTGGTTAGATATGTCCATTATATTCCTGTAATGTATCCCACGAACCCCCTTCAGTATATTATTCATATCCCATTCGTACTCCATACATAGTCCATACATAGTCCAGACAAATTCCATTATATATATATATATATCCCTATGTTCTTTGGCTCATATCCCCACGTTTCATGGTAGAACCCTATCGAAATAATTCATCCAAATAATGAAGCCATGAAAAATACATCCCTGATTGGTGAATATAGGGAGGTATACTAACTGCTGTATTGGGATTATTATAAGCCATAATGGGAATATGTACTAACTAACCAGTATTGTGGGATGGGATAGGGGCATTTTTACTGGTTCAATTGTCTAAATTGATTTCTGCAGCTTCCATCCGCTGGAATCAATGGCTTACCCTGTTCCAGTCGGTGAACTCCATCATGTTTTGTTGATTAAAAAAACGTTGTCATTTGATCATCATGCACGTAATCTCAAATAGTTTTATTCAAGTTGGTATCTTCGCAACCACCCAGATGTCTTGGGCTTCTAGCTGTGATTCTCTAAGCTGAGAATCAGAAAATCTCGCATTTCATTTATACATCCTGCACAACTGGAGCATTGATACCATTGTCAGATGTGCAGGAGATTATTCACATTTTCCAGGATTCGATGGACAAAAAACTACAGAAAACTGTCAGATGTGCTCCTTAAAGCAGAAAACAAAGCATCCATCTCAATGCATCTGAATATTTTTCTATATATATATATATATATGTGTGTGTGTGTGTATCTATTTCAAAAACAACACAAAGGATGCCGTTGGTTCTTTATTCTCAAAAAACGAAGATGCCTCTGTTTTTTTCTCTCTCCCAAACAAAGAATGCCTCTGTTCCTTTATAGCCCGAAGAAAAAAATAACTATTTGTCAGAGGTGCAGTTGTCAGTTGGACAACTAAGTAGAGCAGCAGTCTCCTTTCCATCCAGAGCTGCAATATGCTGCACATTGCACTACCAAATAAAGTTGTTGAGAAATGTGAAAAGTAGCTATTCAAGACACAGTTGGTAAGAGTGTAACGTGGTTGTGCAAGTGTGTGGATTGGAACCTCCAACAAAATGCAGTGGTGTTGCAGTTTTTTGTTCGACCCAAATAAACTTTTGACGGTAAATTCGTGTAATATCATGATGTTTTATGGGTTAACCATGTCTACCCTCTGGTACTTTGGAAATTGACATATCAATCAACAATTCCAAGGTTTTAATGGCAAAAAGGAGTAATAATCATCAAGTTACCCTCTGATCATTTAAACCTAGCTATGGAAAATGGTCCATTTATAGTTGATTCATGATGATTTACTTGTTAAAAACGGGTGATTTTCCAGTTTGCCACGTGGTTTAGACACCGGTTTTCCATGGCTGCGCAAACGCAGGTCACCCTTGGGGGGTTGAATCCCCATGGTAAACCATATCATAATCCCAGACAATCGCCATCCCACCATGTTTGATACTTTAACACCTATTTTTTGAGTGCCAATGGTTATCCAATGGATGACCCATATATATATATAATTATTATTTATTGACATGTTAAAATGGTTAAAATCGAATTTTTCATGGTTTCAACTGGGTTATCTCCCACCAAAAACGACCCAAGTCTTCGCGGCACCAAGTCGCCGATCCAGTGATCTGCCCCGCATCTGGAGCATTTTGCCTAGGTGAGACGATGGTCCAATGGAATTTAATCATATATATATATATATATATTTACTTTTATATATATATAAACAATAGTACATGTATAATATATATATATATGTGTTATACATATAATATATATATTTATTTAATGCGTGTATATATTTATCACCACCATATATAGCGAATATATCATTATCGAATATATCATTATCACGTATATATATATAATTATATATATACAGTTGATCACCACCATAGCATAACCACGTATATAGCTGATCATCACCGTATCTAACTTGGATGTCAGAACAGCTGGATATTTACCTTACCATTATTTTAGTAGGATTTTACTGATCTATCATTTTGGGTGCTGCAAAAAACAACATAAACGATAAAATTAAATCTTTGTCTTAGTCGAGGATGCTCTCATGATCCAGTTGAGGACTGGTGTTCAGTAAGCAATTGATCCTCAGTTCGGAATCGCTCATAGAAGAACTTCCTATGAGCATCCCAGAATAACTTGCATACGAGCACCAATGCAGAGGATCTTCAAGATCTTACTGCAAGGACCCCTTAGGGGAGGATTTCAACAAGATCTCCACGAGATCTTTTCACAAGGACCTATACAAGATCACGCAAAGGCCTCGGACAGCATGTCACTAGGATCTCGTCAAGATCTGCGCAGAAGGAATTGGAAAAGACCTGCAGCAAGATCTTCATGCCAGGACCCCGGTCAGAATCTCACAAGATCGTCATAAAAGGACCTGCTGGAGCGGTTCTTACAAGATCTTGACCCAAGAACCTCCCATGGCATCTGCAAGGTCCTCATGCAAGGACCTCTTAGAGAATCTCACCCGGATTTCCACAAAATCTTCTGTTAAAGACCTCGAAGCCGAAATTGAAGAACCCACACCAATCTTGGAGGAAAATTCACGCACGCTCAAAAGCCCTTATCCAGCAAAACCACACATTCATACGTCGTCATTCTTCTAGTTGCAAACTGCCTCTCTGCATCTCTGCCTTCCCTTTTTGAGCGTTGCGATAGCAGTCGATGCCGCTAATCCGCAGCAATAGCTGCCTGAAGGTACTTCGCATCCTGCACGCATACAGACAAAGACGGCAGCGAACACCGCGAAAAGAAATGCTCCAATCACAAAGAAAACCAAAACCGATACAATTTCACGGCCAATGTTGAATTACAGCACAAAGACATGAAAAAAAAACGCCTAGAACAAATGCTACACCTACTGTCATTGCATGAAGAGTTCATTAAAACATACAAAAAGCTCATGTTCAAATCAATGAAAAAGAACACAACAACCAAACACCTCTCGTTGCCAAGCTTCGGCTGCGACTGCCACCCTTTGGGCCCACAGATGCACGGGTGTCCTGCTCAGACCGCCCCCGGCAAGTTCGAGGCATGGCTGCAAAAGATGAAATAGCCCTGGGTCAGGAAGCTGAAAAAGAAATGAAATCACTAACAAAAATAATGGCTATATTGAAGTCCAGCGCTTGCATCCAAATAGCCTTTCAACGATGAAAATTCCAGCTAGAACTGACCTGCCGCTGTTTTTTTTGGTAATCTTGAACCATTCTGCAAAAAAACAACAAACGACAAGTCCCACCAAATGACTAGAACCGAAACCAAACAGAGACAGAAGGCAACTTGACAATTCAACCGTACTGCAAGAGCTTTTGCGCCGGCTAAAGTTAAAGCACACAGCCCCTTTTTTGAAAACATAGACCCAACTCAAGCTCTGCCGCAACGACATGCCACCTGCCAAAAAAAGAATCCACGGCAAAACGAAAAATAGACTGCCTGTCTGATTCCAAAGGACCAGCTCACATATCAAAAACCACTGAACTACCTTGTTAAGGGCATACACGAATCAAACAAATTGCTGCCCCTCCAAGAAAATGATTCAGCGGGCATAATCCAAACATAAGTCTGCAAGCAATGTGAAAATGTTTCGCGACAAAAATCCATGTCACTGCACGGTCCAAAACCGCGGGCCCCTCCGAAAGTCACGTGAAAGCCTGCTAGGAATCTTGCAACGTCAGAAAATTTGCAAGGAAACAGTCCAAGCCACCCCTATTCACGCAAGAATCAGGCGTTTGTAACAAAACAGGAACACATGGTAATGTTGAGCTTGCCCCGTCCAGTACAAGGCGCCAAGCCCCGCACAAAGACAAGATACAATGTCACCTGGACCAGCACAAGACAGGCTTACGCAATGACATCTAACCTCTGCAAACATCAACCCCGAAAAAGAATGTCCAACACACACGTTCAGCACCATGCCATCAAATTCGAATGAAGGCAACAAGAAGCTTTGAAGCACAATGAACGCATCGTTTCACTTTTTTGTAACTTTTACGAGCGCCTTCGCTTCCTCTGAGGCCATGGCGGTTCGTCCCATCACCTAGGCTGCACCTCTCAGGGGCACAAACCCTGCTAACCATGGTACAAATACCCAGTAACTAACCATCAGCAACTAACCATCGGCGATCACTGAAAATACTTTTTCTCTCCAACAGCGTTGTCAGACGCAGAAGCGCCAACAAGGACATGGAAAATATAAGGCTCAGCGCAACGCTCGACGACCAACGCCTTCCAAGAGAACCGTTTCCTGACAGAAAAAAACCCTCCATCCCATGTAGAAACAAAAAACTATACAGCAAATGTAGAATGATCTAAAACGGACACATTCTGAGCTCCGTACTTATCGCAGGACTTATGCACTTTCCTTTTGAAAGCTGCCTCGCATATACAAAACAACTGGATATTTTGCTCACGTTACACGCGCACACAGACAAATGCACACTGACCACAACAAACGCACAAAGCGACCAATGCCTGCAAAGCAGCACCGCATCACCAGCCCGGGCACGTTACCTTCGAGCTAGCAATCAAAAAAGAAAAAACACATGCGCACAAGATCACACCCTGACCAAGAAAAAAGATGCCGCCTGCTGCAGTAACTTTTCGCGGTGCTGCTGTGTAACCAGGACCTCAGTAACGCAGTAACAAGAACAAACAGCAGAGCTGCAATAAAAGCAAAGAGCGGCAGAAGAAACAAAACAAAACAAAACACCAAAGAGTCTCAGAACAACACGTTGTGAGAGCGCATCATTTTTCGCCTACGCAACATCGTCTTCCGTCACCTTAAACTCCTGAGCAAGAACAAGCGGAACACCATTGCAACTAAAAGGTCGTCAACACCGACTGGGCTAGACAACGATTCCTGTGCCCAACCGGTGTACCGCACAGCCTTGTCCCACATTTGTTGCGGAACACGTCTCGTAGAATAGCCATGTTGATCAACCCACCGTCCTGCAAGAACAGCTTGAGAAAGGCACAAAAGCCAAAAACAAAACACGGAACACGCAAAGAACTACAAAGGATACAGCTCAAAAGAACAAAGTGCCTCCCGCAGGTTCCAAAGGCGCGCGCATGGACGAAGAACAGCAGAAGCGCGATGATCACCTGCAGTTAAAAGTAAGCCAACGAACAAACAGCACGGAAAGGAATCCCGCCTGGCTTGGCTTGCGCGACGGCAAACCAATAACAGGGGGGGCGCTACATTGCATGCAATACATGGAGATGTAACTTTTCAACCATGGGGATTTATAACCAACCATCTTTGAGGATTTTTCACGGGATATGAAGTAGTGCTATACTTATATATATATATGATATATATATATATATATACAATGATATATATGGGGGGGTGTTTTTTATTCCTTTAAGATTGTTTCCATTTAGCAGTTCTTGCGCCTCGCCCTTGCGCGCTCTTGCACGGCCTGCGTTTCGAGCCATATGGCTGCCAGATTACAAAATCCTAAAATCAAGTTTCCTTTGACGAATACTACGGGGTTAAAAAAAAATCTCTCATATATATAATGATATATATATATATTATATATTATATATAAATTATATATATATATATATTATATATATATTATATATATTATATATATATTATATTATATATATATATATTATATATATATTATATATAATGATATGGATATGTATATATATACGTATATATATACACATATATATATACACATATAGACAAAGCAACCAATCCAAGAAAAGAGAAAAAAATGAGAATGGTACTTCGGCCATATTTTCTAGCACTTTCCAACTTTTGCAGCATCCCCAAAAGGTAATCAAACATGGCCAGTGGGAAATGTCAATGGATGTATAATGAACATCCATTATGATGGTAGTATACTATCATAATCCCTATGGTTTAGCAGTGGCTGCTTATGATATATAAATGTGTGATTCTCCGTCTCCGTTGCCATGTTTGCCGGAGGGTAGTGTCAGAAACGCTTCCATCCAGGTACCCTGCCGAGTTCAGGGATTTCAATCAGCCAACATGGCGGACAAAAATGGTGCGTTTTCATAGCGCAAGCGGTTAAATTACCACAGGGTAAGACTTTCTTGGGTTTATCTTAGTGTTCATCTAACATAGAAAGATAATGAACACAGAAACATAGATGTTAGATAATTCACTTCAACAGCCATGTCCGGTACAAATTGGAGGTACCTAACGATACATTTAACGTTTATGTATATAGGGGCTAAACTTCAGGGAATATAATTACACATTGAAGTATGGCTTCAAAAACTACAGTACCTCCAGTTTAGGTACCTGAAATGGCCATTGATTGCTTGGTGGTTCATCCCACTTCGTAAGTGCGTCAGTTCACCCCAGATATAACTGGACTAACCATACTTACCCTACTTACAACTTGGGTCATAACAAGTTATAACCCACTTAGTGAGATGAGCCACCAAGTACTAGCATACTTACATTATATTACATTAAGAATTACCATAGATCTGGGTAAATTTCCAATATTAGTCACTCACCTGAAGCCTGAAGAAAGCCATTTTGGGATATCTAGTTGCCCCGAATAAAAAACATCCCATGATGCCGCGATCTGAGGTTTAAAATCATGGAACATTTTTAGGCCGACTATTAAAAACAAGAACATCATTGAACATCTCCAAAATCACCCATTTGTTTTCATGTGTGCTACAGGATGGGGCTCCCCAGTGATGTAAGTTGTTGCTTTATCAACCATTCTAATCCTACCACAGCACCTGGGACATTCCGACATGGCCGGGCCAATGGCGACTTCCACCGCCTGCGCAAAGCCCAAAAGATCCCACATCTTTGGGAAATATCTGCTTGTGCCTATGTCCAAGAATAGCCATGTATATATATATATATATGTATGTATATGTATATGTATATGAATATGAATATGAATATGTATATGTATATTATATTTATATGTATATGTATGTGTATATCTATACTGTAATTATGTGATACTAAGTGTGTATATATATATATTATGAAAACCCACATACTACATATATATATATATATATAGAGTGTCGCAAGCCGCATGGAAACATATGGTAAAAATGTGTCACCAGCTCCAGCTCCAGGTGAAGCTGGTGAAGCTGCGCCAAGCTGCGCCAAGCAGCAGTGTATCAAAAAAAAGAATGGGAACTTGGCTGGTTCATCCCAGGAATCGTTAAAGTGGGTTAGTTATGTTAGTTCAGATTTGAAAATGGACCAGCAACCATACTTATATATACTTATATAGCCTACTGAAAATTTCGTGAGCCACCAAGTATGTACATTAATATCTGATTGGTGGTTTCAACCCCTCTGAAAAATATTAGTCAATTGGGATCATTATTCCCAATATATGGAAACATGAAAAATGGATAAAAATGGTCCAAACCACCAACCAAATGTGATACACCATCTATTCTTCCATGAAAAAAGTGCTGCCCTCAACGGTCCAACGACACAAAAAACCAGGTCATTTTAGGGATCGGATCGAGCCAGCGGTCATGAGCCGATGACCGGCAAATCTCGTCCCCGCTTCGTCAGTTCTCCCATTAACTAACCGGGTGACGTATGGTTATGAAAGAGTAACTCAGTGTTCACTCTCATCATTCAGGAAATAAGCTCATTTTTGCCGAACCTTAAATACATTGAAATACCACCCCCCCCTTTAAAAAAAAAAATGAAAGTGAACAACAGCACGACAGTGGGATTATCCGATGATCCTTCAAGTTCCAACCAGGGCTCGCCCTTCACCTGTGTGCTCCCATCTGGTAGCACTTGCAGCGCAAAGTTCACCTCCATGGCGCCGTCATCCAGGGCGTTCACTAAAAATGGTGCTGACTGTCATAGTTCGTAAGTGGGTTACCCGGCCTGGTGATTTTAATGGATTTATGGTGGTTTAATGGGATTTGATTGGGATATACCCCCTGGTAAACGTTTACATAACTATGGAAAATCACCATGCTATTAATGGGTAAATCAACTTATTTATAAATGGCCATGTTCAACAGCTACGTTAAATTACCAGAGGGTAGTTCACCCCCCGACAAAAATAGATATGGACTAACCATACTGAAATCCTACCGAAAAAACTTGGGTTATAACCCACTTAGTAAGTGGGATGAGCCACCAAGTACCCTATGTCCTCACTTAGACAGTCGAGGCGAGCTATCTTGGGCTGGTTTCTGGGTCGGATGGTTCAGCCGATCAAAACCCCAACATTGGGATATTAACCAACAAAGAATCGGGAATGTAACCTCCAGATGGGGGTATGAACTATTACATTTTTTTGCATCAAATCCAGAAATGCAAATGCAACAAGATTATAACGAAACGAAAAGATCACGAGAAAAACAAAAAATCCAGCTGGAAGCTGTCTTGCCATTCAGAGACTGTTGGTTATTAATGGTTATCATCTATAGATTCTATGGTGTTTTGAAACGACTTTCGTCGGCCACGAAATGGTGGTTCCTACCCTTGAATCTTGATGGTGATCCCATTTCTGGTGGCTGACTGCTACATGATCAAGGTCAAACCACCCTATTTTTGCTGCTTAAATCAGGTGAAATCCATGTGATGATGTATTGTTCTTAAATTTTCTTAAATCGATCAAGGATGAGATTTTCCCGGGCAAATCTGACCACAGATCCATGGATGGAAATTCGTCGCCTCAGTGCCGGGGGCCAAGTTTTGCCCCGTGCTCTCGTAGAAGTGCACTTCTTGCGCCACCTTGCAGGTTGCGGAACCATATATCGTGATTATCGTGGACTGTGGACTGTTTTGTGGTACCCACTACTGTGGTGTATTTGGGTGATTTCCTGTATCTAATCCTTTTACATTGCGAGAGCTTGGAAGTGAGGAACTCGGATTTTTGTTTATATGCAAGGGGAATGGTGGCCGCCCTCCATTGAGACATGGAAATTTTCTGCAACTGCTTAGCATTGTTCCACTCCACCCGGCTTTCCTCGTGTGATTGTGACTCACATCCCCACGTATGGTCAGATATCCATCTGTTGTTGACTCGAACTCAAGTTTCAGCAGTGGAATCCCCACCTTTGATTACTGATTCAATTCGAAATGTTTGAACTTTAACTTTAATCTATTTTGCTACTTAAACCATACCCTCCAGTGTCATCTAACGTGGCTGGCTAGAAAAGATGCTATTTAGTTCATTTAGTTCGTTGATTTTCCCAGCAAGAAACCTCCAGGTGAGTTCGTTTGGATTTTCCGGCTTGCGATGTTTGATGACACCGGCACTGCGGGTATATTCCCATATCATAACCATTGTTGATGCTTAGTCAATCTTCATAAATAACACATGATTTCCATATGAATATTAATAATCCTCATACAATCTCCATGTAACAGGGTTGCTCCAAACACCCCAGGTACGTTTGGGTGGTAAATTATGTAAAATCAGAGGTAAAATGACAAATTTACCATAATTTAACCCTTTTGTTGCCAACATTTACCTATAATGGCTTATTATAGCAACCCTGATAAATCCAGCATTGACCATCCAAAACGAACTCAACACTTATAATCTCCAGATACCAAAAGGGATAGCTATAGAACATCACCATATGTTTAAAAACGTTAAATTATCGAACTAAATCTGGTTGGTGGTTTCAATCCCTCTGACAAATAATATGAGTTCGTCAGTTTGGGATGATGACATTCCATTCCCTTTTCTGAAAAGTCATTCAAAAATCCATGGTTCCAGTATGTTCCAGTCACCGCCAACCAGTGAATTATATACTATTATCCCATATAACTATGGAAAATCACAATTTTTAATGGGAAAATCACCATTTTTAATGGGAAAATCAACATTTTTAATGGGAAAATCACATTAGTCATTGCTGTCACTTCTCTGGCACTGTCCCATCACCATCCCAGGGAGATATTCTGGGGCTGCAGGACTCCAGGAGCATTGATGACACCAAATCCTGAAGGCAAGCGAAGCAACATGAGGCAACAAACATGGTGGTTTAACTGGCAAAATTGGTGATTTAACCAGCAAAATTGGTGATTTCACTGGCAAAATTTGTGATTTAACTGGCAAAATTGGTGCTTTTGCTGGCAAAATGGATGATTTAACTGGCAAAATTGGTGATTTAACTGACAAAATTTGTGATTTTTAACCCGCAAAATGGATGATTTAACTGGCACAATGAATGATTTAGCTGGCAAAATTGGTGATTTAACTGGCAAAATTGGCGATTTAGCTGGCAAAATTGGTGATTTTTAACCCGCAAAATGGGTGATTTAACTCGCAAAATTTGTGATTTTAGTAGCAAAAATTGTAATTTAACTGGCAAAATTGGTGATTTAACTGGCAAAATTGGTGATTTAACTGACAAAATTTGTGATTTTTAACCCGCAAAATGGATGATTTAACTGGCACAATGGGTGATTTAACTGGCAAAATTGGTGATTTAACTGGCAAAATTTGTGATTTTTAACCCGCAAAATGGGTGATTTAACTGGCAAAATTAGTGATTTAACATGCAAAATGGGTGATTTAACTGGCAAAATTTGTGCTTTTGCTGGCAAAATTGATGATTTAACTGGCAAAATTGGTGATTTCACTGGCAAAATTGGCGATTTAACTGGCAAAATTTGTGATTTTTAACCCGCAAAATGGGTGATTTAACTGGCAAAATTGGTGATTTAACATGCAAAATGGGTGATTTAACTTGCAAAATTGGTGCTTTTGCTGGCAAAATTGATGATTTAACTGGCAAAATTTGTGATTTCACTGGCAAAATCTGTGATTTAACTCGCAAAATTTGTGATTTTTAACCCGCAAAATGGGTGATTTAACTGGCAAAATTAGTGATTTAACATGCAAAATGGGTGATTTAACTGGCAAAATTTGTGCTTTTGCTGGCAAAATTGATGATTTAACTGGCAAAATTGGTGATTTCACTGGCAAAATTTGTGATTTAACTGGCAAAATTTGTGATTTTTAACACGCAAAATGGGTGATTTAACTGGCAAAATTTGTGATTTAACATGCAAAATGGGTGATTTAACTGGCAAAATTGGTGCTTTTGCTGGCAAAATTGATGATTTAACTGGCAAAATTGGTGATTTCACTGGCAAAATTGGCGATTTAACTGGCAAAATTTGTGATTTTTAACCCGCAAAATGGGTGATTTAACTGGCAAAATTGGTGCTTTTGCTGGCAAAATGGATGATTTAACTGGCAAAATTTGTGATTTAACTGCCAAAATTTGTGATTTTTAATCCGCAAAATGGATGATTTAACTGGCACAATGGGTGATTTAACTTGCAAAATTGGTGATTTAACATGCAAAATGGGTGATTTAACTGGCAAAATTGGTGCTTTTGCTGGCAAAATGGATGATTTAACTGGCAAAATTGGTGATTTAACTGCCAAAATTTGTGATTTTTAACCCGCAAAATTGATGATTTAACTGGCACAATGGGTGATTTAACTGGCAAAATTAGTGATTTAACATGCAAAATGTGTGATTTAACTGGCAAAATTTGTGATTTTTAACCCGCAAAATGGGAGATTTCACTGGCAAAATTGGTGATTTAACTGGCAAAATTGGTGATTTAACTGACAAAATTTGTGATTTTTAACCCGCAAAATGGATGATTTAACTGGCACAATGGGTGATTTAACTGGCAAAATTGGTGATTTAACATGCAAAATTGGTGATTTAACTGGCAAAATTGGTGCTTTTGCTGGCAAAATGGATGATTTAACTGGCAAAATTTGTGATTTAACTGACAAAATTTGTGATTTTTAACCCGCAAAATGGATGATTTAACTGGCACAATGGGTGATTTAACTGGCAAAATCGGTGATTTAACATGTAAAATTGGTGATTTAACTAGCAACAAAATTGATGATTTAACTAGCAAAATTTGTGATTTAACTGGCAAAATTTGTGATTTAACTGGCAAAATTGGTGATTTAACTGGCAAAAGTTGTGCTTTAACTAGCAAAATTTGTGATTTAACGAGCAAAATTGGTGATTTAACTGGCAAAATTGGTGATTTAACTGGCAAAATATGTGATTCAACTGACAAAATTTGTGATTTAACATGTAAAATTGGTGATTGAACTGGCAAAATGGATGATTCAACTGATGATTTAGCTGGCAAAATTGGTGATTTAACATGCAAAATTGGTGATTTAACTTGCAAAATTGATGATTTAACTGGCAAAATCTGTGATTTAACTCGCAAAATTTGTGATTTTAGTAGCAAAAATTGTAATTTAACTGGCAAAATTGGTGATTTAACTGGCACAATAGGTGGTTATTAATGCTTATAGATGGTTGTAGATGCTTGTAGATGATATTCAAAAATCTATTTATATAATAGGTGTCCCACTTTTCATAGGTGGTTATAGGTGTTTATAGATGCTTATAGATGCTTATAGATGGTTCTCGGTGGTTGTAGATGCTTTTAGATGCTTATAGATGCTTATAGATGCTTCTAGATGCTTATAGATGCTTATAGATGCTTATAGATGGTTATAGATGGTTATAGATGCTTATAGATGCTTATATGGTTATATGGTTATATGGTTACAGATGCTTATAGATGCTTATAGATGCTTATAGATGCTTATAGATGCTTATATGGTTATATGGTTATAGATGCTTATAGATGCTTATATGGTTATATGGTTACAGATGCTTATAGATGCTTATAGATGCTTATAGATGCTTATAGATGTTTATAGATGGTTATAGATGCTTATAGATGGTTATAGATGCTTATAGATGCTTATATGGTTATATGGTTACAGATGCTTATAGATGCTTATAGATGCTTATAGATGCTTATAGATGTTATAGATGCTTATAGATGCTTGGTTATACAGATGCTTATATGCTTATAGAGCTTATAGATGCTTTATAGATGCTATAGATTATATGGTTATATGGTTACAGATGCTTTTAGATGCTTATAGATGCTTATAGATGTTATAGCTTATAGCTTATAGATGCTTAGGTTATATGGTTATAGATGCTTATAGATGCTTTTAGATGCTTTATAGATGCTTATAGATGTTTATAGATGGTTATAGAGCTAAGAGCTTATAGATGCTGATAGGAGTTTTTATGGTTAAAGATGCATTTTAGATGACATTACAGATGCTTATAGATGCTTATAGATGCTTATAGATGCTTATAGATGGTTATAGATGGTTATAGATGCTTATAGATGCTTATATGGTTATATGGTTACAGATGCTTTTAGATGCTTATAGATGCTTATAGATGCTTATAGATGTTTATAGATGGTTATAGATGCTTATAGATGGTTATAGATGGTTATAGATGCTTATAGATGCTTATATGGTTATATGGTTACAGATGCTTATAGATGCTTATAGATGCTTATAGATGCTTCTAGATGCTTATAGATGCTTATAGATGCTTATAGATGCTTATATGGTTATATGGTTACAGATGCTTTTAGATGCTTATAGATGCTTATAGATGCTTATAGATGTTTATAGATGGTTATAGATGCTTATAGATGCTTATATGGTTATATTGGTTACAGATGCTTTTAGATGCTTATAGATGTTTATAGATGGTTATAGATGGTTATAGATGCTTATAGATGCTTATATGGTTATATGGTTACAGATGCTTTTAGATGCTTATAGATGCTTATAGATGCTTATAGATGGTTTTAGATGCTTATAGATGCTTATAGATGCTTATATGGTTATATGGTTACAGATGCTTATAGATGCTTATAGATGCTTATAGATGCTTATAGATGGTTATAGATGCTTATAGATGCTTATATGGTTATATGGTTACAGATGCTTTTAGATGCTTATAGATGTTTATAGATGGTTATAGATGGTTATAGATGATCATATCATGACTTCACAGGTTTTTCCCACTGGGTCGCCCCACGACTATTAGGATCAAAGCTGTAGATCACGCCACGTACTCTGGAAGGCCTCGGACGACCACCGCGGACCCGTTGGTCAAGGTCAACAAGGGGGTACATTAGGTGATGTTGATACAGAAGAACTTATATATTATACATTACTTATTTATGATTATATATATATGTATATCATATATACATGTATATCACATATATATATATTATACATATCCATATCTATGTATATATATGGATAAATGTATGTATAAATATATGTATATATATATGTCATATCAATGAAATTTCAGGACGGATAAACTGTTCAACAATCCAAGTTGGGTGATGGCTACCCGCGTTGCGGTGTCAAACATGGAAAGGCCCGCTGGGAAATCCTCACATTTCCCTTAGATTCTGAAAATCCTTGATGGCCCTTGGATAGAAATATAGTAGGCCCATGCAATAATCAACCATCATGTACCTTATTGATGACGTGGAGCAATCCTGCAGTCCAAACAAAAAGCTAATTGCAGCATCAATTTTAGATTCCAATAAGGTGCATCCAACATTTTTCCTAGAAATCCAGACAAAAAAACAAAAACCCTTGAATCAATAGTCAAAATGGGTAATTTCAGTGCATCCAATATTGGCCGGGTCGGTTTTTTAATTTTTCGCAGGCTCTTGAAGATCACCATAGCTAAATGATCCAAGTAAATGAACCGAATTTTCCATAGCATTGTTTTAGTTCCATGGATGGTCTGGTTATGAAATAAATACAAACATTACCTATTTAATGTGGATATATACATATTTTTTCCCAGCTGTAAACCTCTATGTTATGAGTTTCCCATTTATGAAAGCGTATCTATACAAATACCACCCATAATGTAAAGGAAACACCATAATACAAAGAAAACATCTCATTTATATTGTGATTATATATATATATATCATTTACCCAAAGTAGCATCCATTGCGAGTGATGATGTTCGATTTTATGCAGAATGATTGAAACTAGATAGAAAATGATAGAAACACCCAGAAGGATAGGATATATATATATACACAATGTGAGGCCCCCCAGTTATAAGTTGGTTTATAAGCCCCAGTAACTAGTTCGTTATTTGTGTACCATAAACCATAGTTATTGGAGTTATTTGCACCAACTTCGCTATCTTGCGGGCCTCACATTGTACATATATGGTCCCGTGTCCCGTGTTCCCACCCCCCCCCCATGGGATGGGGGGGGGTATGATGCCCCTGTGGTGGTGTATATACATACATACATACATTACATTACATTACATTACATTACATTACATTACATTACATTACATTACATTACATTACATACATACATACATACATTACATACATACATACATACCATTACATTACCTTACCTTACATACCTTGCATACCTTACATTCCATACATACATACATACACACACACACATACATACATACATACATACATACAT